ATGAGTAAATACCACATCACTTTTCTAGAGCTTAGCGTGCCTGCCACTTCAATAGGATTTAGGCCTCCTATTTATTTCAAAATCGGATTGAGTGTATGCCTAGATTAACTCTTTTTAGAAGGGAGTTTTCTTATATATTTAATTGGCTTTATAGGCCAACAATGCCCCCGTGAAGGCGGAAATTGAGCACATCTTCAACCTGCTAGCAAAGTGGTGTGGCGACAAGCCGTGCGTGGACCTGGAAATCTCAGATGTCTACTCGCCTGCGGGCGACGCAGACCAGTGCAGCGAGCCCGACCACCGCTTCTCCCTCCTCAACCTCGTCAACAAGGGGAGCAGCCTACCGCCCCTCCCGTGCGTCAGGAGTTTCGTCATCCGCCACGGCAGCAGCACACCGTGGCACCCAGCCGCCGTCGCGGCGCTCACCTCCAGGATGACGCGCGCCGAGCGCGTCGAGTGGCAGCTCGGCTGGAACGAGGCCAGGCTGTGGGGCCGCTACTACGCGATGGACCTCCAGTGGCGTGAGGCGCTCGTGCGCGCCGTCCTGGAGGAGGAGCCCAGCGATGCCACCACCGCCATCGCCGCGCCTTCAGTCACGGACTTTGGGTGCGCCGTCATGTCTCCCCAAGCCGGGGAAAACGAGAGCCTCCCGGACCTGCTGCGCGCGAGCGGCGGCCGGGACCTGGTAGGGCAGGCGGTGCAGCGGCTCTCGCGGGGGTGCGAGAGGCTGGACTACGAGGGCCCCGTCCACGCCTCGTTCTTCGATCCCGCGCAGGCGGCGCCGGGGGCGTGGGAGAGGCTGCGAGTGATGAACATCAAGCTCGACATGCGGGGGCCACATGGGAGGTGGTATTTTGGGTTCGGGGGTGGTGCGCACGACAGCGACGGGCCCCTGGCCGAGATAAGCATCCAGATGCCGCCGGGGTACGGCGCCACGGAACAGGAGCTGGAAGACGCGCTGGTGTTTTACGAGGACCACATGGGCCAAGACCAAGACGACGACGACGGTGACGTGCGGCCGCCGCGGGACACACCAGCCGGCGCGGAACTGAACCCCCTCCTCGCCAGCTTCGCGCGCGCTTGTGCCCGTCTGCCGAGCCTGGAGGTGGCATCGCTCGAGGCTGAGTACAGGAATGACGAGAACTGGCCGTTTGTGTTGACGGTGGCGGCGCCGGGCAAGATTCTGGGCGGCGACTGGGGCGAGAGATTCGCCAGGGGAGATGGGACGTGGCGGTGGTACCTTCATGCCGAGGGGCAGTGGCGACCGGATCGGGAGACGATGGAGGTGTTGGAAAGTTTCGGCCGGGATGCTGCGCACCGCGCTGGCACAGATGAGACGGTCGTTGCCTTCTTGCCGTGGGGGACCTTCTAGGGATCCAAGACCGAGATTACTGGTTCGGTCGCTGTGTCGTCGTCGTCGTCGTGGTTGCCAGCGGCAACGTGATGATATTCTCGGTGAAGAACACTATAGTCTGCAGCACGCTGCACACAGGCAACAACTACCTAGTTGTAACGGGTCTTTCCGAACTTATGAACTGCTTGGGTTTCAAGTCTTTGACTTGGAATTTTGGTCTTTTAGCCGAGCGGTCTATTTGCAAGCAGTGATAGAAACCGTCTCAATGGTCTTTAAAACACATTAAAGGGTGTTAGAAGCATAACTATTAGAGATCAACCTACTCTTACCTATATTTATTTAAATAAATTAAAATAAAAAGAGAGCTTCTTTATACTTTAAGTTAATAAAGAAGGGCTTTTTATTATTATATGTATATATACTTTAATAATCTATAAGCTTATATTATTATATTTATTAGGAAAGAAATAATATTATAATATAATTAATTTAGTAATAACTACTATTTAATTAAGCTAATTAATAAATATGTAACTAAACTTGTAGCTTTAGAGGTCTCTGTGTATTAATAAATCTTCCTCCGCTCCCATGCTTCATTCCTATCCTTACTCCCCGGCTGACAGGATGCCGCGCCTGAATCTTCCCAAGCCTTTCCTCTCCTCTTTCCTCTTTGACGAGTGGGATATCGGGGCAGGAGAAACAGTAGGACCGCGGCATGGCGGAGCAACGAAGTGAAGCAGGCGAGACCTCTAAGCCACGGGCGAGGAACACAAACCCAGAGGCAGAGCCCCTGCTGTCACCGCGTCCCGCCCGCCCGGCGCCGGCCAGGGCGACTGCTCCGCCGCGCCCGTCCAGGCCGAGCTGGCAATCGTGACCCAGCCGCTCAACATGGCGAACCTGCTGCCGGGGCTGCTTGTCGCGACCCCGTTCAGCCTGCTCTCTGACGGCCCGTGCTCGTGGTGAGCATGCTGGGCACATATGGATGTTGGCCCAGAACCTGACCGTCCGTCTTCCTGCTCTGGGACCGCAGCATCTTGCCGCCCCGGGTGGTGTGGCTGACCTCGGCCCTCCGAGAATCCGTCGCGCTGTTGGCAGTCGGCTCTGCTGTCGTGGCTCTTGTGCCGACGACAGTTCTATTGGCTACAGGTGTTGTGTTGTTGGCCACGGCCTGTGTCCGATTGGAAAGTGGAAACGAGGGAGATGAAAAGCAAAGAGAGTAGGCTCTTATAATTGCAAGCAGCCCTGGGAACGTTTTATCCATTGCCAAACGGGCTAGGTTTGCCCGGCTTACCATATGATACCTAGGTACCCTCCTCAAACAACTTGGGATTCTTCTGCCTCACCAGTGGCCTACACGTGTCTTCAGTTTGTCCACCATAGGAATAGAAGCAAAACCAGTGAATTTTAATAAGATTATTTAATATTCTAGACCTTAAATATTAAACTAAGATTTAATTATTAAGTAGTATAATACTAGAGTAATTATATATAGTTTATTTACTTTAAAACTTACTAATATTTCTTTTTTAAATATAACTTATAAAAAGAAATTAAGGGCTATACTATAGATTTAAACTTCTTATATAGCTTTTATAGCTAACTAGATAGGGTATTCTCGGTAGATAGAATCGTAATGCATGCTGCCGTGATGGAGGTAGACCCTGCTTGGTTGTGGTTCTCAAGCTGGTTCTATGTTGACCTCCATGGTTAGTTAATTTGCTGCAAGGTGGTATAATATGAGACTGAAGAGATATTAAGTAGGTAAATATGCAAATTGAGTGTGGGTGTGCGCATGTAATACGCCTACTGGGGAAAAAATGGCTGTAGTTACCCAATTTTGGTTGGAGTTCTGTGCATTGAATGCTGTTGGCCTGGACCACCTTGTCTTGTCTTTGAGTTCCATGGTCGAGGTCGCAACGGCTTGCTGGGTGACCCGGTCGGCGGTTCGGTTGATCGGCTTGTTATTATTAGCGGGTCGCCCTACCCGCTGACAGGGCAGGAGACCCCTAGGGCCCTAGCAGCCCATCATGGAAAGCCCTTGCTTCAGGGGCCAGCAGCCGACCGTGGGGCAACGTCATGTCGCGCCCAGGCTGGACAGCTCCACCGAATCTAATTCAGATGAGAGGAGGGCCAAGAGAGCCTCACGCTGATGATCGCATTCAGCCCAAGGATACCGCACCTTCAGCACCCTATCCCTGTCTTCATTATATCTGGCATGTGAATACGGGTCTCGAATAGCCAACTTCTGTCGTTATCGCCAGGTATCCCGTTCTTTTGACGACGCGTCGACACCGCGCACCGCTTCGAACGGTTGCTATATACTACCACGGCCCCCCTGCAACTGGCAGGGGCTTCTGGGACAAAATGACGGACGAGGATGAGCACCTGGCATACGGTGGCGATGAGATATCAGACGAGAAGACCAGTCACGAGTCTCCCCCTCAGACGCAACCCGAGATAACGGACAGTACTGCCCAGATGGAGGAGGTCAAGGCACAGCAGATCATCGATGCCTGCAGGAGGAGAGATCTCGAGGGCCTGCAGGCTCTTGCCGAGTCCCCCGGCGGATTCATAAGGGACGAGCTGCGGCAACAGGCATGTGAGTTGTGCGATCCATCGGCAACCATCCTCACCTGGACAGACGACACATGTACTGATGAAGACGTAGGGCCTATCCTGCTGGGGCTGCCGGTGCGGTTCCCGAGCGATGACAACGACAAGGTTTCTGGCACCAGCCACGACCAAGTGCGCCTGACAGCCTCAGAATACGACGACTCCTCGTGGAAACACCTCCAGCCTCACAAGGAAGAGGAGCAGGTCAGGCTGGACGTCGCCAGGGCCTTCGTGTACTACCCGCAATGTGAGGCCCCCGTGTGACAACCGACACCGACCCATGCATGTCTGACCCCAAGCCGCCACAGACGAGTCCGACCAGGAGCGCGCCCAGCAGAAACAAGAGCTCTCAGACCTGATCCTCTCGGTCCTCCGGCGCCACCCCTACCTCTGCTACTTCCAAGGCTACCACGACATATGCCAGGTCCTCCTGCTCGTCCTGCCGCGGCACCTCCGCGCCCCGGCCGCCGCGCGCCTCTCGGCCCTGCGCATCCGCGACTTCATGCTCCCGACCCTCGCCGCCGCCATCTCGCAGCTCCGCCTGATCCCCGAGGTCCTGCGCGCCGCCGACCCGGCCCTGGCGGCCCACCTGCCGCTGGGCTCGGACCCCTTCTTCGCCCTCTCGGGCACGATAACCATGTACGCGCACGACGTGCGGTCCAGGCGCGAGATCACGCGCCTCTTCGACGCCCTCCTCGCCGCCGAGCCCGCCCTCAGCCTCTACCTCTTCGCCCAGCTCGTCATCCGCCGCAGGGCCGAGCTCCTGGCCATCCCGGCCGGCGAGCCCGACGTCCTCCACGCCGCCCTGTCCCGGCTGCCCCACCCCCTCGGCGCCGACGCCCTCGTCGCCGGCGCCCGCGCCCTGCTCGCCGCCCACCCCCCCGAGTCCCTGCCCTCGTGGCCCCGCCGCGTCTCCCCGCACAGCGTGCTCAAGACGGCCCGCTCCCTGCGCGCCTGCGCGGGGCAGAGCCTCGCCGTCGGCGAGTACTTGTTTGGCCTGCAGGTGGCCGAGCTGCGGCGCGAGGAGAGGAGACAGGAGGTTATCAAGACGCTCTGGCGGTACCGGAGGCCCGCGCGGGCCGTCGGTGTCGCGGTCGCGTTTGCCGTGCTCGCGTACTGGGTCCGCAGGTCGGCCGTGTCCGGGGGTGTCGCTGCTGGGCCGGTGCGGTACATGACTGCGCTCGTGTCGGCCTGGTGGGAGGGCTTCTAGATGGGCTGGGCATGCGTGCATTCAGATCTGGCTGTGGGGGCTTTCATGTGTTGGCCAAGATAATATTGTATATTAAAAAATGCATTCGGGAATGGTCTCCTTGGAAAAGGACACACCTGCGCATGGAGGGAGGGTGTTTGGGGCATTGCATCGGGTCCAATAATTTCAAGTATCAGACGGAGTACAGGCAATGTCATTCATCATGTCTCTATTCCCACGCCACCGCCGTCAAGCCTTGTGCGCCCCGGCCTTCGGCAAGACGAGTAAGGCAGCGTATGACCAAGACAGACAGACCCCTTTCTGTAGATTGATAATATCATACAACTCTCCCAACACCAATCGCCTCGCCCGCTCTCGAATACCACCCATACCCCCCCCCCCCAATTCCACACACCCCTTTTCTACTACCCTTCAAACCCTCAACCGCGCCACCTCGAGGGATCGGATCGGATCAGATCAGAATCAGAACAGGCTCAGGCAGCCTCCTGGAAAGCAGCCTTGAGCCCCTCAAAGTGCGCGACCTGCTCCGCCGCCATCCTGCCGCCCCCGAGGTCCCCGATGATGGTGAGGATGAGGCTGTAGTTGTTGTACAGGAACCGCTCCCTCTTGCGCCCCTTGACGTCGGCCCCAAAGTACACCTGGCTGTACCGCGTCAGGAACGCCTCCATCTCGGAGCGCAGGCGGCCCAGCGACGCGGCGACGGGCTCGTCGTCGCCGCTGCCGCCCGGCTGCTGCGACTGTGCCTGCGGGTGTTGCTGCGACTGGTGGTCCCCGCCCCCGCTGAGCGCCAGGATCCCGTGCACGAGCTGCCCGAACCGCTGCGTCGCGACGTGCGGCGCCGCGCTGGTCGTGCGCGCCGTCGCGGCGGGCAGCGGCCTCTGCGGCAGCGCGGACGTGAGCCCGCGCACGCTCTCGCAGTGCGCGTCCATGACGGCCTGCAGGCGCGGCCACAGCGCCATGGACGTGCCGTTGACGTAGCCGTCCATGGCGGGGACGCGGCGGCGCTGCAGCTCAAAGGCGAAGTGCTGGTTGAGGCGGATGCACAGCAGCAGCCCCAGGGCGTCGTACGTCTCGGAGGCGAGCGAGCGCGTGAGGCTCTGGCCCAGCGCAAAGGTCGGGTCGAAGATGTAGTTGAAGTTGCGCCCCACGCGCGCGAGGCTCAGGCTCGGCGTGAAGAAGGACGCCAGGAAGGTGTACTCGGCCGTCGCGTTGTCCAGCAGCGCGAGGTTGAAGTTGCGGAAGGGCACCTCGAGGTGGTGCGTCGACTGGTCCTCCTCGGCGAGGTAGCTGCTGAGGGCCGTCTGGTTGGGCGTCTTGAGCAGGTCGATGCGCCGCCCCAGGTTGAAGGCGTCGTGCGGCGGGCCGCCGAGGCCCCGCGCGCTGCCGCCCAGGACCGTCGCCTTGCGCGACGTGTCCTCGTGGCCCAGGACGTCCGTCTTGTCGATCACGTGGAGCTTGATCTTGTCGAGGGCCTTCTGGTACCGCCCGAACTGGTTCAGGTAGTACCACCGCATCGTGTTCATGTAGGCGAGGGAGATCTCGTCGGCCAGCTGGGAGTGGTGTCTGTGGAGGAAGGCGTAGAGCTCCTTGTACTTTAGGAACTTCTGCTGCTGGATGATCTGCGCGTTCATATGTGGTGACCTCAGAGCTTTTACTTGCGCGACAAAGTAGTCTCTTATCCTCTCGATGGCCTGGTTGCAACACACAACAAGTCAGCACATGAGCCCACTCACATGGCCCCTTTACGAAGGTTCCGAGGGGGTCGATCCAATCCATACCTTGAGCGTCAGCTTCTCCAGCAGCGGCGCCAGGTCCGCCAGCGCCCTGCTCTGCCCCTGCTGCTGCTTCGAGTTCCTGGCCAGCGCCTCGGACCTCTTCTCGACCTCGGCCAGCATCTTGACCCACGACTCGTCGACGTGGCCCTCGGCGATCTCGGACACCACCACGGGCGAGACGCTCAGCTCCTCCACCACGGGGCCCAGGCCCTTCTCGACGGCCATGCGGTTCTCCAGCCGCACGTTGAGCGCCGTCGACCGCGCCTGCAGGTGCTCAATGTCCGCGGACACGGCGGCCAGGTCGTCGCGGAAGCTCGTCAGGTTCGTCTCGACGGAGCTGAGGACGTCGTCGCACGCGCGTATCGACCTGTGGAGGTCCTCGTACTTGGTCTTGGCCTGCTCGTCTACGGTTTCGCGCCGGGGTCATGTGTCAGCCAGCCAGCCATCCAGCGCACGCACAGGTCACAGGTTCGCCCAGGTGGTAGAGCCGTCACGGAAAGGGCGAGCTGGGAGGAAATAGGAGGAAAACCACACATACATTCTTCCACTGTCTGCGATCTATGTACACCTGCGCCGGGCCTCCCGTTGTCGCCTTGGGCGACGAACTCCCGCAGAGAGACCCCGCCGAAGTCGAACTCCATCTCGAGATCCTCTTGTGTTATCGTTGAGCTAAACAGGTCTGCCAGCTGTGGCACAGGCGACGCGGCGCCGTTCGACTCTGCTCGGTCCGGGGCCACCTCGCTCCCAAGGATCTTGCCGAGCACGGACAGCGACTCGGACCCATCGTCGACGGTGGTGGTCTGCCTGAGTGAGGAGGTGCCCAGCTGGCCGCCATTGGGTCGCCCCGAACCTCTGAGGAGGGAGACAGACGACCCGGTGTCGCTGTTGGAGGATACCAGTGATGTCTCGGAGCCTCTCCCTGACCGTGACTGTGATGTGATGTAGGGACTGCCACGCTGGCTTGACACTCGTCGCGGCAGCGGGGATATGGGCCTGCTGTTGGGATTGGAGGGCGACTGTAGGTTGTGTTGTGCGCCAAGTCGGTCAAGCCACATGGTCGCGATCGTGGTCGGGAGTCGTGGTCGCGAGGGGGAAGCTAGGGAGCGGGACGTGGGACGTGGTGGTTTGGTCGCATTCGTGAGATGGGCGCCCTCGTGTCACGCTCTCATGCGCACGGGCTCGCTCGAGGTCGCACTGGTGGGCGTCAGGGCAGTTCTTGTAGCTGGAGTGGGAATTATTTACAGGGAGGAATGAAGCGACTCAAATACCATCCGTCTGCTTGGGCCCTTCCTTGGTCAGCTCGCCCTCGACACCGTTGCAATCCAGGGGTCTGTTCTGGCTACGTAAACCCTTTATCGATAAGGACTCGACGAGGCAGCTACGGAGTACCGCGTATCGCTCGGTCTACGGATAGCTAGCTGTCCAGCTGTCGATCCACCGCAAACCCAAAATAGGGGCCATCTATCCACACGGTCGCCGCACATATATCTCCTACGTCACGTCACATTCGGTATATCCCCAACGACGAGCCCAGGCAGACAGGTAATCAATCGTGTCAAAGCTCGCATCCAGAAGATGACATTTCCACTAACGGGGTCTAGGTATCAAGCTCGCCTCCAAAAATTCCCTTTCGATGCGCACATGCCATCCAGCCGAATACCTTCGGGAGCTTGCTATGCTAGCCTGGGAATCGAATTCTAACCAGATCACTGTCAACTTGGCTGGCTCGCTCGCTCCACTCGCCAGCGCCAGCGCATTATGTCAAGAAAAAACAACCAAGGCGCTCCCACCTCCTTGGTTTCTCCCGTCCTCCCGCCCTTGCACCTCTGGGTGAAATATCCCACATGGCGAAGTAAATATGTACAATAGTCAAGGTAGGAGGTCGCTTATCATCTTAGTCGGTCGGTGTTTCAATGGCGGAATACGCTCATCGCTGTATCTTGGCGTCTTCTCCCGCTCTTTTCGTCCTCTCAAAATTGATTGATAGGTCCAGAAGCTGCTGTGCAATTTCTCCTGTCTTCAGCCCTCGGTCTCAGTCGGTCGCAAAGATTTCGCTGCTGTGCTCAACCATAAATTGCACCGCAAGGTTCTTCGCGTGCATGTCCGTCATCTCCCTCTCGAGGCTGTGGTCCCGCATGATTGTGGGCGCGAACACCACCGCCAGGTTCTTGGGTGACATCTGAGAAGACTATCAGTTTCTGACTACACAGCTTGACATGCTCTAGACGTCCTGGGAAGCTTACCAAATTCTCTCGCTCGCGGCTGGCAACTCTGGCCAGATGGAACATCAGGAATTCCAGGGTGTCACGGTGCTTCGGCGGGAGCATGTTCACCGTCTTCTGGAGATGAGCACAGCGCTCAGCAGTGTCGGCGATGCCTGTAAGGGTGTTGTCAGCAAAGGTGAACATCCAGGAATCACCAAGGAACTTACCGGCTGATTCCAGAACCCGGTCATAAACATCGAAGGTCAAGAGCGGTGTGGGTAGCTTCCTAAAGTACTGCTTGAGAACGCTGGTAACAGATGCGATGTCGATGCTTGGGTCGGAAATATCAAAGTCGTCCATCCTGTCGAAGCCCTCCTGGATCATCTTGACCTGTCCGCTGCCACCTGATTTCCGGTAGATGCCCTCGGCGTCCATGCCCCGGAGCTCAACCTCCTCTATACATCGGGTGACGACACTTGGGATCTGGCGACGCTCGTGCTCGGCTCTCTCTACGAGCTCAGAACCAAACAGGGTGCTAGGGTCCTCAGCCATGGCCGCTGCGGTAGTGATGTTTGCCGACGAGACGGACTTTGGCAGGTTAGGGTTCTTGTTCTTGCCAAAGAAGCCAAAGCCTCGAGCGTCTTGAGGAGCGCCGCGGTTCGGCTGCCCGTTGGTACCAGGCAGCGTGGTCGATGGCTGTTCATACTGCGTGTTGGTCATGTTGTATGGCAGACCAATGTTGTCCGAGTTCAAGCCACCCTGCTGAGGAAGTCTGGGGTCGCGCTCGTTCGTCTGGAAGGCAGCGACGGCCCGGCCGACCCTGGTAATGTTCTGTGCCACGGACTTACCGCCCTTCTTCCAGTTGAACTTCTTGGCCTGCCCCTTTCTCACCTGAACCACAGTTGGCCCCTCGAGGATAGGCTCATCAACGTCTGTGGCTACCAGCGTTGGCCCAGTCTGAATGCTCGAGGCATCAATGTTGTGGACAGACGTGCTGGACATGGACTTGTGGTTTGCATATATGCCCAGCCCGTTCGAAGGCTTTCCATCAGACCCAACCTGTGACTTGAAGCGCCCTTGAATCTGGTGTGTGAGGTCATTATTCATGTCAGCGAGCTGTGCATTCTTAGATGACAGCTGCTCGAACTCGAGGAGGGCCCGGTCCCGGTCCGCGATCGCCCGCTCCTTATCTTCGATTAACTGGTTCCGTTCGGTGTGCAGCTGCTGGATAGTCGCGCCCATGGTCTGCTTGACCTTTTCAAGCTTCTCGACAAAATCCTTGATGGCAGACTGCTCGAGGGCATGGTAGTCGATGGGCCGTTGGCTGTCCTTAGCTCGCTCAACGTAGCCGGCAAGTACTTCCAACTCACGGAGCATAATTTCAGTTTGCGTGTCCAGGACAGAGACGGTCTTCCTCTTCTCGGTCAGCTTCTCGTCGATGGATAGCAGGTCCTTCTCCGAATGGAACTTCTTCTCCAGCTCCGCAACTCGCTGCTCCGACGTGCGCAGTTGTCGCTTCAAAAAGGCGGGGTCGTCCTGGGACACGGGAATGCTTATGGAGTTCGTATCGCCAGTCTGATCGGTCTCGATGATGGGGGTCTTGTCCCAGCTGGGCGAAGCGGTTCCTCGGGTCGTCTCGCTCATGCTTCTACCATGTGCGGTCCTGGTCTGCGGTGAGTTAGACTCTGTGCTTCCGGTACGCCCGTGCCTCACGGCGTTGGAGACTCGGCGTAGTAAGGAGGAGGATCCCTCGTCAGTGCCCAGGATACGTGCCATGTCTTCATCCATGGTGAAATCGCCGCCAGAGCTCCATCTCGGTAGCTTGGGGGACACCTTGGGGGATGTCTGCCCGTTCTTTGCATTGTTCGACTCCTTCGCAGCGGCGGTCGCCCCGGGAGGCTGGGGAGGAGCCCGCGGGGACATGTACGTGTCGCTCAGTTTCTGCTCGACCTGTGGTCGGGTGAGTTCCTCGGGCCTCGTGGACTTGCCGTTTACTACAAAACAGAAGCGCATCAGTACACGTTGCCTGGGAATGAGTAGGCTACATACCGCTGCGATTGGCAGCCGAGATGGGGAGGTCCTTTCGAGGAAGAGTCCTGGGATTGGAAGTGTCTCCGGTCCTAGCGGAATTGGAATTGTTTGTTTCGAGGGATGGACGCTTGTCATCATCTTTTGTGCGGGCGTCCTGGGCCTCCCTGGATGCTCCAGACCTGTCCGCCGAGCCATACCGCGGGGGCGACTCGGACTTGGAACCCAGAGTATCCCTCCTCACGTTGCGGTCCACCGACTTGGGGGTGCCGTTCTCCAGGGAGCTGGTCACTTGTGGAGGGAGCCGGTTGGTGATTAATTTCTTACTTTTGGGGGCATCCTGGAGCTTGAATTCATCCTTGTGTCCGTTCGAGGCCTTCTGGGACCTGTCCTCGCTGGCGACAGGGGATGCCTGTGACATGACGCTCCTGTCAGACCTAGACGACTTTGACAGCTTCCTCGCGGGCTCCTTGGGGGTCGAAGCTTCGTAGTCGGACGAGGTCCGCCGCGGCTTTTCCTGGAAGGCAATGTGAGGGGTTGAGGCCTGGGAGCTGCGAACCTCATTCTTCTTGTCCGCCTGTTTCGTAAAATAATCCTTTTCGTTGCTAATTTTGCGCTGGTCAAATGCGTCACCGTTGGACCGCGGCGACGACACCGAGGGCGCGGGGCTGGGGTCTAGGGCCACCGGGATGAAAAAGCTGTCACCGTCTGCACCTTCGATGTTAGCCTGTCCACCGATGATGGAGCTGTTCCTGTTTTTCCGGTAGTTGTGGGCGGGCAGGCCGAGCCCGGTCCCAGTCTCCTTGTTGGGCTCAGGATGCCTCTCTGGCGAGCGGGCGGGACGTGAACTACCTCTTGAGGACGAGTCCTTCCTGGGATACGCCGGCCTGGTTGGTCGCGGCGACAGCTCGGTAGGAGTGTCTGAGTCTGGGGAAACACGGTCGTCGGAAAACGCGTTGGGTGGTATCGCGTTGGGCGGCAACGCGGGCAGAGACTTTTCGACCATGGGGGAGTCCTTATCTCGCCCCTTCGCATGGGCGGCAGCCTTGGATTTCTTTCTCCGTCTTGCCATGAGCGACTCATGACAGCTCATGCAGAAGATTCCCTGTGATGTCCTTGCATATCGCAGATTCTCGATCTTCCTCTTACAGTTTCGACATCGGAAGCAGGTCGCACAGAAGGCCTGGTCGCCAGTGAGGATCGCGAGATCCTCGATCTTGTTGCTACATGCGCTGCAGCTGTATGTGCAGTTGTTGCAAATCAGAGAGCCATCGCCGAGGAGGAGGAGGTTCGCATCGGAGTCGAGGAGGGTGCCGCAGGTGTTGCATCGGAAGCAATTCAGATGCCATCGGTTTCCAGCTGTCTTCTGGTCAGCTTCAGGCCTTGGAGCCATAGTCAAGCGCGGGGGAACGGTGTGCGACGAAGAACGAGGGCGCGCAGGCAAGGGGAAGCCACCCCCTCCCCCACAGCCCCCCAGGAACAGCAAGAAGACGGGTGGTCAAGAAATCTTGCGACCATTCGTTGGTTCGTTGGTTCGCTCGTTCGCTCGTTCGTTCATTCGAGTGCCCATCCGTTCGTTCGTCAAACAGGTGGGCGTCGGATCACAAAGAGGTGAGGTCGCAAGGGGCAAGGGGCAAGCAGCACAGCAGCACACATACCAAGCTCAAAAGCCTTGCCCTCCTCCAGGATCTGGATCACGGTTCAAGAAGAGTCAGCCATGTTTGGAGAAGACACATTGAATGCGCCCTTGCCCAGCCATTGGGGTGTGCAGTTTACCTCTCCACAGCCTTTGCAAGGAAAGACATCGTCCTCCAGGGGGCTCTCCAGATAGTCATCCATGGCTGCTGGTTGGTGCGGCGTTGTCTGCTGTGGCCAGGGAAAAAAAGAAGGTGTTTTTGCTGGGGATCAGGAGCAGCAGCCGTGGCTCAATGGAGGAAGAGGTGGTGAATCAGTAGCATGGGAAAGATGGAGGGCGAGATGCTGGCCCGGCTGAGGGCATGTAGGCTGCGCTGGCTGTCTCGTCCTGTCCCCTGTGGTGGGAGGGTGGAGAGGGAGAGTTAGGAGAGAGGGTTTGTGGAAGCCGGGCTGGCTGGTGGCAACCCTTGAGCATCAACGGAGGGGTGGTGGTGAGGCCGTCGTGGCTTGGGTCCGGCTTGGTCCGTTGGACAGTTGTAGAGCCCGGGAGAAGGAGAGCACGGCTCTGCTCTGGCTCCCTAATGCAAGAGGCGAGGAGCTAGGCTCGACTGGCGGGATGTGGAAGTGGATGTGGATGTGGGAGGGTCGAGGCGGCTGAACTAGGAGGGTGGACGTTGAAAGGGCACAGACATATGTCTGTGTGACCAAGGGCCGGTCTGCGAATGCAAGTAGTCGTCTGTCTGACCACTCTTGTCTGTCTGTCTGTCTGTCTGTCTGTCTGTCACTTTGCTCTGCTGGCCCGGGACTGGGTTGCGGGTCAAGGGCGAGGACGAGGGCTAGTTAGGGTCAGGACAGGACAGGACAAGACGTGGTGTGGAGTGAAGCAAGGACAATACAGCATGCGCAGGCCCGCCTGGTTGATTCATTGATTTGATGGGGGGGAGTGTGATGTGACGGCCGGGACAGGGCGGGAGGATGGGGTGGAATGGAATGGGCAGTGCTGGTGTGCTGGTGTGCTGGTGCAGGCGGGGGCAATTGGACAGCAGACAGGCGGACAACCTGACAGCCTGACAGCACAACCTTGGGCTGTTACAGTACAGCGGTAGTGTACAGAAACCCACCAGTCCAGGAGGCACCAGGGGTGGGGACTTGAGGGTGGGAGACTTCTCGGGACTTGGACAGTCTCGGATTAGCCAGGGCCCAGCCAGGGGCCCAGCCAGGGCGGAGTGCAGCGGAGACAGAGGTCCCACTTAGACCCCCCTTCTGCTGGGGCCATGGCGGGTTGGACTTTGGGTTGGACTTCGGGAAGCCCACCCCTTTACACGTATACAATACAAGACCCTACTACAATGGTACCTGCCAGGTATTGTGCACTGCATATGGAGTACAGGAAACGGGTGGTGAGTTGCCAGGTTCGGAGAGAGAAAGAGCCAGGCTGCCAGGGGGGAAGGGGGTCAGGACCCAGGGTTCGTGGCCAAGGTCGGGGTCCTTGCAAAATGGACTGTTGTTCCTGGGCATGAAAGAGCTGCCAAGACTGCCATCTGGTATCGGGTATCGAGTATTTTGTGCCCGTGTTGTATTATGGTTACAGAATCACCAGGAATGGCATTTTGATCTGGTGTAGACCATTTGTAGGCCACAGGTGAATGAGGCAAAAGCAATTGCATGTATGTCGTGCATATCAGCTGTTGCGGCTTGCTTCATCAGCAGCCATCCAGCCATTGTGAGCCCGCATGTTCCCTCTCTACATCTCCATGTGTCCGACACGGCATGAAGCTCTTCCAAAGGTACCGATCGATGCTTGCAGTCCATGTCACCCGAGCCCACCCACCCACAGATGGATGCTGATAATTGCTCCCGTATCAGCAAATAAACAATTCCCTTGCCGTGGCCTACCAGCCGAGCAAAACATCATGTGGAGCACCAGTCATCCAGTTCTGCATTATTCTAATCTTGGTCAACCACAAAGAGTGCAGCCGCAACAATCTCGACATGCAGTGATCGGCAGCCAGTCCCCTTGGGGAAATCAAAAGACTGTCTAGAATGCGTTCCATAATGTGGTCCTCCAGCCTGCCTGGGCCCGATGATCAACACCCTTCCCTCCTCCTTGTGCCTCAGTCTCCTCCCCATAGGTCCCCTGGGCCAGGTGGGTGGTCAGAGTCTGGTTCGGCCGGTTGCAGGCCAACCAACATATATGGCCACCCTCCTGACAGCAGCCTCCTGCAGACGGCCTGCAGCTCGCTAGATCAGAGACTGCTTCCGCCGGAAATCCAGTGGCGCTCTGGGTTGTGCTGTCATCCCCTGGATTTATTACAATTAAATACCTAGCTTACCACCATATATCCAGGCAGCTGAGGTTTGGTTGTGCTGTTCCTGGGGCGGTCATAAAGTCATGCGTGGGCAGTTACGAGCAGCTCCAGGCAGCCAGATGGCACGTCCATCCATCAATAGAGTCACATCACACATATTACGGCTGATTACTTTACCGTGTTTGCGTCTGCGTCTGCCGCAGGATGCCGGCACTGGATCGGAGACTTTTGGCTCCCAATCTCACTGGGATTCTAGCCTCGAGGCTAAGCTCATTCGCAATGCTGGCCCACTTCCGGAAGAGATAGACGAGGGCGCTCACGAGATATAAAAATACATCAGTATGGATTGTGCCGTGCGTTGTGGGAATGGTGTAGCGATGAAGTCAGTGCCGTGCTGCGAACCCGCCAGGCGCCAAGACACCAGCAATCCAGAGCAGGATGGGCCACTCTGGCAGAAACGAGAATTCCCCAGGTCGCAGGGTCGGGTTGCACGACGCAGGGTGGCGTGCTGCTAATCCTCCCAACCAGGCATGGTTGCACTCGAGAGTCGGATCAACACCATTCCACATCAGAGAGAGGCTAACGCGCCCTGCCCAGCCTGCCTGCACCCGAGCGATGATTTCCCCTGGGGGAAGAAAAAAAACGTGGGACGACCAGAACGACCTGCCCCCAGCCGGCTTCTTGTTCTAGGTCCCTGGGGCCGTATCTGGGGGCGATCTGTGCTGCAGCCTGCAGCGCAATGTATTGTAGCATCAACGACACATGTCTCTCAGCCTGTCAGGGCAGCCCACAAACCACCCCGTCCACGTGCCCATCTCAAGCCGAACTGCAGTGTAGCATCACGCAGCCTCGCAGGAACACAGGCCACGGTTTGGGGGGGGGGGCTGTAGAAAGAACCAAGTACTGAGTGCTGTCACCTGGTCAGCTCAAATTCAGGGGCAGCATTGGAGAGTTTTAGTTCTGAACAACTGCCCGTAGAAGAAGCACCCGCGCAATAAGGAATAGGCAGAGAAAGAATTGGCTTGCCGGGCCAAAACCATCCCCCTGACCAAGCCCGTCTTGGTAACACGCTATCATTACGTCCGTTGCAGTGGACCTACTGGGCGCTGGTGTCGCCTAGCCCTGGTGCAGATCCTCATCATGAGGGTCTCGTCAGGGTCTCGTCAGAGTTCGTTCCGGAAGGCACAATGTTGCTTGCGACAATTCGTTGGTATTCTGCACGACGTCAACCACTCCGCCAAGCTCCCGTGTGCGCTTTTGATCACATTTCAAAAGGTGTGCTGAGTCGGCACAGGCATGAAGCCTAGGTATACAGGTGCTTTGACACCCGCAGCTTTCGCAATATTTTGTTCCGCGCCTGAAACTATAAATGCCTTTACGCATGTAGCCTGCCCGTGTGCCCGTGTATGCCAGAAGATACCGAGATGGCACGGGTCGCCCGGCCACAGACAAGGTTCCCAAGTAGCCCGGGTGATACGCACGCTTCCTGGCCCATTTTCCCCGGTTGTCGTCAAGGACGGACGGATATCTGTGCGTCATCAGCCAGCGATGAGGTAGGTTGCTGTGTAGATCCTGCGGCCCGCCAAGGGGTGGTCTGCCGCACAATCTGAGAATCAAAACTGCAGGTGCTCGAGAAAGTAGGCCGGCAGGCCAGCAAGCCCAACAAGAGGACCCGCATGGCGGTGGTTTCAAGTTGAGTGACGCAGGAAGGATCGAGGCGGGCCAGGGGGGGGCCTTGATTGGGGCAGCCTTACCAATCCAGTCGCGGTAGGCACGCTGCATTAACCTTCTACCTTTCGATGATGCACAGGAAGGAACAAAAAGAGGTGTTGCAACTGGACGGCAGGATCGAGGATCAGGATCAGGGAGCTGCGGCAGCGGCAGCTGCTGCATGGACCATCATCGACCTTCCGATGCCACGGCGGCAGGGCGGCTCCCACATGACCTGCGCCCCTACGGAGCCCATCTGCCCATCATCAATCATCCCACGGGCCACGGGCCACGGGGTCACGGTTGACGAGGTCTGTTCGCATCGCAAACAGCTCCAGCCGTTGCTCTCGTCTCCGGCTCTATTGCCACTCCGGCCCCCCGCCCTGCCGCCCAGCCCACCTTCGTCACCCCCCTCCATCTCGGGCAGCCAACGTTGTGCGCATCCAGGATCTTCCTTCCCCCAGATATGCTTTGCCGGGTATGCATCCAATCTCCAGGGGAAAAAACATGTGGGAAAGCTTGCCGAGGCGTGTGTGTGTGACGGAGACGTGAAGGGAAAAGCAGCTGCCCATCACGGAAAAGCAACAATGGATAACATTTTCGGCCACGTTTCAGACTCGAGGCAACACACGCGACCCATCTACCAGCTGGACGGTTCACAAGTCCAGAGTGACCGTCCAATCGAGGCGAGGCTGATAGATCCATGCAGCCAGCCAGCGGCCAGCGCCGGCGGCCATCACCAGACCCTCGCTTCGACGCATCAGCCTCGCGGCAATCATCACAACCAACATTTGAAGCTACTTTTTATTTACCCGCCTGATAGCATCACCAGGTCGTATGTATATGGCTCAGGGGTTATAATCATGGCTGAGAGCTCCGAAATAATCCAACCCGACGTCTCGTCTCCCGCACACCCGGGCTGCAGGGCGGGCTACAGGGCTGGTGTCCTCTGCCCCTGAGCTGAGCATAAGCTCAAGCACGCCAATGCACGTTGGGGACCCTATCTCGCGCCGCCCAGCGGGTGCACGACATGCCATCCTAACTTATGCTTCATGCTGTGCCGCGACAAGACACATAAGACATGCGGCGCCCCTTCACTTACTCGTCTGCACTTGCACACAATGCATCAATCTTCAATGGGCGCCGTCTAATTCCTGCACCAGGTGTTGGGACGGACCGGCGGGCGGGGCGGGCGACGGCCAGAACAGTCTCGGTTTACCACAAATAACCACCCACCCTGGGGCAATGCCCCGCCGCCCGTATCGCGGAATTCCCAATCAGACAATGGAGGCCGCCTCGATCCTCGACCACCGGAGAGAGGGGGACAAGAGGAAATAAGCCCAATAAAGCACTCCTCTGAGACCCGTGGTTGGCCGGCGGCCCTTCCAGGCGGACCAAATCGTTCGACATGTGGCGATCGACTTGTACGCGCGGGCCGCAGCCCTGACGTGCGCGGCCACGTCGAGTGTAAGTGGGGGCGTGGCCCGTAAGCAAGCGAAGCGTGGTGGGATGGTTGTGTACGCCGGCCTGTGTGAAGCGACCAGGAGCGTGTCGATTGATGCGACGTGGGTCATCAATTAAGGTCCCGGGATTGTCAATTCTAGATGACAGACGCGCGACACGACACGACACGAGCGCAGTGACTGACTGACTTCAAACGTTGCTAAATCGGGGGGGGGTGGTTATTTTTGCCTTTCTCTCAGCTGTGCTCTACTGTGTATTTCTCGGGGCCCCGGACGCCGAATTATCGATGTGCAGCACGTCATCATACACGATGCACACATTTCGACCCTACCACGTACATGCATGCGCAATGTACCCCGTACGGCATAGCTCATTTTGGGCTCGCAGGCCGACGGGTGTGGGTGATTGACGCCCCACACCACCCTTTGATAATACCACGACTGGCCGCCGGCCCGGATTTTTTTCTTTTTTGTTTGTGAGTGTTTCAACCAGCTTTGAAACGACACTTGCAGGGCCGCGGCAGATGGGGGATCACTCAACCAGGGGAGGGGTGGCCGCTTCCGCCAGACCCCCCTTTTCTCCACTCGATCATGCTGCTGCTGCTCCCCCAGCAGTTCACTGCGATGTTGGGATGGGTTTGAACTGACGCACACAAGAAACCCACAGTCATCATCAGCCCAGACTCGGCAGATGAGCGAATCCATCGCGGCCAGGCTGCCAGGACGCCCACACCGGAGCGTCTAATTGCGCAGCGTCTAAAAGCTTGGCCTTTGATCCTTCCTCTAGGGTCTTTTTTGTCTACGCGGTATGTATGTACGGGGGAGTACTTTGATACCCTGTTGTCGATCACTGCCGGCCGTGCATGCATGTCTTCTCGTCGCGATCCTCCGTCGCTTAAACGCGACATGGTGGTGCTTCCTTCCGTGCCTAGGTATTTGTGCCAGGGTCGGACCAACGAACACTAATTGACACTGACGGATCTGGTCAGGTTTCCATAAGCGAGTGGCCCCTCTCTTTGCAACTAGCATGTGTCAAGTAGAAAGTTGTGAATCCCACGCGCTCAGAAGCGTTGGGGGCTAATTGTGCTTGTAGACAGGTCACTTATTTACCTGGCTTCGCTTCTATTCCGTATACGTCCATAGCCATACGCGGCGCCTTGAAATAGTGGCAAATCACTTCTATATGTATTCTTACCAAGGCTTAAAATATTAAAACGTTGTTCTTAGTAGAAATTAAAACTCGTTCTTCAACTAGACTCGTGTTCTAATGCATTGTGCTTCTTTTTTTAGTACTCGTAATGGCTGTTGCAAACACACAATTGAAATTGGGATGGCAACCTTGGATTAAAGTCAATTTCAGCCCAGGTAGGCTGTGTCAACTTGTCTTTGGAATTAGAGTGGAAGGGTATTTATATGTAGTTTTTTGTGTTATTCCTAATAACTTCTAGCTGACTCCTTAAGTTACCTAGGTATTGAATCCTGAACCTTGTCCAGCATGCACGTGCATGTTCTACGGGTGCGCAAAAGGCACCACAAAGTCACAAGGAGGGCGGGGGGGATGTCAAGCACCAGAATCTTGGTACTTTGGCAGTTCAAGATTGTAATCATTCAGTGTGAAATGCTGTCCCGTTGACTCAGCACGGGTATTTAGGCGTTTACCACTGTAGGATGAATACGCCATGTATATGTCTTCGGACGTACACGGAATAGAAGCGAGACCAGACACGACCTCGGTATCCCTTTCTGCGCAAGAACACTTTTGAGGAATGGGAGGAGAGTTGCCTTGGGGCTAGGCTAGCCTTTGGGGGAATATTTAAGAGCGCGGGTGGGAGGTGTCTGTCTCATTGTTTTCGTCCTGATGGTAAGCCGTGAACATCTCTGGCATAAGACCTGCCTACAGTCTAAGCGGCGCGAAGCTATCGCCTGGAACAGCTTGGTCGGGACCACAGCTTTAAGGCTCGCTGGTCTTGGACGGAGTCATCACGATGCCGCGGAGGCTTAATGCTCGATGGCTTTGGATGGTGTTTCCGCCGTGCTTAGCCTTGACAGCCTCGAGTCCGTATAGGCCATTCCGAGTCTTTCTTGTGCCGTCTACTCCATATGATGTCCGGTGGGGATGAGTATATGGTAAGCCTTGTGGAATCGCCTTTTGGTTATGTGTATAGAAGAGTTTGATCTGATGTGCTGGATGCATGCATATACTAAAGTCTCAGCAATGGTCATCCGGAACCACGCCGAGCTGGGATACCGTCGTGGCGCGGAGGGATACCATAAAAAACCAATGCACTGACCAAAGAAATGTCTAAGCGATGTTTCTGTGTGGCCTATGATAATTACAGGGTCGTGGCCCTCATCCTCGGCCGGTCTGTTGGTATCCCAGACAGGTTTATCAACGTTGAAGTATGGTTATGCACTGGTTTCACTTGCTCCTCTCGCCAAGTGGTCTCAAAGATCTCAAAGGACAATATACTGAATATTCTACGGGGCAGCTTCCACTAGATCTGGACAACGAGAACATTACTTCGGCCTGTCGGATGGCCAGCCCCCGGGTGAATGCAAGCAACCCGCCCCCCGGGCTGATGACTTCAGCACAGGCTCCCTCCATGCCATAGGCTTCGCCGCCCGTAGACCAAAATCAGCGACAATCTTAAACCACCCCTGAATTGGCGCTGTAAGAACGGATATGCACATGTGGTCACCGGCGAATTTGCGCCAGCAGCTGGACAAGTAGTGCGATCCGGGCCCGCGAGATATGCCTCCTCTAGTACCCTGAAGTGCGCTAGAAAACAGCGGAATTTCCGACTTCCCCGTAGCCATAGTCAGCAGGCGTTATCACTATGCAATAACTAAGTTCTGAGTTCTTGAGTACGAATGCTGACCTAGGGATTGGACTATATCGCAACGGGCACACTGTTGCAACGCTATATTGAATCTTATGTCAGCGCCATGAAGAAACAGGCTGGGTTTGGAGCAATGTATCTACTCACCCAGACGCTGCCAACACCCAAGTCCCTTCTTGACCAGACAGCACTCGATCTTGACCACGATGCGGCTACAAGATGTCTTCGATCACAAATAGCATCCGCTCGACAGGCGCCAGTGAAGATGAATCCGATGAAATCTCGCAATCTGTAACACTTGCAGGGCTTAGCCCCACGTGCCAGACCTGTGTCGATATCTGGGCTTGTCTGAACCGACTCACATCACAGCGCTCGTATACCCTTGGATCCTTCGCGGACGTCCTCGCGGCTGGATGTCCAGACCACACGCCGCTGATACGATCACACGAGGAGGCCTGTAGAGCATACGGTACAGACACAAGCCAGGGCACGGTCGAAGTCACGTTTGAACCAAATACAAGTACGGCCAACTTGCACGACTCGAGGTACAGCCGCCAGTGGAATATCTCAATTGTCCAAGAGCCATCTATCCCCGGCCACCAAGGAACCACAAAAGTACTGAGTCCAGAATGGGCAGACCTAAAGGCTGCCAAGCAGTGGAAGAAGCAATGCCTTGAGGACCACGGGGAAGCATGTGACGACACGATGGGTGTCAAGCCAGATAGACCTGCGTGGGTCATTGATGTGCAGGAGAACTGCATCGTCCCGGGAGAAAGCTGTCCCTCTTTTGTGGCATTGAGTTACGTATGGGGAAAGTATTCCTGGCTGAGGGTCGATGCGGAGACCTTGAAGTTGATGCAGATACCTGGTGCACTCGTCGAAAATCCCGAGATTGCTACAAACCTAGCTCCCATTGTCTGTCATGCCATGTATTTGACAGCTTTCCTCGAGGAGCGCTACTTGTGGATTGATTCTATCTGTATTGTCCAGGATTCCGAGAATCTTGAGGATCTTAACGATCAGCTGAATCGCATGGGAGGCTTCTACGGCAGTGCAGTTGTCACGATTATTGCGGCCGACGGGGACTCTAAAACAGGGCTGCCCGGGATAAAAGGGGTTTCCCAGCCTCGACAGCTTGTTCAGAAAATCATCCCGTTCGGAAAGGAACGACTGGTGGTGAGCTCTATATTGGACGACCGCCGACACATTCTTGGAACTGACTATGACCGCCGTGGTTGGACATACCAAGAGTACGAATTATCAAAACGACGTTTGATATTTCAAGAAAAGAGGCTCCGCTGGGAGTGCAAACGCCATCTCGTGCACGAAGACCTTGTACACCCCACTCAGGAGAGGCCGAGGTGGCCAGCTTTGCTTGACGTCGCGAGAGGTTTTCCCGACCTGTCTGCATTGCAGTTTACGATGCTCCGATACAACAGCCGCAAATTCAGCCACGAACAAGATGCGATCCCGGGAATAACTGGGCTTCTGTCCATCTGGAGTCGCACATTTACGGGCGGGTTTCTCTGCGGGATGCCAGAGATGTTCTTCGACCGCTCGCTGGGCTGGATGCCGCGAGAAGGGAACACGGACCTTCGACGACGCACATCTTCCCAGTCGGGCCAGACGGAGAGGGAGAGCGACACGTCGATGGCCATCCTGCCCTCTTGGTCATGGCTTGGATGGGAGGGTGAAGTGCAGCTCACCAACAACTTTTGGGGCGGAGCAGAGGCGATCCGGTACAGCTATGGTAGCTGGGAAATTGAAGAGACGATTCCGACAACAACCTGGTACACATCCAGCGAGGCTCATGGAGGAACTATGCGAAGGATACGGTCGACATGGTATGGAAATCGTGATTCCCTATACAAGGATGATCGGAGACCTCTGCCTCCGGGCTGGTCCCGAAGTCCGCCGTTCATACCCCACAGCTCGGAGCAGGGTAGGCCCTCTCTGTATCCTGCTGGGTGCAAGGAGCAATTATTCAAGCATGACAGCCAGTGGTGGACTACGTGGTATTACCCATTTCCGGTGGTTAATTTCGCGGACGCGCCCCAAGTTGTGCCTAAGCAGACTAGCTATCTCTTCTGCAAGACACAGAGAGCACGTTTTTTTGCGTCTCCCAAGATAGCTGAGAAAAAACCCAACGAGCGGAGTAACGTTTTGTCGTTGTATCTTGGCCCGAATGAGGAGAGTATAGGTGAGCTCCAAGCTCACAATGCTCGATTCGTCGAAGACCTTTTTTCTGCCGAGAGAGCTGGTACCGAAGCGTCTGGGAACGGTCCACCCAGCCTCGCTTCAGTGGAAGTCATTGTCATCTATGAGTCGCTCATGAAACAAACCGAGAGGAAAACTGGGGACGCACAAGATGAGCGGAGTGATTCATGCAGCTGGCGTATAAACACTTTCCACAAGTATGCGGTACTTTGGATCGAGTGGGAGGAGGGGGTCGCTTACAGAAAAGGCATTGGACATGTGGATAAAGCAAGTTGGCAGATCTCAACACCGGAGAACATCGACTTGGTCCTCGGGTGACGCCAAGCAGCCGGCCGTTCTTCTCATGACCGCTTTGCTCTTTAGGCATTCATGGAATTTTAGGCTGAGGTTGCAGAGATCTCTCGCATCGTTTAATCGATGTATTGACCGTATTCTCAATTGTTTTGCGTCATAAATTAATGAACTACGTTACCTCACCTACCTAGGAATTGAGTAGGCCGGCTCTCTAGGCATGAGGATCTCTTCATAGACGCTCTGTGAGCTTTTGTTAGACAATACTAGTATGATATTGCCCGCAGATTCTCTTTTCTGTCCAATATTGCGCAGGTCGTTCTACAAGGCGTGCGAGGGGCACAAGTAGAAAATCTTGTGACAGCCCCGGACGCGTATACCACACATCTCAACGACGGAAATCTCCAGGTTGTCATGTCACACAAACGAGACGAATGGGCAGCAAAACCTCGGGAACTCCCGCAGATATGCACGCCAAGGCTTCTTAAGGGGCTTGAATGCTGCATGTGAGTAATAGGGGCTGTGCTTTCTAGCGGCTGAACCACTTGTCCTCAACAGGTTTTATTGACTGCCCCGTCCCCGTCCTCGGTCTCCTTGGCCATTCTCCCGAAGCCTCTACCAACGCTTCCTCTCTTGCTATTCGCCGATCTTGCCTCCCCTGTACCCACTGGATAATCTACTTCCAGTGCTAGGCCCCCGCGGTTCTCTGAGACAACCTCTCTGATTGAACATCTTAACAACCTTGGAACACATTCCTCCAATGGACCCATCCGACCACTCGACGTCTTTATGTCATCCGGGGCCCGCCGGTTTCATGGAAAGCCATTCGAACGACGCCAGGGACCTCGAACTCCAGCAGCCGAGTCAGTCAATCTGTGATGTCTGTCAGGGCTTTGGTGACATGTCGAATATGCGCGGGTTCATAATGGAAAAGCGAAAATCAAAATTGAGGAGCCTGGAAATGCCGCATAAAGAGAATATGCATCCAGTGGCACACCAGATTTACACGTACATGCACCACCGCAACATTGATAGTCTATGCTCATCTGCGGAAGGAGGTTGCCAACTGTGCCAAGCAATTGTCTTTTGGCTAAAGAAGATGCTTCCTATTCGCCTTGCTGAGATGCGGCGTGCCAGGGGTTCTGAACAAATGAATGCTGTGCGAAGCAGCGTACAATCTGACGATGACGACTTTGCAGAGATCCGCGTCGAGGCTTCCAAGCAGCTGGATCCAATGCTGAACAACGCGCAGTCTACGGATGATGACGACAAAGCTATTGAATCTCTAGCTGCAACAATGCAAGATTCAGAGAAACCCACGTGGAGCACATGGAAAGATGTTTCAGATGGTAGAATTCTACTCGAAATGGAATGTGACTCAGACTCAGGACCTCGGAAATGTCGGAAGAAGCACAACCTGACCGTGTCGGTTTGCTTACCCAAAAGCCATGAGAGTTATCGCCTGGCAGTTGGGCGCTCGGTTTTTATAAATGAATGTATGTTCCACTCTCTGCAAATGATCGAATGATGAATGGAAGCCTTACTGACGCGGAGAAGACGATCCAGTTGATGTAACAGCAGAGCATCGCCCCTCTCGCAATATCCTCTCAGAACCTCACATCAATCTAGTAAAGCGCTGGATGAGTAAATGTGAGGTAGATCACACTGGGCCCTGTCTGGCTACGGCCTGCGATCAACCATTACCAAGCAGGATCCTAGAGTTGTCGGACGCCAGCGACAAAGGCGATGGAGTACAAGTACGACTTCTTGAGACGAATGGTCAAACCGAGGGAAGATACGCCTGCCTATCATATTGCTGGGGCGAATGCTCGACAGGTTTGACTCTTCGTGAAAACCTCTCAAGTCACCTGGGCAAAATTGAACCAGATGACTTGCCGGATTTACCGTCAAAGATGCGATCTATCTGTGTCATAAGCTCGGCTTTCAATACCTCTGGGTTGATAGGCTATGCATTATACAAAACGATGAAGATGATTGGAAAAGGGAATCATCTCAAATGTGTGGCATCTATAGCAGAGCTGCCCTGACCCTGTCGGTGCCCATCTGTGATGAGTCATCAGAAAGCTTTGTGAACAAGCGGGAAAATGGATCTCTGTTCGGCCAGAAAGATGATGAGGCCATACTCAGTTACAAAGAAGGCAGTATCCATTTTGGCACAAAATGGAACCGCCCGGGCTACATGTTTCTAGAAGGAGCCTGGAGCAGAGGTTCACGGAGCCTAGCCCGCGAAAGCAATGCTTGGCTGCGCAGAGGTTGGACATTCCAGGAATGGATGCTCTCACCGAGAGTCCTACATATCCACAGCATAACACTATGGGATTGTTTCAGCGGGTACGGCAGTGAAACAACCCATAGGCATGTGAAGGAACCTTTTCTTAAACGAGAGCCTGGGCAGTTCGAGTCAGAGGGCGGCATTTCCTGGACAGATATCGTCCGAGAGTACTGCGAGCGGTCTATCAAGTATGACAAGGATAGGTTACCGGCGATCGCTGGGCTCGCTAATCGCTTCCGTGAGCGGACAGGATACCATTACCTCGCGGGACTCTGGCGCGAGGAGTTACCTCTTACCCTTTTGTGGTACAAGGGGAAACAAGAGTCTTGGCACACGACGAGCCCAGACGATAAGAAAACCACGAATCTACCATCGTGGAGCTGGGCGGCGGCTGGTAGTTTTTCCGGTTACGATTATCTAGTGAGGAAATTCACGTCGACAATGGATACGATTACGACTGCGACCGTTGAGTCAGATTGGCTCCAAGAGAGCCCCTCCGACTCATTGCTTGAAGTGGACGGAAACGCCTGGATTGATGTTGATGGATATGTCAGCATTGTACAAAGCATGGAAACAGGCGGCTCTGAACCCCTACTTCCATTTCCACTCAACGCCGCAGGAATTTGGTGGAATTCGAACCCAGACGATCAAAAGTATTCGCCTCCTGATGTCGCCGGGGGCAATTTCTACTTACTTGGTATTGGGTGGAGGCCCGCTAGCTTGAGAGGTGGGGGAGAATATCCTGCTGCAGTAGACTTTAGGAATTACTTTGCTCTTGTGCTGCAAAGAGTTGAACGGCCAGGTACTATCCACGACTGCTTTCGGAGGGTGGGTGTGGCCGTAGCCGGGTCTCTTGCTTTTACAAGGCAGCACTCGATTCGGCACTCTCAACTGACTTGGGAGCGCCGAGGTATTCGTTTAGTCTGAGCTTTATGATCTACCAGTGAAGGACAATTGACAATTAATTTTCAACGAGGTTGAATTCAGTGCTGTCAGTGATCGTGAGACTTTAAATGCAAATCTGCTCTCTTCCGCGGGCGATGATTGGGCACTGAAGCAGGAGGCTTTGAGACCATACATGTGCAGCCGCTGAATACCTACCTAGGTAGATAGATATTACCTAGGTATAGCTGCGTGACTGGTCATTATGGAATGTGAGTGATGACTATTTAGGTTTCACTCATGGCCCGCGCAGCCCGCCTGGCAACCAGCTGCAGCTTCTTGAACTTCATGGGCACATGTGTAATAGGACGTATCTGATTCTGGAGTTCCTTTGAACGGGAATGATCTAAGGGCTACCAGAAATGTTCCACCAAAACAGCCTGAGACAGCATGTTGACCATTCTCATCAGTCAATAATCAACAATAGTCCTATGGCAGCCATAATATGCGAAATCATCCCTTGAAGAACCATATTCGATCATAGACATCTCATCACGCAAATACTGTTGTACCAAGATGTGTTCATGTTGTTCGATTATTCAAGTGGCGCCTCCTTCCACGCACACAATGCACATGTGGCGAGAAACTGAATATAGTACCTGTGCAAAAGGGTTATTCCAGAAGAGCGAGCCCAATCCCGTGCTTAAAACGACTGTTCAATAAATATACCATCACAATATGCAGACGTATCATTGAGATCGATCCGGACATTCTATTGAAAGGAATTGCACAATAACATCGGGACTTAGCTACGGAGGTGTTGGTAGCCACCGCCGCTCTTGACTATGTGAACTTTCGATTCACTTAGATACTTAGACAAAGGCCACATTAGAACCCTGGCGTGTGTGAGAGAACCGTGGCCAACTACAATAAATCCTTGTTCATGTGTAACTGAGAACCACAAATGCGCGACCGTCTTGTTACTCTCGAGATGACCATGAGTGCGTACCTACCGTTTTACGCATATGCTGGATACTCTGAATCAATTATGATAGCACCTGGCTCGTTTCTGCCCAATTATCTTGACCCTGAGCATTCGAGGCAGGGAAGACATGTATTCGTTCTGCCTGGCTTTGGAAAACCGGAACCAGCCTGGACGAGCGTGAGACCAGGACGTTATACTTCTGTATAACATTAAGTTCGATCAGTTGTCTAAGACATGGATCCTAGATACAGAGGCTAGTATGTCTTCACCCCTCAGGTACCCGGGGCCTGGTATCATCACTGAAAGCCCTGCTTGCACACTGGACGCCGAGCTGACATCTGTATTCCCTGGTCGCAAGATACCATACATCGCTTCAAGGATGACTCCATGCCTATTGGAAGGGATTGGGATGTCTTCCCGAATGACGTGCCTCCTTTCACAGGATAAGACGGTCGGAACGGCCGCCCACGTAATTACAGCAATGAAGTAGCATTGCACGCGCCGACCGTCCTAATGAATTATATCGACGACCTGCGCACGCTAACATTTGTACCTACACAACTACCGGGTTACAGCGAGATCAGCTTTGCGTATGACTCGTACAACATATAGCAGCTACGGGAGAAGCTGTTGAAGGAGTACGGATGGCCCGGTGAAGGGGAAGAGGGCCAGGGCTTCAGAGAGCAGGGATTGGAAGCGGGATAAGGATAGGGTATGGGAACCTTGGAAGAAGCTGATCGGTAGTCTGCGGAGAACCCAGACGGGGAACCGGTGGCTAATGAGTACAGGGCCGGCTTGGCACGGATTCCTTGTGGCACGGTCAGTCTGCCCCAATGTGACAGATGCTATCAATACGGGGCGGCAGAATCATGATGAGCGTACGAGGGTCGCCCACGTTGCAGTGAGAGCTTCGGTTCCAGTCAACGGTAAATATGAAGCATCTGGGCACCTACCCTCACGCGTCAGGCGCATCGTGAACTTAATGCTGCCCTGAAAGGGCCGCCCTTCTCGTTGTCAAGACAGTAAGTACACTTATCTACCCTGGTTACCTAGGCACGGAGGGATATAATTATCTGGTACCGATATCAACATTGAAATGCCCCAATGCTTGCGTGCCCACTATTATAAGAGAATCGCGCTAGTTACCGCCCCCACTCGACCAATTCAGTAGGTAGTCTAGGTGACTGACTGCAGGCGACGAGTGATATTTCAGTTGGTGTCAGCAAAATCCGCCAGGCACCAGTCGACCGAAATTCTGCATGGGCCACGGGCCACCCACCAATTGTGTCGCTCTATTGTCTCTAAATACGAGCTCCCCCCCTCTCACTATTCATACCCAGGTAATAGGAAACCAGTCAATTTGCTCTCTTATTTATGCCCTGATCAAATTGGGAGACTTAGAAGCGGCATAGTCAGTTTGCCCCCTTAAGATCTTTTCCCTCCAGGACTTCCTGATACATCAGTGCTCTCCAAGTCCGCATCCAAGTCCACCACCGAGATGCCTGTCACACTCAAAATTAACGATAATGTTGTCAGGGGCTGGTCTGAGTCCAGGTGTTCTACAGCTGAGAGTCTCTTGGAAAATGTGGACATCTCTAGAAGACGGGGTGTGTCTTCTAAAGACCTAGTCCAGACATCCCTTTCCCCCAATGACTTCGATAATGGTTACATCTCGGGATCCAGGAACGGTTTTATCTGGGCGGTAAGCAGCATTTTGGATGGCAGACTCGTAACACCATCATACGACGGAATGCTATGAGAATATTTAGTCTTTCCTATCCTCAATTTGTACCTTGAGATTTCTGTCCGACCGCCGGTCTTGAGACAGCCCGTGACCTACCTCACCATGGCCAAGTTCTCTCGGCTTTTTGGCACACAATTCATTACTGCCCCGGTGCTTTCATTACTGACTCTGAATACTACAGGCATATCACGCGTACAGTGCCCATCACCACCTCCGCATCCGCCCAGAAGACGTGTGGTTCGCGATCCTGACTCAGATTACCTTTTACATCAACGCGCACGCCGAGGAGCTGCGGTCCTTCTTCGTGGCCCACGAGGGCAAGAAGCGCCTGCGGGCCGTGAGCGACATCCGCGACTTTGGCCGCCTGTCGGTCCAGATGGGCGAGATGATCAGCGACAACGTCAAGGACCCGACACTAAAGGACTGGGTCCTGCCGGGGTTCTCGACCACGACGCCCACCGACACGGTGGTCGGGTCGGTGCTGTTCATGGGCGCCATGCAGAAGTACTTCAGCTTCGACGGTGGCGTGACCTGCGGCCTCCCGTCCGTGACGCTGCTCGGCGACGTGGGCGACTGGGAGGACATCCTGGGCCGGCTCGACAAGCTGGACCTCCTGGGCGACGAGCCGCGTCAGTTCGCCGATATGCTGCGGCCCGTCCTGCGCAGCATGATCCGGTCCTTCGCGGAGCCGACCAGCGCCGAGGTCATCACGTTCTGGAACACCGTCGTGCACCAGGAGGAGCTGGGGAGCGGCACGGACTCCCTCTCGGGCTGGCTGATGGCGTTCTGCTACTGGGACGAGTACGGGAAGGCCAACGGGCTTCCCCGCGACGTCAAAGTCCTGGACGGCCGGGTCAAGTACGTGGTCGACGTGGACAAGGTCCCGGCGGGCTTCGCCTCCGTCCCCGTCTCGGTAGACGATGGCGGCGAGCAGTATGAGGCGACGCTGGTCGCGGGGTCGGTCGGCATCCTCGCTACTTCATCGACCCGGGTGCCCGCGGCAGAAAGGCAAGAGGTAAAACGTTTTAGAAAAATAGCAAAACTTTTACTCCAGAAGCTGAAGAGAACCTCCTCCGCGCCGCCGCCCAGCTTGGAGGGGCGTGGACGTGGGGAGGCTCCTACCGCTGAGGGGCGACAGGGCGATACATGCGAGACGGAGGGGTCGATGCTTAATACTGTACAGCCCATGTCCGGTTGGTGGATGTTGAGGAAGAATTGAGAGTGCGGATATATCTATTCGCTGGTGACAATGCCCGGATCAGGAAAGGAAATATGCCAACAAGACTGAGCTTAGAGTATCGAGCTCTGGATACTCGGCCCCCGAAGAGGGAACAGGCTGAGAGGTGTGGTGGTTGGTCCTCCAACAATCAATAAATATTGTGTTGCACAGCGCACAGAAAGGGCTCGCCAAGATTATCATCCATAGCAGAAGGTACGCATTAACACAGGTTGAGAAAGTGACATGTGATTACGACATGGGACAAGTAGACAAGACAAAGGCAGGAATGGTATAATAACGGTTCCGGTCGGTCCACCAACCCCCTTCCACCCATATACCACCACTCCAACCCGATGAAAGAAAACCATGTTCCAAACTCCAACACCCAACCCATAGCCGGTTGGCGCCCCCGCCAGAGCTGATCCTGCGCCACCGTACTTTTGTTTTGATGCAAGAAAGGTAGGGAGAGAGAGAAAGAGACAGAAAAGGAGAAGAAAAGGGATAACACACCCTATCCCACCCTACCCAACCGCCGGCCCCTTGACCTCCCCTGACCACTGTTCCCACTGTTTAACCTCACTCCACCCGGGCATGGAACGCACGGCTAGCGAAACCAGCTTCGCCTCAACCAAGTGCGAGCCTGGCGGACGACCTAGGCCACGCCGCTGGCCGCCTCCTGCTCCCTCTGCCTCTTGACGATGTAGTACGTGATCAGGCTCTTGGGGTCATCCTTGACGTCCTTCATGACGTCCCAGAACCGCGCATCGCCGACGCGCCCCTGCAGAGCCACGCACAGCTGCACCGCGTCCATGCGGACCCCGGACTCGGTGCTCTCCAGGCACCGCAGGCACAGCTCCGCCATGCTGCCCAGCTCCTGGTCCGTGGGCACGTACTCGGCCTTGGCGTCCACCATCTCCTTGAGCACGTGCAGGCCCATGCTCAGCGATCGCCGGCCCGCGGCGCTGTCCAGCGCCATGTCCGTCATCCGCCGCGTCAGCACCGTCGCAATCTCCTGCGCGTCGCCCAGGGATACCAGCTCGTCCGCCAGGAGCTCCATCCCGGAGACGATGTGCGTCCGGGCGTCGTACACCGCGCGCGCCGACATCAGCGACTCCAGGCCCTTGGAGATGTGCGGCTGGAAGTGGTCGCGGTACTTCTTGAGCAGGAGCTTGACCGTCGCTAGGTTCTGAGCCTTGACGTCTTGTACCTTCCCCGGGGCGAGACTGGACTGTGGGTCCTCGAGGTAGTCGAAGAGGCTGATGAGCAGTGCCTCGAATTTGTCGTCTGATAGGGGAGCTTTGTTGTCGCGAAGAATGCTCTGAAGCTTGCGAAATCCGTGTACGTCGAGTGTCTTCGCCTTGATCTTGGCCAGTGCGCTCTCGATAAGCCGAGCATGTTGCTTTGCCTTGTCCGAGACATCGGGTTCATCGGGTCCGTCGCCGTTCTGCCGTGCCATCAAGTTGGCTGCATCCTCGTTGACGGGCTTTTCTTCCAGTACTGCCGGCGGGGTCAAATGAGGAGTTGATTGTTCTGCTGTCAAGGGGTCTTCGTACACCCGCAGAGCTCTTGAGGGCGTTCCGACCGGGCTTCCTGACTGGTCAGGCACCGCCGCTGCGAGTTCAGGAGCAACGAGATCAGGAGATGCAAGGGCTGGCGTGTTCGCCGCTGGCATTATCGGGGTGGCCGGCGTTATGAGTGAGAGGCTGTCCTCGGGCTGGGGACTGCCGAGGAGTGGTCCAGGGTGTAATATTTGTCTGGTGGGGCTCTTTGTTGGGCTTGATACAGGCGAAGATTTCGCATGCGTTAGCCTCGTTGGGGTTGGAATGCTGGATTCACTCGCGGTAGGCTTGTGGGCTGGTCTCGACTTTGCCAATGTACGCTTGGGTGTTGTAACCATGGTCTTGGGCGTCAGTGGCTTCGGCTTCGGCGGGGGGCTCATCTCAGTGTCAGTACGGCCCCGAACAGAGTATGGACCCGCAGTCGCTGGGCGCGGTGCCATTTCTGGTCGCTTCCTTGTCGGCCTGACGGGAGCTACCGAGAGTCCTCCACTGGTCGTTGGCTTTTGCCGAGTTGCTGTGGAGGGAGCAGCGGTGCTTGCTGGAGTGGTTGACGAGCCAGAGACAGCCCGAGTCGGTCGAGGGGGCGAGAAGTGTGCCATGGCTGATCCAGGCCTGGATGGGGGTTTTTTCGCTGCCATGGCTGATCCAGGCCTGACCGGAAGCTTTTGCGCTGCCAGGGCCTTTTTATTTTCCATCACGGTCTCCCGGAGTGTGGGCTTTGTTGCTCTTCCCATCGTGCTACGTGAAAAGCCTAGGCCTGGTCGTGCCACAGGTTCTGCCTTTGGTGGATCAGGATTATGCGGGTCCTTTAATAGCGACTTCTGTATGGTGTCATCAAATGAATCCATAAGCCTGGCATTCATGTTAGCTTTCAACAGCTCTACAACCGACCAAAGTGTACAACTTACGCTTCTCCCCTTGCGGGCCATATGCCGTGGAATGTCCAGAAGGTGGCCCTCATCTTACTTCTGACCTCAGGTTTGGCGTCACCTAGACCCTTCTTTATCAGAGCCTCTATCGAATCCAATCCGACATTTTGTTCGAGGTGGCTCCTGTGGTGCGACTGATTCTTCAGAAGCGCTTTTAGCCACTCGGCCGCGTACAGCCTACGCTTGTCATTCGGTTCCTTGCAAGCTTTCGTGACGTGTGCCATGATTCCTTTCGTGTATGCTGATCTTCCGATGATGGTGTTAATACAAACATTCGCTTCTTGCGAGGCGATATTCTTCGTCGACCCAGAGAGCTTGACGAATGTCTGCATCAGCAGTTCCACCATTGGATCCATGTCAGTTCCATAGTTGAACGCGATATCTTGGACCACAGCGCAACCTTCTTTTGACAAACTCGTCCTGAGGGAGACGATAGCTTTGATTATGCCATGGAGAAGGCCCTTTAAGCCTTCTAAAAACGGGCCGTAGAAGTCTGACACGGCATTGCCAGCCATCAAACTGCGGAGCTTTGTCATACTCTCCTCCCGATCCTGCCAGTTTTTGTCTGACTCATTACCCTCGAAAAACGTGTGCATCTTAGTAAAATGTTCATCGATTTCTCTCGTTGTGTTGAGGTATGATGGACTGGCTTTCTCCGTCCTCGTATCAGGCATGGGTGTGATCGGCCGTTCGCTGAAAGTGGCAACGGAAGAAACACTGGCTGACAGGCCAGGACGGGAGGCGGGCCTGGGTACAGCTGCTGGTGCATTCTCATCGGGCGCGGGGGTAGCGGACCCCGGGGCCAGCTCATTCTCTATGGCTTTCTTGATGGCTGCGCGGACTCCGAGCCTCCCAAAAAGCTTGAATAATTCCGACCTGGCCCCTCCTGGAGCATTCTTGTAGAGCTCGATGACCGTAGTCTTGGCGGCGGCGCGAACTTCAGAGTCTGCATCCTCCAGCAGCGGCACGAAGTAGGGGACGTAGGCTTTGAACTTGAGGCCCTGTTCTTGGTGCATTTGTACGAGCCACTGCATACTGGCCTCCTTCGCCCTGGAGTTCTTACCTGCCATTGCGATATCCCGAACATGGGACTCGACATCGGCTGGCAAGACCTTGTGCATGGTAACGAGCGCCTGCACCGCGGGAGCACGGACATCTTTCTTCTGGTCGCCCATCCTGTCAACAAGAAGCGGCAAGGTTGTTTTCATCTCGTCCCTAATGGCGTGAGCCAGGCTGGGGTCCTGAAGCTTCTGTAGGTACTGTAGGTACAGGCGCGTGTGGTAGTGCTTGAGCGCCGAGAGCCCCGATTTGGCCAGGGCGCTGTGCTGGTTCAGCGAGGCGACGCGAAAGGCCTCGAAGAGCTGTGTGATGCAGGGATCGGGGACATCGAGATTGTGTTTCTTGATGCTGGACTTGACGGCATCAACCCGCTTGACTTTTTCCCCGATGGCGGCGTCGGAGCGCAAGATGCTCTGCAAGGCCTCGACGTCATCTTCTGTGACCTGCTTGATCTCCTTCTTTTCCGGGTCCATGGCCACTCGCACGGCACAATCGGGCCGGGAGGCGGGATTCGGGGCTGTTGTGTGGTGGGTTTGGGTCGTCGCCTCGGTTGACTGGATCTGGGCCGGTGCTGTGCGCACAGTCTGTTATGGACACACAAGACGCAGGTCAGCGCATCTGCAGAAAGGTGAAGTGTATGCTGACGCCAATGTTTTTTTGCTGATACTGTCCGAGACTGCGCGCTCAGACGCAGAGGTCCAACGGAGGGGAGACGGGGAGAGGAGGAGGAGGAGGAGGAGGGGAAGGCGAGCTCACATCAATCACATGAAGCTTTTGCCGGACATCAGAGCTCGGGTCCAAGGCTGGGTTAGGCTGGGCGATCGGCGGTGCGGTGCGATGCGACTGCGATTTGACGGCGGTCGGGCGCTGGGATCAATTGACCAGGCGAGGGATGCTGCGAGTGGCCTCGCTTGAGGAATGCGACGCGGGGCAATGGATAATATTTTGGGTCGGCGGGTGGGTAAGGAAGGACAGATGCCAGGTACGGGGGGGAGTAACGAGACGGCGAGTATTTGGGGGGAGGAAATCGGTCACAAGCAACGGGCGTCGCAAGGTGGGATGAAACAACAAAAGATGAGCTCCAAAAGCTGCTTGGAGGCCCTTGGCCGTTGCCACGGGCCCCAGCGGGACCACAGCGCTAGCGCCTTTCGCCTAGCTCCTAGCGCAAGGGCATGCGGGCAAGATAGGACGGCAATCGGCTGGCGGACGTCTAAATTACGTGCAGGGGTCCGCAAACTGGGACCCGACCCCACCGTGACGGTGCAACCTCCCACCCCGAGCTGCCGTATTCAGTGCTCATTCCTCTGGGCACGCCACCCAATCTGTCTACACGATACGACATTACTATTTCCCCAGGCAGGCAGGGCTGGCAGGTCAAGCCAGCCAGGGAGACGACAAGATCAGACAGGCTCGGAGGTTTATACAGATTCCCACTCAGCACTCCCAGACCCACCATGATGTGCATCACTTTAAATTGTCCTTCCATTGTCTCCGACCATCTCAGAATCTGCGGCGTCAAGGGGCCTCTCTTGATAATCCCTCACCTCATAGCCCACTACCATTTCACTTCGGCCATGACTGGGAGAAACCCAGCACATCCCAGCTGCTCTAGCAAAGACTCCCCACTTGACTGCGCCGCCAACAAGATGATGACCCTGTTATTGGGAGATCGTACAGCCCAAATCACACAATCTCGGCAAGGGGTGATATTGACAATCCAATTCCAGCACCACATCCGTCCCAAAACAGCCGGCTATACATGGCTCGACCACGTGGCAGTTTATGAAAACCCCCCTTGTGTAGATCTCCTCCGCCCAACAGTCCAGCAACGTGACAGAAGTACTCGAGTTGTCGTTTCAGGTGCACGCACTCCAACCCCTCCGAGCGATGTATGAGAGCATCTGTACCCTAGCAGTGCTCCATTGGATGTTGGCAAACTCGTTCCATCCCCCAAAAGCCCCAAGTATCATCCGAACCAGGGTTGAATATCACTCGTCTGGCCTGCTGGCGACTGAAATTTCTCAATTTGGAGGAATGACGAACCGCATCTCAAGTGATCAGACGCTACGCGATTAATCACTGGATAGCATGTGCTGATTCATACCACATCAACCTGGAACCTCTCACTTCATTTGGGTTCAAAATGGTTGAATTCCTGTTGTGTAATAATTCATGGACTGCACAAGACTCTTTCTCAGCAACCGCCTCTCAGCAACCGCCTACGAAAGTGTCACAGAACCGCAGTAGTCTTCGAAGCTGGTGTTTAGGGATAGATATTCCAGATGTCAGCTTGCGGATCTGTGCTGCGCGAACAGCCCCCTTGGATCAATCCTTGACTGATTAGAAATGATTCCTCGACACTTCTCCTCCGGTTGATCGGTTGGATCCATTTCCTTCTTGTCCATGCTGCTCCGGGCAGGACACGCCACAGAAGGCGTCAGACCTAAGAAGATGTTCATTGGACGAAGCTGTTGTAGTTCTTCGTGAGTCACCAGGTAGTTCTTGCAGCTCAAGAAAATGTAGAGCCAATGAACCTATGCATACCAAAGGCCTTATTGACAAATTCGACTTAGATATCATATTCTTGTTACACATGTGTACAGAGCATCGTGATAAGTATCGCAGCCAATCGCGTGTAACAGATGAGATTAGTCATCACTACAAGGTCCATGGTCGCAGTTCTGAGAAGACTTTGCATCCTCTTGCAGTTTAAGACGTCCAAACACTGCGGGAATTCACCATGTACAGTTTTAAAGGTACAGTCGCACACCATCAATGTAATGTAACAGTGATCTGAGGGTGAATGGGTACGTGAATTCGAGTTCTCAGGTTGAACATGCCCGTTGCAGAACCAGACCAAAGCTGAGGTACAACCTGGTGCCTTAAGTCCTTCAAAATTACCTGTCTCGTCTGAATAACTTTTAAGCGCTTGAAGATATACAGAGAATTGAAGTCCCAAGTTTCGAGCTTTTTGCGGTTTTGCCCCTTTCCATCGAGGCCCCACACCAGTCAGATGGACGAGCCCAGAAGCACAGCAGCCCTAGAGGGCTGTGCACTAATCCGTGACAGCTTAATGGGGGAGGTTCAAGACAAGCTCATTTTGAGACATGTCGAAGAGAGCTCCCAAGATTTGAGCTCTGTAACTCCAATCTGACTTCCAGCTTCCAAACCCCATTGCCCGCCCGTTGCTACCTCCAACAACGCAGCTTGTACTGGTTGCCGGACCATCGCGGGGTGCTTGGAACCTGCCCAGCGCCTCGAGTGCCTTGTATTGCGATTTGCCTCGCTCGAATCGTGTGGTTTCCCCTTCTGCCATTTCCTTGCTGGGGCGAACCTGTCTTGGTGGCAGCAACGCCCATGCCCAGGTACGTACCTCAACCAATGGCCCGGGCCAGTCCCTCCACGCAGGCACAACTCCAGATGTGTCTTCCTCTTTCCTACCCCGTCTGCCAACACGGCTCAACGGATAAGGCCATGACCTCATCATTCCCTGTGAAAGGCCCCATCCATGCATGATACAGACCTGGCTGTGCTTGAATCCAGAAAGTGCAAGAGGTCCCGTGAGCTCACTGACGCCTCGACACGCTCGACATGCAGTCCCTGCCTCGTAACCCGTCGCCTGCGTTGCTGAACAAATGTGGGCGATGTTGATGTTGAGTAGCCTGATTGTTCGAAGCCCATTGTCAATCCACCGCGCGATGGGCAATCCCATGCATGCCAGTGCCAGACATCCATCATGACTACCCAAACCACCACCAATGCGAGTGTGTGATCTCCCAGTAACTGTCCACAGCCCCCAGAGAAAAGCCCCTCGTCCTGCAATGCAGACCCAGTGATCTCACTGGAGGGGACCTGACCCGCCTTCTTCTTGCTTGCTTGTCCGGATGCTTGTCTGCTGCCTGGTGGGTGCCGACGCCCTCCCCCCTACCGGCACCTGCCTCCTTCCCGTGGACGCAGCGCGCGCCGCGCAATGACAACACCGCGCGACTGCCCTCCTGCCTCACTCTTTCCTCCTCCGAGCCTCAACAACTGAGCACGCCATCGGCCCGACGGAGCAAGTGGCCCATACCTGCGAGGTACCTGCACGCGAGATGGTCAGTGGCCAGTGTCCGTAAAACCCCGGCCTTCCGCCCCTCAGACTTTGGAAACTTTTCTTTCCTTTCTTCTTCATAATCTTGCTTGGATACCACTCAAGCGCGAACTCGCTAGGTGATCACGAAGACCTGGCGGGCCAGGAGCCTGTTCCGGGTGGCCTGGCTGCTAGGTAAGGGTTGAGTAGAGAGAGTCTGGTTCTGCTGATGGGTTGGGGGAAGTAGAATTTAAATAATGTGGGCTTGGGATTCGGTACGGCACTATTGTCAAGTCCGAGACGGCGCGAGTTGAGTGCGAGAGTGGTGGCTATCTTGTGCTCGCTACCAGTTGCTAGAGTCGAGTAGGGGCCACTCAATCTCATGTAGTGTCAATAAGTCACTTCAGGAAAGGTACTTAGTAGCAAGCGATAAAAGCCGGCTGTGTCTTGACATCGTGGTGCTGCTGTCCTGCGCGCGTGACGTCGCCAGAGAATGTCACGTTGGTGCAAAGCGAGGCCTGTGCCAACAAAGCCTGCCGTTGGACGCGAGACAGACTGGAAGCTAGACTGAGATGATGTGGTTTGTGATAAGGGAAGACGCTCCTCGGTCGATTCTTGAAAGCTACCTGCTGTCGATACTCTCCCGTGTGGTGCTGAGAGGTCGTCACATCACGGCCCGGTGGGGGTGCCGCTGCGATCGACGCCTTGTCTAAGCCAAGCAGTGCTGCCTAGCTAGGTAGCTAGTCTCACCTCACTCGACGGATTAGGTTCACTCGGGTCGCAGGTAATCCTCCAAGCTGTAGATCGCCAGTCACACACGCTAGAATTTCGCACTCTCGCGTCACGCCCAAGTGCACCCTGCCTGACCGATCGAAAGAAACTGACATTAAAAGAGAGCACCCGTCCAGACAGCCTCGCCCCCGCGTCCCCCAGAGACCAACCACCATGACCAGAAACCCTCCCCCGACCTCCCCGGCGCCTAACCCCTCCTCGATCTTCATGCCCCCGACCACCTCCTCGTCGCCGAGCAGCAGCAGCGGCACAGGCCCAGAGCGGCGGCCGGATGCCATGGCCGCGACGACGACAGCCGAGCCCACGCCCCTGCCTCCCAGGCGGCCGTTGTCAGACGACGAAGAGCCGCAGCACCATCAGCAGAACGGGCAAGAGGAGAGCTCGAACCACAAGGATGACGACGACACCTTCCCCCTGCCCAAGCTCCGCCTGCACGTCCAGGACGCCATGCACCCGGGCGCCGCGCGCTTCCTCGCCGCCGTGGACGCCCCCGCCCTCCTGTCGCGGAGCGTCCAGACCGTCCTGAGGCTGCTGTACGTCTCGCCGCACAAGCACAGGGCGCACGACGACGACAACGACGACAGCGCCGCCGGGTCACCAGCAGGCACCCGCACCCGCCGGCCGTCGAGGCCGCACTACACCCCGCCGCCGACGCGGTCCGTGACGCTGTTCCTCGAGGACATGGACGGCGTCGCGTACACCAAGGGGACGGACCTGGACGGCGACCACAAGGAGATCCACCTGAGCCTGGGGTACGTCAAGGGGATCCGGCGGGCGGCGCCGGCCATCCTCGGCGACGCCGCGGGCGCCTACGAGATCGAGGGCGTCCTCGTGCACGAGCTCGTGCACTGCTTCCAGCACAACGGGCGCGGGGCGTGCCCGGGGGGCCTGGTCGAGGGCATCGCGGACTGGGTGCGGCTCGGCGCGCGGCTGGGGCCGCCGCACTGGAGGCGGGACGCGGTGCCGGACCGGTGGGACCAGGGGTACGAGCGCACTGCTTATTTCCTCGACTGGCTTGAGGGGCGGTTCGGGAGGGGCACCGTTAGGAGGATGAATGAGGCTTTGAGGGTGAGTTTTCCTTCTTCTTCTTTTGTTTCTCCCGTCGTCTCTGCTTCCTGGTATTCGATGCTTGGGTGGCGGGCTGAAAGCTCTGGCTGGAACAAACGCCGCGCGTCTGCCATCCATATATTGGGATCTCCCTTTTCAGTGACGGTAAACTAACTCGGAAAAACTAAACAGGTGCGCGAGTATAAGGAGTCGGAGTTCTGGACGGGGTTGTTCGGCCACGAGGTCGACGTCCTGTGGGAGGAATACCTCAAGACGCTGAAGAAGGGCGGCCGCGACTAGTTGCCGTTGCCGCCTCTCCCTCCGTCATGAGAGTGAGCGCGTGCGTGTAAGTTGATCGAACCCCGGATTTATGAGTACAGTAGGAGCCTGTAGACCCAGGGCGGTGACCGTGCAGAATCACGAGCCATAGACATGATGGTAAGGGCTACTAAAGGTGATCGTTTTGGAGCACTCCGCTTAGTAGACTTAATGATGGCCATGTTTGCTTGTGAATTGGAGCAGATCCTCACGAGTAGTCCTGGCCACTGGAGTAGCCTGCGGTCCAAGCTGGGATTGAGGAAACCAAACTCTGCTCCTCTTATAGGTTTCGGATTGCAGTAGAGGATAATTTAAAACATATTTTATTCCTCGGTGTACCCCTGAGAAGTGTTGTCTACGCATTATAGGAGACTCTTAAACCCGAAAGACGTGTGTGCATTTTCCCCCTGACGCCGAGCCGAACAGTAATCCCTTCCCTGGTGACCCTGGAAACCAACCGGCAAAACTCCGTAAACTAGCAAGTGAACTTCCAATGAAAAACTAATCTCAATCAAAGCAAAACCCCAGGAGAGGCATCTCTCACACGCTACGAGCGCGCCGCTGGCCTGTGGCCGTCCTCGCTCTCGCTAACAACGCTGCCGACCTCGGTCCAGCTGTGAGCCGGGGTGGGGATGCCGTCCTCGTCCTCACTCAGCACGTCGTAGTACTTGGAGGAGCCGTTCTGGGACGCGGCGATCTCGTTGGCGACGTCGAAGCCGGAGCCGGCGACCGACGCCGAGTCGGTGGGCGTCAGCTGGCCCTCGCTGACCAGCTCGCCGTCGGACATCTCGCTGAGGGGCGCGGCGGGCGTCACGGGCAGGGGCGAGTAGAAGTCGCGGCTCGACTCGTGGTTCTGCATCTGCGCCTGCTGCTGCTGCTCGGCCCACGCCTGGATCGAGGCGTAGGCGTCGTGCTCGCCCTCCCGGTCGGACTGGCCGGCCGTCATGTACTCGTCCTGGCCGAGCTCGGCCTCCGAGGCGGAGTCGCGCGGGGTGGAGGCCGAGGGGGAGTCGGGCTGTGTGGCGTCGAAGAGCAGCTCTTGTACGGCGCGTGGTGGCTCGGCGGCGGGGATCAGTTCTGGCATGGCGTCGTGGGCGGGAGACAGTGTCCGCGACAGGATGCTGTCGGCGGGCCTGGGGGAGGCGGTGTAGATGTCGTCGGTGGACATGACCTCGTCCTTCTCGGGGGCGATCTCGCTGTCCTCCATCTCGTTGTAGTCGATCCCGTGCTCGTCGGCGAAGGGGTTGGCGTAGATGGACGAGTTGAGGCCCCGAACGCCCTCGGACGCCCCGCGCCTCCTCACGAGACCGTCGTCATTGTTCCGCACGTCGGCGCCCGTGTTGAAGACGTAGGTGCCCTTCTCGTTGCTGGTCTCGTCCTTCTGCAGGAAGTCGTCGAACGTGGTGCCCGAGCGCTCCAGGGCCCCGCTCTCCTTGAGCTTCTCGTTCTCGGCCGTCTGCTTCTCCAGCTCCTGGCTCAGCTTGACGGCGTTCCAGTAGAGCAGCTCCTCGCGCTGGCGCTTGCGGGAGTCTTCGTCAGCGTCGACGTCGCCGGACTGGAGGAAGCCCTCGGCGTCCTCGGGCCTGTTGAACAGCGGCTCGCGGGAGGTGGCGCCCCCGGCCTCGGGGCCTATGCCGTCGCCGAGGGAGTGCAGTGCGAGGGCGATGCGGCGGCGCAGGTCTGTGGCCATGCGCTGGAGTTCGGGTGACTCGTAGATGGCGATGGCGGCGGCCACGGCCACGCTGACGGCGATCACGCCAGCTGAGATGGCGGCTTGGTTAATAGGAGGCATGTTTGCAGGTTTCAAAAAAGAATGGTGTGAAAGGGGATCGTGGGCGGAGGAAATGGGTGGATGGTTTGGGCAAGGTGGGGTCTCTCCGGTGTAAGTGCGCCCAAGCTCAGGCAACCGGGCGGTGAGAGTTGAGGGAGCCAAAGGGACCACGCCAGAAGTTCAAGTGAATACACAGCAGGCCAAACAAGAAGGGCTGAAGTTGTCTCGAGGATGGATACTCGAGGAGGAATACTCGAGAGAGCAACTCGAGACTGGCAGGTGCTCCAAGTTGAATGAGGGGCGAAACGGGGGAGGGCTTGCGTGGACCACGGCACGTCTGAGTTGCCACCCAACTTTGTTGGAGAAAGCGGCCGACGCAGCCCCCACCCCCCAGCATTCGGCCCAGGCACCAAGGCACCCAGGCCTCCCAAAAGGCCCAGTCTGGCGGCCAGCCAGGGCGTCTGATTCGCACCACATCTTCCTTGCTCCTCCCACCCGGGCCCCACGAGGGATCATCCGTCACCTGCCACTGCCCGTGTCGCCGCGCGATTGAACGAACCGTCACCGGGGGCCTGGGGCCCCATGGAACGTGCGGGTCCCGCGCCTGTGAGTGCGAGTGCGGCTTCGACGGCATGCGAGGTTACGGTGCACAGCCGGGAGAGACAGCAGCAGCAGGTGGTTGTGGTGGCTTGATGAATGAATGAATGACTGGATGGGCAGGGCAGGGCAGTAAAGGTCTCCCGGCGGATGACAGAAAACGGTGCACAAAGAAGCAAATATGTTGCAGCTCTCGTACGTACCTTTGGCCGCTAATGGAACAGGCATCTTAATTCGGCTTTGAACTTTAGATCTGGAGAGGATCGACTGAATATCGGTGGTTCGTCTGGGTCGAGTCGTCGAGTCGTCGAGTTGTTGGTCTCGAATTGCCGAGGTCTCCCTGATCTGATCTACCTGACCTTGGCTGCCCGCCCAAAGGATCAAATGAGAAAAGAGCGAAAAGGATGCAAGTACAACTAGGAAAAAGGAGAGAGAGAGAGAGAGAGGTTGAAACCAACCGAGGGGGTCAGGGAGGGTGTGAAGGACCGAGGACGGAAGAGGAGGAATCAGGCTGAAGACTGGGGTGTCGACGACGCGGCCACTTCGGTGAATCAATGACATGCGACCACCTTATGCAAGATAGAGAGGGAGAGCAGACCCGTCGCAGCCCGCCCGCGTGCTTGGACGCTCGGATGGGATGGCGGGTACTTTGTGGGCCATGCAAACCTTGTCCTGCCCAAGGTATCTTTCTTGTCTTTAGTTGCCCTCCCGGATACGGAGTAGAGTGCAGTGTGATGCCCTCGTGACGTGCTGCCTCCACACTGCCCTTCTGCTCAGTATTCCACCGAGCTGGCCGTAGGGCCAAATCAGATACTCATAAGTGCCCGCAGGGTATTCATCCAACATGATGAATGTGAGCATACCATATGGGGAGAACAGCCTCAGGGACAGTGTCATGGCAGGCGAGCTCTCCATCCCATCCCTCCGAAGGCGGGGTAATAATGCCCGAATAATGCAGGCTGTGTGCATACAAGTACACATACCTACACAAGTACTGTACGGGCGAGTCTGTGCACAAGTGGACTAACAAGACGGAACGCCTGTCAAGCCTACAGTAGGGTCATTCTAGAATCCCATGACCTGCTGGTTGTTTTGCCTTGCACCCTCTATATGTACAGAAAGATGGCTAATACATGCACGTGGGTTGGCCTGTATCTCGCAGGCTGAGGACATTCCACCTTGCCAAACTCTCGAAATATATAGGGATGTTAGCTCCCTAAGTGGATGCCCTAGACTGATGTATGACCAGCCTATGTTCCTCTCGGTCGCCGGGGCCGGGGAAGTGTGGGGGCCGGGATGAGTTGGCCGGAGTAGCCCCGGATGATGCTGTCAGCTCTGGAACGAATAGACCATCACTCGCTGTCAGGGTCCAACCGGCACCCACTGACAACGTCCGGATGAAACTGTAGCGCTCGGATAAGTTGCTGATCAGTTGCATACATTTTGCAAAAGGATAAATCCACTGGGCTCTAGAAGGCCCATAGATGCTCAGCAACAAGCTACGTCTTGAGATAGCTGATTCACTTAGAAAAGCTGCCAGTGGTATGTGCTGCAAGGAACCCGGCTTATTGCAGCCGGAATCTGGGTGAGGCCTGCAAAAAAAATGCCCCTAGGGATAATCCGTGAGAGTTATCAAAGTTGCAGAGTTGGGGCAGACAAGCAGTGAGTCCCAAGTTGTTCTCATATCTGTCTTCAGGCACTTCCTTTTACTTCACTTCCTGTTTGTTATACTTGGCAAGGCATACTAGTCACTAGGACAAGGTCCAGTCTGCTCAGGTGGAATATTCTAGGAGTTTCGATATGATTCTATGCAGGCTGGCTACGGAAAATCTACAAAGTAAGCAGGCACAAACAAGTGCAGGTGACAACACCCGACATGCACCAACAAACAACACACTCGGGCAGACAGACATGTGCATTCAGGCAGACTCGGAGTTAGAGACCAATCAAGAGCCGATATTCTATTCTGTAATATCCAGCACACAGCATACACCTTGGTCACTCCAGTTATTGATTCATTCTGCCTGTGTCTGCCAGCCACTCAGTCACTCATCCTTCTGCACCTCATAGCAGTTGGAGACATTTCCCCAGAGTGCTGCAAGAAGGTCACCTTCATCTGGGCACTACTGACGCAGGGAATCAGCAGCCCCACCAGTGCCACAGTGCCGCTCTTGACCCTTGACCCTGTCTGCCATCATCCCTGCCCACACGTTAACACACACACTAAAGCCTGCGCCCTCTCGGCCTAGCTAGCTATCTCCAGCTTCCTTCTGGAATCGGACACGGTGAAGTTCCATGTCGGCAGAGTCGTCATCTAATCACCTATCAAGTCGATCACCTACGCTCAGGCCCTACCTGCTATTCTTCGTCGTCCGTCAACTTTAAGCCACAATCACCTTATCCATTCTTCCCTAATCTGTCCATCCAAACAGTCAAACCCGACATTCCTCACATCCATCACACAGTCTTCTGATGCCCACTCGTGCTCTGCAGGCCCGTTTGCTGTCTGCACCAACCGCGAGCACCGCCCCTCCTCCCCACCTCACCCGACCCAACATCAGCGCCACGGCCACACCCACAGCGTGACACAGCTTGTCGCCCCTCTTGGGCGGACCTCTCTCGCCGCCCTCACCAGTCAACTTCCCACGACACAATCATTTTCCTTGTACCACAGAGTCCCGTCACAACCATCAAAGTGGCATCCAACGGGCTAAGAGCTGGCTTTCTCCTTGTGGGCCTTGGACTGACCGCCTTGGCTGCCCAGCGACACACGCAGCATCGCCAGCAACAGCTGCAGGGCACAAGACCCGCAATGGATCTTCCTGGCCCCGGCCGTCCTGGCCGTCCTGGCCGTCAACACCTTGATTTATCGGGAGGCCGCGAGGTCGTCTTTTGTCACAACTGCAGTAACGAGTGGTACAACGACGAGCATGGCCTGCAGTGTCCTCGCTGCGACAGCGAGATCTGTGAGATAGTAAGGAGTAGCCCATCTACCATGCCACCACCCTGCTTGAATCTGCCTGCCACTATTTTTCCTTGCAATAGTTTACAGCTTGCTGACTTTCCCCCCAGATATCCCCGGACAATGACCCCCGCGATATCACTCCCGAGTCTCCCGACAGCGACATTCTCCGGGGTGGCCATTTTGGCCCCCACGACTTTGGTCATAACCACGGATATGGACATGACCATGATCGCTACTCGGACCCTGGTGAAGATGACATAGAGGATTACTTGAACCCGAGGAGCAACATACGCAGCGGGCCTGGGGGCTTCATGTGGTCACAGAGGACATGGCGCAGCCCCGACAGACAGCAAGATACACCTGGCGAAAACCCCGGCCACCCTCGCCCCGTCGAACCCAGCAGCGAGCAGGAGATTTTTCAGCGCTTTCAAGAAACCATCCAAATGGTCACTGGCATGCCCCCCTTCGGCCCACCTGGAAGACGAGCGCCTCCGGGTGATGGCTCCCCCGGTGGAGGTGGGCCCGGTATGCGCACCACAACATATCGCAGCCCCTCTGGCCACACCAGTTTCACCATAACCACTGGAGCCATGCCACTCCGAGGTGTCGACCAGGATGATGGTTTTGATATGTACGCTTGCTCCCTACTCCCTACTTGAGGACCGTTTGCCCGTCATTGCGGAGGTCGCTCTCAACATCACTTTACACCCCAAATGCTAACAGTCCTTGCAGAACATTCAGCAACTTCATGGGCGGAGGAGGAGTACATCCTCCAAGAGGAGCTCAGAACCCCGGTCTTGCCGGTGGTCTTGGTGACATCTTCTCCCTACTTCTTGGCCCAGGCGCCATGAACGCTGCCCACGGTGACGCAGTGTACACCCAGGAGGGTCTTGATCGAATCATCACCCAGCTAATGGAAACGAACCCTCAGTCCAACGCCGCACCACCAGCATCCGAGGAAGCCATCGAGAAGCTGGAGAAGAAGAGTCTGGACAGGCAGATGATGGGTGATAGTCCCAAGGTGGAGTGCACAATCTGCATAGATGAGATGCACCTAGGAGACGAGGTGACAGTCCTTCCATGCAAGCACTGGTTCCACGGCGAATGTGTGGTTTTGTGGCTGAAGGAGCACAACACGTGCCCAATATGTCGGTCGCCCATCGAGAAGCGAGGTGAGGCCGGTAGCAGCAGCGGAAATGGAGACAACGGCACTGGTGATGGACCGAGTAGCCAGCAGCAGCCTCGCACTTCAGGCCCTCGCCTTGGCTCCTTCGGCGCAATTTTTGGTGGGGAGCCATTTTCGCCTCAGGGTGCATCGGGTTCTTCTGCGCCTTCTAGCTCGCAACAACACAATACACGAGGTGCCCGGACTCCCGAGGACAGGGAGCGGCGGCTGAACTCGATTAGGAACCTCGCGGGCGCGTCAAGCTACGGAAGGTCGGCATCTGACTCGTCTCGGCACGGCGGGCAGCGAAGAGATTCCTGGTCGCCCACCAGCCCGGGCCCTACGAGCGTGACTTCGGCTAGAAACCGATCACCCTCAGGGCCCCGTGCACGACTCGGCCGAGCCAACTCATCTAGTCTTGAAGAACGCGACTCACAGCCCTCCAGCCGCGGTAACAGCAACCCCAGCGGAAACGCCGGGGGCTCCTCCAACCCTCTGAGTTGGATCAGAGACCGCATCTCTGGCAGCGGTGGCAGTGCCAATGGGAACAACAATGGACGTCGTCGTTCCTAGGAGGCACGTTCGGACTCCATGAGATTGCCCATACGGCCACGCCCCGGCCGCTCGGCTGGATCACGACCACGTGTGCTGCCTTCGGAGACACCTTATACTCCTACCTCTGCAGTAATAGGCCCACTGGCGAGACCTTTTGTTTTGCGGCGGCCGGACGATCGATCCCTGGCTCCACCTCCTACTCGCATTATCCACACGCGCTCAGGCACCTTCATCATCAGGACTCCCAACACAGATCTGACGGGCCGGCCACGCCCCGGAAGTGCTCCCGAGCAACCACCTGGTAATGGAAGCCCACGGTCCGGTCCCCAGCGTTCCCGCTCATGATGATGGAACTGTGCCTAGGGACAAGGCTACGAGCCGGAGCATGCCAATTTCCCAGTCACCAACAAGGCGAGGCTGCCTGATGTCCCCAGCAATACAAAACCCGAAATTAATTTCATATTTCCTGCCCCTGTTCAGATAAACAGGCACACAAAATCACACTCAAATGGACGAGGTCGAATTCCTAGAAGTGAGGCGAGCTCTGTACGATTTCTACTGCTGGAAGGAGAGGGGGGGGGGAATAACTTGTTGTCGGAGTAGCCAGGGAGTGGACCGACGGTTGGGTGGCAGCCTGCGTTGACCTTTAGCACTCTAGATCGCGGCTTCACACCCCACGGGATACTGATAGAGAGTCTTCCACCGGCGGCTGGCATTGCGTGTACATTTCGAGTGTTCTTGGTGCAGAACCGGCACATGCGGTGGGTTTTCTCTTTCCCGGCAATTTGAGCAAGTCGAAGTCGGGGGAAACATGCATGCAGGCGATACAAACGAAATCAGCACGGAGTGGGAAGCAATGGAACAGGGACTCGATGGGAAAGGGGAGATGTGACGCATGACTCCCCCATGATCGGACTAGACAAGCCCGAAACTGGGTTCTTTTCTCAAGAGAGCGAGAGAGGGCGGAATACCATCTCATCCCAAGCCTTGAGGCTTGTGATAATGAGTTGGAGAAGGGGGGAGACGTAGTTGGCCTATGACTTCCCCGCTTGCGCGTCCTCTGTGGCTGACTGGCTTTCCTCTGGTACCTAAGATAGCATGATAGATACCCAGGGGGCCTTGAATGAGTACTGTCATCACTAACTGGGCTTACAACTTGGCACACGTAGCCAATTCCCTCCCTCTTTATGCTCGCGACATGTCTTTGCGGGACTCCTGACAGTCGTCGTGGCGGGCTGCTACGCGGCGAGCTGCGTATCTTCATTGGCATTATTGCCAACAAGGGTAATCCTTTTTAGCGATTAAGTTTTTATTTTACATCGTGCTAATAAGAGGTAGGTACATCGTAGCATCAGCCTTTGAACATATCCAGCAAGTGACCAGGTAGGTAATGGGCCCGCCATGACCATCACCATTCACCAAGTACGAGCCTGCCGCACGTGACTCCTGAGAACCATGGGCGCTTCTCTTTCTGGGGGACGGGCCAGCTCGTAAATAGTGGAGGGCTGACGGACTGTGAGGCCGGCGTGGAGGAAGCGGGTTAATACAATAGCTATGCACGTTTAAATACGATATCGGATCTTGGTAATAAGGGCGAATCTTGGGGTCTTGCTCGTCGAGCCTGTCAAAGGAACTCGCTCAGGACCTGCGCTCTCGTCCGGGCGACCTCGGACCCTTCCTCGCCTTCTCCCATGCGGGTCATTATGTGCACGAGGCGAGCTGGCAAGGATGATGTTAGTCTGGGTTTTCTTTATCTTTCTCCCCCCCCCCCCCAAAAGAAAAGAAAGAAAAAAGGCAAGGGCAAGACGGTTATTCCCACGTCTGAATACGTACCGATATCCCCGCGGCCCCGCACGAAAAGCTGATCCTTGTTGACGACGTCCTCGCCGCCGGGCTCGCCGGCCGTCTCGCGGAGGACGCTCCCGATGCAGAGGGCCTCGAGGAAGGCGCGGTGGTTGAAGACCCACCAGGTGCGGGCCTCTGCCTCGAAGAGGGTGTGCAGCATGAAGAAGGCGTTGATGGCGTCGTGGGCGGCCTCGAGGGTGGCGCGCATGTTGACGGGGACGTCGGGCGACTCGGAGGCGTGCACGAGCATGGCGTTGTGGAAGTAGTTGCTGGTGAGCCACAGCGTCTGGCGCGCGGCGCGGCCGTTGGTCTGCGCCAGGGCCGTGAGGCTCTCGGCGTCCCACGAGCGGAAGATGTCCGGGAACGACCGGTAGACGGCCCGGAAGTCGGCCACCAGCTTGGTCTTGTGGCGCGGCGTCGCGCAGATGGGCATGTCGAGGCACCGCGGGGAGCAGATGCTCTCCTGCACCAGGTTGGCGAGGGTCCAGGACCCGCGGATGTAGGCCAGGTCCGTCGACGCCGACGACGCCTCGGCCGCGTTGACGGCCTTGTAGCCGCCCGCGGGGCCCACCTCGTCGACCATGTCGTCGACGTGGACGTCGGTGTGGGTGGCGTTGGGCGGCAGCGACAGGAGCACCGTCAGGAAGGTGTCCTGGTGCAGCACGGCCTGCCAGACCTTGCGGCGCTCCTGCTTCTCGGCCGGGCTCGCGGCCGGGGTGACGATGTTGGGGTCGCGGTGCAGGCCCATGGCGTAGGCCTGGCGCATGAGGATGCCGGCGAAGGCCCAGCCGTCCGAGGCGTGGTTGTCGTTGATGAGGAAGTAGACCAGCAGCACCATGGTCTGGATGGACCGGATGGACGCCGTGCTGAGGTACGAGCTCATGCGCAGGGCCTGGTTGCTCGACGAGGCGTGCAGCTCGGCCGCCCCGGCCCGCTCCGACTTGGTCATCAGCTCGCTCTGCAGGAACTGCATGCCCAGCGCCAGCATCGCCATGATCAGCGCCACGAACGCCGCGTCCGCCTGGTGCTTCTTCTCCTCCGACAGCGTCCAGAAGTGCTCGTAGTCCTCGACAAACGCCTGCTGGTCCAGGATCGGGTACACCGGGTCCACGCACTCAAAGTACCGGTGTATGAGCATGTCGCACTGCAGCTTGCTGGGCATCAGCCCGATCACCTCGTTGAGCCGGCCCGAGCAGCTCCACACGTTGACGAAGGGGTGCGCCGAGCCCACGCCGAAGACGTTCGACCCCGTGCCGAGCGAGTATGGCACGGTCGACAGCAGGCCGGTGGACAGGGCGACGGCGGCCTTGGACAGGTAGTTGTTCGTGGCCAGCACGCCCCGGTCGGCGATGTTTGGTATCGGCGACCTGGGGTCTCCTGCTCCGGCCGGCTTCTTCTTTGGCGGCTTGGTCATCCGCCGGCCGCTGGACAGTGAGCGTGAGGTCTCCTCGAGGAGGTTGGCGACGTGGGCATATTTGCACTCGGTCTGCCGTTTTATGCAGGCCAGGCAGTGAGGTCTCCCACGGTCACACTGGGAGGGGTGTCAGTGAGAAGGCTCGTGGGGACAAGAGAAGGAAAAGTGTCCCGGGTGATGAAGGAAGAAGATGAACAGAATCGCCGTGGATGGGGAGACCGTGGAGATCTCACCGGCCAAACTTCTCAGGCTGAGCCGGACAGAATATCGCCAGGCATGCCTGCTCCGTGCTCGCATCACACCGCATAAAGCTCTCTTTTGATAGAGCCAAGCAGTTGAAACGAGCGCGGGGGATAGGCAAGAGAATGTTCCAAGGTTGTGAGAGTGACTCGTGCTTCAACCAGCCCAGGCAGGTAAGAAGGGAACTTGCTGGGGGGCACTCATCATGTGTGACAGAATTCGATCCGAATCAGTCGGAAAAATCAGCTCACCTTGGTCTTCCGCTCAACACATTCGAAACAGGACAGCGTCGGCTTATTCCGCTTCTGCTTCTTCCTCGAGGGCTCACCGACCGCATCCTCGGACTTCAACTCATCGTTACACTGGGAGCCGTCGGGGTAGGCAGTGGAGCTTCGTCGTGTGACCTCGCTGGAGCAGTCGGCACCTTGTTCCGAGCCGTCGCGGGGGCCAGACTCCCTCTTTATACCCGGGCTGCCGAGGTCCCGGTTGGGGGAGCCATTACTCGGGGCAGGGTAGGAGGAGGAGGATTCCCTGCCGCCCCCGCCGCCCGGGGGAGACGTGTAGATGGTGCTCGGGCTGGGCGACTGGGTCACGGGCGGACGGTCTGGCCCGCCTATGGGCACCCTGGTGTATTGTATGGGCTTGGAGTGGGAGGGATAGTGATGTGGGCGAGGATGAGCGGGCGGGCGCTCCATGGCTCCTTATGGCCGGGGGATATTCCCGATGGGACGGTGACACTGGCTGGACTCGATAGTGAGAGTGACAGCGGTGGTGACGCTGACCGACTGGCTGGTCCTGTCGCTCCTTGGTGGAGCGATACTGACACTGACAGTGAGGCCGGCGCCCGTGACTCTGGCGGAGGCTTGCCGGTTTGACAGGCTGGACTATCCACTCATGCAAACTCAATTCTGCCGATCATGAATCAGTCTCGCTTTTGACGTAGCACGAGCCCTCCAAGAGCCAAGGAGAGGGCCGTTCCGAGTCCGTGGTCTCGGATCCTCGCGTGGGTTTGTTAGACGGAGGTTTCTTTTTGGACGGGTGGCAGGCCGGGAATAAGACGAAGGGGGCCGGTGGACGACGACTCGGGTCGGTGGCTGGTCCCTCGGTGCTCGGGTGGCCGTGAGCTTATTCCCACTCTGCGGCCGGGCACGAGTGCTGCCAGTCAATGCATGCGACCGGATCAGGACCGGTCTTGGCTGGATATGCCAGTGATGTATGTATGTCTTCAGGCCGCCGTCAGTCCGAACACAACAGCCAGGCCAGAGAGGGGGTTGGGACGACACGGGATGGGACGGGGCAGGGCAGGGCAGGGCAGACAGAACGATAAGCAAACGGCGGCTGGAGAAGGTCGACTTGTGACTGCAAGTGGCTGATGAGGGAGTCCGTGTGCGGCCCGGCCACAGGAGGAGGGGCGGGATTAAAGGGGAAATCGATCGGGAATAGGAAAATGACTCGAGCACCACGCACAAGTTCGTGAGGGGAAGCCCGGGGGCCTGGGCCCGATGGCACTGTCTGTTATTATGCTCCTCAGCTCGTTCGCCGTGCCCTGTGGGTTCTCAGAAAACCAGGATGTCCACGGGTGCCCCCTCCGCGCCCCAGAACCCGTCAGGTCTAGCCGTCTGCGGTAACAGGCTTGTCCCGAACGAGGTTCCCTGCTATCAGATGGATGGAGTCTCCTCCACTGAAACCATACAAGCCGACTGAAACCTCACAACCAACAGCAGTAACGAGGTTGCTGACAGGCCTGTAGCACCACACAGTATATATACGCCTGTCGCTCTGAGGATGGATCTCAATGTGACCTCGGTCTCCAATGTTAACGACATGTGCAGGTAGATAAGTATCCACATATTAGTATGAGACTGTACAAATATATTCGCATTCGTGATTGTGTGCGCGTGTGGGCAGGGTACTCTTTCAGATGGCCCCCAAAACAGCTTCATTTGCCGCATATCCAGCCTGTTTTCTATCCTGGTTTGCGCAAAGTAGGTTTAATAAGCGCTGCAACCACCCAGGGTCCAACTACGGCGGCAACACTTCCTGCACGATGGCTGGCCAGAGATCATCTTACAGCAAGAAACCAGCGACACTAGGTGCATACACATAGCCCCCCCGGGCTTGTGTGTGCGCGCCCCGAACCTGACAGATGTCACCTTACGGAGCCCGTCTCGTATCGTCCTGCCCAAAAAAAGAGGACAGCCGTCCATTCCCGCCTCACAACTGGGCTTTGTCACAATTACCTAACTGCCAACCCTATCCATGTCGCGAGTCGAGGACCCACACAGACGCCGACATGATATAAAATGACTACCTATACCTCGGAGACGATGAAACTCATTGACTCTATTCAACCAGAGTCTTTTCAGTCAGAAGCAGACCGCTATGAGGCCAAGGAAGCTGTCCGGAAGCTTCTCGGCCACCTCGAGACGCCCTTTGAGCGGGGTTGGGCTCTCACCATGGAGATCTCAGTGCTTGCGCCCGGCCTGATAGTCTTCCACGACCTTGGCATCTGGTCCGAGTGGGAAAGTCTGAGCAAGAGCCAGGGCCCAATCCCGCAATCCCTTGACCAGATTGTCAAGATGTGCAGTGCCCCTGCTGAGCCTAATCTGCTCCGTGAGTCCTGCCAGGGATTTTCCTATGTCTTGGGGTGAAAGTAAACTCAAGTTGTCGCTCCAGGGCGTTTCCTGAGGCACTTCGCCGCGCTCCACGTGCTTGAAGAAACTGCACTCGATGAGTGGAAGCCAACTCCGTTCAGCCTTGCCATGGGTGACGAGTCGACGTACACTAACCAACTGGTCCGATGCGGCTTCACCCACTGCATTCCCTGCGGCGTCAACCTTCCTTCCTTCCTGGCCAAGAACAAGTATAGAGAGCCGCTGGACACCAAGAAGTACGACAACAACGCCGACACGTTCGGATCTGTCTTCTTCGACTATCTCCAGGAGAACCCCACCGCAGGCCACAACTTCACCGGCACCATGACCGCTGTCGGGTACCACAAGATGGACTGGACAGAGGTCTACAACACAGCGCGTATCGTCGAAGGCGCCGACCTCGCCGGACCAGCGCCTCTCTTCGTCGACATCGGTGGGAACCGCGGGCTCGACGCGGCCCGCCTGCTCTCCAAGCACCCCGACCTCCCCGAGGACGTAGGGCTCGTCGTGCAGGAAGATCTTCGAGAACGTAAGGGGTGCCATGAGGAAGGGCTACTCGAGGCTTCTCATCTACGAGATCGTCCTGCCTGCCAGGGGCGCCACGAGCTTCGCGACCACCATGGACCTGCTGATGATGAACGTGTTGTCTGGTCTCGAGAGGACCGAGGAGCACTGGAAGAGGCTACTCGAGGACTGCGGCCTCAGGGTCGTGGGTATTTCGAAACACCCGGGGGCGATTGAGAGTGTCATCGAGGCTGAACTGCCGTGAGTTTGCGGTACAGCCCCATCTAAAAGCGACAGCGTCTCGTGTCCTGGAAGTTATTCCTGTTCTTACGCTCGTAGTATCAACTAATGCGACATGGCCAAATGCCTGTAGGCACTCGTGCGAACCATGATCAACTTGGATGGCTGCAGATACTTGTAAAATGATATTCAATCTTTATCTTCTAAACTTAAAGATGTGTACAAGGATTAAGGCATTCTAAAGTTGTTGACCAAGCATTCCGCATACGTGTCCGTTGGAAGCATACGGAGCGGCATAACCATCAAATTACCATACATTTGGTACTGTAGGCCGTCACAGCTACTATTCAACACCCTTGCTAGCCTGGCGCCCTCGAAATACTCACCAAGAAGACCGTCTTGTTCAGTTGTTCGAGCCAGCGTATAACATCTGGCCTGACCGAGACCAAGGAAATCTGCACGCAGCGAAAGGTTGAGAGTATCTTTGGAATGAGACCTAAGTCCTGCGTGAAATTCATCTCACAACTTAGTTCTTTGCTATTCCGATCATGTACCCCTCCTGCTTAATTATGTCGGCTGGCAAGAGCGTATCCGGCTCGGGATCGATTCCCAGGATGAGATACTATACTATACCTTTTTATAAAGACTCATTTCAAATTTCGAGCTCCTTGGCTAACATTAATTTCGTGCGTTCTATCTTAGTTGCTAGGATATGTCCGATCAAACCTCAGAGCAAAGAAAAGCAGAAACGAAGGCATTTACTTCCTCACCTAACTTCGGCATGGCCATCCTGTGCAATCCAAGAGGTTTCCTGCCCAAAGGACAGATAGTACCATTTGACCGCTTGGTCGGAATTCATCGGTCAGAGCAAACCGCATTTAGAACGGCAGTAACTCGACAAGCCAGAGAATGTTGTGGCCGTTGGTACGTCACTCTCGTCGTAATCTTGCATACGAGACACTGCATTTTCCACTTAGAAAATGCTACAGCCATCCGCCAAATCAACAGAGGCGAGATTTGAGTTTTCAAATTTACAACATTGCCAGGGAGAATGCCCTAGGGTATCGAAAAGGAAAGAAAGTCGGCACTTTAGGTTTCGGTAAAGGTGATGGATCCTTTGCATTCAGCATGGATGGACCAATTTCGGTTGATCAAATCCAGCGAACGCTTGTATTCCTAGGACCTTTCATTCCATCTAGAATCAGGGTTTTGTGGTGATGGGGGAAAAGACATTGACTTTGATCCGCATATATTTGACGGCTAGTTGATCGCCAACACATGTCCCATCATCGAACGTGGTAGACCCAGAATGGAAAACTCAGCGGCACAGGAGCGGAGAGGGGTATTGGAACACGACGTTAACAGGGCAATATTCGAACAAGCGCCAATGGTGGAGCCTTCGATAAGATTGAGGTGAGGGCGAAGCTTATGCATGCCAACACCCGGCACATCGAGGTCATATCAGGGGTTGCTGTGCAACACTTTGTTGAACCCCCTACCCAACGCCTGCAGTACACTTGGTCAATTAGGCTGGCACTTCCAAGGATTCAGAAGAGAGCGTATGGCTTCCAACAGTTTCTGTCTCTTTCAACCCCGAGCCAAAGCCTTGTTCGGTTCCGATGTAAATGTGGAAGTGCCTTCCATGAATGATGTGCCGCATTGGGCACAATGCTCAAGCTCCTGCGTGGTGACCGCCTTGAAATCCCTGCGCAGCTGCGTGCATGAAAGTGGCCATGTGCATGCGTGGGGCTGCTCGCTTACATTGCCTTTCCAGTGCTGTTGGTGGGACGAAGGATGTGTTGCGCAGGCAAGCAACCAATCTCACCAACGGTCAGATGGCGGGCCGCGCCCGGGAGAAACACCGACTGGGCCGGTGACCAATGATTGATCTTGTCACCCATCCTTCAGCTATCCACACGGCAACTCATTCGCTGTTCAGAAGAAGGCCCTTGATTGTCTCGGCAGTGTGCGTCTGCCAGGCACGAGCTTATGTGCACAATTGGCCAATAGTTTCCCATTATCTGTAAAAGATGCTGTGATCGCTCCACAGCACTGAGAACCCCGTGCCACAGTAGGAAAGGTGGACTTATTGCGGGGTGTTAGGAGGGTTAAATTCCATGTTGCGGTGTTTAAATACCTGGCCCCAGGGCCCTTTCGATAGGCAGCAGATGCGGACGTGAGACATCCGGACTATCTATTTTACTGGATTCTACCGTTGTGGAAAACCAACACAAAGATGGGTCAGATACAATGCCCAAACTCACAACCTGAAGCACGCCCGCAAGGGTTTCTGGATACAAGCTCATGCACCCGGGAAGATGTTAAGCGGCGACAAGAAGAGATCGTTAGGCGGCAAGAAGACATCATGAAGAGATTGGACGCTATTTTCCTCGAACAAAGCCAATTTCTCCAAAGATACGAAGATCATGACAGGGAGTTGGATACTGTTGATCTTGAACTGGAACGAAAGTACCAAGAACAAGAGAAGTTGAGGGATGATTTAGATGGTATATATGAATTGAGCCCGACAGACCCGAACGAAAACGTCGACCCAAGCACGACCGATAGGGAAGACTCTATTCGGAGAGGCATTGACACTATTGATCTGCAAATCAGTCAATTGGAGCAGAAGAGAGACGAAATCAGAATCAAAACCGACGCTCTGACTGTTGAGCGGGACCGATTGGAGCAGGAAGAAGCCGACTTGGAAGAAGAAGATGATGATTTGAACAGGGAATGGGAAGTCTTGATGGAATATGAACCAATGGATGATGATCAGGATTCCGAGCCAAGCACAGACGAGGAAGACTTGACAAGAGAATTGAACGATGACATCCTTTCTGCGTTGGGTCAAAGAACATCAGCGTTGTGCTCCATCTGTCGCAACTTTCCACGGGGACGGCTCGAATTCATCGAAACCAAATTCTCTATAGATGCCTCCCACATGTATCACCCGTCTCTCTATTCGTTGAAAAGGTCTGTTGACGGAGGCTGTTATCTTTGCGAGGATGTGGCACAGTCAGTGGAGCAGTTTTGCCAGGAATCCAACCCTTCTGAGTCACAAAAGGAGTTCTGGTCGATCAGATGCAGAATCACTGAGGGTCGCTGGCGCTCATTGCAGATATGGTTTCTCCTCTGCCAGTGCGAACTCGGTCATCCGGATGACACTGGTTGTGAACATGCGCGTCAGCTCGGAGGCAGGCAATTTCTTCCCGCCCGCCAATTGATTCTTGGGCCAGAGTTTTCAGGTTCGCAATAGGGTTCCATGTCATGTTCGTCAAATGCCTTAGCTGACACGTCTTGCCAGATCCCACAATTATGACATCTAGCGCAAAGTCGGCGGCAAGCTTTGATATTGCCAGATCCTGGTATCAAAAGTGCTTAAAGCATGAGACTTGCCGGAGCTGGAGGCGAGAAACAAGATTTCTCCCAACCCGTCTGATACAAATACGAGGACCTGATACCAAGGCTTCAAAAGTTTCAGCTAGACTTTGTGAAACAAATGGTCTACCAACTACTACTCCATATGTTTCCCTGAGTCACTGCTGGGGAAAGTGTGTGCTTTTCACCTTGACTCAAAACAACCTGGACGACCTCAGACGAGAGATACCGATCAGCCAGCTCCCAAAGACATTCCAGGACGCCATCGACGTCACATTCAAGCTTGGAATCAACTACCTATGGATTGACTCCCTCTGCATAATCCAAGACTCAAAGGAGGATTGGACACATGAGGCGAAGAGAATGGGTGACGTTTACCTGCATGGGGAGTTCAATATTTCAGCAACCGCCTACGAAGATGGTTCGGAAGGGCTATTCGGTGAGAGGACGGCACTACCTCTCGTGCATTTCCCATTGTATATGGAATTCACCCTCGTCGAAAAGTATGTACGAAAAAAGACTTCCTTCAAAGGCTTCTACATCTGCTGGAACGATTCAGAGTTCCATGATAAGATCCACATGGGCCTGATATTTTCTCGTGCCTGGGTTGCCCAGGAGCGAGCTTTGTCACCCGCCATCATTCATTATACCCGAGAAAAGATTTGGTGGGAATGCAATCAAGAGATCTTCAACGAAGCAGTGCCGGACAGCCCATACCTGAATGGCAATCTGATATGGGAACAGGTGGAAGGAGGTGGACGAGACCGGGTGCGCTCTTTGAGTAAGCAAAGCCAACCGGAGCAGGTCTATTCGTTCTGGAAGACCTTCCTCACCAATCACGGTGGCGCTTTCTTGACCTACTACAAAGATCGCTTCCCAGCAATGGCTGGGCTGGCGCGCATTGTGGGTGACTATATCGACGATGATCTTGTCGCTGGGTTCTGGTCAGGAGATCTCATTCGGTCGCTGATCATGGCTCGTGGCTCCACCCGGATAGCAATCCAGCCTGAGCTGATCGCACCAACGTGGTCTTGGGCGTCTCTGTGCTCTACACCCTACCTCGTTAGCCAGGACGAGGCAAAGGTCACGCCACTAGAAGGCGTTCAAATCATCAAAGTCTTGTCTGACGTCCCTGGATTCAAATCTGACTTGCAGTCGACGCATTTCGAAACATCTGCTGTGCGTGGGCTTGTTATTAGGGGAGTTCTGAGGAGATTACCAGATAACTTTAAATCGCGCCTGAATGACAATAGTTTGGGGAAGGTGTGGGTTGGACCGGAATGGATATCAGATGTGGAAATGATGTCAGATCACAGGACTGCATGCCTTCTGGGCAAGGAAAGTATTCCCGAACAGCAGAAGTGGCGTTTGGAAGATCCTACACACATGCTACTTCTGGCCAAAGAGTATTCTGACCGCCTCAGTTGTGAATTAGTGTATGGGATCCTCGTTCAAAGTGCAGATATGGACGATCCTAACACATTTCGACGGACTGGCACGATAGAGTTCACCTCCAGAGATGGAACACCCAAGTGGGATGAATACTTTGGTCTAGGGAAGGACAGCGAGAATCAGGATAGTTCATGGTTCCAGGAAAGAGGTCTTCAAGACATTGTACTTATTTAGAGATCTGCGCGACTCGGTCTCTCTCACAATTGTTTGACAATTCAGCCCAGCATTTGGTGCATCCGGTAGGGACGTCGTGCGATCAAGTTACCAGGCCAAGATACTACATGTCGTCTCATAATTACAGCAGCATACCAAAAGAAGAAAAAAAAAGAAAAAAAAAGCAGCTATTGAAGTCCGAGTTGGATGTCCTCCTAAGAGTTAGGACACGTAGCAGAAGCTTCAGCGTCCCCTTCGATTCCCTCCTTTGAATCTCGGGCCGTCTTGTGAGAGCCTGATCTCCCGGTGTGAAATGGAAGCAAGTAATAATTAATGCTTGCATCTAGGGAGGTGTTGTCAGAACACTGGCTCTATTCATCAAGACAAGCACTTCGGCAATCACAAAACGACAACCATGCTGGACTCCACTTGCGATTTCGTTTCGAATTCACATACAAATGAAAAATGAAGTGTTTGCGGCGCCTTCATAACGCCAAAGACCCAGAGCTCAAAACTCCACAACACAGCTTCTGACGATTTGAGAAGAGTGACTCTGCAATAAAAGGCAAATGTTACCACTTTCAAGCTCCTCATTAAAGCATTGACCGCAAATGGAGATGAAGTATTTAAGACTGAACAAACTTTATCATTCCTCCCTATCAATACGATACATCAGTGTGCCGTGACCCAGAGCGTCATAGCCTCCGGAATTGGGACTATAATCACCACCGCCACCCTCAATGTTCTCTGTTAAATTTGCGTTTACAAACTTGCGGTACTCCAGTGACCAAGAGGCGTCAAGGATTTTGATATTGGTATAGTGGGAACAGAGTGCTTCAAAACCGGGCCTAACGTCAAAGCGGGCTTTCTCAGAGACAACTTTCAGCTCGCCTTCCCAGCTCTGGTAAGGGATGTATGGGACGGTGTGATTCGTGTTATACTTGGCGACATACTCGGCACTGCATCTAGTCAGTCATGGTGCACTTACAATAGTAATGAGTTGGTTGTGCTGCTTACGCATTTAGGATCTGATGGCCGTAGACTGAGTACAGATCTACTCCCTGGTTCCAGCCCTGTTGACCGATTACGCCCAATAAAGAGATACAGAGAAGAGAATGTGCCTGATCCCGACCAGATTCTTGAATTTGCATGAGGGTCTTTCCCGTGTCATCTTCCGTAAAATTGGCGATGGAGAAATACGGCAGAGCGCCGTTGGCGACGACCTCGGGTTGGCCTGGCAAGCCGTGCTCGAAGTAGTCCACAGCGTAGTCGTACATAGTCCTGTTATCATTAAAAATGCCAATGGCCATCAAAGAAGCGATATTGCAAAGGTCCCAATTCGCATAGTAAAAGTCTTGCTTGTTGTTGTGGCGTTCCAGGAACTCTCTGTTGTATACTGCGAAGATATTGTTCAAGATCGCACCGAAAGCTTTCTGGTTGGTCTTAGGCCAGCTAGAGTACCCTCTTAGTATCTCCGCTGCGTTGGCGAATTGATAACCGTAAAGCCCTGCCGCCAGGTATTTGTCCTCGTTGCCGGCGATATCGACGAGGCTGGATCCCCAGCCGTCCAATATTTCAGCTGCATGATCCGCGTATGACGTGTTGCCCCCGATCTGCCAACGGAGAGCGAGCTGATATGCAGAGTGAGCATCGCGGTATGCGTGTCCATAATTCTCCGGAAACTCGTCGTGCGCGCCACGAACAATGACTTCTTGAGGTGTGGGCACCCAAGTGGTCTGGGCTAATTTTGTGGATTCCAAGTGCTGCCAGGCTCTGTACCAAGGTTGTTCTTTGTCTCGCACATGTTGCTGAACCCTTTTGAAATCATCACTGGTGTGCAATGCGCCTGGGTGAGCAAATATTTTAGCATCTCGCCGTTGAGGCCCTGCTTTTGCAGTCGGCCAGCCGCTCGTGATGGGACTCCACGACAGCAGGGAAAACACGATCAGGTTGCAAACTTGCATAGTGGATCAGGAGCCTGTAACAGAAGGAAATGTATGGCTGTATGCGTCAGCCCATGGCAGGTAGCTGAGAAAAACCGGTGCAGGATTCACCGGTTAATATGTCGAAAGAGCGTTTACGGATAGGTACCTAGGTACTCAATACGACCAACGGCCGGCTTGGGGAAAAGGCAATGATCAACACTATGCATATGGCACCACTTTTGGAATTCTTTCTCTGCAAATAAAAGGCTTGGTCCTCAACGCGCGGGGTCGACATGAAGGCACGGTCCGGTTCCCCAAATCGTAGAACCTAGTGAAATCGATTACCACGGAGGGAATTCCGGGACATGCTCCGGAAGTCCGCTCAGCATGGTATTCAATAAACCATAAATTAATCAAGGATAGGTTTGGATGATGACCAGGTTTACCTGGCTCGCTTCTATTCCGTATTCGAAGCACAATCCATATACCCACAACGACTTGCACGCTGTCTACATCCGTGACCATAACTGAGCTGGTGGGGCCAGAACGACATGCTTCATGACTATCTATAATTAAAATAAACTTTATATTAGTTTACTGACATCCTACCGGCAGTATCTCTCAATTGCTCTTCGATCTCCCCAAAGTAGTAGACCTATTACAATTCAAGCATTTTCAAACACCACGAGGTCGTGTAATTGATCAGACCCAGATCGTTGATTTACCAGGCTATTCGAGTAAAACGCCACATTTGTAGGCTCAGCGATACAGAGCATGGATGTTGGACTCTACGGACCAGAGCTTAAGCAGGCATTTCCCCCTTCTTCCAGGCATGGCCAACCTCAATTTCTGCGACCACAAATCACACGTTCCAAACAAATCAAAACCAGACAAGACTGAGACAAAGAACAGGATGAAAGAGGAAAATTCTTGATGCATCTGAAAATACACCCTATGACAGAGCTCCTTTCAAGGGAGTGGACCGGTAATTCCACCAATCATTAAGTGCTTTCCACCGTATGAAGGCGCCACGTATGTCCTCGGACGTGTACGGAATAGAAGCGAAACCACATTAAGTGCTTTCCCCCTTCTTACCAGCACTGCCCTGGTGCCTGGCAGCCTAAGCGCTGTCGACCTGTCCCTCCTTGCTTTGTCTTCCCATTGCACGTATTTTCTCCCCCCATAGCCAGAAGATTACTGGCAGCGGGAAGCAAAAGACAACCCACAGGAAGGCAAGCATACTGTTTCCCCACCCATATCCAATGCGGTGATATAGATCAGGTGCGAAGATAGGGAAAGCAAACCCAAGTGAATAGGAGAGGACACGCGTCGCCGCGCTGGCAGAGGCACCATGTTCCACAAACTCGTCCAACTGATATGCGCTCAGCATTTGGCTTGCCATAAAGCTACCAAGGGTGAAGACGGCGGCCCCGATATCGACAACGGGCCATGATACAGTATATTGTGCAGCCCAGCCGTAGAGGAAAAGTCCCACAGGCGTAATGATGACGCCTGGCACAAGGTATGGCACGCGAAACTCGGGTTTGCCGGTGCTGCTGCCATCGCCGTAACGGGCTGTTATGCGGCGGTATGACCAGTCCATCAGCCGACCGCCAACCTGCGCGGCTGATGTGGCGCCGATGGCGATGGCAATGTAATGCAGCGAGGCGCTGGACTGTGACTGGTGGTATTCCGTGATGTATAGCTCCGCAAAGGTACCAAGTAGAAGCGTATATATCGCAAAGTCAAGGGCGAGGATGAGACCGATGATCTGCACCACCGGCCGCCGGAGAAGGAGGCGGACTGGACGCCACAAGCTAACGCCCAGGTGGCTCAGCGAGGCTTTCAGGGACGGAGCTTCGACATTCAGACCAGCTGCCTCGCGGTGGCTGCGCGCCTTGCGGAGTAGGAGGACCGGAGTATACGATTCGCGGATACAGAGCACTCCAATTAAAGTGGTGAGACCGCTGAAAGCGCACATAATCCAGAAGATCCATTCCCAAGCAACCAATTGCGTGACGATGCCGCCCACGATTGGACCCAGGGCAGGACCGAGGTAAGGGAGTAGCGAGGCGATAGCCACCGCCTTTCCGCGGTCTTTCTTTCCATACATATCCGCCATGATCGGTCCAGTAAGCTAAGGTCAGAGTACAGAGTATCAGTACTGGCTTCAGTGAACCGCGGGTGGTGCTTCACGCCTTTGGCAGAGGATGATGCACATACCGTGACTCCCGCGCTCGCCCCGAAGCCCGTCATCAGCCTACCCACGATCATCAAATTCTTAGAGTGGCCGACTGGGCTGATACCATTCCAAAGAATATACCAGATATTGCCAGCCACCCAGACCCACTTGCGCCCGTAAACCTCAGCAAAGGCAGCCGAGGCAAAGGGCCCGAAAGCTAATCCGAGGAAGTACGTAGCAAAGACAATCTGAGCTGTGGCAGCGTCGATGCTCAAATCATCCGAGATATCGCCGAGGGCGGCAGAAATCATGCTTGCCGTCATGAGGGTCACGAGTTGGCCAAAAGAGAAAATAATGCCAATAGTGATTTTGCGCCATGAGGCCCAGTTGTACGGGTCATCGGGGTCGTCAGGGCCATCCCATGTGCTCTGAAAGTGGGCGGAGTATTAGCAGGACAGTTCTACTCCAGCAGAAGGAAAAGATAGATGAAACCACCAAGTCAAGAGTCCTAGGTGTTGCGTACCCCGTATTGGTTCTTGAGCTGCTCGAGGCGCCTGAGACGAGCCTCCAGTTCGGCATCACCGGGACCGGCGGGGACGGCTACTGCTTCGAGATGGGAGTCGGCCACAGGGCTGGCATTTGTCTTCGCTTCAATGTTCATCGTATCACGTGGATTAGGGCCAACTAGCTGGTCTTGGTTGAATAGGTTTAGGATTATCTTTTCTCAAGTAGACGCTATTAGCGCGAATATAAAATAATAAGACACGGGAGAAGTCCAAGACAAGTGGTATGTGCTGACTGCGGGGCCGGCATGGGCCGAGTATGCTGTACACGATCATGCACATTGACCAAGCTTGATGCAAGGAGGGAAGAAAAGGTTGACATCTACTTAGCTGGATCAGATAAGAACGGGGAAGAAATGGTTGACATCTTGGCTGGATCAGATAAGAACGGGGAAGCCTTGGGGCTGAAAGCAAGCATTCGGAGACAGCAAATAAGAATCTCAGCACGGCGAGCGCGAGACCAGGATCTGAAAGGGGGAGCGGGAGACCTGCCACACAAGCAGCTATGTGTGCAAATGACTGCCCTCAAAAGGAAAAATATGCAGGTCGCAGCACCAACACAGCACCCCCACGGTGAGCTGAGACCATTCGGGGAACAGGAGGGTAAATTGACAGCATGCTTGGACCCTTGGCTCACACGCCATACTTGCAGCCAACCGGTCACAACTCACTTTGTTGATGTTCGGCGGCGTTACCCGTAATCAGCCTAGTCAATCTGACTCAGGAATCTCGGTGAAGCATGTCAGTCATTTGATATTCGGCTGTGTAGATAAACGAGCCTTGACGTGGTCAAGGAGTGTGGTTTTTTTGTAGCACCACAATGTTCAAACATCTTTATTATTTAAAATGCATGATCCGGCTACTATTCTCCCACTAATCTTTCATACACAATCCATTTTCTATAATCCAACACAGACATAATAATCTGGCCACAAATCTTGACAATCCGCCACTGCCGGATTCCACTTATAGAAGTCACTAAAGACGGGTATTGTCAGCGTGCCATTCACTGTGGATTTTTTTTAAAAAAAGAGAGGCACTAAATGAGACGAGGAAATGTGACTTGCTCTAATGTAATTCCAGCCGAATGAGCAATGCCCCAGCAGCCGTCATCCGCCTGCACGAGGTAGAATTTACGACAGCCCGAGATCATGCTCGACTATGTAAGGTTTTTGTCAGCTGGAGGGGTTTCCCGTGTTTGTTATTTGGTACAATAAGCCTAGTCTACTCACCTGGATAGGTGTTGGTGTTCCCACAGGTCCAGATGATACGGTTGTTCCTGGCGCAGTGGTCATGCTGTCTGGCGGCGGTTCAGTCGCTGACGGGAGGGCGTCCGTCCGGGTGGTGGGCGTTCCTGGCACAGCTACACAGTACCAATAATCGGACTACAGCCTATTTGTCAATACATAAAATCACACCTCCTACTATAGGGAGGCATCGGAGAGGATACAAGGAGTTGGGAGGGGCGATAAAAACCAGAGGAAAAGAAGGGGGGGGGGCAAGAGAAGGAAAGATCATTGACCCGTATGTTCTCGCACGAAGGCGCCAAGCTTGGATTCCACGTGATTAAGTCGGACAGTGAGAAGCGCCCAAATATCAAGACAATATCGTCGCAGCTGAACCCATCGCTCTGGAACCACGCCAGGCAATCCGACGTGGTGTCGGGCTCCACGGAAGCAGGAATCGTTGTCTGGACCGGCGGCTCCGGGGTCTGGGAACCGGCGAAGAGACAGTAGTAGTAGCCAGCCCACAGGCCATCGCAATTGTTGTTCAGGAACGGGTTCCAGGCTAGAAACTGGGACTCTGTGATGCTCTTGTGTGCTGCCACAATGTCGCGGCATGTCTCGTCCTGTTTTCCATGAGAAGTAAGTGACATGTCAGTAAGCTGGGAGTTGTGTGGGTGCATAATTTGGGGAGTATTCAGCGTTCTATCTCACCGAGCGTGCCTGGTAATATTCCACGCAGTCCGTAGGCAGAGGGCCCTGAGCCGGGACGGGCTCAAAATTGTTGTCGACAGGTGGCAGCTCCACCGGCGTCGGGATGACCATGGGGGGCACCGTAGCGTTAGGCACAAAGGAGGGGTAGTCGATAGAGATCTGATTTTGTCGCTGGATGCCAACGCAGACGTAGTAATATAGATAAAGTCCTCTGCAGTCAAATCCAAGCGCTGGGTTCCATAGAAGACTAATACCGTAGGTCTTATGTCGGTCTCTGGTGCATTATTTAGGGGTAGGATCTCACATCACGAAGTACTCACAAGTCCTCGATTCCCATCCAAGCATTGTGATCGACGACAATAGACTCGCAAGACTCACCGGGCATCACAAGGTGCCAGTCGTTGCAGTATGATGGCTGGCCTGGCTGTGTTTTCTGTGGCGGCCATGGCTCGCTGGGAATTGTGGGTATTGTGATGTTTGGATCAGTGATAGGGTGATCGATAGTGTAGGGTGTTGAGACTGGTGGCGGCGAAGAAGATGAAGTTTGGACAGGAGGCGAAGTTGGCGACGTTGTGCGTGTCGAGAGCGTGGTGGAACTTGTGGACGGCGTGATGGTGATTGTGGCGTCAACTGACACGCAGTATGCATAGTCGGGCCAAAAGTTCTGCGCGCAGTCGTCCGAGACTTCTGGGTTCCATTCCAGGAACTGGGAATGGCTGATATTGTACAGGTTCTCCAGGTCTGCACAGCCGTCGTCCTTTTGAACAATATGCCATTTGTCGCAATTTTGTGCTGTACCGGGTTGGGAAGGCCCTGGGGGCGGAACGGCCTTGGAGAATACTCCAACTGTATACGCAAACAGCTGGATTAGTAGAGGAAACTCTCGTGTATTCGACATACTTAGCCACAAACAGGTGTCAGATGCATGGGTTCTGGACGATTCATAGACACAGAGGAGTGAACGGAGGTTGAGGACCTTTCCCTCGTCCTGGCCTTTAACATGGTACCTCGACACTTCAGAGTCTGGTCAAACCCGCGATTTCTCGAGCAAACGTTGATATCTCACCGCCCATCCCCCACGTCCCAAGCCAGGCAGGTAGTCGGTCACTCGACAGTGAATGGGATACTGTGTAAGCAACCCGTGAGGGCTCAGAGGTGGCGTTGTGGTTGGAGGAAGCTCCCCTTCGACCAACACAAATCACTCAAGTACTCGGAAATGATGGTTATCCACGCTAAAGTTTGCCATCCATTAGTCCAAGTGAGACTCTAAGTCCGATGTTTCCTTATCAGTACGCCCTGTAGCCAAGGTTGGCTTGGCAACCGACTAATGTATCACATCAGACCAGGCTGCACATGTGGGTAAAAGAACACTTGTGTTAAACCATTGGCTCTAGTTATGCAGTCAGCTTAAACGAGGCTCAAGCCTTACCGGTATTGGTTCTTCCAGATCATGATGCCCCGTGATGGCATCATCTGGCGATAGCATTTTTTCAAGAGTCCGAGTCTCGCATTAAAATAAGTCACCACCTGGGCATCCACGTATTCACTCGGTGTTAGGAAATTCCCGAGATGCTGCTTCTCCTAGCTTTTCATCTAAGAAATTTCAACCTGTTAAGTTTTCCGTGCTTCTGCTCACACTAACTACCTGCTTTTCGTCAAGACTACTCCGAGTTCCACCGGTTCTACCAAGAACCTACGTTGCTATCATGCTGCTCACAAGCATTTTTATCTTTATTTCTGTATTTGCACGAGCCACCAGAGGCGGTAGCGCTGTGTGGCAGCCCCGACTGCAGCACAACAATCATGATGTGGTACTTGCTGCCGACGAGTCCGGCTATGCTGTCAAGAACTCGCTGGCCCGTCGCGATCTCCTGCAGAAGCGTTACCTGGCAATTCAGCCTGATGGTTATCGAAGGGCCTGGCCTGATAGAACGATCAAGTACTGTTATGAGTCCACAGCGGCTAAAAGCAACCTCCAAAAATTCCTGATTGCCGCGGCCAATTACTGGAAAACCGCCGGGCTGGCATCCGCTGCGTACAAGTACAAGGAGATTGCTGACCCCGGCTCCGCATGCACCAAACATAAAGACCGCCACGAGATCTTGGTCATTGGGATCACACCTGCCGAGGGGACCCATGAGGCTACTGCTGGATATGCCACTGTCGGAATAGAAGCGCTTAACGAGAACGACCCCAGCTACAAAGGTCCTGAGATGTACATCAACCACAATTTATACTTTTCAGAAGGCAAAAGCAGGTTCCTTGGGACTATCGCGCACGAGCTTGGACACGTGTGGGGATTATTCCACGAGCATTCGAATCGACTGTTCTGGGGAATGCCCTACTCGCCCTTCCAGGGTCAGGTATTCGGCAAAAACTTCCACTGCGATCGATTTTACGATTACGCCAGAGCTCGCGACAAGATCAGGGAGAAGTATCCTGATAATCCAGCCATGTTAGAGGCGGAAACAAAGTTGATGTGCACAAAGATGTCTTCTGCACTAGAATATGGATTTTCCGCCGCGGAGTATCTCCCGGAAATGTCCCATGGAGGTTTGCAGTGGCCCAGCAACATCCCACAAACGGGTGCCACCAATGAGCACGTGGACTGGAGTTCAATAATGATATATGCTGGACGCGATATGTTCTTGAAGAATGATGGGTCGACATTCGGAGAGAATTACTTGCCATCAGGGGGCGACATCTTGGGCATTCAAAAGATTTACGAAGGCACCTGGGCCGGACACAACTTTCCAACACTGCCCAGTTCAAATCAGAGTCCCTTTTATTCAAAGTGGAAGGACATGATGAACAGGAAAGTTTGCGGAAAGTAGTTTCCATTTGTGCCCGAAACCGGCACCTGGAACTGATTCGACTTCCTGACGGAGAAAGAGTTGGATGAATTAAACTCAGAGTCCAGTAATTCAAGTGTTGGCACAACGCACTGCTGTACCTCACTTCATACATGTACTATTTTCAAAGTAGCAGATGACCTTCTAGTACTGCTTGTTCTGTTGGACGGCTTCAGGGGCCTACAATTGAGGATGAAAGCGGTAGATGTGGTCGGTGTTGAATACAGTTGGTGAAGCGATGACTGCCAAAGCACCTATCGAATTATTGCCAGGTAATTGACCTTCATGATTAATTACATCACCAAAACTCATTACCATGAACTTTGACACAAGTAAGATTCGTGAATGCCGAGGTAATTGAGCTTGGAGACCACGTTTTATGTTTACTTTTAGCACAAACCCTTCTCTGTTTCTAAGTTGACATTGCATTTCGAGTGTCTCAAAGCCCATGTTCCGAATAGAAAGTCCAAAAAGTGCTCATAGATCATTTCATGAAGGTCATAAAAATCTCTAGAGCTCCCTCTCTGGTATTGGTCCAGGTTCATGTAACCGGTCGTGTTGCCAGCCTACAACGTTGGGCGTGACTTTGGCTTTTGGACGAGCAAGGTTGGAGCCCAGCGCATTGATCATGGTGCCATCGTCCAGATCAATCGCCCACACCATGGTGCTAATAAACACAATTTCAGCATGAGTATCAAACTTTCGGAAACACGCAAACGTAACTCACCCACCAAGACACCTCCGGTTGGCATAGTCTTGTTTTATCTTCAGCGTCTCGACGTCGTCCCAAGAAACCCATTGGTTGGTGTCCCAGGTCACAATCTTAACGGCGGCAGCCTGGTCATAGGTCACTTTGCCGCCATTCTTTATGATGGTGTTGATCTCGGCCACTGAAAGAACACCGGGAGTGCCGGTACATTGGCCGCCCTTTGCCCCGTTGCTGAACTCGCAGCCTGCAGACATACAGCTGGGATCCTTCATCTCAAAGCCTAATCAAGGTGGTTAGATGATTCAACGTGACAGCCGAAAGGGATCCTTCCACCCACTACGTCCGTAGAAGCCTAATCCTAAGTTCACACGTTGCGGGTTGACGTTGTTTCTCCACAGCAATTCAAGGCCAGTCTACAGCGAGATCAGTTAAACATGTTTGCTCAATACTTCGGATAAAAAAGATTTACCTGTATCTCCGTGAGGTTGGTATGGGCGAAAGCGTAGGGGCCGATTGAGGTGACATTTTGATCCCATACACCATCTGGTAAAAAGTCAATTAATCAAAGCATAAAGACAAAGAGTTAAGGGGCATTCACGAATGTCATAGGTCATGATGTTGAAGAAATCAAGGTGTGGCTCAATGTTTTTGAGATCAAATCCTCGTAAGTACCAATATGAAGCAGGCTGTATCCAAGGATTCGTCAGTCAAATCGGTAGACACACCAACGATCTGCAGAAGGCACAACATCGAACACTCACAAGTGTTATGCTTAGTCCGTAACGTCGACCGGTGGCATTTAGAGCCGCTCGGAGTCTGGAGATCATGATCACATAGTTCTCGAAATCCTCTGGTACCCCCCCTCGGTCTTGGGCCACCGGATACTACAAATACCACTGGTTAGCCTGCCTTTCAGTGAAAGTAGCAAAAACGTGGTTAGATAGGAGCCACGCACCTCCCAATCAAGATCTACCCCATCGAAATCATGGAGAGCGAGGAATGAGATAAGTGACTGAAAGAATGCATCCTGTGAGGCTTCCGTGCGCGCCATATCTGAAAAGGCAGTGCGCCACGGACCAGGATCATTCATGGCCCATCCGCCTGGATCCGGGTGTCAGCAAGCAACATCTTCTTGAAGTTGATAGGCGGAAGGAGCGTACCAATAGCTATCCACACTTCCAGTCCTGATTGTTGGGCCTTGAGGGATGTGACTTCATTGTAGTGCGAAGCCACTTCGGCGTCCATATCGGCCACGTGAAATGTTTTGGGGTCGATTAGAGCAAAAGAATAGAAAATATGCGTGTAGTACCCCAAAGGAATATCAGATGGCTTCATGGCTACATTTTGAAAGGTCAGCACACATCACTACGCTACTCAAATCAGTGCTTGACCTACTATTGCAGGACCTCTTTGCCGTATTCCACCCTTCGTAGTACCCAATGGTTTTAGCATCCGAAGTCCTGCTGCCGCTGTCGCACTCGGGGGACGAGATAACCTTGCCACCACAGAACCCTGGCGTCGTTCCTATGCGAGGATTGGAGTCAGCACTTCAAATTTGGTTCATGGGGGACTCTTCTGCAGTTTGGGTGGTAGCGGTTCACTGCACACAGACGGTAGTAGACTGCTCGTGCCTTTTCTGTTTGGAGAAAAAGAAAGGGTCGTGGGTGTGAGGGAGGAAGGGGGGGGGGACGTCAAGATGGCCGCCATAACTGCTTACCGCAAAAGCCGAATTCGCTGCAACAAACGTTCAGAGGGCACATGGAGTCGTTCGACCACTGTATCCCCCAACCAGGGTCGCACTCGCTCTTCCAGTGGCATCCAGAGACGCACCCTTCTCCACAGAATGTAGGACCTATGCAAAATTCGAGTCAGCCTCTGTTCACATACAAGATTCTGGCACTTTAGATGTCATGAGGTGAGACCTGTAATACAAAGACTACAGAATCTGCAGAACTTGTCCAGAGTATATCGATATCACCCCGAAATTTGCTAACCTAACCCGCATACACCCAAGCCCGTGTCAGGATCTCTATGAAAGAAGTTAGGAGGACTGCCACTGTAGAGGATCAAGATACGTACAATTGCCCGCAACATCCTAGGTCGCAAACCTTGGTCTTAGAGCAGGTGTAGTCTGTGGAGTCAGACGCTGGGACACCGAGAGAGGACTCGGCTTGGTTGTGGAATATCCCATCTGCCGCCTGTGACGCTACAAAGGTCACGAGAAAGACGAAAAGTAATTGAAGTGATTTCATTTTTCCCGTTGAATAGTAAAAGAGTCACGGAGAGTCGAGTAGAGGGTTCCAATTGCGACAATGTGACTAAGTGGCAACGCGCCGTTTGGCCGAAGTGCAGCATTTGAGAACTGGCACGATTAAGTCTTCACATGGCATCCGAAGTGATCATACTGAATGGGCTTGGGTGGTTCGAACGATAATTGAAGCTTCACCGGATTGGGTAAACACTCAACACGCTCTGGTGCCGTGGGGCTCTTGGCAGACACTCAGCTGACACCGTGCGAGCTTTCTTTGTAGTTCGAGGTAAGCCATCCTCCGCTACTGCTCTTATGTCCAAATCGGGCAAATGCTAAGCATCTAATGATGGGGGTGGGTAAGATGCTATGCGGCAAGGGTCGCGATAACAGACATTCTGAACCTACTCCAGTTCAAGCATGTTGAAATGACTCGCCATTGAGTTGTTGGCGCCAGTTAGATTTACCTCTTTATGAGTCGCCATGTCAATCCACGGCTGTGGTCGATGCCTGGAGGTTCCTCCTTGAATAATTCCTCTCTTTACCTACCTAGGTAATTTGATTACACAGGGCAGCACAAAACAGCCCCGATAAAACACGACAACATGCAGTTGCGTTTTTGGTGTTTAGCCCCATTACTGGCCTACCTGTCCCAGTTCACCATAGCGGAAAAGGCAGACTTTTCCTTCATAGAGCGATGGGCTGCCATTGGTGATAGCTTCACAGCTGGGATTGGATCGGGTAATCAGTTGGGAAACATGAAACTTATGGATGAGGAATGGAAATGCTCACGATTTAGTTACTCATACCCTCAGATCGTCCAGCAAGCTCTTGGTAGTTCGGTCAAGAATTTCCAATATTTTGCCTGCAGTGGGCATCGAACAGACGGGATCGAGGAGCAAGCCAAGAAACTTGAAGGTGATCTTGACTTGGTTGTGTTGACGGCTGGCGGTAACGACCTATGTTTGGTAAGTTGAATCAACAGAGACGTTAACGACAGGCAATACTAGCATGTTCTTCCCGAAGAAGCAGCTAATTTCGCCCCAGGCTGGCATGATCAAAGATTGCGTCTTTCTACCTTGGAGCGAGTCAGCATGCGAAAAGGTGCTCAGTAAGGCACAGAGCAACATCAACAACATCTTGAAACCAAACATTAGATCAGTGCTGGACGCACTGGAAGATAAGATGCGCAAAGACAGTATTGTGGTCTATAACGGATATGCTCCGTTCTTCAACACCGAGAACGAGGACTGCTCTACAAAACAAAGATGGGCCCTGCTTGAGTGGGCTTTCACCAGCTATGCGGGTACTCCTGCGATTCCATTATCAGTTGAGAGGCGAAAGAGATTCAATGCACTTGTCGAGGATATCAACAAGGCAATATCCGAAGTTGTTGCTGAGTATGATGGGAAGAAGAAATACCGGATTGCATACTCGGATTGGAGGTAAGCAGCCCATTCACACCCAAGTGTGCAAGAAGCAAGTCACACAGCTGCTGACATTTATGTGCCACGACGTAGCGAGTGGCCAGCAATTGTGGATGGACAGATGTGCTCGCCAACTGATGACACTGGCAAATACCCAAACGAAAAACAACCCATGATGCAGTTTTTCAAACCCGATACTCATTTACCTGTAGCGGTCCATGATGAGTTCAAGCGAAGTGAGATCACCAGTTCGGTGGGAATACTTGACAACATCACACTTCCAGATGAGAATTTGTACGACTCGATACTGTACAAATCCCCAAATCCACCTGTGGTCGCGCTTGATCGCCTTGAAAACAGGGCCAATCTCGCCCCAAATTGCCCAGGAGATGGAACACTGGGGTTGCCTTGGGGAATCGGACTCCCAGACTCGTTCTTATGCAACTTCCACCCCAACATGAAGGGCCACGAGACCATTGCGGCAAGTACCCTTGAGACCATCGCTTTGATGCGGGCCAAAATTCTTGGCAAGAACCCGTGCCCAATTACCATCGAGGACGAATTCAAATGCTGGTCATCGGACGGTCTCGACTGGCCCCGGCCGTACGCAGGCTGGGAGCGGCTGGACAAGTCCTACAAGGAGTTTTGCGAGAATTTGAAGCCGCCTGCCGACACTGTCAACTGGCAGAGGGAGCAAGATTATAACGTCGGCACGATCGAGGAGCACAAGTACAAGGTCAAGCTGAACAACGACGCCTCGCAGTTCAGTAAGAATGAGTGCCTCGACAGCTTCAAGAAGCTCATATTCAGTTGCGATACGGACAAAGGAGAGAGCAACCCGATGGGCTGGAAGTACGGCGGGCGGTACGTCCGCGGGTCCACGACGTACGAATTGTATCCAAAGTGGGAACGGCCCACGCACAAACGCGCTGACGGCGAGTGCAGCTACAAGAACCAATGGCTGCGGTACGAGTACAACCTCCAGGGCAAGGGCTGGGCCGGATGGGACAACGGCAAGGAGACGCTGCTGCCGGCACTGAAAGGATGCAAGCTGCTGACCCCAACCTCATTCGAGTTTGGGTACTGCGCGCCCAAGGGCGACCACAAATGCGGCGACAACAATGACTGGTGGGCTACGTTCTTCACAACCATTGGGGTCAACGGACGCTGCATGGACAATCAGAATGTAGTTGCCAAGTCAGCCGGGGGTCACTTTCATAAGTGGAAGGAATCGGGAGGCAATTATGATGATGTTGGATGCTCAGAACTATGAAAGTGGGAACGGAGAAAGGGTATTAGTAGATTAGTCCATATACGACTCAGCAATGTTTGCAAAACTTGCGATCAGCTACTTTTCAAAATTCCATCTTGTTTAGTACAAAACTACCTTAGCAGCTGCTCTTACTGTTATTGTGATAGAGGAGTCGTCGTCAAATGCAGTGCTGGAGGGGCTTCGCGTACCTAGGTATGCCGCTGTGTACGCACCTCTAGGTCATAGACCTAGAGGACGGGATAACCATTCTGCCAAGTGAGCCCGGAAACATGTGATCCGACTCATATTGTATATGAGACTCCAAGATGGATCGAGTGGTTTCGTTTTTAATCCCCATACATGTAAAATATACGTGGCGCCTTTATATAGTGGTAAACGCTCAAGACCCAGCGTTTGGAGAAATACAGTGCCAACAATAGTGGGAAGAGAATACAGTACGTGGGCACGTGGCTCCAAGGTGGATCGAAGATATGTCTTCCAAGCATATGAGCTCGTCAGTGACTGTTATTTGAATCGCGACTGCATATCCGACACCGAACCTGCTGGAGACGGAGAGGCAGCCATCATACTAGTAGGTCTCAAATACTCTCCCCTTCGAGACCCTTGAGGTACAATATTTGAAACACGTTGTCAAAGTTCGAAACCATTAACTATGTTGACTTGAGACATTGTCGTACTTTTGGGCGCAATTACATATAACCCCTTGGCACTGTTTAATATTGTGCCGCTGGCACGTCACTAAACTTTTGAATACATACAGGAATTCTTCTACCTTAAAGATGCTGTAAGAATTACGATGAATTTCTTTATAATTATAAAATATCTCTCTATTCTGAGACATGTACATCATGAATTGAAGTTGGCCATGAAGTGGTCGCTCTCTAGACTCAATCACATGCACGATAGTCTTGTCAACTCGGCTCCAAAGCCGATCTGCCAAAAATAAAGTGAAGGCAATACTGGATACATAAACTCAAATACCTGCCACAACTTTGGGAAGAATGGAAGCTGTTGTGTTCCACAGCATAGCACAGTCGTTGTTCATCCAGAAAGCTCCCGTATAGAACGTTGAGCGAAGACCCTGCAAGGCATTCGCCCTAGACACAATTCCACCTCGTAGTTGATCAGCCGACCACTGCCTGTATAGGCGTCCATGATCATGGAACTCCCTGAAGTCTATCTGCTCGACATCCCCGGCGGGAATTGTGCCGGCATCCATGAGGTTCTGCAACGACCTGCGTACGAGGCTTTTGGCATCCTCGTATTCGGTGTCCCTCGGCACAATAAGTACAGTTCTGTAAATAGGTCCTGTAGACGAGTTCCCTAAATAGCCGAAGCTGGACATCGCAGGAGGGTCCGGATACTCTAGGTAGTTCGCGGCAATAGCACCCGGTGCGGTGTTCTGAACCGTCCGCGCAGGCAAAGATGGATGCGACACGACTCCTGTGTAGCCTCGGTTACCAAAAGTTGACGAGAAAACATCTGTCTCCTCATCATCCAAGTCGTAGACCGTTTGATCCATTGTCTCAGGACCAATTGTAATCAGGAGTCGTTTGGCGTTGATTGCGGTCGTGGTCCCGTCCTTGCCCTTCACAACGAGCTGCACTCCATCATCGAATCTTTTGGCAGAGACCACCTGGCTTTCGTACAGGACATCACTACCCAACAGAAGTCCAGCCTTTTCAAACACCTCTGAGTTGTCGCCTGAAACTGGCTGCAGGCCCAAATCGGTGGTCGCGCCAGTGAAAGCATACGCTTTCCAAATATCGATCATCAGTGCGTTCTCCAGGTCCACGACAACAGTATAGAATATTGACGGGCTTAATGCTTCTAGGTCATACTTCCGCGCGAAATCCTTCCAAGTCAATAAGAGGTCTTGCGGGATGTCGTCGCCTGTGGGGAAATTCGCTCTGGTTGGTAGCAGTAGATCCTGGTACTTAAGCCACTGCTCCCGCCATCTCGCCATTGCATCAGTGACTTCTGTGGTGCTGGGAGGTGTGTAATCCACCGCCTTGCCGGTCGCGAAGTCGGCATACAATTGCTGTGACTGGTCAAAAACAGGAGATTGAACTGGGACGTTCAATCGTTCGAAAAAGTCGCTCGAGGTTGTCAGATTCGTGTAAACCTGGACGCCGTAGTCGAATGGCTGGTCGGTCGTCGGATCATGCCATGTTTGCGTATGCCCACCCTAGACGAAATTACGAGCTAAGTTACTACGGAGCGCAGGTTTCGAGATGGGCGATCTTACCAAGCGATTTTGCTTCTCCACGACCACAATCCTTTGACCAAAGTCCTCTCGTAGTAGGACAGCTGCGTAGGTTCCAGAACCCCCGGCACCTACGATGACAACATCTGTGTCAATGGCAGAGTTCGCACCTCTGACCACACTCGCGGCAGTGACGATGGCGACGGGGAAGAAGATTTTTACAAGCTTCATCTTGTTCTGAGGGATTTGTGTAACGACCATGAAGCAGCTGAGTCACGATTTATTTGGCAGAATTATATCAACGCAAAGATCAGACCACTGTAATTACCAGACGCATTTCGGAATGAGATGCGCCGATAGGCGCTATGTGCACTCTTAGCAAAAAGCATAAATGTGCGGTAAGCCATTCCGGTGCTGCCGGAGCCAAGCCCAGTAATCATATAATTATTAGTAGTCAGAACTTATCTCCCCTTTTCAGTCTACGTTGAGAACACCGAACTTTCCGACATTGCTAGTCGGAGGGAATCGGATACTAAAGTATATCCCGACCGCTGGTATGGAACATAGCCTTCAATAGTGCGTAAATATTGATCTCTCAAGCTTCTCAGGCCTGTTTGCTGGCCCATAATTAATTTTACGATTGAAGTGTTCTGTTAGACTCCTCCTGTTATACCTTTCACGCGGTCTGCGCTTCCGCTTCTGCGGTTAGCTGCGTCTGTCGCGCTGCACTGGCAGCCTCGCAGGTTCTGAGAAGTGTTCTTGGTAGGAGAGCACCATGGTGCTTCTCCAAACTACCAGACAGTGATTAGATAGTTGTGCATACTGTAGCTCCTGAATAAAGGGGCAATACAGTAAAAGCGAGCTGGGACTATAGTTAGACTGCCCAGTTTGGTGCCCGAATTAATTCACCAGGGCTGCACTTTGAGGTTGGTGAGATCTCGTAGGATGCTTGGAAGCCCTGTAGGAGAATTATGTGTGATGGCTTAAGGTAGCTAGAGTGATTGCGATACTAGTATATGGAGTCCACACTGCTTGCTGTATTCGTAACTGAGATCGTATTTTTCTTATATCTACTTAAGTAGGGAGATATATCTTTAGATGGAAATAGCACTTAGCACCTACCTAACGGCCAAGGTATCTAGGTACTTAAGTATGCATCTAAGCAGTTCTCAGTTTGTTCGGTGATTGTAAGTGACACTTCTACGGCCGACACTGTCAGGGCATCTAGCTACCTATCTAGTTTACCCTGGTAAAAAGGTATGAGTGAATGTCTAAGTCCTGAGTGCATGGGATACATGCCCAGGTGCGCGAACTGTAGCTCCGAATTCAATATGAGAGAATTAATAACGCTTTTAATGACCGTACTATATATAAGCCTGATCATTTCTCACCAACCCGAGAATTTATGCTCCACAGGTCCCTTTGGTACATCAATGGCCCAGCTGCTCCTCTCAGGACAATATGCTGCCAGAATACAGTCGTATTGCCATGCCTTTCAACTGTTGGGTGTTTTTGTTTCTAATCCCCATACATATAAAGAGAACGGATATTCGCAGGGTAAAAAACGGCTGGTATAGGGCAACATGTATCCCTGGTGCGCTAATGTTAATTTGCACCACTAATTCGCTATAGTTAATAGAAATATACAGTTATTAATTACACATCTATTACTCTAAACTTGTAATTCTCTTCCTCTCTTATTTCCCCTATTGTTGTTTTAGCCTTATAGTTGACTGCTTTCCTTGTTGTCGCCCTAGCCTTGCAGCTAACTACTGCTTTCCTTGCTATAACACTAGGAAATTTAATTCCAACTACTAATTACGTATTCTTGATGGTAAATTAATTGATTAGAATAAGTTGTTAGTTATTGTCGCTAGTTATAAGTGGTTGGTGAGGGAGTGTGGTTGGGTGGGTAAAGGAGTGTTGGTAAGGTCTGTAGGCGACGGTAATAGAAGTATTGGTGGGGGTGGTGTGGGCGGTTGGGCGAGGTTGAATGGGGCGCTCTGATTGGCTGGCGGTACTTGTTGCCCTGTACTAGCCGTTTTTTGCCCTGCGAATATCCGTTCTCCATATAAAACGTATGTGGTGGCTTGATATGATGTTAAATACTCAAGACCCAGCGTTTAAAAACAACCTTTACAATGCTAATAACAGTACAGAGAGAGTGCAGTACGTTTCCGACTGTCAAACCTTGGAACCTTGGAACACATGAGGCTTTGCAAGCCTCGCCGCTCGACGTTTGCATCCAGTTGGAATCGTCACGGAATTCTTCCCTTATATCAAAATTGCTCGCATTCTGAACTGCATTGTTTCTATCGTGAGCCACCCTCATACGGATTAATGTTTCCCCGTGGAACGCTGCCGGTAATCGTGGAACGCTGCCGGTAATAAATCGAGGCTGACGCGATTCCGGGTGCAACGCCCCGAAGCCTCCTAGATCGGGCGCTTTCATACCCCTCACAGTCCCGAGGTCCGTATTGCATTCCTCACCGCGACCACTTCAAGCCTGAATCTTGCCAAGATGGCTGCATACAGCTTACCAGAAGACATTAGTTCTGTCGAAGACTATTTCAAGGCACGTGAATCATTTGTCAACGCAGAACGAGCCTTGGGTTACGGAAGCAAAGTCAATGGTTCGGAACTCGAGCTTCGCGCTCAGGAGATTGTTCAGAAGATCAAGAAGTGGGAAGAGAACAACCACCATGGCGTGCACCTTGACGGCTCCGGCTGTGAAGCTGGTCACCGCTTCCTGCATGGCCAAGATGCTATTGAAAATAGCAAACTCTTCTCAATTTCACAGAAGGCGCCAAAGGGTGCCTTGCTGCATTGCCATTTCGATTGCATCCTACCGCCACGAACCCTCCTGTAAGCAGCTTCTGGACACAATCTTTACCCCTTCAAGAACGAAAATACCACATTTTTAGCCTACATAACAAAGACTTTAAGGGCCCGAGTTCTTGAGACATGTTATGGCTAACTTGTTGCCTACTCTCTGCTATATTAGCATAAAGCTACTTCTTTGTTTCTCTGATGACTGACTCTGAATGCTGTAGGGATGATGCGAAGAAGCAGGACAAACTGTACATCAAAACTGACTGTCCATTAACCACAGTTGGCTTCTTCGCCGGTGCATTGCCCCAATTTCGTGTACTGTCGCAAGCTGTAGACTTGAGTGACACGAGCAACGTGTTTAGCAAGGCCTACGTTGCTGGGTCATGGATGAAATATTCTGACTTTCTCCGCCTGTTCCCCGGTGGCGAGGAGAGGGCAGAGTCATGGCTTAGCAGTCATGCGGTAATTACATCGGATGATGCATATCATCCGCGCCAGACAGTGGACGGGTAAGCCTTGCTCCCATCTGTTTCGTGACTTGCTTGGTTTTAATAAACACCGCACAGGATTTGGAGGAAATTTATTCGAAGTGCCCTGGTGCTGCGGTCGTTGCTTTGTTACGAGACCGCATACAGAAACCAATTCAGACGAATACTTTGGAGGTTTGCCGAGGACGGTATTTCCTACGCCGAAATTCGACTTGCAATGAACTACCAGTTCACTGTCCAAAGCGATGATGGCACGCGCGAATATGGGCACGGAGAGATCATTCAAATGCTATCGGATGTTCTCGCAGAAGAAGTTCCGAAAATACAAGCATCAGGGCTCACCTTTTACGGCGTGAGGCTCATCTACGCCGTTATGCGTGCCGCCACCAAAGAAGCTATGAGATGGTGCATCAACACTTGCATCGAGGTAAAGCAAAAGTTTCCAGACCTGATTTGTGGTAGGTTACTACTTTGAGTCACTCTTTGTTGGATGAAGTTAACAGGCAGGCGATAGCGTTCGATTTGCAGGGCCAGGAAGATTCCGGATTGCCACTCAAGTATTGGATCCCAGAGCTCCTTGAAATGCGAGCAAGAGTTAAAACACTCGGCCTTGACCTGCCATTCATCTTTCACGCAGGCGAGACTCTCAATCATGGCGGCGATACCGACTCGAACCTATTCGATGCAATCCTTCTGGGAACCAAGCGCATTGGACACGGTTTTAGTCTGGTCAAGCACCCTCTGCTAATGCAACTATGCAAAGAGAGAAACATTGCCATTGAGACCTGCCCATTGTCGAACGAGATTTTGGGGCTCTGCCCAACAACCAAGACACATCATCTGCCTGTCCTGCTATCTAATTGTGTGCCTTGCACTGTCAACAGCGACGATCCAGGATCCTGGGGGTACGTATTCCTGCTGCAGTTTCCCGCCAAATTGAGTGAGACAAAGCTGACGGTTGAGCAGAGCAAGTGTTTTGTCGCATGACTTTTACCAAGCACTGATGGGAAGTGATAACTCGACCCTACTTACGCTGCGGGTCCTTGCCGAGTGGAGTATTGAACACAGCTGCATGAGCTCTGCTGTGCGAGCGAGGGCGTTCAAAGACTTTGAGAAGGCCTGGATCACATTCTGCCAACAAATCATCGAAGAGTACGGTCAGCCTGAGGAGTAGAACGGCGATCCAGGGCCGGAATCTGTACGAAGTGATTTGTATGAGACGTGTTCTCGCGAGGATGGAGTCTGGTGTTCAGCAAGATCAATTTGGGTCGGTCATATCTTCAACATGGAGCATCAATTACCACGTTGGCAGGGGAAGAAAGACAGAAAAATGTTCCGTTCTTCAACACTTGGGAATATTGAGTGCCGCGATAGAACATTGAAGTAACAAATGAAAAATGCATTCTTGGACATCCCTGTCATTGACTGGGGCCGCAATATTGGAACTGTCTGATGCAAAGCTCACTTCCAAAGGTTGGTTAATAGATGCTGGTTGGGGTATCCAAAGTGAGTGTTGATTATACACTTGTACTACCCCCGTCAAACAATCCGGTTTAATGCGGTGATCAGATTAAGAGGCCCTTTCAAAATGCCCTCCGTCGACATGGGTGTTCCCCTTGCGATCCGCTTGTTCCGAACCCCAACTTGTGCTGGGAGGCATTTCCGATCGTAACTCCGGGTGGATTGCAAGAGCCAATGAAGACTCCACTTTTTGATTAATGACGCGAGATATAGCACGGCATGCGCGGAAAAGAATTCGCGTGATGAATACTGTCCTCGCTCAACTGTGTTCCCCAACAGCCTCCGTGATTTGAGCGTTGCCGGCTCTGACTGGTTTCCCTGTTGCCAGATCACTATCATCGGCAATTCAAACCACTGTGACACGCGTGCAGTCACCATGTCGACCTCCACGTCGGAAAAGCAAGCCAAAAATGAAGCCCTGCTACACGATCAGACGAACCTGCTGCCACGGAAACAGCTTCTCGTTGTCTTTTCTACGATGGCTTCGGCTTTCCTAGTAGCCTATGCAGACCAAAACGGGATTGCGGTGGCCTTGCCCACTATGGCTCAGGATCTGAACGCGGCGGACACAATAGCATGGGCCGGCACGTCATCGATGATCGCGAATACCCTGTTCCAGGTCCTCTACGGCCGCCTATCGGACATATTCGGGCGCAAGGTCATTTATCTCTCGGCCGTTGCCTTGCTTGCAATAGGAGATATCCTCTGTGCAACCGCTGTCAACGCCCCGATGCTCTACGTCGCCCGTGGCCTCGCTGGTGTTGCGATAGGAGGAGTCAACTCATTGACGATGATGATAATTTCGGATATCGTATCGTTGCAAGAGAGAGGCCGCTACCAGGGGATCGTTGGAAGCTGTATCGGGCTCGGGAATACCATCGGTCCTTTCTTGTCAGCCGGATTCACACAGAGCTCAAAGACCAGCTGGAGGGGCTTCTTCTTCCTCATCGCTCCGCTCATGGTCTGTTCAGGGATCGCCTCCTTCTTCTTGCTCCCGGCGATTCCTATGCCAAAAGGCCAAGCTCTTCAGAAGGCTCGCCTAGTCGACTGGTGGGGACTCCTAACTGGCACAGTAGCCATAGTCCTTCTCCTAATCCCTGTTTCAGGAGGAGGATCATACTTCCCATGGAACTCCCCATATGTGATCTCATCACTTTCTATTGCTGGGGTTGCAATAGTGGCTTTCCTTTTGGTGGAATGGAAGGTATCTAAGTTACCGATGGTGCCCATGAGAATGTTCAAGACACCGGCCGTAGCTGCAATACTGCTGCAGAACTTCCTCTTTGGTTATGTGTACTATGCAGAGCTTTACTACCTGCCCATATACTTTCAGAACGTACGCCGTGTATCGCCCGTGGTATCAGCTGCCTTGTTGACGCCACTGGTGGTCGTCCAGTCGGCCTGTTCTGTTGTGTCAGGGTTCTATATTTCGAAACTCTGCAGATATGGAGAGGTCATATGGCTCGGATTCTCCTCTTGGACGCTGTGAGTTCTCCTGGGCGGTGGCTGCGCGGAGTATTGGAACTGACATCAGCGGCGTTTTGCTTAGTGGAGCCGGTCTTCTCTGCATCCTCGGCCGCGACACACATCTCGCCGTCCCCGTGATTGCACAAATAATGATCGGCATTGGAGCAGGCAACGTGTTCCAGCCATGTCTGATAGCAATCCAGGCACACTCACCCAAAGCGCTACGCGCTGTGGTTATCTCGAACCGCAATTTCCTCCGTGCCCTGGGCGGAGCCGTTGGACTTGCATGCTCTAGCCAGCTGCTGCAGTCATCTTTGCGAAGAGCTCTGCCGTCAGAACTGAGACCTTTGGTAGCTTCTTCATACAAGCTCCCTGATGTTGACAGCCTTTCACCAGCCGAAGCCTCTCAAGTCGAGACAGCCTACGCCCAGGCCAGCCATGACGTTTTCGTCTCCATGGTACCATTTATGGGTCTGTGTCTAGTAATCTGCATCTTCATCAAGGACAGAGGCCTGTCCAGAAAGGAACCCGAGCCAGCTGCTATTGAAGTCTCTGAAACAGCTCCACCACAGTCGCGAACACAGGTATAGAATTTGTGCACGGATCTAAGTCCGGGTGGCACCACAGGCGCTTGACAGACTTTAAAGACGATAGACGCGGCCTTCAGCCCCAATAGTCGTGATAGAGACGTGCAAGGGTGGGAGAAGCTGGAAATTTTGGTAAGCGGCAGCGGATGAGTGTTTGTGTGGCAAACACGGACTCTATTTGATGGCGGGGTAGGGGGGACGTCTTCATCAAGGAACAGATTATTTGGATCTTTCTCCACATCTATCCGCATTGGGAACTACAGAAATAGAACTGCGCGGGACTCTCGGGCTCGGACATCCGTAACATCACTTCTTATTCACAAGAAATGATTCCATGGCCTAGGATGTTCAACCATGGTAGAATGTCATATGTGACGAGCTATCTGTACTATCCGAGTCATGATGAAGTGATCACGAATTCCGTTTCAGATTTGTTCCTTGCGTTAAATTATGGCTTCAAGGTTGTACAGATATGGCTGGTCGGTCTTGGGTGCTACTAGACCATCGCTGAAATTCCATGTAAGTGTTATTGACTGAAAGGGTGAATCTTTTGATTCGTGACGATCGCCTTTGAAAAGTTGAGCGGCCTCGTTCTTAAACCGTACAGATCCCGAACTTATATTGTAATGGGACTTGCAGGTACCCTATAAGGGTTACTTAGTCCGCAACAGTTACACCCTACGCAACAATTAGAGGTCTACACAACGAATAGACCATTTTAGGTATAGAAGTTACGTAAGGTTTTAATAAAGTAGTTTATTTACTTTAGCGTGAAGTCTAGCCGAGAACAGTTCCGTCACAATAGGGAGGAAAACATCAAATAATTGGCCAAACATCCGATATTTCTAAAACTTTACTAGTTAACTAGATATTACATATCTTAAAAATATCAGATATTTTCTAACAGCTAGCAACCAGCTAGCAACCAGCTAGCACATTTTAGTGGCGACTACAAAAAGAAAACGCGCTAAACGCACAGACCAGCTCGTCACCCACCCAACTATTAATATGATTTCTACTAGCTTAACTATAAAAGGAGGAACTAGCTATAGAGATTACGAAGATACAAAATACCAAGCCTTCACTTACCTCTCAAAATAAGGTATAGCTCCAACAAATCCATACCGCTAGTCCTGCCAGCCAGTACCAGCTGGCTGCTAGCTGTTAGAAAACATCTAATATTTCCAAACCTCTAATATTTACCCAAACCTCTAATATTCTTCTACTTAGCTTCCCACTACTAAAGGAATTCACTTCTAAGACTATTTTAAGCTCTCCCTCTCTCCCTAACTACTATCTAGTCTAGCGTCTAGTCTAGTCTTCTAGTAAAGGTCTAGTTACCTCTTCTTAACTACCTTTATAACTACCTTTATAACTACCTTTATAACTCTAAAATAAACTTATACTACTATACCTATTAAAATTTTATTATATAACCTCTACACCTTAAATCAAATAACTATTATACACCACACAACCATTACACAGCAAGCAAGGCTTAAAAACAACGCAACTATTACATACCTACACAACTATTATAAGGTGCCTAGAAGCCCCGGTACGGTAGTTACGATCCCTTCACACAGTAGTAAACGCTCAAGACCCGGCCTTTCCTTTTTTTTAAAAGAAAAGAGAGTCACAACCACAATGTATGGGCACTTTGCCTCAGCTTCGTGTCGCAAATTGAGGGCTAGGAAGATCGCTGCCTACTCTGGTAAGCCAGTCGAACACCCAGAAATACGTGAGCTGTTACAGCAGCCGCGATGGAACACCTCAGTCAGCTGGGAGGATCTCTCACTCGCTTCATTTCAAGTTCTTGCTTATGGACGGTTGTAGTCGGCTCAAGGTGATGCTTGGATTTCTGAGCATAAGAATTGCCACAACAACATCGGCAGGTTCATCAGGAACGCTCACCACGCACCACGTGTGCAAAATACGAGTTGAAGGTGAATCAGTCATCCGAGATCCTTCTAAGGTCTTGTGGGCATAATTGCTGATATACGTCATTGATGTGAGATTTGCTGCTTATTCCAGCAAAATTTGAGTCCTTCCTGATGGTCAGCGAAGAGCATGTGGAGATCCACTTAGGGAATCCATCACTGCCCAGGTGACAAAAAGCCACTGCAGTCTCTCAGCATCTAATAGGCCAGTAGAGTGATTGGAGTGTTAATCAGGCTTGAGATTCTACCCTGAAATCATCCTTTTTGCACGTTGATTCGTTGCTCATGCCTGCTCGCCCGTCCGGCTGTCGCCAACTGCCGGCGCCTCGCCACATTCCATCGGCCGTAAGGCTGACGTGAAACTCCTTCAGCATCCTATCTGGACGTATTCCGAAAGGCCCTACTGTGTTTTGGAAAACCTTGATGATGTGCGAAAGGACCACTTCATGACTGGGGTAGGCATAGCTTAGTATTAGTACGCACCGAGGGGCATAACTCCGTCCTCGTTGTTCCCGAGGTCGCTGTTGACGTAAAGTTACCTAGGTATTTAAAGGGTAGCGTTGACCCTACGAGCAAGAAGATTCATAACTCAATCAGTTATTCAAAGAAAACCTCAGTCCTTTTCCTGAAACTATCGAAACTCTGCAAACTACACAGCCAAAGCCTCGCAATGGAGTCAACCCAGCAGAAGCACAAGCTCATCAACCCTCTCACCCGCTACGAAGACTTTGTCTTCGAGTTTCCACCAAACACCTACCCGAAGCAGGTTCTGCAGACCAGCTTCAAGCACCCGCCTGACTGTGGTGAGAACAGCTACGTCGGCAAGGGGCGCCTCAAGGGTAGGCATGCCCTAGTCACAGGCGGAGACTCGGGGATAGGGCGGGCAGTCGTAAGTAAGCAGCTCGAGAACAATCCTTTCACTCATCACAAACCTTGGAAATCATCATTCCCGCTGTATCCGTACTTGCCTGGCAACTTTGAGGGCTAATTCCCGGAATCAAAGTCGCACTCGCCAGGGAGGGCGCCAAGGTTGCCATCAACTACCTTCCTGAAGAGGAGCCTGACGCTCGAGCACTGGCCGAGCTCTTGGACCAGGACGCCTGTGTTGAGCACGAGCTCGTCAGAATCCCTGGAGATCTCAGGAGCCCCAAGTTCTGCCACGAGCTTGTTCATTCAGCCCACAAGAAGCTAGGGTCTCTAGATCTGATTGTGGGCAATGCCGGGTAAGTTAAAGTCCGCTACCTAGATAGTCTCTCACACTCCACCTCCAACTCCATCACAACAGTCACTGACGCAAATGGCAAAATTCCAGCACCGCCAGTCCATTGGAACCCATTACCGAAGTGTCTCCAGAGGCGTGGGACGACACCATGAAGGTCAACCTCTACGCGAATTTCCACATCATCCAGGCCGCCGCTCCACTCCTTGGCCCGGGCGCCTCCATTGTTATCACCGACTCAGTCGGAGGCGTGATCCCGTTGCAGAACCAGGTTGCCTACACGACCTCGAAGGCTGCGCTGCGGAGTTTCATCAACGGGGCGGGTGCCGAGCTCATCAAGCAGGGCAGTAAGTAGCTTCCGGGAGCAGTTTTCACCCCTTCAGAAACGAACGTACCCTTTTCTTGGCCTATACAACAAGGGTCTTAGGGGCTGCAGGTTTCAAGACATACTGTGGCCTTCTCGAGGCTCGCTCTTTGCTGTGCTGATATGAGGTTGGTTCTCTGGTTCTTTGATGACTAACTCCCAATTCTGCAGTCCGCATCAACGGCGTGGCGCCCGGCTACACTTACACACCGCTCCTCGTCTACGGCGGCTTGACGGTGGAGACCCTCGAAACGGCTGTTAAGCAGCTGGACGTGATCGGCAGGGTGCAGCAGCCGGCCGAGCTCCCGCATCTGTATGTGACGCTGGCTGATGATCAGCTCTCTTACGGGACGGGGAGCATCTACGGGTCGCACGGGGGTTTCCTCGGCGGCTATTAGATGGGGTCCAGGGAATGGTTTCCATTTTCTTGAACGTATTCAGGCTCATACATACTAAAGTATAGAGTTAGAGTAGAGGAACCTGGTGCAAGCCTCAAAGGATGTACTATTGCATTTCAAGGCATTTGGTGGCTCTAATTCCAAGGTTGTTCGGTCTTCCAGACCTGTTGTCCCCCTTATCCTTTTCCTACTGAATTGGGTGAAGCTAAGAGCAGATTTGAGGGCTGGCCAGAGTTCCGCGACTGCAGCTATGATCCCGCCACATTTTGTGAACGGTCTGCCTGCGTGGCCTGAGTCGCGTGTTCGTACGAAGAGATCATGTCTGAGCAGTACTTATACCAACAAACAAGACACTGTTCGCACGCAAGATCTACAGCATGCTCTTATGGCTGAGTCATTGCAAAAGACAATTGATCTTGCCTTAGAATACCATAGCACATAGGTCACGGCAGTCAGTCATCAGTGCAAGCTCCGTCGCGCTGGAAGTCACGTGTGACACCCAGCGGGCCTTGAGTTCGAGTTTCACACGAACTAGCTTGCCTCGTGCAGTCGAAATCTCGTATCAATTCTCTTGAAACTTGTCTAAATCAACCTCGGTCCAAACGCCAAGTACTCAAACAGGTGCCCAATGCCTCCCCAGAAATACGACGTAGTCTTAGGGGGATAACCAGCCGAAGAAGCAAGGGGTCAGATCGGCCAACTAAGCTGCCGGCGCCGGTGCTGCTGCGGGCGTGTCCTCCTCCATCGGATCCACAGGGGCGCCGTCATCGTTGTCGCCGGCTGCCTCGGTCTCGACAGTTGCCTCGCCATCAGCGGCCGCCTCGACGGCAGCGTCGGCCTTCTCCTCGGCGCCGTCCTCGCCCTCGGCCTTCAGCTCAGCGGCCTTCTGATCCCTCTTAAGGATGCTGTTGACCAGCGGCGTGGTGTCGTTGTATATCCTCAGCAGCATGGCACTGCGGTCCTCCTTGGGCAGCATGAGGTTGAGGGAGTGGAAGCTCTTCCACAGCGGGAGGACCATGCGCTCGTTGAAGTCCTCGTCGGAGCCGTCTGGCTCGACCCGGAGCACGAGGCAGCCCATGCCGACGTCGCGCACGCGCTCGCCGATCTCGTTGAGCTTCTGCCACTCGCCCTCGCTGATGCGCGGGAACATCTCGATCAGCAGCTGGCGGAAGGTCTCCTTGTTGCGAAGGACCACCACGCGCTCCGGCCCGACGTAGCCCTGCAGGATGGGGATGCCCTCGCTCTGGATGCGCCACCTGCACACCTCGGCCGAGGGCGCGTCCTGCTTCATAAACATCTTGACGCCGCCGTGGACGAACTTGACCGAGCGGCCCTCGTTGGCGGTCAGGACGTCCCGGACGAGAGCGCTGGTGTAGTAGACCGTCTTGGCGGGCTCGCCCATTGCGTTGCGCACCATGTAACGGTCTGTCGGGAAGCGAGGCGAGATCTTGTAGAAGTCCGTGACGCTCTGGATGACGGGGTTCTCTGGCGAGAGGAACTTGAACGGCTCCTCAAACGGCTGCTTGCCGTCTTTCTTGGCAGCCTTGTCGCCATAGCCGTCAGACGTGGTTTGTGGCTTCTGTTCGGTGGCATCCCCGTTCTCCTGCTTCAGCTGCTCGGCTGTATCCTTGTGCTCCACGGGGGGTTCTTGCTCTTTCTCGCCGTCGTAGTAGCCCGTAGGTGGTGCCTCCGATTGCGCCTGTGCAGCGTCGGTCTGTTGGCGCTTGGCCTCGGGCTCCGCATCGCCATCGTCTTGACGAGATCGTTTCAGTGGGCTGCTGGCCCCAGCACTGGGGGCTGCTTGTCCCTCCGTCTTGATGTCAACGTCATCGTCCATTTTTATGTCTTTGGCAGGCGACTCGGGCTTGATCTGGACGGATCCTTCCTCCTCGGCCTTGACAAGAGCAGCTGCCGTTGCCCCGCCGTCTTCCGGTTGTGGCTTGCTCTCTTGGGCCACAACAGGTGTAGATGCCTCGTTGGAGAGAGCCTTGAAATTCTCTGGCTTGGCTTTGAACTCCTTCTTCTTGTGCAGTGCGGTGATGAAGAAACCGCCGGTGTCCTGCTGGTGGGCATACACTCTGATGCACCTCTCAAGCGGGATGGAGGGAGCGTCGCCGTCCTGCTTCCGTGGGAACATGGTCGGCACCAGCTTGCCAGGAATAAGGCCATCCTTGCTCTCTTTCTCAACCCACTCTTCGACCTCCTTCCAGTCGTTCCATATACGACCTTGCTTGTCCATCACCTTCCACTTTGTCATTCCGGGAACGCGCTTGAGACCAACGAGCTCGTTGCTGCAATCCAGAATCTCGACGTTTTCGTGACCGCAGCGCTCAATCGCCGCCGCAATCACAGACTCGTTCTCAACAGGGTTCATGCTGCATGTCGAGTAGACCACCCTGCCTCCGGGCTTGAGCATCTGCAGGGCACGGACAAGAATCCTCACCTGGGTCACATGCAGGCCCAGGGCATTTCCAGGGATCCAGTCCTTCCAGAGGTTCACATTCTTTCGGAGCGTGCCATCGCCAGAGCAGGGCACATCAGCCAGGATGCGGTCAAACTTGAGGTACTGGACCTGTTCAGAGCCTTCCGAAGGAAGCCGCAACGATGGGAACAGTGTCGCGTCGTGGTTGGTGACGATCATGTTGGGCGAGGAAAGACGCTTCAGCTGGTGGATGAGGAGATGGCTTCGCTTGTAGTCCATATCGTTGGCGACCAGAAGGCCGGTGGCACGGCCGTCATCTTTGGGGTCGACTTCCATGTCGACCGTGTCCAGGCCAGGGTACGCAGGAACCTCGCGGCCGTCCTCATTTGCGTGTAACTGCAGAGCCTTGAGGATACGGCCCTCTTCTCCCTGGTGGAGCATCTCCAAGAGCTGAGCGGCCTTGCTGCCGGGCGCGGCGCACAAGTCCAGGACGACATGGCCGGGCTTGACGTCCAACAGCAGGGGAGGGATCATGCTGACCACCTCCTGACGACTGATGTTTCCGACACTGGTCTCGGACACGAGGAACTTCTGGAATTTCGCGAAGGGTGGGTAGCGGCGAATAACGTTCTTGGGGGTCGTCATCCACCATGCCAGGTTGTCGGGGTACCAAGGCACGGGCTGGGGAGCCTCAACGGGCATGCCGTCGTAGTTGGTCATCGTGACGATCTCGGGGATGTATCGGTTCTCGAGGAGTCGCTTGACGGTGATGGCGTGCCTGTGGGGTGGCTGTCAGTCACAAGGCCTCCTAAAGGTGGGAGCGCAGTGGAAGTTTACCCTTTGGAGCCGCAGAACCTGAAGCTGTTGGGCAGCTCCCGGCGGAGCGCATCCCAGAAGGTCGTCTTGTCTTCCTCGGAGAGTCCGAGGAGCTCGTTGTAGTAGTGCTCCATCTTCTCGTGTGCTTTTGTGATCTCGGTGCGGTAGCGGTTTTCGCGGTTCTCACGCTTGCCGTTGCCGCCACCACCTCGGCCACCACCTCGGCCGCCGCCTCTGCCTCCACGACCCTGAAAATGTTTGTAAGCCTCCGGAGTTTGATGAGTCCGTAGAGGGCATTGCTAGTTGTACCTACCTTGCCTCTTGCCATTTCGTCAGGATTGGCTGCTGGAATTGGCTGTGTGAGAAATTGTGATGCTCGAGTCGAGGCGGGAAGCTTGCGACGAGAAATTTTGAAAATGCGATTAATGGCCCTGCAATGGAGCTCGGCCGAGTGTGGGGGTGGGGCGTTGATAGCGCCACGCTCCCTTTAATTCGCACACCACAAGCTCTAAAGGTGCTGTGGTGTCCCAGCACTACTGCACTAGGGCTGTACTGTGACATTTCATAAATGACTAGACCTGTATCTGCTCTTCCGGATATATGTTGTACATATACAAATGCACAAGTTCGAAAGATTGTCGCACATAGCACATATCGTGGAAGCAGGGGACATCTCATCCATCCAGCAGCCCGACAGTCCAGTGGATGATCCTTTCCACGCCCTGTCCCTTCAGTGCACTGACTGGGATTGCCGCACAGTCCTTGACCCAAGCACCTTCAACACCACTTGGGTGGAGCTCATCGCCGTTAGTGACCCTTGTCAGATACTCCCGCAAACTCTTGAAGTTCTCTTGGGTATTGGGCAAGTCACCCTTGGTCGCGATCACGAACCAAGGCTTAGCCGCGATGTTCAGTCCGGCCTGCTTCCCCGGGGCATTGGGATACTCCGAATAGATAGGCCAGTCCTGGGCCCACGTTTGCGATTCCTCTTCTTCAGCGTCAGGGTCGAGACCCTTCTCGATCCTCGCCTCCCGTTCCCTGTCTTGCTCCTCTTCCTCGCGCATCTGGGCGTACAGCCCGACTTCGTTCCACAGTGCCTTCAGCGCCTTCACTGCGTCTCCCGCGCTCAGGTCGACCACGAATGCAAGGACGCCAGCCCTTTCCACGTGCCGCAAGAAGGCGATACCTAAGCCCTTGTCCAGGTGCGCGCCTTCAATCAGACCCGGGATGTCCGCGATGGTGAACCTCGTCCTCTGCACCACCTCGGTGTCGCCGTCCCAGCTGTCCTGCACGTCTTGGTGATGGTAGCTCTTGACCACTGGCCTGCCACGGTTGTTGTCAAGCACCACGGTGCCGATGTTGGGTTGCAATGTTGTGAAGGCCCAAGAGCCTACCCTCGCGCGACTGTTGGTTAATGCCCGCACGAGTGTGCTTTTCCCGGCGTTGGGAAGGCCGACCAGCCCGACGTCCGCGAGGAGCTTCAGCTCCAGTTCTATCTCCATGGAAATGGCCTTGTCGCCCTTTGTGGCGAACAGCGGTCGGGGCCGTTCGCGGGATGAAAAGTGTGGGTTGCCCAGCCCGCCCAGTGCTCCGGCTGCGAGGAGGACGGGCCGTGCCATGGGCTTTGACAGGTCCAGTTGGATCGGTGCTCGAGGCTGGGCAAAGAGCTTGTCCCTAGCAGGCAGATCTGGCACCAATATTTTCTTCTTTTCGGACGATGCTATACCGGGGTAGAGTATCCATTTCTCCAGTTCTGGATTATCGTACTCTGGCTCCTCAGAAACTCGGTCTCTCTGGGCGTCAGTGCTGTCGTCTTCCGGCTTCGGGAGGGCTTTGTTCCTCTTGTATAATCTTTGGCGGTACTGCTCTTCGACCTCGGGGTCCTCGCGGCTAAGCTCGCGCACAACCGTACCCACCGGTACGGTAATGATAACATCCTCGCCACGCTTGCCTGCCTTGTTGCTTCCCTGCCCGTTCGTCCCCCTGGTTGCCCTGATGAATCTTCTCCGAGCCAGTTTATGCAGCGAGGTCTCGCCGTGGACTGCCTGGATGTAGACATTGCCGCCGTGGCCCCCGTCGCCGCCGTTGGGCGGGCCGTCAGGCAGGTAGGCCTCGCGGGCAAAGCTGATACAACCGCCACCGCCGGCGCCAGCGTATATGCGGAGCTTTGCTTTATCTGCAAAATTGGTCACATAGTAGTCGTCGGCCCTGGGGTCGAGCCTGGAGGTGGGTTGCTCGCCAGACGCTGGCTCGGAAATGTGGTGTCGAACTTGGACAGCTGCGGCTGCGAGGCGTGATGATCCTGATGCCCGACTCAGGAACAATGCAGGGTAAAGGAAGGGCAGGAAATGCGGTGATCCGCCTGGGCACCGCGGAGCCATCTCGATTTCAGGTCATTGCCGGGATGAAAGATCAATTGGACAGTTGCATCAGTGATCAAGGCAATGATGACTGCGAAAGTGAGGTCATCCAAAAAGAATTTCTGGAGAGAGCGATAAGATAAGAAAACACTAGAGATACCCCTGGGGCGGGCCACGCCACCTCCAAATGAGAGCACTGAGTGGACCTCGTCCGTTCCACTTCTCCAGCCAGAGGTCGACTTCTCTTGCGCACGAACACATCAGACCTCGCCATTCAGCAACGGTTGCGCTCAACAATGATGTTGCTCGATGATGGATAGTCAACAGCTGAGTCTGTCACGAACTTCAATTGAATGACTTGCCGGCCGGCTCTCGTGCGGACTCACCAGTGCGCATTTGCCAGGGAGGTTTCCGGCCCACGGCGCTGCCCAGTTTGGGGACTTGCATCCGCCCAGCCATTCCTTTATCGATGCGGCTCTTATTATTCCAGCGCCAGCACGCTCCTCAGCAGCCGTTTGCTCCGCACGCACGCACGCACGCAAGCACCCCAGTGGGCTCAGTGGGGACACGCGCTATGCATATGCACAGCAGCGAGCGAGAGAGGCAGTAGCCCGTCATGCGGCCGCAGCCTGTACCACCGTGAGACGGCCCTCTGGCGGTGTGTTTGATGATGGCTGCCGCGGGGGGAATCAGGCTGGCTGGCAGGCTGGACTGCAGAAGCCGCATTGCCGCGCCAGGAGCCCCAACGATTGACTTGGGACGGACGACCGACCGTTCTGAACGGACGGTGCCGAGCCATGGAGGGTCTCTCTGTTGGTTGTCTAGTCAGGGGTTGGCCCAAATGAACCCCGGAAGTCTCCCCCAAAAGTACCCCCCTCCAGCCCTGGGTCTCGGGAGTGTGATTAATGATTAATGATTCCTCACACACATGGTTCAGTCAGCGACTCTCGCCTCCTCTTCCACCCGATTCTCCCACCTGCTTCGCCTTATTAGCATCACCAGGCCCGCTGTATGGCTGTCTGTCTGGCTGGCTGGCTGGGGAACATGTCAAAGGCCTTTGAGCCGTTCTCATGGCGGCGGCGTGGGTGGCAGACGGCTAGGAAGAGGCGACTTGGGCCCCGGTTTGAGCAAAAGGTGACATTGGGGCCCGCCCGAAAGCCTAAAGTCTCAACGGGGATTTTATCTCATTGGACGTATGCAAGTCACGACCTGGATGCTGCATGAGAGTCGCAAAATTCTGTAGCCCGCATTCGAGCCACGACATACGGTTCTTAGACTAATGTGGGCGAGCCTGGACCTCCCGAGCCGAACCCCCCAGAGAGATCCAAGCCCAAACGTCTGTGTCTCTCCTCACGAGACCCAACCTGCTCGCCCGCCCCGGCCGATAACCCACCTCTGTCTTTACTGCTGCCCACCTTGCCTCACATCACCTCATGCCTTTTTCTACGGCCACTCATTTGGATTTCTGCTCCTGGTTGCTGTAGTTCGTCGCTTCTCATCTGCCACGGTTGCTTCCGGGAAAGCAGTCGGTTCTTCTCCTGTGCTGTTGGCGATCCGTCTCTGGCAATGCCCTCGGGCCTCACGCTCAGTCACCGCACTACGGCTGTTTGGATGAACCAAAGGGAGACTGCCCCGTCCTCCCCATAGTCTTCATCTCGACCACTCACCACCCATTGCACGTTACCACGGCACTCCAGTGGCCCTCCACCATCGTACCGGACGCGTCGTGCACGCATGCACCGACACTCTTCTCCACACAGCCGGCCCAACACACTGGTAGCTCCACGTTGTTGTCCTCCTGTGTCTCCAGTCTCTGTCATCTCCTGCCGCTGCACGACTTGCAGCCAGCCTGCATTGACTGCCAGTTGATTCGGCTGCTTCCTCTGCGTGCCCTACCTATCTCCGTAAGTGTGATCCCTCCTTGTGTAAGGACAGTGGTTTATTGTATCGCCCGATCCGCTGTATGTCGAGCAGGCTCGTCCCATCCCGGTCTCCTCCTCAACCCCCTTCCCCACACTCCCAAGCCTCTTCTATCCTACTATCATATCTTCCTGGTCCCTTCAGTCTTTCACCCTGCCGAGTTCTCCTGCTCATTCCTCTCGCTGGGGTATGATAATGAGAGGACATGTTTGTAGGATTTGGTTGTTACTTTAATCCCAAGCTTCACTCCACTTCCCTTGTATGATATGATAGCAGTCTGTCTCCATGCTCGATGAGAATCTTGTACAGTTACCGTCTTGCCTGGTGTTGTCGCCCTCCGCTGCCGCTTCCAGCGCCCTTGTCCGGCTTTGACCTCGGTTCCCCGTATGAGTGTCTCGACTAAATCATGTACCATGTCAGGGAATACTATCCGCCCCCTGGGCCACTGCAGGCGCCGTTGAAAATGGACCCTGACTGCGCAATATGCCATGCCCCAGCAACGGCTGCGTGTGACTGCGAGGCAAAGGGCCTCGAGACGGCCATCCGGCAGGCTGAGGCCCGTATGATGCAGTCCATTTACAATGACATCCGGTAAGAGGGCTCTACGACACTTTCAAGGATGGAGTCCTGGGTGGGACGGACGGATCGGTGGAACTGGGTGGACTGACACAAATCCTCTCGGATAGCACATGGGTCAGATCACACGCACAAGATTATATCCTTGAGTACTTCCGCCTGCTCACCGATCGACGAAAACAAGCACATACGGCTCACCTGGACCGCATCACCAACCACGCCTACCACTTCTTCCACGCACCGCCACACCCCAACGAGATCGCCGCAGCGCAAGCAGCCCTGAAGCGAGGCATCGACGAGGACTGGCAGGCCTCAGTGCAGCGGTACCCCGAGGTCCTCGAATACTTTTACAGCCTTGGTATGTCTTCTCCCCTTGTCTGAGTCGGCGCCGAGTGGGGGCCAAGTAGTGGAGCTGACAACCAGGCACAGTCGAACTTACACTACCCCCGGACGACGACCAGGCAGTCCGGGACCCGCCGCTCTCGGCCCTCAGCGGGAGCCGAAAGGCCAGCCGAAGATCAGGAGGATTCGCACCCACCGTCGCGTCCGGTCCGAGCGTGGACTACGCCAGGAGGACACCGCCCCCGCTGGCGCCGCCCCCGCGCGGCGGCCGGGGTCCAACGCCCGGACCGCCAGGAAGAGAGCCGCGGTATTCGGCACCGTACGGGGGGCGACCTCCGTCGGGGTATTATCCAGGCCCGCACTACTGATGGGATGAGATGATTTCCGGGAGCCCTGGTCGCCTCGGGAATCCCATCCCACGGACTTGGACGGAAAGATGATCCTTACACAATGGGCTGACGACCCCTTTTCACGAGCGACGAAAACATGACCGAAGCCTGGCATCTTCAAAAGCGCACCTGCATGGCAATTAAATCATTCAAACAACACGCGATCCAGAGGTTTCTTTCTCCATTTAATCCGCCTGGATCCCATCTGACGACGTCTAGTCATTTTTTCTTTTCTTTTTTCTTTTCTGCATAGCGGGAGACCGTGTCCATTTAGATGGTGTTCAAGACATATGTTTCTACTTCAACTGGGACAGCATACGTCCCCCATCCCCTTTCCGGCCACAACAGGACGGGAGATAAGGAACAGCCCTACTTGCTTTCTACCTTTCTGGATTTCATGCTGGGGCGACGGGCGAAGGTGCTGTGATATTCATCGGCTGATTCACCAAGGCGTTGGGACCGGGATGAAGGAGGGACAATCCAGCGCGGGTTTTGTATTGGGGTAGTCCAAATGCAATCTTGTCTACTCCACGCGGATGCAAGTTTTCTCCTTGGTGGACGGCTCTCATCTCACCGTCATGGCGGCAATCCAATCCCAAGGGCAAGGAGTGGCGATGGACTCTGACCCATGCCCGCCAACGCTCTGATCCAGTCACGGCAACCGGGGTACTGGAGCGGGATGTACGAGCGGGAGACTGGAAATTGGTTCTCGATGGTTTCCTGGGGAATTATTGATGATACCGTCTTTTCTCGGTGGAGGAAGGCTCCGATGGCCAGGACAGCGGGGCGCTGCAGCTGGCTAGCTACCTCGTCGAGCTGCAGATCAAACTTGCTTGCTACCAGGAGAGGTATCTAGACAATTGAGAAGGTTTACTCATTCCTGTCCTGGGCGCGGTTTCGAGTGGTTTTGTGTCAGATTTTCGTCCTTGATGACAACCTGACTGCGGCAGGAGTCTGAATTGAAGACTGCCGTCCTGAGATGACTACGATTCGTCCATTCTCACCGCAGCGCTAAGCCTCTTGGATGCTCCCGCGTTTACCTCCTAGTCTGTCACCAGGTACGCGGTATAGGCAAGTAGCTGGTTGCGAGTGTGGGGAAGGGCGGAACTGTTGTCTGTGGCCGCAGGACGCAAGGTCTAACTCGAATCTCCTCGCTACAGCTATGCTCTCCGGCCTGATTGCGAATGGAAAGGGCCTATGCGGAACGTGTGGTCATTCTTGAAGCTTCCGAAAGCGACGGGAAGGCCCACAAATGCACATGGCACATGAAAAGAGACACGCATACATGCTAGAAGGAATATGCTCCTAGTGTATATTAATAACGAGCTACACCCTACATACCCGTTATGCAAATCGTTTGCTACTCCCCGGTACCTAGCAAAGCTTTTTTTCCCCTTCGACATTTGGATAACCAGCAGGAGAGTGACTGTTTCTACTTCAAGAATCGTCCAGCTGAGCTGTCTCTCGTGTAAGACTTCATGGATACGGTCGCGTCATCCGTACCTTGTGTTCGCAGAGGGGAAGGGGTGCTCATTCAGCATCCTCCTTCTTGTCCTCGATGGAGGCGTCCTCGACCTCCTTGGTGACCTCCTCGACCTTATCGTCGGACTTGTCCTCGTCGGAGGCGGCGCCGTTTCCGTTGGGCGTGGCGTCGCCGGAGGAGGACTTCTTACCGCCCTTCTCCTGGGCTTCCTCGGCCTCGATCTTCTCGATCTCCTTCTTGGCCTTCTCGATGTTCTAGAAAAAACGTGTCAGCAAATATACCACACTCAACTGCTATGTGGTGAATCAACTGGGGGTCTTACCTTCTGGGTCTGAGCAGCCTGGTCGGCCTTCCAGTGGTCGAGCTTGGCCCTGACCTTCTCGATGACGGCTGGGACCTCATCGGCACTCATGGGAGGGTCGATGCCCATGGAGGAGCAGTCCTCGACGACGGAGGGTGGGCACTGGAAGGTAGCGGCCTTGTTGGCGGCGTTGTTCTTCTTGCCCTTCTTGCCCTTCTTCTGGGCGGGGAAGAGGTCCTCGTCGCGGTCCTTCTTGCTCAGAACCTTGACACCCTTGATGTCAGAAGCATCGACCTTGCGCTCGGCCTGGGCCTGCAAGTTGGTGTTGACCTGGAGGGGGGCCTTCTCGGGAACAAAGGTGGGGTCGTAGTATTGGAGCAGGCTGTTGGCGCGGCGGATCTCGTCCAGGTAGGCCGGGTCGCTGGCCTCGGCCAACATCTTCTGGGCGCGCTCCAGCTTGCGCTCCTTGTCCCTGCGCTCCCTCTCGGCCTTGGACCGCTCCCAGGCCTTCTGCTTCTGCTCGCTCTCATACTTCTTGAAAGCGCGCAACTGGGAGTGGAACTCGTCCTTGATCTTCTTGATCGCGGCCCACGTCTCGTCCTGGCGAGCCTTCAGCTTGTCCTTCTCCTCAAACAAGGTCGAACGGCTCTTCCTCGCCTCGGCCTGCTCGGCATTGATGGCGTTCAACTCCTTCTGGACCTCGTCGTACTGCTCGCTGAGCGCCTTGGCTTCTGGGCTGTTCATGGTGTCCTTGATCTCCTTGACCTTCTCCTGTAGGTCATCGATCTTCTTCTGGTGCTCCACAGATGTCCTCTTCATCTTTTCGAGCGAGCCGGTCATGGCAACGTTCTCTTTCTCCTCCACGAGCCTAAGTCCACGGGCATATGCGTCTCGGAGATTCTTCAAGTGGTCTTCTATCTCCTTTTCGGTCACTGGCTTCTTGCTTTCACTGTCACCTCGCAATTTCTTGATAGTTGGTGTATCGGCCAGGTCCTTGCGCTCTTTCTCCACAGCTTTAATCTGCGCATCGAGACGCTTGATTTCATCCTGCTTCGAAGTGCGGGAGTTCTTGCCGTCGCCCTGTTTCGCAACGATCTCCTTCTTCAGGTCCAGGAGCTCGGCCTTGCGCTTGTTGGTTGGGTTCTCGGCGTTCTTCCCCGTAGCAAGGTCAATCTTCTGCTTGATGGCTTTCTGGAGGAGGTTAGTGGCATGACGAGTTAAAAAATCCGGTATGCTGAAGCTTGCTTATGCGCAGTCTGGATTCAAGGGATGGGAGGGAAGACAGGCCGGAGGATTGAAGGAGGCAAAAGGCGACATACGAATTGCGCCAGGACTTGGGCGTGTTCCTTTTCGGCCTTGGCAAGCATCTCTTGATAGACGGCCTCGTCCGGCTTGGTGGGCCGGGTGGCCACCGGGACAGCAACGTCAGCCATGGTGAGTCGACCGGGGGAGACAGAACCGAAGACAAGAAAAGCCGGAGGAGAGAGGCGCTGTACCGGGATGTGATACAGGCAATTGGTTGATGACGATCAGACCTGGGGAAGGGACAGGTGCTGAGGGGTGGTGTGGTGGTGAGTGGGTTTAAATGGACACAGTTTTGTGAGCTTCACCATTCCGCCCGATAATAAGTTGGAGACATTTTTTCCCACGCCAGGGTCTTCGCTAGCAGCAGCGATTGGCAAAGCTAGCCCATCCAGTGATCCAGTGGCATCCACAGGGTCGATTCTGTGGGGCTCTCCAGCCCGCACCCCTGCCTGCCGCAGTCGATATGGCCCGAGTGTCCGTGCATAGCGAGCACGTACCCGGCCGGCCTTGACACTAGCAGGAGCTCATTGAGCTGTGGTGGTGACTGGATTTTTTTTGTCTGGGTGCCAGGCCGTGAAACCTGAGGTCAGTGAGCCTGCATTGTATCCACGACACCCACTTCCATTGACTTCCATTCCTTCTTTCGACAATCCTGCTCCTCTCCTCTCCACGTCCAGCCTCTGACAGCCAGCCTTTGTGATTTTCACACATCTGGTCTCACCCGGGATACGCAACACAGCCGCCTGAAAATGGATGAGGACGGAAGCAGCAACCGGGAGGCCAACCTCAAGGAGGCAGTCCGTTTCTGGCGGGCGTGGAAGACGGTGCACCAGATGTGCAAGGACCGGGTATGCGACAGCACCAGTACCCTCCGATCAGACCTATTGCGCGCCTTCAACCGATCACATTCGACTTTGGATGCGCCCGCGACCAGGGATGGATCGTTGTTGCGACAATAGTAGAACCGGGATGGAGGCTAACGGGCGATGCGCGCATAGGGATACGAGCTCACCGACGAGGAAGTCAACCCCTCCCTCGAGAAGTTCAAGGACGAGTACACGAACCACGATGGCAGCGTTAAGTGAGCCCAGCCGCCCCTGCCCGTCGAGAGCAGCAGCGCCCCGAAAGAAGAGGCGACAACAGACACAAGAACAGAATGCTAACCAAAGGTCCCCCTTCGTTTGCAACCCTGCAGCCGCGCACGCCTCCAGTTCTCCGCCCGCCCGAGCGAGGAGATGATCAGGAAATGCACAGCGCCGGCGACGCCGTCGAACCCGAACCCCGAGGCCGAGTGCGGCGAGATCTACGTCGAGTTCATGGCCGAGAACAACATGGGCATCAAGGAGATCAAGAAGTTCGTGCAGACCGTGTCGGCGGGCAACTTCCGCGCCGGTATTATGGTCACCGTGGGCGCGCTGTCCCCCTCCGCGCGCAGGGCCGTCGGCGCCACCTCCGCCTACACCCAGGTCGAGTGCTTCCTGCTCGAGGACCTGCTCGTCAACATCACCCACCACGACCTCGTGCCCACCCACGTCGTCCTGAGCAAGGAGGAGAAGGCCGCGCTGCTTAAGAGGTACCGGCTGAAGGAGACCCAGCTGCCGCGTATCTTGCTTAAGGACCCCATCGCGCGCTACTATGGTCTGAGGAGGGGCCAGGTCGTCAAGATCATCCGGTCCAGTGAGACGGCCGGCCGGTATGCCAGTTACCGACTCTGCGTCTGAGCAGGCAGGGGATGGCGCTCAGGCGTCGTGGAAGGGCAGATTGGACACAACAGGTGCGTGGGAGAAGCAGGTAGCAGCGGTGTTCCCTTGTCGAGGGACGGGTGGGCCAGCACAGCACTGCGCGCATGGCCTTCGGAGGTCAAAGGGGCGTTTCTTCTCGACGCGGGTAGGAAAGGGCATCTCAAAAGGCGTTGAGGGAGTTCTCAGTCCTGTGATTTATTGCACGCGCCTTCCACCTCTGCTGTGGGCAGGTAGGCAGCGTCAAGACCGAGTGGGTCACACATAGACCATATTGATACAGCTTTTGATACCACCACGCATCGGCTGCCCTCTCGGTGAAGGTTTTGTTGGTCATGGCATTTGAACATCGAGGCATGCGCTTTCAGTGCCTGACCTCTGGGGAAGTGCTACAAACTCGATCAACATGGGAGGCGTCCGCGACGCTGGCTACTCCACGAGGAGGAGCCTTGGTATGTGATTTGAGCACCTGGTTGTGTTGCAAATGGGGAAATCCGCTACTAGTATGGTATACACAGTGTACAATGCTCTCACATGCATTTGCATGGCCATGTTGTATTATCAAACTTTGCTATTCCAAGCCTCAAACAGGGGTAGCTGTGGTCTCCCGCCCCTATCCAAACTGAGACGACACCCAAGCAGGGCTGGTGACGTATATGCAGCCACGAGTGAACGTGCCAGGGGTTGTTGGGCTTCATGATGAAGAAACCCTGGGAAGAAATGCCATTGTAGCCTCAGTGAACATATCAGACTCAGCGGTACATCCGTGCCCCCAAATACACACCAGATTTGCTCATAAGAGCATACATATACGTACCGCGTGATAAAACACCATGGCTCCTAAAGAAGACCAGATTCTGTCACGTCCTCAGCAACCATCTAGATCCCAACATCTGAACATCCATTCAATGTCTAAACCGCAGATCTAATAAGTGCAACATACCTAAAATAACATCATACAAGGTCTACACGGAGCAGGGATCTCACCACCAGTTACCACCAAAGATCATCACCCACCTCAAACACGTATGCTGGCCGTATACCCCAGTTGCCCAGGGCACATCCAACTGCACACTCCCAACCACCAAACCACCAACCGAAATCCCTCGGCCCGGACGCGGAACCCAAAGAGGTCGGGGGAAGAAAGAGGGGGGCCATTCCAGTCGCACCAATCATCAAACCCTCGGGGACCCTGCGGCCCAAGCTGATGCTGGGGTGACAGGATCATGCGGTGCGCGGTGCGCGGTATGCGGTGCGGGGGACGGGGAAGGGCAGGGGCCCAGGGAGGCAGGGAGGTTGGAGCAAACACACACACGCGCGCACACACACACCCAGAGTTTCAGTCTGTGCGGATGATCGACGTTCGGGATGTTTTGTTTGGTAAGGGCGGGCACGACGGCGATCATTGATCAGCTGGCGCGAACTGCGGTTACAAAAGACAGCCTCGCGTTCGGGGCGAAGCAGAGCATGGTTTACGCTGTGGCAGGCAGGCAGGCAGGCATAGGGTTGCCAGTTGAGGGTGATGGGTGGTCTTCTTCACATGTGTACACACAGCATAGAGGTCACATCTATTGTACACACACGGCCAGGCCAAGTCGCACGAATCTGTTCGGTATCTGTATTTTGCAATCCGCCATCTAAACAAATAGGTATCGTGTCGCGTTGTATCATCACCGGACAGGACAGGTAGATAAAACAAAAGCCAGCAAGAGAGAGAGAAGAGGACAAGAAACGCCCCAGCTCCAGGCCGAAAATCAGCGTACACACACCACCCATCCATCCTCCTGTTGTAATCCAAGCCGGGGTATCCAATCTTCCCAGTCATTTACCTAGCCAATGCATGGCGCACACGGGTCTGTGTGGCCTGGGTATAATAAAATCAAACAATGAACGGGGGCAAAAAAAAAGTTACAATATCTGATTGCTCTACTGCCTGCGTCCCGGAGGCCCTTTAGCGAAGACCGTGATCTGGCTCTGTGGTTCTCTCGTTTGCATCGAGTTCCTGTGCTGGATCGGTCTGCTTGGGATAATTCCCTGGTGCTGGCGGGAATACTGCGAAGCTGCGGTAGAGTGACATGCGGCGCGTGGATATATCGTCTAAAATTCCGGTGCTGTATATATGTGGCGCAATTCACACTGATGCAACAAGATTGGCATCGTATCGTATCGTGTCGTGTCTCTCGGTGTTAGTGGAGGGCTGAGGTCAATTTCAGATGTGCGTGTGGCGAGTGCGTAATCTGTTGGGGCTGGTCGGGAGGAATGGGCGCTTCCACCTCGTGATATTATTTCAGAAGCCCACCGACATCGTTCAGATGATTCGAATCACCGGGCTTGCTATCGTTTTCGTACGGCGGCGGGTCCACCGGGCGCATCGTCGTGCGGGGAGAGATTGCGGGCGACAGGTCTTGGAGCTCAGTGCCCGAGGATATGGACTCGTCCCTCTCTTTACCCCGGGTGTCCGCATCCTGTCCCTTGCCGGACTTGAAAGGCAAGAGCCCCCCGATATCCTGCAGCAGGGCCTGCGAGCCCCTGCGGAACCCACTCGCGCTCGCAGACAACGCGGTGGCCGGAGGAGACTGTGGCTTATACGGCGAGAGAGGATCTCGACTAGAGATTGTGCTCTGCCTCCGGGCCGTGCTAGGGCTGGACAGGTTGTCATCGTCTAGTAGTCCGCCGACGTCGAAGAACGAGACACGCCTCGGCCCGCTGCTGCTCGGCGCATCGGATAACTGGTCCGATGGCAGTAAGTGACTGCCCCGTCTCGCGTCCGACGACCTCTCGGGGAAATTCCAGTTCTGCAGGTTGAAGTCCTTGTGCGGGGCCACGGGTCCTGCGGGCGTCGGCTTTCCTGCCTCAGGATCGGCGTCCAGACCTCTCAGCTCGTTTCGCACACCAAATCCGATATCTCTGACAAGGTCGACATCACTGCCCCAGGCTTGACCCGCAATCGCCGGTCTCCTAGACCTGTTCGCGCTGTCCGTGCCGTGATAGGACTCACCACCTACGGAGTCGTATCTGAACTTGCGCTTCTTGACGCCCCTGTCCCTCACGAATGACCCCAGGACCAGAGCGTTGGCCACCCCAGTCGCGACGAGCAGCTCCACAGATGCCAAGAGCGAGCGCATCTGTTGACTGCCGTGCGCCCCGATGACATGCGTGACGCGAAAGAACGTTACCGCAACGACGATCAAACTAAGACTGAAGAGCAGAACAAGCTGGACCTTGCGCTTCACGCTCATGGAGCTGTTAATGATGATTGGCACCGGGAACAGCACCAGCAGCAGGTCAGTGAGGATGTTGCACACCCCGGTAGTAAGTAGATTTGCGTATCCCTGGCGGCAGCGTGGCCCCGGGTCGGGCAATACCTGCCAGTAGTGGTTGACAGGTCGGCATTCGGCCAAGTCGCTAATGACGATGGCGATAAAAGTGAGCCCGAGCATGCAACGAATGGCGCGGACACCATACGTGTAGGAGCGGGACCAAGTGAGACCGGTAAGGCGCTTAAAAAACTCCAAGATGGTATTTTTGAGAACCCAAAGCCTGCACGGACAAAGCACGTGTTAGCACTAGCACTCACCGCCGCGTGGCCGTCTGCTCAACGGCGTCTGTGGCTCTGTGGCACGGCCGGTGGGACTTACGTCGCGCTATAAAAGATGCGGCTCGCAAGGACCAGGCCGCTCCCGATGGTCCTGCGCCGGATGTCGTCGGGAGAGAGGGTGACGTTGGAAAAGTCGTTGTTGTTGGTTCCGTAGGCGAGTATGACGTGCACACATCCCATGCGCGCATACATGGGCAGCAGGGCGTAGAAGGCCATCTTGTCCTCGGCGAAGAGCATTTCGGAGCGGATGAAGCGGCCGGCGACGCGCAGCAGGATAATAATCGTGGCGAAGAGGGTGGCCCACCAACACACCAGCACTGTCGGCTTCACATCGTGCCAGGAGAGCAGCTCGGGAGGTTGCGAGTACAGCGACATCTTGCGATGGCACTCGTCTCGAGGGCGAGGCTGTCGAGGCTTGCCACGCCCGTCAACCTCCGCAGAGGGACGAGCGGGGGGGCGGTATGCGCTTCGGCTGTAGACCAATTCTTGGTATGATTCTGGCGAGAACGGGTGGTCCGAATATTGACATTAGATAGGAGAATGACGGGGTTTGTTGTTGAGTGCAGGTCTGCAACAAAGGCCTTGTCAGGATGGTCTTGACAAGGGCATTCACCAGGACTCGGGGTCGGGTGGTGTTGTTGTGGGAACGCTGATGCTATGACGTGGGACCTCCTGCTCTGGTCCGTGTATACCGGGATGACGGGCAGGACCCTTGGTGATTTTGGGTGTGACGACTGCAAGCAAGATGCTGCAGATTTGGTGTTCTTCTCCTCGGCCGGTTGCTTGCGAAATCTGGAAACATTGAGTGCGATCTACAAGAGTGACAGCATGCAGAAGCCGGTAGGTCAAATCGCATGCTGCGGTCGAGTCGAGGATGATGAGTAAGGCGGAGTCACGGAGCGAGTCGTCGACGAGTCCAGGCCCTTGGAAAACCCAAATTTGAGTTTCTGCGGATCAGTACGCAAAAATCCTCGGGCAGACGACAGAGGCTCGAGGGCCCCGCTGACAAGTCAGTTGTTGTGTTTCCAGAGAGGTCCTTTTCCAGAAATTGTGAGAGGTGAGAACGGAAGGTTGAGGAGTGCGGAAGATCGAGTAGATAGGAAGTAGAACCCGGATCGAGGGAAAGGAACGGGTGCAGCCCAGCCAGCCCAGCCTGCCTTGCCTGGTCAGGTCGAAAGGGGTCCAGGGCAGGGCAGGGCAGGAAGGGCAGGGAAGGGTCAGGGACTCAGGGCCAGGTCGACTTCCAGGCCTGGTCCTGGTCCGGGGCAATGGCGACATGGGGGCAGACTGATGTATCCCGGGACAGGCAGACTAATAATACCCACCAAGCTGCAAGTTCATCCAACGTTGGGACATGCAGGCTGCGGACGGCCTACTAACAAGGAGTCCCCAGGTGTGCAGGTGTGAGTGAGGGTGGGTGCCATTCTACTCTATCTCTGAGATACACTAGTGTGCATCCGTGGGTGGTGACTGAATGTGGATTGTGGATTTAAAATCTCGGTCTCTTCTTGTCTACTACTACACTACACAGGCACAGTACTCCGTACCAGGTACCTACCCACTTCCACTTCCACTGCCACTGCAACTCTCTCGATATTTTCGTGTTCTCCGTGCACGGGCGACGTACCACAGTACCGTGACGCGACCACATCATGGTGAGCCCTTCGAACTGGGCATAATCGGGACACACACACCACAGTAATCAATGCAGCAGGTGGTAAGGCTTATAGGTGGGGTGCCATCAGCCTGGGCTGCGTGGGGTTGCTTCTTTTGTCTCTGGTTTCTGACCCCCGAGTCTTTGTCTCTGATTACCCTGGGCGCATCTCACCTCAGGGTGGGTGGGATTGGACGGGCTACGCACTGCCAACGCCAATGCTGCCTATGGCCTGTGGTCACCCCAACACGGTGAGATCCGCCTGGATTTCTCGCCTATTGTGCATGCACCTGGCAAGCGTGCATGTATCCGTCGGGGGTTACTGGACTGTAGGTACAAACAGAGCCAGAGCCTCCTAGCAATAGCAAGTCTTCAGTCTGCAAGATTGCCGGCCGGGGTCACTCGCAGCCCAGGTCGCCTAATGTTTCACCGTCACGGACAGAATGACAGACAGGTTGTTGGAGGCCGGGCTACACTCATGAGTGTAACTCTGGATGTGTGTGAAATATATTAGGCTGGTCGCCGGGCACCAGCAGCCTCGTCCTCGCCCTCGCCCTCGCCCTGTGTGCATTTGGACACCAGATCTCGGATGGGCAGCCACAATAGGACAGGCCTGGTGCCGGTACTCCGTACACCTACGCACGTGTGACCGCATCACACTGTCAGTGTCGATGCCGTTATCTCTCTGGATCCACCAGGCTCACCTGAACTTGTGGGGAACAAAAGCCTCGGATGTCGGCCAGGTGCAGATAAGTAGTAGATGTCTCGATGTCCAGATCTCCCATATGGTCTACCAAATCGAGACAGTCGAGTGAGTGCCAGGGCCCTGGGCTTATTACACAGTGGCACAGTAAATGATCGATGACTGAGAGCGTGTGCAAGCCTGCAAGGTGCCTGTGGCTGGTTCATTTGCGCCTTGCCAGGTTGATTGCCTTACCAAGCGCTCGGTAACTTCCAACAGCCGCGGTGGGCAGGGCCCCACCCAGCAAAACTTAATTCCCCAACCTGCAGCATGTGCCTGCCCTCCTCGCCCGTGTACATGCGTGCTTGTACTTTTTCTCCTTCACCCACGCGTGGACCTGCATCGGCATCGAGTCTCGACAGCACGGTCCAATCTCTCCCGACCATCAGGCAATTTCGCTGTTGCTGCTCCACCAGGCAGCATCAAAGAGTGCGTGCGCGCTGCACGCATCGCCACTCCAGCATGTGCACCCAGATTACCTAGGGAGATTATGGCCTGCTGTTGTGCGATGATAAGCAAGACGCCGGCCATCGGGCAGGATCGAGCCTGCATTGGGCGATAGGGACACCGAGACAAGACAGACCAGACCAGACCAGACCAGACCGACCCGACAAGACCGGCCAACCAACCACGCATCCAACCAACCGCCCCCTCCCAGCCAGCCCAGCCACACACCACCACGGCAGCACTGTCGCCAAATCACCAAGCAATCTACTTGGGGATTGACTGACCGCCTGTCAGGCTAGCCCCTTCCGAGGCCATTCCGCCACAGCTAGCCGGGCCGGCCTCGTCAACGGTCCAGCCGGTCTTGATAGTCGACCGGAAAACCAGACTGCCAGACTGCCAGACTGCCTGGTCATATTCCATCATTCAACCTAGTGTAGACTGCCCTGTGCAAACTTGAGCCGCGCCGTGGTCTACCTCCCGGCTGGATGGGTCGGCAGGGCCCAAGTCGCCACAAAACCAGGGGCAATCCCAGCACGTCATTGCGCCCCGTCATGTGCTCGACTTGTACTCGATTCGGCTGCCAATTCGTCTTCAGCTCACAGAAACACGAAAATCAAAATGAAAATCTTCACTTCTGTTTCGTCGTCGCCAGACGGTCGTACGATCGCAGTCTCGCCGGGGCACCCTCCTCTTGCCATTCAGCTCCGCCCCATCTTCACATGCTCTTCATCACGCATTGACGTGCTCAACCGGGCAAGCCACCTTATTTCCATTGGCCCCGATCAGGCCTGCTCCGAGCTGTCTGAACCGCCGCCAAGCTGCACGCCTATCTCACACGCCTCGGGGACCATCTCAAAGGAGCAAAGCACCGCTCCCAACCGATTGTGCGCTGGATGCCTGCGACACATGGCCCGCTACTGTGTGCACTCTCGGGTTTAGGTCACGTCTTGGGCACACATCACCCAGCAATCACGCCTCGCGGAGGGCTATGGTCCTGGACAGATGTGTCTGTCCCTAACCTGTCCCTAATAAGCCGCGCGAGCCGTCCCTGCACATCCTCTCTAACAAGGTCTCTGCTTGCACCGGCAGGAGGCCCAAGGTCTAGGTCCAGGCCGCAACCCGGTACAACGTGCTCTCCTCGCCCAGTTCAGCCAGTCCATTCCGATGGTGCAGCACTCTCCATATTGACGATACATCGACCACCACTAAGGAGGTATTGTGCGCAACCACGAGGCATACGCCGGGTCGTTTCAGGGGCAACTACAAATGCGCACTCCCTTTCTAACTGCAGCATCCCACGGCCTGGATCAGAGGCCAGCTCTGCCAGACTGCCAGATGTGCATCCCCCCCCCCGGTCGCATGAGAGACCTTCCTCTTGTGGTGTCCAACTGCGAAGCAAGACCTGCAAATGCAGCCTCAGATCTGCCTTATCAACGTGACCCCCATTCTTTGCCATCTGACTTTCGCTAGGATGGCCTCGGGTAGCAAGTCCCGGCCCTTTTCCACCCACCTGCAGCCGGCTAGCGGTCAGCAGCGCCATCGCCATCGCCCCCGTTGCGTTGCCGTGGCTTCGGCCATCGTAGTTGGCTCCATATCTCAGTGCGGCACTCATCCCTCCACCGCCAACGGGCATGTGGCTAGATCCTTCTCAGGCGCGCCCTCCTCTCAAGGCTCCCACCAGAGGCTCAACTAGCGGGGGTCTCCTGGGCCCGCATCCTTCCGCACCACCTAACCTTCACCACTCAGCCGTCACTCCCAGCTCCACCTGACCGGCAGTGCTGTAGTATCACGCCAATCGACACTTGGATCTCTGGCTTATTAGTCGGGCTTGCAGGCTTGCAGGCTTGCTACACCTGCGTCCTAATAAGCCAATCCTAGACAATGCACGTTGTTCGACCTGACCAACTGCAAACTCTCTGTTGGTCAAGGTGGCCCTGGCCGGGTACAACCGCCCTGCAATCTTCAACATGTCGGCATGGAGCATGCGCGACATAGGCTCCATTGTGCTGCCTGCACCGCACCCTCATCGCCACCTTCTGCAAAAGTAGACTGAGGTCGTCCGGGGCCTAGCCCGCCGTCAACCGCCCGTGGGATATCTATGGAGGGCTAGGTCCCGATACCAACAGCGTCGCATACCAAGACGCCGCCGTCGTATTTTCGGGCTTTCGTAATCCCTTACCTCACACCCGCCAGTCCGATTTGCGGCGTAGTGGTGAGCGGGGCCCCTCTGCTAGCAGCGCGCCTAAGAAAGTATGCGGGATTGAAAGATGCACCCTTTGCGTTTTCTCTTCCCCTCTCCTCCTTCGTATTGTCTGACTACCCCCTCGCGTGCCTCTAGGCGGCTCTCCGGGGGCCGAGGAGCACTTCCCAGTACAGTAACCAGTACGCGGGAGGGGGGATGGGGGGTGGGCAGCTCCTCCGTTATCCCTTGCGTCGGAGGGTGCACCTGTAACACCACGCGAAGGCCGCCGGGCTTATCAGGCTGTGTGTCTGAGTTGCTGTGAGCGCCTGGCCCGGGCGTGGGACGGTCAGTCAGTCCTTTTGTACACTTGCGCGCCCGGAGGCAGGGCTGTCTCTTCCTTGTCACACGAGTTGATGTTACCTGACCTGCGTTTGCTTGCGTCTCCCTGTGCTTGGCGTGCATCGCAGGTAGGAGCCGGGCGGCTGCGCGGCAGGGGTTCCATGGCTCGGAGTTTTGATAATGGGGATGGGGTGGGTTTGTTGTTACACCAAAGCATTGACTTGTATTGAGCTGGGGGCCCAGCAGGATACAATTCTGTTCAATGAATGCATTGATAGGTAGGGTTGGGTAGGGGTTCTCTATGTCTGGTGGCTTAGAAGAGGTGGTTTTCAGAAGGAAGACGTCGGCAACTTCGGAAATGCAGCATAGATAATCGCTGTTAGCAAGCATGGTTTCTATAGTTGAAAACTGGGTTGGTCTATATGACGCCGCCATCCGCACCCTACCCATGCTGTCCATATATGCATATACACGCGTCGGTGACGATCCAACACCACCACCAGGCCACCCGCCGCCAGGTCCTCAGAAGTTGGTCTCGATCAGCCGCGCCACCAGGTCGCTGTCCTCGGGGAGCTCGGGATAATCCAGGTTGACCACCCCGAGCCTCCTGGTCCCCCCCCTGCCGGCGCCCTCGTCCAGGCCGCGCAGGTAGTCCCTCGTCCGGACGTTGACGCCCTCGATCCACCGGCCAAAGAAGTGCAAGTTGCTGTGGGCCCCGACGGCGATCCACTTGGCCTCGGCGACCTCGCCGTGCTCGACGGGCTGGCCGACCGCGGAGCAGAAGTTGATGAACCACGTCTTTTCGGGGGGCTGCTCCTCCCCGCCTCCCGACGACGACGACGACCCCGGGGTGCCGCCGCCGCCGTCGTCCGCCCGCGTCCCCGCCGCGATCTCCATCATCCGCCGCACGTGGCCCATCTTGGACGCCACCAGCTCCTCGAGCCCGCTGCGCTGCGAGTAGCGCCACTTGTCCTGCAGCCGCACCCTCACGCCGCTGGGCGTCACGATGGTGAAGTCCGGGCTGTCCTGCTCCCACTCCTCCAGGTCGAGCCCGATCCTCTGCGCGGGCGGGACGTCCGCGTCGCCGTAGTACCGCCGCAGGAGCACGGCCCTGCCGCGGACGTCGCCCAGCCTCGCCGTGGTGGGCGCCGTGTACCACCTGCTGCCGGAGCCGTCCTCGTAGGCGGGCGTGCTGTCGATCGCCGCCCTGACGGCGTCGTAGAAGGGCTTCGGGTTGGCCTTCTGGCCCTTGGACCTGTCGTCGTTGTTGATGGATATCAGGACCGTCTCGGTTGCTTTTTTTCCCGGCCTCGGCCCGATGAACGCCCACACCTCGTCCATGACGCTCTCGAACGAGAGGCCCCTGGGCATGTTGATGGGCACGCCGCCGTGGTAGCAGTACAGCCGCCCGTCGTCGTGCCGCCGCAGCCGCAGGTCGAGGAACCGCACGCCCAGCGCGAGCTGCTGCGTGACGCTCAGGTACTGCGTGCGCACGTAGGGGATGTTGCTCCTCGCGCAGCTGTCGTGCGTGCCCGGGATCGTCAGCGCGCTCAGCCACAGCGAGCCGTCCAGCGCCCCCATCCACCCGCCCAGGTCGTACCCCAGCACCGGCCGGCTGAACCACCGCAGGTCGCCGCGCCACAGCCCCGAGAAGACGCAGTGCACCCGCCCGCTGACGACGGCCACCTGGGGGGCGAAGCGGCCCTTTGCTGACGCGCCGCCCACCCGCTCCGGCTCGCCCCACGACCTGCTGCCGTCCGCGTGCGCCGCCACGTACACCGCGCCGCCCTGCGAGGCGTCCAGGAAGCTCAGGTACGCGTGCCCGCCGTACGAGGCGCCGCTGACGCCGCGCGTCGCCCGGCCCTCCGACACGTCGTCGGTGGGGTCCCATGCCCACCCGGACTCGCGGTAGCCGTACTTGTAGCCGAGGATGTCGCCGCCGCCGCCGCTGTCGGGGGTGGCCGCGGCCTCGCAGAGCACGTGCAGGGCCCCGTTCAGCACGAACATTGCCGGCTTGCCCTGGAACCTTGGGCTCGTGCAGATGCTGCTGGGGGGTGACCAGGCGTTGGAGTCGGAGTCCCACTGGGTGTAGGACAGCGTCTGGTCCGGGCTGATGAATGCTAGGAATAGCTTGTTGTGGAAGGCCGCGATGGCTATGCCCCTGCTGTCCTTTGCGGCGACGCAGCCTCCCGGTAGGGGGCCTTGGTGGATGAAGCCGTCATCGTCTGTGTCCTTGATGTAGTGGGCCATTGCACCTGTGTCCGCCGAGACGATGATGGCGTGTAGCACGCCGTTGAGGTTGGCTATCATGGGGACCCCATTCTTGCCGCTGCCCTCGTGGTAAGGGAACTTTTCCGGGCGCCCGAATGCCTCGCCAACGCCGTCGGGCACGGTTGAGCTGTACCATAGCTGGTCGTCAAAGTCGGCCCAGACCGCCCACAGGCTGCCGCGGTGCGCGGCGATGGACGGCGGGACCTTGGAGCGCAGGTGCTCGCTGGGGCGGTCCGGGTGGACGACGAAGCCCTGCTTGGTCGGGCCCTGAGGGAGCCATGTTGAGGTCGTGGAGCTGCCTGGGTCGCTGTCCCTGTTGCGCTCAATGTTGGGGTTGCTGGGGTCCTGCAGGTATGGGTCATGTGGCGGTCTCGCGTCGAGATCTAATGTGATATCCCAGGACGGGAGACCGCATGCTGGTGATGTGACGGACGACCTGGTCATTTCGTGAGATGGTTCTCGGAAATGGTATCAGGTCTTTGAGTGAGTGTCCTCTGGCACTGACACGGGTCTGTTTATGGCTGATGAGGGCGGTCGGAAATCCTGGAGGTCAGGCGGATCCGGATGTGCTGGCCGGTTCTTGGTGTCCTGACCGCCTCCTGGCAGACATCACCTCAAGGCACACAATCCTTGACACATTTGGTGAATTGGCCTGCGCTGAGTTCGAGAGCCATTGGCATGTTCAAGAATATAACATCAACTCTCATGTCCATGGATGGTTGAAGACACGTGAACTAAGCTGGAACGCATTCGGCCGATCGGTGTCACCGAGGTGGGGCATCATCAAGTAGTGTCAGACGCTGTGGCCAGGATGCCAAAAGTCGAGAGAACTTTGGAATGGAATGCTCTCCCGCCCTTGAGATGTTGCGAGGTCACCTTTCCGTATGAAAATTCAAGATGGGGTCCACGATACCAACATGTATGCACGGAGCAATTAAAAGTATACTCGCACAGATGTTCAGGCATTGATCATTTGACGACCTCGGGAGTTAACAGCACGTCAAGTCCTAACCCTCGACTCCAACCGGGTCACGGCCGCAAAAGCCGTTCAATGGCATCACTCTCATCCGAGCACACGAACCCATCCATAATCTCTCATGGTAAGGTTTATGTTCACGAAGCTTGATTGTTGTGATCAATTGCGGTCTCCATATAAGCCCCACCTTCACCCTCTGCCATTGTCGCCTTGAGACCTCTTTCCCATAACATTGCTGTCTGTTTGGTCTGTATTATCACCAACTTGAAGACGTCATGAATCATCAACGACATTGAGGGCCCTTGCTAAACCGCTGTAGTCTTAAACGTCACTCACGGCCTCATTCGAGTGCACACCTGTTGACTCAAGTCATATCTACACACAATAACGCCGCCGTCACTTCTCACAAACACCTTGGATGAGTCCCAGCCTGGCCTCACGAGCCGTACTGAAGACGGTCCCGCCTCTCAAATCATCTGCGTCCGCCACATCCGTTCCCAGCAACGCCAACCGAAGGCTCATCAACATATCCTCCCACCTCACCAAGATGGCAGCCCAAACACCAACAGCCGCCGCCCCGTGGCGCGCCCAGCTCCTGGACCACATCAGCAAGCTCGACTCGCCCACCTTCACCTTCGCCTCGCTGCACCCGGGCGCCAGCGGCTCCCCGTCACAGGCCGGGGCCGCCGAGCCCAGGGGCCGCACCTGCGTCTTCCGCGGCATGTGGGCCTCCCTGCCGCCCAACGACAAGAACACCGCCCAGCGCAACCCGGACGCCTACGAGTCCGACTGCCTGACCCTGACCACCGACGCCCGCATGGCCAAGGTCCCCGAGCTCTTCGGGTCGGGCGGGACGCCCGCGGCCTCCTCCTCCTCGGGCGGCGGCGGGCCCGTCGAGGCCATGTTCTGGGTCGCCGCCGCGGGGACGCAGTGGCGCCTGCGCGGCCGCGCCTGGGTGCTCTCCCACGCTGACATCGGCGGGGCCGGCGGCACGGCGAGCAGCCCCGGCGCGAAGGCGGCGCGGGAGGCCATCTCGGCGCGGATGCGGCCCACCGGCAGCGGCGGCGACGGCTGGAGCTGGGAGAGGGAGGTCGAGGCGCACTTTGGGAACCTGAGCCCCGGCATGCGGGGCAGCTTCAAGAACCCGCCGCCGGGGGCGCCGAGGGCCCAGGAGCCCGGGCCCGGGGAGGGCCTGGGCCAGAAGGTCGGCGACGAGCTGCTCGGGGACGAGGTCGCGCGGAGGAACTTCCGCGTCGTCGTCATCGTGCCGGAGGAGGTCGACACGTGGGACGGCAAGGACCCTGATGACCAGCGGCGGTGGGTCTACACGTTTGTTGGCCCGGAGGCGAAGGCGACGCGGCCTGGTGGCGAGGTCATCGCCGGGTGGGAGAAGGTCGAGGTCTGGCCGTGATTGGTGTGCAGAGGTAGAAATCGAATCGATCACACTCACAACCATGTGCTCCATTTGAATGTTGCACCTATCATCTCGCGCTCTGTGTCCCTTGGTACTTCTAAGGGCCAAATATAAAAAGGCCTCGGCCTGAGCGTTTAACACCATATGAAGGCGCCATGTATGTCCTCGTAGGTATGTGTCATAGAAGTGAAACTAGATAGAAAGGCTTCAGCTTGTTAATTCATGCGATTTGCATTGATGTATAAGCCTTATTCTATTATATCTACTTAGTAAGTTAATACTAGTTTATAAATATAAAACCACTAATTCACCATAAGATCGGGTAACTTTAGGGGTCTTCTCTAATTGCTAAAATATAAGCATCACTTGTAATTAGATTTATAAGAAGAGGAGACTACTGCTCCAACCCTAGTGGATGAATACCACCTGGCGGAGATTCATAATGGAACATATTGCTTCGACTGCTAGGCTAAGGGCGAGTCAGCCGGCAGCATCCACGGATAGGTACTTTAGAGCCCTATAAAATAGAGATCGGAGATTTATAGGGTGAAAAACGGAGGGTATAGGGTAAGATATACCCCTAATATACTAACCTTAATCTATACTATTAATATACTATATAAAACTAAAATTTATATTTATTTATTATATACTTCTTTATTAATTTTTAATTTCTTACTCTTTTATTATTATTTTTAATTTAATATTTTACTATTTTTTTTATTTAAAACACTCTAATAAATATTTAAGCACTATAATCTCCTTTTAAATTTTCTTTTTATTATTAATAAGGTTCTTTATAATTAAATTAACTTATAATAACTAGTTAATAATTCTATAAGTTTTTATATAAAGCTTTTAATTATTAATTTAAATATTAATATTATTATTATTAGTAAAGTTAGTAAAGTTATTTTATAAAATATTATTTTATTTATTAATAAATTAATAGTTATATAAGCTTTATTATTAATTATTAGTTTTATTAAATAGCTTTTTATTAGTTTTTATTATAAAAGTTAATTTAATTTAAAAATTAAAAGGTTTTATTATTTTATTTAAATATTAAGTTAATATATTATATAAAAGTTATAATTACTTTTAATTTATTATTTATTTTATTATTTAAATTAATAATTATTAAAGTTGTTTTTATTTATTATAAATTTTTATAATTTATATAAATTTCTTTTTATTTATAATAAATATAATTATTTTATAAGGTTATTCTTTTATAATAATAATCTTTATTAATAAATAAATTATAAAAGAAAGTTTTAATTAAAAGTTTTAATTTAATTAATAAAACTTATAAATATCTATCTTTTAAAAGAATAACTAACCTTTTATAATTAGTAATTTAATTTATATAAAATAAATTAAATTAAATAAATATAAAGTATATATAATTTATAAATAAATAATTACTTTATAAAACTTATTCTTTAAATATATATAATATATAGCTTTTATTATTATAAAAACTTAAAGGTTATTTATAAAACTTAAAGTAAAAGTTTATTTAATTACTTTTATTTATGAAACTTTTCTAATAAAAATATTTTCTAATAAGCTTTTTATTATATAGAATATAAAAACTATTAATAATTATTTTATTAATAACTTTAATTAAATAAAAATATTATTTATTTTATAATTTAAAAAACTTTTAATTTTTAATATATAATTTTTATAAAAGGTTATATATAAGTTAAAGTTAAGGATTTTATAAGTTTTATAAATAATTTATTTAATAATAACTTTTTTATTAATATATTAAATTTAAAAATAATTAATAATTATTATTTAATTTAAAAAACTTTTAAAAGTATTATTAAATTATATTATTAATTTTATAATTAATTAAGTATTTTATAATTTTAAAAAAGTTAAATAAAATTTTATAAATATAGAGAATATTTTTAATATAAAGACTTTTATAAATGTTATAGCTTTATTCCTTTTAATATATTAAATAAAATTAAAACTAGATTTTCTCCTTATCTACTTCCTCTACTTTCTTCTCCTTTTACTCTTATTATTAATAGCTTTTTACTTTTTAATATATAAAATAATATTTAAATTAATATAAAAATATATAATTAATAATATATTTTAAGGAATTTATATTTTAAAATATTAATTAAAATAATATAAACTATTTATATTTTTAGTTTTATTATTAAGTTAAAAGTAAATAGTTAAAGTTTTAAAAGAATAAAATATAATATATTTTTAAAATTAATTTAATTAAGTTTACTATATAAAACTTTTATAATAACTTTATAATTATTTATAACACTATTTATTATTAAAAATACTTTCTTATATTAATATATTAAACTATACTTAATTTATTTAAGTTAATACTATTAGTTTATTAAAAGTTAAAGCTATTATAAACTATAAGCTATTTAATTTTAATATTATTAAGTATTATATATAATATTACTATATAACTTAAGTATAAGTTAGTTAAAATAAGTAAAAATAAAAGCTACTATTCTTTTAAAAGTTTTAGCTTTATTTTATAAATAAATATCTATTTATTAACTTTATAAATAAAACTATTTAAAAGTAATTATTTAATTAAACTAAAAGATAATTAAGTAAGGTAACTATACTTTATTATTATATATAGTATTTAAGTTTATAATTCTAATAGCTCTATAAAAAATAGCTATTAATAACTAAGTCTATAATTATATAAAAGTAAACTTTTACTTTAAAAAAACTATTATTATTTAAAATAATTAATATATTTCTAAAAACTAAAAAACTATAAGCAATTTAAAGTATATTAAAATCTATAAAAATTTTAAACTTAAGCAAAGGTTTTAAATTAAAGTTTATACTTATAGAAATAAAAGCTTTTATAAAGCTTAAAAAGCTTAAATAAAGTTAAACTAAGTTATAATATAATAAAATAGTTAAATAAAAATTAGTTAAAAATTATAATTATAAATCTTTTAACTTTATATTTAAAAGGGTAATTAAAGTAATATTATAATTAATTATATAGATTATTAAGTTATTAGTTTAATAATAATAAAAGGTTATAAATTTATTTTAGAAATTATTAAAAATTAAATTCCTTTTATTATTAATAATACTTTAAAATAAAAATAAGTTCTTTTTATATATATTATATAAATACTTTAAAAGTATAATATTTTTTATTATTTATTATATAAATATAATTTATTAAAAGATATTATATAAAATAATTCTTTTAAATTTAAGTTAATTATTCTTTTATATATTAAAAATATTTATAATATAACTATCTTTATTAATAGTAAAATAATATTAATATTTTTCTTTTAAATAGAGTTAATAAAGTTTAAATTAAAGTATAAATTCCTTATTTTTCTTTATATTAATTTATTAATTAATTCTTTAAAATATATATTTTTAAATAAATACTTAATTATTATTATTAAAATATTTATTTAAACTTTTTAATTTTATTATTAAAAGTCTTTAATAATATAAGTAAGAAATTTATATTAAAAGTTTATTAACTTTTAAAAACTATAAAATTATATTTTAAATTATTAAAATAAAGGATTTATTTATTAAAAATCTTTATAATATAATAAGTAAATATTAATTAACTATAATTAACTTTAATTAAAAGAAAAGTTTATTATTATAATAATTAAATATTTAATATTATAATAATATTATATATATATATATATATTAAATTAAAGTCTTTTTAATTATTATATAATTAGTTTACTTTATAGTTTTATTTAAATTAACTTTTAAGTTTTTATAAATATTATATTTATTATAAAAAAGTTTTAAATAATTAAAAGGTTAGAAAAGTATTAAAAGGTAGTTATTTATAATAATAATATAAATATTTTAATTTTAATAATTTATTTATTATTATACTTTAAAATAAATATAATTAAAATATATAATATTATTATAATATTAAAAAATTTAATTTTAATTATTAAAAATATATTTTTAATATTATAATAATTAATTATATTAAATATATAATAAATATTATATATTTTAAATAGTTAATAAAGGAGTATTATTAGGTAAATAAAGGAGGATTAATAGATCTATAAGTTAAAGTATAAAAGGTACTTAGTTAGGGTAGTATAGGTAGTATAATAAGGTTAAATAAAGCCCTTTAATTAGCTAGTAGTACTTCTTACTCTATACCCTCCATTTTTCGCCCTGTAAATCTTTAATCTTATAAAATAGAGCCGTTAACTCTTTTAGTAATAGTTATTTTAAAGGAGAATGGATGGATGAAATGTAAAAAAAGAAAAAAGAAAGTCTCCGGAGCGTGATTTGAACACGCGACCTGTGGATGGCTAATATTACAATTACAGTCCATCGCTCTGCCAACTATTTTGGGTTAGATTGAGTTCCATATTGAGGATTTAATGGATCAACGTGCCTGAGCTATCCAGAGGACAAAAAAGAAGAGGGAAAATAAAACTATGAGGAGAAGAAGTGTGAGCTAAGAGGAAAAATAAAGATAAAAGTTTTAAAAATATTAACTACTTTAACTTTTATCTCTTTTAAAATATTACCTACCTTAACTTTTATTTTTTTTAAAATATTAACTACCTTAACTTTTACTTTTTTTAAAATATTTAATATTTAATAAAAATATAATATATTATTTTTTATATTAATATTTATTAATTATTTTTATATTTATTTTATTTTTAAATTATTAATAATAATATAAATCTTTTTTAAAAAAAACTTTATAAAACTTTTATTTAAATTTATATATATATATATTATATTCTTATTATTATTAATATAATATAAATATATTATATTAATTTTAAATATATATAAAATAAAAATAAAATAAGATATAATTTATTATATTAATAAATTATTAATATAATAAAAAGTTTAAATAATAAATATATAATTTTAAATCTTTAAAAATATACTTATTAGCTTATATATATTAAATTTAAATAGTTTATTATTTAAGAGGTTATTTCTTAGGAGGTTATTATGTAGGAGTCTTGAAGTTAGGAGATTAGAAGCTAGGAGATTAGACGCTATGAGGTTGGAGGCTAGGAGCTGGGAGGTGAAGAGCTGGGAGGTGAAGAGCTGGGAGGTTGGGAGGTTGGGAGGTTGGGAGGTTAAGAGGTGGGAGGTTAAGAGGATAGGAGATAGGAACTTAAGTGGTATGAAAATAGGATGCTATTACCCTAGAGGGCTTCGGCCACACCATAATCTACGAGCCTTGGATTTGGACTCTACTGATTGAGAATACAGAATACTTTTGAATTAGAGATGACCTCGGAAGTGAGACCCTCATGTGCCTCATTGTCAGGGTTAATATAATCAACATCACAGATTGCCTGATCATCAATTACAACCAGATTCAAGGTCACCTGATCTGTTGAGTCAACAGAGATATCAGCATCGCCTCTCCAAAGTTATGGTAAACAGACTGTCCTGGGAGAAGGCTTCTGTGAGATTTCCTCCAAAGGGACGCCCTCTTCTCGTCCAATATAAGACCCCTAATATGATGGACTTCAGTAGGTATCTTAAATACGAAAACCGCCCATCAATATCCTCTTAAACAATGACTTCTCATACAACAGCCTCTTATAGGACAACCTCTTATGGGATAACCTTCTATAAGAAACCTTCTTAACCTCCCACAGGGACCTCCTCCGAGACACCCTATTAATTACGACGTTTCTTTAAGCATTTACCACTTTGTGATGGGATCGTACGCCCTCGGGATATATACGGAATGAGGACGAAACAACACCCAACACGCCGAAATTCTGACTATATCGCAAATGTGAGTTGTCAACTTCAAGTGCTAGTGGTGAGTATTGAGCTTACCAATCTAGAGGCATCGGACAGGTGTTTGAACAAAGCATGTGGACTTTCCGCTCTGCACACCTGATATAATCCTTCAACTCGGGTCTCATTGGCCCACATGATGCGAGCCTTATTCCTCTGACAAGTGTCACGAGGCATAAGCAGCGGGGGCGGGACACGCATCGTCAGACTAAGTGCTTGGCAAATCCTGCAGGCAGCCGACCTCCATTGCAGGCTCTTGTGGTTTTTCTCCCTCATTCAAACTATTTTCCCCCAGTGGACCTATTCACTATGGAGCATACAGCCATGAAGTTATTCGCTGCGGCATCAGCACGATCGGTACTGCTTTCACCTAAGCAGCTCTCTGATCCAACAATGTTGGGGCAACCCAGCGGCGAGGTTTTACGAGGCATCAACCTCGCATTCACTGCCATCACGATGCTGCCTATAGCCTACATGATATTCGTCAGCTTCTATCGCGTACGCGGCGACAAAGATCCGGCACGGCTAGCGTTCACGTATCTGAAAGTCATGTTGCCGTTGAAATTCCTGTAAGTTTGATTTGATAGGATCATAGACGGACCTTTTTACGCCATGGGACTGCCAGATCCGGTGATTCCCGAGAGGTGGTTGTTTTGCTACTCTATCTGACTCGTTTTGTGTAGTGCACTCCTTATGTACACGATATCAAGTGCTCTCGCGTTGATAGATCTCGATTCTGCCGGCGACGGCTGGTATATCCTCTTCCGGGTTTCTTACCACATAAGCCTGGCAGGAGGCCTCTTGTCCCGCGTTGTTGACCTGCTTCTGGTTATGACACTGGTTGAGGTGGGCAACGGTTTCCTCTTTTGCCACACGGAGTCGAGAACCTTGTTGCAACGGGTGTTGCGGTACGCTGCCATTGCGTCGTGCATCATCCTTGCCGTTGTTGCAATTATTGCCTTTGGCATTATGAACGCCGCGATTGCAGGCTTTGAGACCCCGGAATGGACCTGGTACGATCTCATGAAGGCGGCCGCGAAGCTGTCTGCTTTCGTTGACATCTTCCTATTTGTCTGGGCTGGGGCCCTGATGGGTTTCTCCACGCACGTCTATAACAAGGTCAAGCACAATGGTGCCTTGAGAGATGTGAGTTGCCCCGGTTGCTGCAGCCGGTGTATGATGTTCCTGGTACGTACGGTCCTGCTAACTCACCTCCCACTGCAGTCATCGATGCTGTTTGTCTACGCCGCTATCCTAAACCTAGTTACTCGCCTATACGCCTTCGTCCTCGTGTCTATCTTCACACTTGCGGGCGTCATTTTGTATGGCTCTTCTGCGATCTACGCGGCCATCCTAATCGCCGGCCCGATCCTCACCGTATGGACGTACGCCGCCATTGCAGGGTTTCTAGTCGCCATCGCTATTCGCAAGCATGATGGGCTTTGGACCACTGTGCAGGCGGGAACAGAGGAAGAGAGCCAACCCTTCCTTGCTACAGAGTCCAGTTCCACGGACGTGGACGACCAGTTGCCAGGAGAATCTAGCAGTGCAGTGCCTACCTAGGTAATTAGTCAACCTACAGCTAGTATTTGTGGTTGTTGTCGTTGTTGTTTTTTTGGGAGAGGGGGGGATTGGGGTCGTTTTTAGAGTACCAGCAAGTCACACATCCGGCTCGACACTTCACAGCACGTGCTTCAAGTTTGTCAGCGAGCCTGGTCAGGAATCTCACCAGTCTCTCGTGCTCACAGAGTCTGTCCTTCAGGACTGGATATCTAAGTATAATGGTTGTCAGACATGACGAATTGTATGGGCCTCATTGATAAGAATCGAAAGGGGCAGTCAAAAGCATCAATCAGGCTCTGGACCCAGATGGAGCGAAATCCTGCCAAGTCATATCCAAGTAGGCTCAAGTCCATAAAACAACTCATGCAGCCCTTTTCCAATAAGTCCCCGGGCCGTATTTCAGCAGACCACCTTTTATTCTGCAAAACATTCAAAAGAAATAAGCCACATGCAACACAAGTACTTTACAATTTTTTATTACACACTATAAGTCTTAATATTATAATTATATTGCTGGTATCTAAGCGTCGCAGTGACTTAAGCCCAGCCCAGGATCACTTCCGACGTTGCTCTACTCCCCAGGTGTTCCACGTAGTCTCAGTCTGGGCTGGGCTCATTGGACTACTGTTCCCCCAGCGATCAGCCATGGGCGGAGGCGGCCGCAGTGCACCTTGTTCGACGTCGTCGGCCACGGGGCCACGCGCTTGCTCCTGTTCTCGCATCTGGTTCTGCCCCTGCATCTGTCTGACCCTCTCCACCATCTTCGGATCGAGTGGCGGCGGCACGGCAGCCCGTCTGATCTGGCCCATCTCGCTGAGGATGCTCTCCCGCGGATCGCCCACCACGGAGGCGGGGGATACGGAGGGCACCGGGCCCAGGCCTCTGAGGCTGGCGACGCCGCTCGATGCGATGCTGGCCCGCGCCACCATCGGGTCGAGCATGCGGCTTGTGTGCCGGTCCATCCACCCGGAGACAGCGGCGTCCTTGGGCGATGGTTCGTCTCCTGCTGCTGTGCCGGCGGCGCCGTGGCTGGTGGCTGCTTTCACTTTCTGTACCTGCCGCCTGAGCCAGCCGGGCGTGGAATCACTCCATCGCGACACGCCTTTGTCGGGTAGGATGGATGCGCTGTAACGAGTTGAGGGGGCGCTTGCACCGTAACCGCCCTCTGCCTTGTAGACGGCGGCCATCGCCTCGTCCATGACGCGGATATCAGACTTGGGGCCGCTACCATAGTAAAAGTCCTTCTCAGAACTCTGATCGGGCTCGTCGCGGCCCCGTCGCCGGCGGTACAGTTTCCAGAAGAGGAAGGCTACGAGGCAGACGCCGCCCAAGGATACTGTTCCAGACGGGTCAGTATGATGTTTGTTCTCGCACTGGGGTCAAGCAGCCCCACTTCCGCAGGACGGCAAAGAGAGAGGTCCACGTACCTAAGACCGCGAGTGCGGCCGTGGCCGCCGGGGGCATACCGCCGGACTGGCGGCTCAGGCTGGCTTCGTTCTGAGTTCGGGGGGGATCTATGGTCTCGGACGCGGCTACCGGCGTGTTGGTGGCTGGCTGGCTGGTGGTTGAAACCGTGCTAGATTCCAATGTTTGAGTTCCCAGTGATGCCGGGGGCGGAGTCTGGCTGTCCAACGTGGCTGAGGGCGACGTAGCGATTGGCGGTGGCGGCGGTGGTTGAGGCAAAGGCGTGTTCATCCCTGGCAGTGATGTCGGTTGAGGAGCCGCCGGCGATGTGTCTTCGTCGTCGCTCTCATCATCCGAGCTGTCGACGGCCTCATCTTCCACGTCTGTTTTGTCGTCATCACGACGAATCCTGCGATGCCCAGCAGCGCGTTTGTTGGTTCCACTCCAGGTGAAATCGCGTTCACGAGTCTCGCCTCTTCGCTTCGTGCGCCGCCTCCTGGGCGCTGTCTCATCTCTATACTCCATGACGACAGAAGCCGAGATCTGTCAGATTTCGTCTGACGAGAATGCGCTTCGCCTCCAACCCGTCAGCCAGAGGGAAAGAATTGTGGAGGAGGCCATTCTGCAATGTTATAATTCAAGATCATGAACATCTACCCTCTACCAAGAGATGCCAAGGCTCCCGTGCAGTATTGTGATACTCTCCCGGTTTTGGACAGGCCGCGGCGCTTCCGGAGCGGCAACATGAAAACGACGTAGGCACCGGGCCAACAAACGGCAGCGCTACGTCCTTGTCCTCACCGGCGGCCGTTCCACGGCCTCGCAGATCGCACCCCTGGGCACGCTTCAGCTCTCCGTGCCCCACCTTCAGGACTGTTTTTGCCCACTGCAGACCGTCACTTGGGCCAGTTCTGGCTGTTCGCCGCCGCCAAGACGCACCCACATTTCTTGACACAAGCCTTGGCTGCTAGTGAGCCGCCGGGCCACGGTAGGGGCTGTTTCGAGAGGCAGCTTGAGACATCGATCGACTACCTAGGTACATACGCCCCTATGAAATCAGCGCGTGGAGTGGAGCATCGCAACAGGTTCCACCATTATAACCTGTCTCCCTCCAATACGTTCCACCATTATAACCTCCTTCAACACGAGACCTCTTGCCGCATTCAGCCTTCTGCGACCTGACAGCGGGTAACAATGCTTCTTGGCGATGCGCCGCATATGCCATCTGATAGTCTTGAAAGCGGCCTCGGGCGAGTGCCTTCAAACCCTCCTAGTCCCATTGATGGTCGATGCAGAGTCTAACTGGCGCCGCGCTCTCCATAGCGTGACGGAGGCCGACTAATGAAATGCTTTTCCTGCTTAAGCTCGCACTTGTTCGTGGCCCATAATAGGAAGTTTCATAAACAAGGAGTCGGTAAGAGACACACCCTACGGATGCGGTAAGGTAAGATTGGTCGTGACATGTGGTATGCACGGGTTGTGGAGCCGTAGACTCCAGTAAATAGAGAAGTCTGTGGGTGGGTCAGCGCGTGCGGAGCGAAATGAACTACCTCTTCGCCTTCTATACCCTAGGGTAGAATAGCTTCCTATAAAAATAATCTCTTAGTACAGGATAACCTGTTACAGGACAACCCCTTGTAGCAGACTCTCGCAAAGTCCATCCGGGCACCGATGTTTCAATGCTCATTGTCATTGCGAGAAATTAAACCATTCGTTGTTCATTCACACGTGGCTTCCAGGCTTGCCAGCTGTAATATGGGCATAGCTAATGTGGTCACGTAGGCAGTCTGCCCAGGTGTCTGCCTGCCGCGCTACGCAAAAGTGCTCGGCTTCAAGCATGGCTCAAGTGCTGTCAGTCGTCAGAACCACTTATGCTTGACCTCGCTACACTGCATGGACCCCAATATCTTGGAGAGCCACTAGATTTGGCAGGCGCACCTCCATATTCATGGGCTCAGTCCTGAGCTTTGCAGTTGACTGGCATGGGTTGTGGCCCCCACTTCCCCATGGAAAGTAGTAGACGAGAAATTCACGCGGCTCCGGAGCAGGAACTACCAACATATGTGCCGAAGAAAACTTGACATTGACACGGGTACTTCGCTCGTTGACTCCCTCGGGCAGTGTCCCCGAGTTGCAAGCTGCCAGTGTGGTGGAGCTGGCTGGGTGCCCAGGTCGTGTTGCACAAATTCTAAGTTTACGTCTCCCCTGCACAACACACCACCTGCTCCTCAATCACTGTTGTATGATCAGCTTCTGACGAGGGGGCTGAAACATATGACCAGAACCAGTGATGTTTCTTGAATGGCAATCAACTCGGGGCTTCAACGGTTCTACTGCAGCAATGTTAACATGTGATCTCTGTAGCGGCAAAGGGCAGCCTGTGGGTTAGGGAGGGGGTGATGAATGCACTTGTGGTGGGTCCGTTTAACGAAAGCAAGTCTGCTGGTGTACTAAGTAGCAGTCCAACCTGGAGGGATGGAAAGATTTATATGAAAATGGATTGGCTTGGCCCTCTAGGGCTCAGGACCGGGAGAGGCCGCCTCAGTACCTTTGACATATTTTGAACTGCCCAAGTCTGTGTTGCGAGAGTCCCCTGGTCTGGTACGCCATGCTATCTCGTCCATCCTTTCGTCTGGAATTTCATCATTTCACTGGCATTCCTATACTTGCTGTCTGTTTGTCAGCCTCTGTGGTCCCTGAGAAGACCTTTTCAAGATGGCGAAGAGGATAGACTGGAGTGGGTTCCCATCAACGTCGCGGAACTCCGTGTATCTGGGTACTTCACCGTCATCCCGAGTATTCTACTCATAGCCATTATCAGGTTCTTGTAGCCAATACGGTATCTGCTTGCCTATCCCAAAGGCACAGGTACGAATAACATGTCCATCCTGTGTGGACAACCAAGGAGACACTTCAACTGCAGCGTGTAGGCTTCCAAGGCATGAGATCGGGCACGTGGCTGTTTTATACCCATGCAATTCTAAGGAGCGCAACAGCCGATCCTCTCAGAAATCTCTCATTATCTTACTCCATTCCGGGTGGTAATTCCATTCATGGCGCGAATCGGCAGCCGAATTCATCACAACGGGATCTCATTGCTAGTATCTCTTTTGTTGATTGCCTCGGACCGAATTAGCAGCGTAGCTGAACTTTTGCATCTAGAGAAGGTAGCAAGTCCAGCCGATAAGACCAATCAACAGAATCAGAGCAATAGGCAGTTGCTTGGCTTGTTATGAAGGAGATGATGCACAAACTTTTTAGTGTCTGGCTTTGATTGGGACTAGCACTGCCAAGGTGGTACGATAGTAAAGTATTGTGCCTTAGTATGCCAACAAACAGATCAGAAAATTGATTCCATTTTATTCCCATCTAGTTGCATTGTGCCTGAGGAGCTATGCCCATATTCTTGCAATTTACAGGCGTATAGAATGCTGCTGGAATGCTTCATATCCACCATCTCGACACAAGACCAAATGAGCCTTTGGCCACTGTGCTAAAGAATGGAAAGCGACCCTGTCTCCTGACGTAGGATCACGCCATTCCACAGACTACTCGCTCCAAGCGTCTTCTCTGCCAACGCAAGGCTCTCCTCTCTCGGGCCGTTATTATCGATCTGGAGGGTCATCAGCGATTTCAACGCTTCCGGCAAGGCAAGTAGTGGGACTCACGTCAATAATGAGGCCTGCATCCCGATAATGCTCTTCCACGGGGCGCCCCTCCTTCAAGTACTCGCCATACCGCCTCTCGAACTTCACGGCGCTGTCGTTGCGATCGCGGCCCCGTGAAAGGTACCTCGCTTTCGCATTGTCTCCCGTAACGTTGATCGAGATGACAGCGTCAGGTTTAGTGCCGCGCTCCTGCGCCAATCGGTTAGAGTCAATTGCTTCGGGCCCACTGAGTCCCGTTACTGCCTGATATCAAGACATACCAAAAGAAGCTTGTCTTGGAAGGGCCATTGCGCCCACGACTCGAGCTGCTCCGCACATCTGGGAAACCCATCGATCAGGATCCCCTTGAGCCCGCCTTGCCGGATCGCATCCTCAATAGCATGGCCAAGGATCGGGTTCAGTTCCGCAGACGTGAGGAAGCCCTGGTGGTCGAGCTTCTCCTGGATGCGGGCCGCGAGGGGCGTTCCGTCGTTTGCATGCATCCACGTGCGCAGATTGTCGCCCACGGAGAAATGCCGCAGGCTGTGCTTGCGGGCCAGGAACGAGCAGATCGTGCCCTTCCCAGAACCGGGTGCTCCTACAGAGGCCGTCAGTAGAGCTTAGTGTCTTCTGACAGGATGGGCCTAACCGAGGACGAATATGACTGCAAATCCTTCCCTCTGCGATGAGAACGAAGTCGGGGTGGTGTCCATGCTGACTGCTGCGGGGCGTGCTGCCTGTGCAGTGTCAGAAATAAAACAGATCTGTGGCAAAGGAATGGACGCAAGAGAGGTTGCAGTCGGCTTGAATTGAGATTTATGGCAAGGTTTTGGGGCAATCTGAGACCTGTTTGCACCAACAGCATAAATGCCAGTGGAGGGGGCAACTCACACAAGTGCAGTGTTTGCTTGTAGCAGTCCCCCAACAAAGAGTGACTGGGGTCTCATGCGAGTCACATTGAAGTATCCATGTCGTTCCCTTAGACAGCAGGGGGCACTTTTCCGAGCACCTTACACGAGCCAACATCTACTCACCCAGTAATTGTGTCCACTCACCTAGTTTTTTTTAACCACTTACCTAGTATAAGAATTTACATATAGGGCCTATATAAAACTATATATCTAACTAGGATTCTCTAAATTTTCAATACTTTTAGTATAAACCCCTTTTAGCACCCCTTCTAGTACACCTTCTAGTATACCTTCTAGTATACCTTCTAGGCCGTCTAGCCTATACGCATTTAGGTACTAATTAAGTGTTTAGATACTAATTAAACATTAAAAGGTTAGAAATCTAGAGTATTAGAGGGCTAAAAGGGGTATTAGAAGGTTAGAAAGAGTATAGTCTTTATCTTTACCTTTTTAGGTTCTAACCTTTTAGTGTTTAGTTGGTATTTAAATGCTTAGTTAGTACCTGAATACGTATAGACCAAATGGCGAAGGTAAAGGGGCGCTAGAAGGAGTGCTAGAAGGGGTGCTAGAAGGTGTGCTAGAAGGGGCTTATATTAAAAGTATTAAAAATTAGAGAAGGAAATTATATTATAGGGTTTCTTGGTGCTAACTTAAAAGGTATTTATAAATATAAGGGAGTTATTTAGAAAAATTGGTATTAAGTAAGTAGTTAGTGGGAATTAGGTAAGTGGATATAATTGCTAGGTGAGTGGATGTTAGCTTACTTTACACTTATGTAGTCTTCTTTTAGCTAAGAACCTTTGCTTGGGGGTCCGCTATACAGCTATAGTGTCTATTAGATAGGTATTTATAGAATTAACTTTTATAGAATAAACTATTAAGAATTACTTTTTAAAGTATTTTTTTATTTATTTATTTATTTATTTATTTATTTATTTATTTATTTATTTATTTATTTATTTATTTATTTATTTATTTATTTATTTATTTATTTATTTATTTATTTATTTATTTATTTATTTATTTATTTATTTATTTACTTTTAAAATTATAATTTTTATAAAACTTAATATCTATCTACTTAACTTTAATATTTATTTATTTAATAACTTTTATTAATCTATTTAATATTAACTTTTATATATAAAGTTTATATAAAACTATATATTTAATTAAGATTTTCTAAATTTTTAATATTTTAAATATAACTTTCTTTTAAATATTTTTAATATTTTTTTAATACTCTTTTAATATACTTTTAATATACTTTTAATATACTTTTAATATACCTTTTAGTATACCCTTTAATATATCTTTTAATATACTTTTAATATACTTTTAATATACCTTTTAATATATCTTTTAAATTAAATATATTTAAGTATTAATTAAATATTTAAATATTAATTAAATATTTAAATATTAATTAAATATTTAAATATTAATTAAATATTAAAAAGTTAAAAGTTTAAAGTATTAAATAGTTAAAAAGATATTAAAAAATTAAAAAGAATGTCAGTTAGCTTAGCTTATATATAAGAAGTAGTTAGGTAAAGTAGTGTGAATTAGTGATAGTTAAAGGTCTATCTAGCTAGGCGGTGAAGCGCCTAGTTGAGTTAGCTAGACCTTATTGACTAAGCTTAGTCTATATATAAATATAAGCTTATTAACCTTATAATAATTAATCTATTATAGCCTACTATTTCTATACTAATAACTTTTTAGTTTTTTAAAATTAAAGTCTAAAATTATCCTTTCTTTTAACTAATTAAAGAGCTTTATTTACTAATAAAGTAGGTTTTAATTAAATCATTAAATTACTTAAAATTATTACTAAATATACAATTATAATTTACTTAATTTAAATACTATAAAACACTTTAAATTAATATTTTATAAATTATTTAAATTACTTAAATTTAAATTATTTTAATAAATAAAATTAAGTTTAAATTACTAATTAATTACTTATTAAGCTATCTATTACATAATATTAACTATTAATATCTAACTAATTAACCCTTCCAATAGTTTCTTCTTCTATAATAAACTATTACTTACTTTATTAATCCTTTATTTTAATTAAGAATTTTATTTTCCATTTAATTAGCTATATAGGTGATTATAGTATTTCCTTTTTATTTAAATAAGGTATTTAATTAAAGGAAAGTAAGGCTTTAAATAGTATTTTAGTTTTTAATTTAATATAAATATTATTAAAATAAAGGTTATTATAAAGGTCTTTAAGAAGTTTTAACTTAATTTATTTAAAGTAGTTACTTTAATTTTTAAAGGTTTTATAAAAGTATTAAAAGTTTTTATTAAAGTAATAATTAAGGTTATTAATAAACTATTAAACTTTATTATTATTAATTTTAATAATTATATATTTTTTTTATAAATGTTATTAATATACTTTTTTATTTTATTTTTTAATTTAAATATCTTTTTCTTCTTATTAGGGTAGTATAGGTAGGTGTATTATTAGTGTGTGCTTATAGTAGTTATAGATGACTTTATTGTATAAGATTTAGGGTTGTGGTAGCTATGCTGTTAGAGTGTTTTTTGCTTGGGTATTATAAGAAAGAGAGAGAGAGAGAGAGAGAAGTTAAGAGAGATAGTGTGTGAAAGTTGCTTGTTTGGTTGATTGCTTGGGTGATATAAGGTAGGTGGGTAGGTAAATAGGTTGACTGGTAGGTAGCTAAATAGGTTGGTTAGTAGGTAGTTAGTTTGAGGGTCTAATAGGTAGGCTTGAATTATTGATTATAAGAGAGAAAGAGTTATTATAAGAGAGTTATAAGACTTGTTTAGTGAAGGGGTCCTACTTAGTAGTTAAATTTATACTTAAATAGTTTAAACTTTACCTTTTTTAGGCTATAATAATAATAGTAGTATTATTAATTTATCCTCCTTATTAAGGACTATAATAATAAAGTAGCCTTATTAATTTATTTTTTAAGAGGATTTAATGTTTAAGTAGCTTAAATAATTTACTTTATTATTAGAAGCTAGTTAGTAAAGCTAGTTAGTAACTAATTAATATTAGTTAGCTTAGCTTATATATAAGAAATAGTTAGGTAAAGTAGTGTAAATTAGTGATAGTTAGAGGTCTGCCTAGCTGGGTGGTGAAGCGCCTAATTAGATTAATTAGACCTTATTAATTAAGCTTAGTCTATATATAGGTATAGGCTTACTAGCCTTATAGTGGTTAATTTATTATAGCTTATTATTTCTATAAAGAATATAATTTTTATATTTAAATACTTAATTAATACTTAAATATAAATAATTTAAAAAGTATATTAAAAAGTATATTAAAAAAAGTTTATATTTAAAGTATTAAAAATTAAAAAAGAAAATTATTTTATAAAATCTTTTTATATTAATTTAAAAATTATTTATAAATATAAAAGAGTTATTAAAAATAAATATTAAGTAAATTTATAAAAATTATTAAATAAATAAATAAATAAATAAATAAATAAATAAATAAATAAATAAATAAATAAATAAATAAATAAATAAATAAATAAATAAATAAATAAATAAATAAATAAATAAATAAATAAATAAATAAATAAATAAATAAATAAATAAATAAATAAATAAATAAATAAATAAATAAATAAATAAATAAATAAATAAATAAATAAATAAATAAATAAATAAATAAATAAATAAATAAATAAATAAATAAATAAATAAATAAATAAATAAATAAATAAATAAATAAGTTAGAAATTAATATTAATAATAATTATTATATTAATTTTAAATATTTTTAATAATTTTTATTTTTAAATTTTTAAAATAAAGTTTAATATTATAAAAAGTTTACTTTAAATTATATTTTTACTTTTATATTTTAAAATTATTTAAATTTATAATATTATTTTAGCTTACTATAATCTAATATAGTAGAGATAAAGATCCTAACTTTAATAGGAAAGATAGGCGGAATAGGAAGGCGGACCGGCTGTGCAGTGCCGACCTAAGTACCGGGCCAGAGCAGCTGCAGCTATAAGACGCTCAGCTAAGTTATAGGAACGAGTGTAGCTGAGACACCACTTGGGCTCCACAGTATGATGACTCAAATTTCAACAACATTACGTGGACTTTACAAGTGCTCAAGTAGGCCCGTGTAGGGATGAAAACGATATGGAAGAAAGGTGGTTTGCCGTACTAAATGCAGAACCTAGTGGGGCACCCACACCACAGGCGCTACCCCGCTAGCCCTAAGCCCCAATGAGCCCCTAACTCCACTCCAACAGGTCTCTAAACTTTCTTTTCCCCACATCTGACCACGCAGGGCCCAAACCAGTGACCTAACAGGCCCAAAAAATCCGCCAAGAAATCTAGATTGCATTGATGCATATATCAACGCAAACAGCGCGCATTTAAACAAGTTATGAAGTAAAACACTCTGGATAGCTCAGTTGGCAGAGCGATGGACTGTAATTGTGATAATAGCCATCCACAGGTCGCGTGTTCAAATCACGCTCCGGAGACTTCTTTTTTTTCTGAATTTTAATAGATGTTTTATTTTTAGTTCTCCTAGGTTAAGAACTTGTAGTATTGCTTGAAGTATAAGGTGAAACTTAGGGTTAAATCTAGGGCAAGAAATAATTTATTTAATTAAATATTTCTTAAAATTTATTAAATATCTATTTAAAATCTAAAAAATTCTTTAACTTATCCTATATCCATAGCATTTAAATAGAATTAATTATTATAAATTGAAAGTTTACCTTCTTAGTGTGGCTGTATGTGTGTGGGTGCCTGGGGCTCCTAACTGACTTCCCGCTTAGTTATCCAGTGGTGGCCCATTCGCCCACCCACTTTAGGACCTTAAGCCTCCGAGTACTGCAATTGATGTATTGAGGATAGTTGCCTTGTCTCTATTTCCCCTCTCATGACAGTGGTGAATGATCTAGCGACTGCTTGCTTAGATAAGACATCCCGGCAAAAACGCTGCAATTCTAAAGCGCTAGACTTAGATTTCAACTTCCTTGCAAGCACCGTGACATCACATGCAGTTCTAGTAACCTGCACCTTTCTTTGTCATTTACATGTCAGTAATCCGAGTCTTCTCTGGACTCTACCTAGGTAATCTTGTTTCTGTGAGACGGCTGACCCGAGGATGATAGGGCTGTCAACAACACCCACTTGATTGTTGATCCCGTCACCCTTTCTCATCGTCAGTGATCCTTGTCCGCTTACTTACGATCATTACAGCGGTCCTTTAAAGTCTGTTAAATTCTTTACATGCTAATCCCTTGTCTCGAGAGGACGAATTGAAAAGAGCGCACGGTCTTTTCTACAGCTGAATAGCCGCACTTATTCGTCGTTCTGCTCAATACAGGGATTGTTTCATGAAAAACTGCAGCCAAATAAACTACCTCGCCTTTAAAGGCGCCAATAATTTAGTTGTCAAAACGACCTGTATGCTGCAGCCAGTCAGGATAAGCACTCTCTAAATATGTAGCTATCAGAAACTGTGCACCGTTTATTTCACCGTGGTGTCCTAAAGTCATGTTTACAGGCCCTTGTGAAGGTACTTTGCCCCCAGAGGTTGTATTTACCTGATCCCATTAATAGTCAAACCACTGGCAGGTTATGAGATTTGAAGTGTATCAAACTCATGGCTTGAGACATCTTTCACACACAGACACAATCGATTGTTTGGTATTCAAGTTGTCGGTGACGGCCTTGGACACCTCATCACTAGCAGTCAGTTGTAATTCTTTTTCTTTTCTTTTTTAGGGGCCGGGGTGGGGCCTTTCTTGTCTTTCATTATTCATTTCTTCATCACAGTCTCTTTTTCCTCTTCTTTTTTCCTTCTTTTTATCCCCCCCCCCCCTTTCTTTTAATATTTAAAAAACGTAGGCCTTTGAGTTCTTACTAGTATATAATAGGATCACAAGTGCCTTCTAAAGTTAACGGATCAAGAACGTTACCTGCATTGTTACACTTGACTTAAATGACACCACTTCTAGAAAAACAAGAAGAATTAGCACGGCTCCGGGGAGGTACCAAGCATGGCGGCTCCTCTGGCCGAGGCTCTGGAGGTGAAACCCCATCCAGTGACCGAAGTCGCGGCTGCGTCAGCGGCGGTGTCCGTGCCATGACTCCCTCCCAATCGTTGTTGCCCGCCATTACTGTGTGTGCCAAAAGAGAGAACAAATATGGTTGAGGGCCGGCCTTTGGGCCTCGGTGAAGTGGCCTTGGACTCCTCGAACCTCTGGAAACACCACTCCCGCCCCCAGTTACTCGGTCGAATTCCCAAAGCACGGTTGACTATAGACATCCTCCTACCAGATAGCCCCATCTTAGGACAAATACCTATGGAATAACGTCATGTATAACAACCCTTACGCTGGGTATTTGAGCGTTTACTACTGTGTGAGGGCGCCGTGTACCTAGGTATGGCTTCGGACGTACACTGACTAGAAGCGAAACCATGTAAGAACGAAACCAAATAACAACTACTTAACCTTCCACCTAACAATCCACTATATGACCAATAATTTAAATATATTCCCCTTCCTTCATATCCGACAACCTTTCACTTCATACATAGTGGAATTTCTTGGAAACCCTATCAAATGGGCGCGGCTTCTATGGAACAACATTCAATACGTCGGGGAAGGCAGAAGGCTACCAAAGGAGCAAATCACATAGGTTCTACAGTGCCTTTCTCGCATACTTGGAGACTTTGTTTGCTAATCTAATTCGTGTGATGAAAACAGTATGTACTCTTTCCATTACGAGATTCGCTGAAGCAAAATGAATCAAATTAGCCGTTTAATGCTGACCGGCAGACGAGGCACCGAGGAATACACTTGAGTGGTCCCGTTTGTAGTCCATAGACATCCAAAGTGGTATGCGGCAACTCCATACAGGTGTGAGCAGACTCACGCTCAATATATCGTCACAGTGTAGCATCAGACTGTGTGTGCCTGGATGTATGCGGAATAGAAGCGAAACCAGATAGAATCTGACACCGAATAGATCATGATGTTACCCCGATCCTGTAGAAGATCAAGTTGAGGAACCAGGCGCCTATTGTGGCCCAAAATTGCTTGTTTTTGTTTGCAAGCCTACAGGAGGACAATTGGTCGCCGTTTTGTTTCCACGAGCAAACAAAACAACGCCATGCATGTACGCTGCCGTTGTGGGGCTGCAGAGAATGCCCAGGTGCCGAGCGGATATGCATGTATGGGCATTGAGAAAGTTTATTCCCGAGGTAACCTATCAGAGGGGCATCCCCAGTTACCAAGTCGTTTGAGCCCCTCTTTGCTGTAAACAGTATAGTAGGTGGAGGGGTTTGCAAGTGATTGTAGTCCGGTGAATGAATGCGGTGAATATGGTACGTTTCCTGGAAGTGAACTCCCTCGTTGGCGCCCGTTTGACGTCCCGCCTACTTAATCTCTGCCAGGACCTTGATCTCAACCGACACAACACGCTGAATTGGACTTCAAGAATGCTTCCCGCAAAGATACCTTTCAAGTATCCATTCACGATGGGATCTTGGACCTCTGCTATCGTCGAGGTAGCGGTTCTACTCTTGATCTTCGCTCAACTCCTCGCACTTGCACCTGTCGCCACGCCCGTTCTATCGATCACAATGGCGATCTTCGCAGGAATGCCGCGCTCCCTAGCCCTCACCCCTTTTGGATACCCTGTTACGGCAGTCGTGGTAGCCCGGGCGTTATTCTTGATCTTCCGAAGCTACATTGTCATTGCGCCTTTCCTGCTGCTCGCGGTCATTTCCTTCCTCCGCGCGATCCACCACTACGCCACCAAGAAGTCCAACCCCAAGGTTGACAACCAGTGCGCACCCGTCTCCGTCAACTACTTCCCGTCCCGCGAGTGCAACTACGCCTGTGGGTTCTGTTTCCACACCAACACGTCGGGCTACATCCTCCCCATCGATGAGGCCAAACGCGGCCTGCGCCTCCTCAAGGGTAAGAATCATTCCTCTCCGTCTGCTGCCCCCGGCGGTTGGGAGACCCCGAACGCGACAATTGGTAACTTGTCACAGGCTTTGGCTGACAGTTTAAACAGAGGCCGGCATGCGCAAGCTCAACATCGCGGGCGGCGAGCCCTTCCTGCACCCCAAGTTCCTGGGCGAGCTCCTCCGGTACTGCAAGGAGGACCTGGACCTCGAGAGCGTGAGCATCATCAGCAACGGCAGCAAGATCCGTGAGGCGTGGCTCCGCAAGTATGGCCGGTACCTGGACATCCTGGCGGTGTCGTGCGACTCGTTTGTCCAGCAGACAAACAAGGCGATCGGGCGCGGGGAGAACGGCCAGGGCGACGGCGATCACGTATTGCAGGGTAAGTATTATTGTTCTCCTATAACAGATCCCCATATTTCTCGCATTGGAATGTTCTTGAATACACCATTCTCCGATTCGTAGCAGGGCTAACGTCACAACTAGTGTTCCGCATTGCCGAGTGGTGCAGGAAATACGGCATCATGTTCAAGCTCAACACCGTCGTCAACATCCACAACTGGGCCGAGGACATGAGCACGCAGATCGCGGAGCTGGCGCCGTTCCGGTGGAAGGTGTTTCAGTGCCTGATCGTGGAGGGCGAGAACGAGGACGAGACCCGTGAGTACTGATCCTTCTCCTTTTTCCGCTTCACCCTCCACCATGTTTTGGAATATTCCAAACTGGAAATGATAGCAATAATAACAAGTCCTAGGGCTGCGCGATGCCACCAAGTTCCTCATCTCCCAGGAGCAGTGGGAGGTCTTCTGCGAGAAGCACAAGCACCTCCCGTGCTACGTGCCCGAGGACAACCAGACCATGGCCGGGAGCTACCTGCTGCTCGACGAGCGCATGCGCTTCCTCGACAAGGGCGACGGCCCGATGAAGAAGAGCGAGTCGCTGCTGGAGGTCGGCGTCGAGAAGGCCATGCAGCAGGTCGCCTGGGACAAGGGTGCCTTCGACAAGAGGGGTGGCATCTACGAGTGGCGCAAGCCGTTTCAGGCCCCGGGCGGTGCTGAGGGAGGTTGTGGTGGTTCTGATCAGAAGGAGTTGCAGTGGTAGGTCTGCTACGGTGCCCGGCTGTGAGGTCCTGGTTCGGCGAATCCAAGTTCTGCATCATGGGCAAATGGATCGATGGAAATTTGGGTTCCTAGACCGGGCAACGAGGTTTGCCGAGATCGGCGGCGATGCCTTCTTATTCGTCCGTTTGGGGAACTAGGGCGCGTGCTTGTCGATATCCTTGCCGTTCAACGTCACCGTCACCATCATGACTGACCTTCTTCGTTTACTTCGAAAAGTCTTCACTCTATATTAGCGAAGATAAATACACACCGAGGGACTTCTCCCTGGATGATAAGATTCTTGTGCTCACCGTCATTCAATCTTTCGACCATTATGGTCTCGTAATTAAAAATGTCACAAACCGAGACAATCTCACTGCGTGAAGCCACACCTCCCACGTTCGGCAGGTTGGATATCCAGACAGAGGAACAAGGAAGCACTGGTCGTGACCTGGCTGTCCGTCATCGAAATGGCACAAAAATGAAGAAAGCCTGTGTCCTGATCGGCTCTGGCTTGATCCAACTGCCAATATGGGGTAAAGTTCCCACAATTCTCGCTCACTCGCAGATGCTTCTCGCCCAGATACTTACTCAAACAGGCTTCGCGATGAGCTACGGCGTCTTCCAGGAGTATTTCACCAGCAACTGGCCGCTTCGCGGCAGCCGCGAGTTGACGGGCGTGATCGGCACGACCTTCAACGGTATAATCTACATCTCGATGCCATTTCTGTGCGTATCCTTTCGCTCCTGTAACCCGAGAACCCGCAACAGATGACCAACACGTATCAGCTTCGCCCTCTTCACCAAGCGCTGGGCCCGCTGGCGCCAGGCCGCCGCGCTGGCCGGCAGCCTCCTCACGTGCGCGAGCTTCCTGGTGTCGTCGCTGAGCAGCTCCGCGTGGCACCTGGTCGCGACGCAGGGGGTCCTGGCGCCGCTGGGGTGCGCGCTCGTCTTCAGCCCCGTGACGCTGTCGCTGGGGGAGTGGTTCAGCAGCTCCCGGGGCAGCGACGGGAAGAGCAACAGGGCCCTCGCGTACGGCGTCACGCTGTCGTGCAAGAACGTCGTCGGCTCGGCGTGCCCGTTCCTGTTCCGCGCGCTGCTCGACAGGTACGGCTTCCGCACGGCAGTAAAGGTCTGGGCCGCCGTGGCCGGCGCGGCGGGCGTCCCGGCCATCTTCATGATCCCGACGCACCCGTCCAGCCTGGACCACGGGCGCCGCCCTGGGAGTTCGTCGTCCCCGTCGGGCGGAGAGCAGCCGCGGTCGGCGCGGAGGATCCCCTGGCACTTCCTCCGCCACAGGACCATCTACATCTACGCCGCGGCGATCCTCCTGCAGAGCGCCGGGTATGGCATCCCGCAGACGTACCTGAGCGCGTACGCGCACGACGTGGCGGGCGTCTCGCAGGCTTCGGCGACGCTGCTCCTCACCGTGTTCAACCTGCCGGGGATCGCGTCGTCGAGCTTCTTTGGCTTCCTCTGCGACAGCAGCCGGCTCCGCCTGCCCGCGGCGACCGTGACGGCCATCCCTGCTGCAGGCTCCGCGCTCGCCGCGTTCCTGTTCTGGGGCCTTGCGTGGCGCGGGAGCATGGCGCTGCTGGTGCTCTTCTCGGTCACGTTCGGCTTCTTTGCGGGCGGGTACTCGGCCACCTGGGGCAGCGTGCTCAATGAGCTCGAGGGTGAGGCCCGCGATGGTAATGAGGCCATTGACACGGGGATGATCTACGGGCTGCTCAACGGTGCGAGGGGCATCGGCTACGTTGGCGGCGGCTTGGTCGGCCTGCCTCTGCTGAAGGCTGGCGGCCAGGCATCGCTGGGGACGCTTGGCTACGGCACGACGTATGGCCCTCTGATTGTGTTCACAGGACTGTCCTCTGTGCTAGGCGGCTGGGCTGTTCTGTGGAGGTGGCACAAGCTGGTGGCTTGTCTGTAGATGTTTGTGGCGTGTTGATTCACATTCCTCGAGGCGAGTGAGCATCGGCGAGTCCTGAGAAGTTGGATGGCGTGTATCGAGGCCTCACAATCATCGTTGAAACATAATATCATTGATGACTCCGAGACCCTGCCTCTCACCACATGATTAATATCTCCCTGACAATAGTTGCGGAATAGGATGGCAATGGATGAATTGATGGGTATCACAAACAATTGGAGGTGCCCTCAAGGCTCAAGGGCCAGCCCTACTGTGCACACCACGCGACCACATGTGTCGTTATTCCCGCGTTTCCTTACCGAGAAACAAGTGCAGTGAGCGGAAGTACTGCGTGGTATAAGACACAACACGTAATAGCTTCCATCTTTGGCAGCACTAGGGGCCGCGGGTCGGTAGTATTTGTGCGCCTGTGGTTGGAGGCTTGACACCCAGAACACGACAGGCTCACTGCATGAGAGAGCGTGACGTGGGAAAAGCAACGGTTAATAAGAGCCGGGAACAAGGCGTGAGACGAGTCGATTACGTTCAATGTTGCCCTCGTATTTCCCCGAATTCCTGGATGTCAGCCCGGGTCCGGCTGGTCTGGCCGGCCTCTGGTCCCCCAGTCCCCCAATGGCACGGCTGAATGGGGAAAAAGGACCGACCTAGGCATGACTGATTGGGCGAAGAGAAAAGCAAGCCGCAGGGGCCCATGTCTGCCCAGAAGCTTGTTTGCAAAACACACTGGCCCACTGACCCGGACTGGATGCAACGTCCATCGTCCAACTCTGGGGAAGTGGGCAGTTGGGCAGGTCATGGGCCACTTGGGACAGTAATAGAGAGGGTGGACCGAGACCAAGATCCGGAATGAAGCGAGGACCCAGGTCGAGAAGGATGCATTGCAGTCTCGGTCCATCGTTGGCTTCACTCCTGCCGCTGATCAGCAAGCAGACACGCTCGGCTCCCAGCACCGTCCAAAGAGCCAATGCAAGCCCTAGGAAAACTCTTCCAGGTGTCTGTCCTAGCCGAAGCACGCTTCTGCCGCGGTCAGGAGAGGGCAAGGAGACGCCCCCCGACCAACGGCAGGCCGGGGAGTTGGAGGGAAGCTCGCACGACAGCGCCACTAGTGCAGGAACAACCTGCACATGCCTGGCGAGCATGGCCCCGATTGGGACGGCCTGGATGCGCTTGGGGGCGAGCTGTGCGCCATTCTCACGCAGGGGGCTCACGCCAGCAGGCGCCAACACACAGACAGCGACAGGAATTCCCTCCGTGGTACCCAGAAAACAAATCCCATTTAGACGCCCAATCAGGTCATGGACTGACACACACATCCACACACACACACACATGCACACGTACACGAGCTGGGGCCATTCTCTCACTCTGCAGACATCCAGCCCAGCATGAATGCATGCATGTATAGACAGTCCGATCGATCCGGGCACTCTGCCCTCCCCCCCTGTCATCCATATGGTAGTACCCTCCCACTTACATCCCATATATCCAACATATCCAACATTTGTCTCCCGCCGTGACTCTTCCCTTTGGTATTCCCTCTCCTGGCTTCCACCATCTTTGACATTTCTGGTCCATCGTGTCACAGGGTTCTTGTCCCATCAGGGAAACTACACTCGCTCATCAGTTTGCCTATAGCCGTAATAGTTCCTGGACCATCCCGATCCCATACTACCAACTGCTACTCCTGCTATTGCTTAGCTCCTGCCTCGTTTTCCCCAATACGTCACTCAATTCCACCTGGCTTGCTATACGCCACTTCTAATAAAAACAACCTAACCTTCCTCCCTCCTACACACGGACAAGAACCGGACCAAGGCCTGACTCTCGTTTTCTCCCAAGCTCTGTTCCCTCGAAAGCATCACCGAGTCCTCGTTTTTTTGGCTTTTGGACCTTGTGAACTAGAGTTTATCCCAGTTCCTGCCAGAATAACTTACACCCTTGATTGTGACCGTCCCTCGCTACTCTACTCTCGCACACACCTCAAGATGCTCGGCCAATCATCCCTCATGGCACTCGTTGCCGCCTCTCCTGCTGCATTGGCCGCATACCAGGGTTTCAACTACGGCTCTACCTTCACCTCTGGCGCGCCCAAGGTCCAGAGCGACTTTGAGGCAGAGTTCAAGACCTCCCAGGGTCTGATCAGTGCCCCAGGAGTCTTCAACTCCGCACGCCTGTACACCACAGTCGTAAGTCTCCTTTCTGCCTGGGTTGTTTTGTTTGACCTTTGTTCTGTTTTGTTTTGTTCACATGTTGCCCCCACTGTTTTACAATGTCTCGCACGCCATGCACGGTGCGGGCTAGGCTAACATGCCCATGCGCCCATTCCAGCAAGGCGGCACCGCCAACAGCCCCATCGAGGCGATCCCCGCGGCGATCAGCACCAAGACCTCGCTCCTCATGGGCCTGTGGGCCTCGGCCGGCGACGCCAGCTTCGCCAACGAGATCACCGCCCTCAAGTCCGCCATCGCCACCTACGGCTCCCAGCTCGGCGGCCTCGTCGCGGGCATCTCCGTGGGCTCGGAGGACCTCTACCGCATCTCGCCCACCGGCCTCCTCAACAAGGAGAACCCGGGAGTCGGGCCCGATGTTCTCGTCGGCTACATCAAGCAGGTCCGGGACGCCCTCTCCGGCACGCCGCTGTCTGGGGTCCCCGTGGGCCACGTCGACACGTGGACCGCGTGGGTCAACGCGTCCAACGATGCCGTGATCTCCGCGTCTGACTTCCTCGGCGTCGATGCCTACCCTTACTTCCAGGTAACCTTTTCCCCCGTTCCAGACTGCCCGCCATTCTGTCTCCATCTGTGCTAACGGGCCGCCCAAAAAGACCACAATGGCCAACAGCATCTCCAACGGCGCAAACCTCTTCAGCGAGGCGTTCGGCGCCACGCAGGCCGCCGCCCAGGGCAAGGAGGTCTGGGTGACGGAGACGGGGTGGCCCCTCAGCGGGCCCGCCGCGAACGAGGCTGACGCCAGCACGGCCAACGCCGAGAAGTACTGGCAAGACGTAGGCTGCGACATTCTGTTCGGAAAGACCAACACGTGGTGGTACACGCTCCAGGACGCGGCGCCCGACACGCCCTCCCCTAGCTTCGGGGTCGTCGGCAGCTCCCTGTCCACCACCCCGCTGTACGACCTGTCGTGCAACGCGTCGTCCCCGTCCCCTTCCTCCTCGTCCTCGTCGTCGGCGGCGGCATCGGGCGGCGGCGGCGGCGCAGCAACATCCGCAGCCGGGGGGTCGGGCGCCACCGCCGTGTCGCCCCCCGTCCCCACCGGCAGCGGCGCTGATGCGGGCTCCCCTGGTATCTCCGCGGGCGCCGGCAGCGTCGTGACCGTCGGGGGGACTGCCGCCGCGGGAGGCGAGGCTGCGACCGCGACCCTCCCCGGCACGCCTACGAACCCCACCGGCGCGGGCGGATCTGGAAACGGCGGCTCCGGCTCCGGCTCCGGCTCGGGGAGCAGCGGCTCCGGATCAGGGTCTGGGTCTGGATCTGGATCTGCCGGTGGCAACGGGACCGTCGGCGGCGGCAGCGGCTCTTCTTCCCCGTCGGCCAGCACCACTGCGGTCATCACCAACGCGGCGGCCGAGAACGTGGTCTCCTTTGGCGCTGCTTTCGTCGCGCTGCTGGCCGCGTGTGTGATCCTGTGAGCGGGCTGTTTGTGTACCGTTTTGGATTTGTTGGATTTGGGCGGCATCATCGGTTGGACTGGGAAGTGTTGAGTGCGAGGACTGCTGTGTTGCGACCCACTTCACGCCCTCTACCAGGCTCTCATGTCACGCACGAGGAAAACGAAAATGGCTTTTGATATCCGCATGATCTCCACTAGGTGACGGACAAAATAATTTGGTTATGGCGAGTGAGCCCTCCGGGGAAACATATTAGACGAGGCGTGCATTCTATGGAATGGGATGGGTACCTACCTACATGCATGGACGGAGACGGACGACTGTCTTCATTGCCGGGTGTGCACAACCAACTTTTTGGAAATACGGATATTGTGCCTCTTCCCTCCCTTGTCAGAGGAGAAAGGTGGAATGAAAAAGACAATAATTCTAAACTTTGTGCCTAAACTTTGTGCTCTGTTTACGGTCCATGTCGTCCCCGGGTGCTTGGGTGCCAATATGTGCCAGCGGCTGATATCACTCCCCATCCCCAGTCAGTGAGAAACTTCACCGCATTCAATATCCATGGAAGAGATCTATACCGCCCAATTGGTGGCACTGTCTATACCCCCTTATACCATGTCGTTTCCCTTCATTATTACGTTCTAATAACCCTTTTTTTTTTGTTTCGAATATCCCCGTTGGGGTCTACTACTCAGAATCGCTAAAGACGCTCTGCAGCTCCTTGACCTCGCCCGAGTGCTGCACCATGTCGTAGAACGTCCCCTTTGCCCCGAAGAGTTCCTTGGGCGAGCCCATCCTGTTGCAACATGTTAGCAATGTGCTCTTAAAACCCAGACCGTGGTTCTGATTCAAAATCAGGAAAGGGAGGGGGGGGGGCGGTGGAAAGACTTACTCAAGAACCCTGCCGCCACCCATAACCACGACCCGGTCATAATCCGCAATAGTCCTCAGCCGGTGCGCGATGGTGACGAGCGTCCGCCCGCCGTCCGACGGCCCGCCGCCAAAGATCTCGCGCCGCAGCACCGCCTGGATGCCGTGGTCCGTCTCGTAGTCCATGGACGCCGTCGCCTCGTCCAGCAGCATCAGCTTGGACTTGCGGACCAGCGCGCGGCAGAGCGACAGGACCTGCCGCTGGCCGTGCGAGAAGTTCTCGCCGCGCGCGTCGACGGTCGTCGAGGTGGAGAGGCCTGCCGCAGAGGAGGAGATTGCCTCTGCCGCCGGGGTGGAGATGCCGCTCAGCAGGGGTGTGTGTTCGGTCGGTGGTGTGGCGGTCCCGGCTCCTTCTTCTTGTTCTTCCTCGATATCCTTGATATCACTGGGCTTGGGGACCTCGCGGTCGCGGAAATTGAAGCTCGCGATGCCCGCACAGCTGGCTAGTGCGCCCTCGACCACCTCGGGCGCGACCTCGCCGGCCGGGTCGAGGTTGGTGCCCACGGTGCCGTTGAAGAGCACCGCCTCCTGCGGGATGATGGTCAGGGACTGTCGGAGGCGCCGCCGCGGCACGTGCGTGATGTCGACGCCGTCGTACAGGATCTGGCCCTTGACGACGTGCGTGAAGCGCAGCAGCGACAGCACGAGCGTGCTTTTGCCGGACCCGGTCCGTCCCACGACCGCCACGCGCTCGCCCGCCGCAAACTTGAGGGTGATGTCCTTGAGGATGTCCGGGCCGTCGGGGTCGTACCGGATGGTCACGTTGCGGAACTCGATCGCGCCTGTGGCGGGCCATGAAGCCGGCACCTCTTGGGGTGACTGCTGTTCGGCTAGGGTGAGGGCGGCATCCTCTGTCTTCTCCTCGGGCTCGAGCGATGCGTACTCCCTCACGCGGTGGAAGCTTTGCAGCTCCACCTCGAGCTCGTTGGCGATGCGAACCATGTAGAGAATCGTCGACGACAGGCCGCTCGCGTTGGTTAGGGAGAAGCCCACGAGGCCGGCGGGGATAAGACCGACCTTTGAGATAGCGATGGCTCCCGCGCAAGCCATGACCAGGGCGGTGACAAAGTCTATGCGCAGGCCAACCCAACGGTTGAGGTTGTAGTTGGTCTCGTTGGCGCGGTTGAATGGGCGTAACCTCTCAGCCAGTAGATTTCCAAAGCTCTTGGCTACGCCTTTGCGAGCACGGATGATCTGGATTCCTGCCATGTCGTCGTTGAATTGTGAAAAGACTGGTGATTGGGACGAGGACACCAGCCGCTTCACGACCACTGCTGTCCGTGTGTACATCTCGCCCGCCACAAGCCCAACAACGCAGCTGAACAGACCAGGGAAAATAAATATGGGCATGATGGCCGAAACGGCGCCCAGCCGGAAGACCAGCTCGACTGCTAGCTGGATGGTACCTTGGAGCATGCGGTTGAGTTGGTTGTCGAGCGACGCCATGTCTCTCGAGAACCTGTTGACAATTCTACCCGTGGGTGTATCCTGTGCGCACAAACGTTAGATGTGACAGCGATCACAGAGAGTTGAGACAAACACACCTTGAACCACGACAGTGAGACATTCATGACACTGCGGACGAACTCGGCATGAAGTCTCTTCGCCGCCTGCCAGCCCCCATTGGCATAGATCAGATATACCAGGCCGTCGACAATGAGATTTCCCGCTGATATAGCCGCGTATATTCCCAAATAAAATCCGATGTCAACGGCATCTCCACTATCGACTGCGTCCACCCAGACACTGATCCACAACGTTGTGGCTAGCAACGAAGCAGTGCCAATAACAGTAGCAATCAAGGTCAGAATGGGATACGCAGGGCCGCCAAAGTACCTCATATATTGGAAGAATGACATCCGTCCCGTTGCTCCTGTAGCTTCCATTTCCTTGGTTATGTCGTCCTTTTTTGGTTTCGGCGGCGTATCAGCAGATTTCGCTGCCTCGGCGCCATTGACGCCATTCGTTCCGTTGCCATTCGTTGTCGCCTTTGCCTCCGGTCCATCGCCCTCGATTGCATCCTTGGCGATCTGCACCGGCTTGCGGACAACACCAATATGCTGCTCCTGGCTGGTGATGATGCCGTTCTCCAACACCACGTGCAGATCGGCCTGCTCGGCGATCCACTTCACCTGGGTGACGAGTACGACCGTGCGACCCTTGAGCAGGTCACTGCAGAAGCACTGCTCCCACACGGAGGCAGTGGTCTTGGAGTCCAGCGCGGAGAAGATATCGTCCAAGAGGAGCAGAGGCGCTTTGGAGTACAGGGCTCGGGCTAGAGCGACACGTGCCTTTTGGCCTCCCGACAGGGCCGTCCCGTTCTCCCCCACCTCTGTCTCGTCTCCGTCAGGGAGTTCAGAGAGGTCCAGAGGGAGGCAGCATGCCTCGATGACACGCTTGTAACGGGTCTCCTCGAAAGGGCTGGAGAAGAGGATGTTTTCTTTGATTGACGTACTCTGGAGCCACGCTGTCTGGGAGGAAAAGGCGACGTCGTCCGGCCGTGTCACTGAACCTGATTCTTTGATGGTCTCACCCAGGATCGAAAGCAGTAACGTCGTCTTTCCGCTTCCAGAGGCTCCGAAGATAGTGTTTAATCCTCCTTCGACGAAGTCAACGGAGAGGTCCATCAACAAGAAGTCCGCCTTCTTGTTTCGCCTGAATGTGGCATTCTCGATTCGGAGCGGGCCTTCTGGGTAAGTGATCAGTGGAGTTGTGCTGGTGAAGTACCTGTTCAGGCGGTCCAAGGAAATCCAGGCATTGGTGACGTTCTTTGAAAAATAGCCAAACATGGCAATGTTGTTTCTCATAGTGGCGACAAGCGACAGAACGGTGAACGCAACCTGGGCAGTGAGAGGCTCTTTGAGCACTGATGTGTATAGCGTGAACATGACCACAAGAGACACCATTGGCATGAACTCTACCGCCTCACCGAGCAAAGTGTAAAGAATGGCGATCTTCCATAGCACCTTCTGTTCTGCATCTCGAGCAGCGTCGATTATTTTTGCCATGGCATCTTCCCAGGCGAAGTACTTGATGGCCCTGATAGAGCCGATGTACTCGGAGATCAGGGATATCCGGGCATCTTGCGTTGCCTTGACTTGGCGCTGGCTCTTGCCCATCAACTGCGCGACATATGTCGGAACAGGTATGGAGATTATGATGAGGGCGGATCCGATCAGAGCCGGCCAGCCCAGAATGGCGTAGAGGCCGACGAAAGAGATGACGACACCCACAGGGCACCCGACCCCCATCATGATAACATCTCGCGCCTGCCAGATAGCATCGATATCACCGCTCATGAGGTTTTGTAGTTGGCCCGCGTGTGTGGCCTTTTTTGCTGTGGCTTCTTGGCCCTTGGCATCATTCAGAACATCTCCTTCCAACTCCATGGAGGACATTGCACGGTGATATAGCTCCTGGGTCATGGCAGCCTTGACACGGACGATCAACCGAGTTGAGGTGAAGATGTACTGCTGGAAGAGGACGGTCTTGGTCATGGGACCAAGGAACAGGAGGATGAGCCAGATGACAGGGCTCAGAACGGCCTTGTCAGGATTGGAAAGGAAGGCTAGAAGTTGGTACATGGCGAATGGGGCCACAAGCTCGACCGCGTAGGAGGTTGCCGCGTAGAAGGACATCAGTAGCAGTTCAACGCGCAAGAAGCGCAAGACTGTCCAAAGGGTGTCGCTGCTCTTGGCGCGGGCGTCCTGGATGTTGGAGAGCAGGTACAGGGGCTCGTCATACCATGGCAGAGGCGGCAGCTCGTCCATGTCAACGGGCCTCCGGCAGCCCTTCCAGACCAGAGGAGTCAGCCACTCAAAGGTAAGGTAGAGGTTCCACCAGCTGCACGTCTCCTCTGGCGCAGGGGCTACTTTCTCCGGGGCGTCCAATATGTCGAAGATGACAGGAGACGGTGCCCATTCCCTGGGCGTAGTAATCGCAACGAGATTGGCGGCCGCGAGGGAAGCAAGTGCGCCAATTATCATGTCACCAGGCCGGTAGGTCGAGTGCATCTCCATCAGGGGCAGAACCTCGGCGGCTGCCAGCAGCAGAAGAGAGGTGCCGAGGAATAAGTTAGTCTGGTGCAGGGCGATGTGACGCCATCGCAAACCACTGGCGAGCCTGGTGAGGCCGAAGACAAATGCGCCGGCGACGAGAGCGACGTTGTACCATTGCTGTGTGTCGCCTCTGACAGCGGCTACGATAATGAATGCCAAAGCGCAGGCCCTGGTGATCTGCGAGCAGAGCTCAAAACCGACCGAGACCTGGGAGGCCTTGGCATGGTGGGCCGCGACCTTGATAGCTTTGGAGGCGCGGATGCTGGCCACGGTCCAGAGGAAGGAGACAAACAGTGTCGCAACCTGCAACCAGCCGGAGGTGGCCAGGTCGGCGACGGCTTGGATCCATGGGACGTGAGATTCGCTGCGACACAGGAGAGTTCTCGGGTCAGTATTGTTAGGTGGGAGCCAAGAACAATTAGGGCCCGGCCCGTTGGTAAAAGTAACATTGCGTGGGGGGGGGGGGTGGGGGGGGAGCCAAAAGCGAGCCACAGGCATACCTTGACGCGGAGAACAGGCTCAATCTATCGATCACAGTGCCCTGGTGAGCTGGCTGTGTTAACCTGGTGGGGATCCATCCATACTGGAAGAGAGGGACCTCGGCCATGTTGAGAGACGGCGCGGGGTGATGCTGGTGAACAGAAGAGCGAGGGAAGGAGTCAGATCCCGTGGCCCCGAAGCAGCCATATAAAAGGGACCACCAGGACCCGTGGGTAAGGTATCTTGTGCAGAGATTGTTTGATGCAGGCTGGCAGTGCACCAGAGTGCATAGTCCAGTGCACCAGAGATCAGTCACCCAGGCAGCTACATATGCATGTAAGACCTGCACCGCAAACCGTGCATGAGGACAGGGTCCTACCTGCCCTCGGACGAATTCCAGGGGTCCCTTCAGACGAGCTTCCTGAACGGGAAGAGCACCACTGATAGGACCGTTGACGGGGACTTTTGCAGGCTAACGGAGTTTCGCTAAACCCGCTACGGCGGCTCCCACCACCGTCTCAGAAAGAGGGATGGCGGGGCCGTTACCGTTTTGACTGGCTAACAAGTACCTACTTAGGTACCTAAAAGAATTTGGTACTCACTGAGATGAGATAGAATGCTTCAACACATGTATAATGAGTCATTAGAGTATTCTTCTTGCAGAAATTTGCACTTTGAGTCTAAAACCATTGGGTTTTTACACTTACCATACTAGCAGGGCGCGAATGGGACTAGGCGCCAGGACGTCGAAGGTTAGGGAGGGGGTGCTCGAACGGCCCCGGCCTATAGCCTACATATGTATACCCTCAAGAGCAAGTGCTGAGAGGCAAGCAGCCTCATTTTTTGAGTATTAGGCGCTAAAATTGCATGCTTGCACCACTATTTCTTGCACCAAAGGCAGACATGAGCCAGGAATATCACCAGAAATCTCACCAGAATAGGCTTCACAATCGAACAGGTGGATTGGCACGAGAAGTCTGAGGCTTCCTCATCAAGTATCCCTGGATAGCCACCACTACAGCACCATGTAGAGGCGGTCAGAGAAAGACCGCTCAAGATATCACGAAGGTGCCCACCAACCAAGACATGCGTGATTTCGAGCAATCATATTTTGGCTCCTCAAACTATGTTGCCCATTGATGTAATGGACATGAGACATCCTGCCCCCCATCCCACCTGGGCAGCCTCAGCTCGCACACGGCGAGCGGCATTGGTGGATTGACCAACTACCAGCGATGCGACAGTGACCTTTTGTTAGTCAATTCTCCTAGTGCACATACCTAAATGCAACCACAGCATCGCCACCATGCCCGGCTTTCGAGCCCCTGATGGCAGCATGGTTCACAACACCCTCCCGCTCCTCCATCTCAAACCTCTTGTTCTGATTCTTCAGGTAGCGCTTGATATACCACGCCATCCCGGCGCAGAGCAGGCACGCCCCGCTCATGACACCCCCTCCGGCGTAGTACCTGGGCTTCTGGCTGTCGGGGAACATGTAGGCCGTGTAGAAGTGAGCCACCCCGGCGCCCATGAAGTTGACGATCGCCAGCGCCGCGGCGCGCTTGGAGCGCGGCCGGGGCAGGGACGCGCTCACCCAGCTCACGCACAGGTTGTACGGGGAGTACGAGCCGCCGGTCATCAGGAACATGGAGAAGTAGCGGCCGCCGGTGGAGGGGACAAACATGGCCTGCTCCCGAGCGGTCAGCGACAAGTGAAACTTATACCTACGGGAGATGGTTGATGTGACTTGCCAGTATGTTTCCCACGAGGGCGAATATCATTGGGACCGCGATGTGGTACCCCCTCTCCTGCTTGTGCGAGGCATGGAACGACACCGCCAGGGACACAAAGAAGGCGAAAAAGTACGGCGGGGATGTGAGCAGTAAGGTCTTGGTGCTGTCATATCCTAGGGTTCCGACGATGGAGGGGAAGAAGTTGTTGAAGGACTGGGCGGTGATCAGGGACATCTGCAGGATGACAAACATGTACAGTTTGCGGTCACTGAGGGCTTGTTTCAGCCCCCACCAGATGGACTCGGGGTCCTCGTCTACGATTCCGGCATTTTCTTTCCGTATCCTCCATTCCTGGTCATTTCCATCAGTACGCCGGCTTGGATAGGAGCAATATTGGGTTTGTTGTTTTGGTCTAGTAGACGCGAAGAGTCCACTTACTGCGTATAGTTGCATGTCTCTCGAGAGGAAAAGGTGTTTACTCTGGAGAGGATAGTCCGTGAGGAGTGGGAGTAGAATAATTGCTATGCCCACAGTCATAGAGCCCTCGATGATGAAGAGCCATTCCTGTTTAGACCAAGTTAGCTGAAAGCCGTCTTTGGAGGCCGAGTAGGCGGAGACGAACCCAAGAAGGTCTCCCAGCAACATTCTGCATCTGCGAGGTGACTGAAGTGAACGATCAGTTTCACCATTGTGCACCAAAACGAGAGGCTTTATCATACTTCCTGCGGCTATCAGCCCGGAGAACGCCGTGGCTAACATGTTTCCGCCATAAAGTACAGCAATCCTGGGTGGTAGCTCGGCTCGGGTGTACCAGCAACTCAAGAGGAAAAACACCGCCGGTAGAAACGGGGCTGTCAGTGTTGCGTTAGTACTAAAGCCATCGGGAGGTTCGGTTCGACTTGAAGGGCTGTGCTTACCTTCAACAAGCCCAAGAATAAATCTGACAGCAGCTAGCTGGGAGAAGTTCTTGGTGAAGCCTTGGCTCATTGACACAATGCCCCATAGAGATGTGGTCAGGCAGATATAGTACGACCTGGAAATGTGTCAGCACATTAGATATTACATGCAACGACGTAGAACTGATCCTGAACTGGCCCAACGTACGGTCGGATCTTTCCGATGATTAAATTTGATGGAACTTGTGTAAGACAATCTGCGCCGAATTAGCACTCGTTGCATATGTGGTCCATTCGTGTGAAAGAGCGTACAGCCAACGTAGAACATCAATAAACATGTGTTGTATTGATCATTTGTCAGATTTAATGTGTCCGTCAGACCAACAATCTTAGCACTGGCGATATTGTTCCGATCCCTTCAGGAATGTTAGAATTCGAGCAACGCATGGACCACTATGATGCTCACAAAATGTTAAGCAGGAAGAGGATGAAGACCACTGGCAACAGTGTGAGGTCCAGCCTCCGCGTAAGCTGCCTGTTGAGCTGTGCCTGCTCGGCCTCACTCAGGTCCGCGATCTCGTCCGGCAGGGGCAGGTTATCTGGCACGAGGTCCTTCGGATCTGGAGCCTCGCAATGCGTCGCATCGTCCTTGGTCGGCGAAATTACCTCTGACATGGTGACTGGTCAGACAGATCCAGTCCCCTGAAAGAGAATCTAGAATACAGCACAGTTGAATAATCCTTCCCAGTACATTTTGGAGCACAATATGTTGTTCTTGATCCCAGCATATCATATATAGCACTTGAGCAGTGTTGTATTTACGGCTTCGGAGAGAAAGGCGAGCTCTACCCCAGATGGTGCGGGGCCCGGCTGGCCACCGCGGGCCCATAATATTCACTACTTAATACACAATGAGGCCATCTTACCACTGCAAGAATGCGGGGCCCCGCAGTCTGGAGAGCTGGGAGCACAACGTGGTATTTGGGGGCAATACTGACCCCCCTGGACGCTGAATCTCTGCACCTGGAATCAGGGCTCCGCTTCCACATAAACTCGGTAAGAAAGCCGAAAGCCTCAACTACACCGTGAGGCCTGTCCCACGGAAAAGCAGCGATTAACCACAAAGACTAGATCGGAATGGGCCAGTGCTACGATTGAGCCTTTTTCCTCCCTCGGGGGAAGGCAGATGTGTGTGCCTACCAGACTCTTGATTGATCATTCTAATCATTGAAGGCGATCTGAATGTTGTTACTTACAGCAAAGGTGATGGACAGATTCCTAATCAAAGAAAAGCAGCTTGATAGTATGCGTAATATCCAGAATGCTACCAGATTTAATGATCATCGAGGGATAAAAACCACTATTAGGCATCTTCAAGCATACCTAGGTAGGCAATTGACATGTTATATGTTCAGTGCAGTCCACAGGTGGCGGTGGGTACTTGGTGCTGGACGGGGCCCCGAATTGCCTGGCACAAACGGTGAGGCAGGATAAGCAGAGGGGAGCAATTCATATACGGGGTAGAAACGGACTGCGGCTCCGTACCAGCAGCCTCGTTGTCAAGCATGCTTATCGCATTGCACTGTAGACACACCTGGGCAGTCAGGCAGTCAGGCAGCTTTGTTCTGTAAGTGTGGTGCCTGAAATTTAGAAGATGCCCTGAAAAAGAAAGGTCTGCCTGCTTAGTGAGATGCACATTGGATGCTCGAGAAGAGATGAAACTTCTGTGGCATGCATCGACTTGAAGGGGCACGGAACGAGGCTAGATCAGACCGTCGTGCATGTCACACTCACAGAACACCGGGACGTTTGAATACGGATGCCTGGAAACTGAACAGGTACGTACTCAAGAGTATGTACCTGGGTACGCAAACAGTGGCCTTGACCTTGGTGCTGCAGGTACCATCCGTCCCGGGAGACATTCGCCTAGTACCGGAGGCGGGATGTGGGACCCGGAACCCATTGTGGCCGGGCGAGACGGTAGGATGGCAGGATGGTCAGCAGTAGCAAAGATAAGGCAAGGATCCGGATCCTGACAGCTGTATGCAAATCTACTCGGCAGTCCTATGACTCAAAGATTCTTGAGTTCCGTCTGGTGCTAGCACGGAGTGAGGATAATAGACCGACGGCACGGCACAGTCGGCAATTCCTAGATATGCAGGCTAGCCTAGACCTAAGCTGGGCTGGCCGACGTCCGCCGGTTTGACGGCTTTCGGGGGGGAAGACGGCGGCAGAAAGCAGGCTAGATTGGTGGCTTGGGGGCGAGGCGTCGCGGTTGCAGCATGGTGCGGCTCCGGACAGGCCAGGATTGGCGGCTGTGGCTTTGGTCAGTCAAACATTGGCCTACCCGATGCCTGAGCCGGGGGAGTCCTCGAAGGAGGTTCCCACTGTCTGAAGCAGTGGGGAGCCAGGTCATGTGGGCATTGTTATTGTTATGGAAGGCCGTGGATGTCTCAGATTACTGTAGAAGCCAAGCCATAGAAGCAGTATCCTCACTGCGTAGACCAGGCGGTGGGTACTCTCGGCAGAAGGTGCTTCCAATGTTCCGACCTGGCCGCCCCACCTGCCCACCAGCTAACGGTGAAAGGTGGTCATAGCTTCTCATGGATTCCCAGGGAAAATTTGGGCTCGTGCCTGACAGCACAACAGCAAAACACCTCAACAACAACAACCCTTTGCTCCTCTGGTCCTTACCCTCCTCTTCTCTCCGACCACATCTCGCCTCGTCACGCGGCGAGTCTGACAGAGAGACGTAGAGAGACGCAGAGAGAGCCCGCATCCGGTGACCTCACCGTGGCCGTCCTTTTGTCCTCGCACATGAATCGATGAGGCGCTCTGTCCCTCGCACCCGGCGCCATCCAATCGGCGTTGCGTCCTTCATCATGTGCTGCACCTAGCCGTCCAGTCTGAGCTTCATTGTCCTCCAGCAAGATGGAGTCTCTGGATGCTACCACCACCGCCGCATCGGCCCTGGCCACCGCTGTCGGTGCCAGTGTCGGTGCCGCCTCCATCAGTGCCCCCAACCCGGCACTGTCGTCGGTCATGACACGCGCCAACGATGTCGTCGTCACCCACGGCTCCTTGTCCTGGATAGGCCTCGTCGCGAGGCTGATTCTCGGCATACTGCAGCTGCTTTCCACCATCATCTACTTCGCCCTCAAGCTTACTACTATATCCATTCCTACTTTGCTCTTTAATCTTTTTTCAACGAGCCTGACGTTTACGATGAATGCTACGACCATGTACGCCCGACCAACCTGCCCCCCCTTTGCCCAATCACATCTTGACGCTTGCCTGCTAACATCTGTGACAGAATGATAATACTAGCGCTGATATTTTCTGGGATAAGCTGGGTTGTGCGGTACCGCTATCTCAACATGTACTCCCGTCTTCCGCCAGAGCCTCAGAGGAAGGAGCCCGAGGTCGAGCTCTTCCCCGACACACAGGACGGCATCAAGTCTGGCCTATCTAACTACCTGGACGAGTTCTTGAGTGCTATCAAGATCTTTGGATACCTCGAGAGGCCCGTCTTCCACGAGTTGACTCGTAGCATGCAGACAAGGAAGCTGATTGCCGGCGAGACTCTCAACCTCGAGGACGAGCAGGGCTTTTGCTTAGTCGTCGATGGTCTTGTCGAGATCTTTGTAAAGTCTGCACGGGCCAGGGCTGGGTCTAACAGCGTCGGTAGCGACGGCTCCTGGGACTCGGTCAGTGACGCCGAGGATGGGGAGATGCACCGCCCCGGCCAGCAGCGATACCAGCTTCTCACCGAGGTGCGGAACGGCGCACCCATGTCTTCACTCTTCACTATCATGTCTCTCTTCACCGAGGACGTCAAATTACGGCATGCCGATGACGAAGCACCCATGCCTAACACCGCCGCCTCTCATGACGGCCATTCCAGGTTCCCCTCGGCTGCTGGCCTCGAAAAGTCCAACGACACTCCCTCTTTTCCAGGTACACCAATGTCAGAAGGTCCCCCGAGTGGTGTTCGGGGCGTTCGTCTTGAGGATCCCGCCAATTTGCAGCCTGGTTCTGGCGCATTGCCGAGGGTGCCACCTATGTCCCTTGACGATAGCAATCTTTCAACTCATGATTTCCCTCGGCACCACCAGCTCAAGACTAGGCCAGGGATCAAACGGGTGGGGACCAGCTCGGTTCATCCAGATGTTATCGCAAGGGCATCAGTGGATACCACGATTGCCATCATCCCAGCCAGTGCATTCCGACGCCTAATTCGCGTCTACCCCAAAGCAACCTCTCACATTGTGCACTTGATCCTCTCTCGTTTCCAGCGGGTCACGTTGGCGACAGCTTTCAGCTATCTCGGCCTGGGCGGTGAAGTCCTCCAGACGGAGAAGAACATGATCAAATACACCATCTGTCAGCTCCCGAATCAGCTTCGAGGAGACCCATTGGAGCGCCTCAAAGAGAAGTTCAAGCGAGAACGTGAGCGAATCGGGGAGGGAGAGGCTGGCAAAGGCATCGCACTGCACAACTCCATGGCGGGAAGTCGGCGCCGGACATCCTCGACAGCAGGCTTGCGGAAAGAGGCCGTGTTGCACGCTATGAAAGGATCTGTGGTCACCTCAACCATATTCCCCCCTCAGCAGCGGAGTTCAATCGATACGCCGAGCCCTGGTGATCTCATGGCTACCATACAGCACGCCCGAGGTGGCGGACGCTTGCCAAGGCAGATCTCTGCTCCACGTCAAGATCCCGCTCAACCGTCTGAGGCACAGCGGAAGGAAGGAGTGTCCCCTCTGGCAGAGAGAACCTTCAACCCTTTCGCGAGCCAGCGCATTTCTCTCGGAAAGAGGGAGCAAGTCGACGAGGATAACGTGTTCCGAGAGTCCATCTTGGAATGCATGTTCAAGGCCATCGGTCTAGAATCAAGTGGCACGCCATCTCGGGGAACCGATTCGGTTGAAGCCTCTCCTAGGCTTGTCTCATTCGATTCACGCCGCCACAAAGCAATCTTTTCCAACAATGCCTTCGGCTTCATGGACCCGTTTGATGCCTCAGTCGATGGTGACACAGAGTCTGTGACCTCTAGTGGGCTCGCCCCGCACGCCTCCCCCGGCCCTCATGCTCTCGCCCAAGACATGAAGCATGAACTGGAAATCGTGTTCTTCCCGAAAGGGTCTGTCCTCGTTGAGCAAGGAGAACGAAATCCTGGCCTGTACTACGTCATTGATGGCTTCCTTGACATGTGCGCTTCCTGTGAGGAGAAGCCCAGGGACATCTTGCACAGCTCGGGCGGAGAAGCGACTGACATACCGGATGGATCCTTTGCACATCGTCGCACGGCAACAGCCGCCTCGGAATTCACAGCGCCTGACTTTGGCCAGGGTGGCTCAGATGCCCGTAAGAAGGGCGCTGCCCGAAGGAGCGTTGCACTGATCAAACCGGGGGGTCTTGCGGGCTATGTTGGAACGGTGTCTTCCTACCGATCGTTCATCGACGTCGTCGCAAAAACAGACGTCTACGTTGGATTTCTTCCTCGTGCGTCGCTGGAAAGAATCGTGGAAAAGTACCCCATCGTACTTCTGACGATGGCCAAGAGGCTGACCAGCCTGTTGCCGCGCCTGATCCTGCATATTGACTTTGCACTGGAGTGGCTCTCGGTCAATGCTGGTCAGGTCATCTTCCATGATGGCGACGAAAGCGACGCGATCTACCTCGTGCTGAATGGTCGGCTGCGTCTTGTTGAGGATCGCAAGGATGGCGGAGTCTCTGTGAGGGCGGAGTTCGGCCAAGGTGAGAGCGTCGGTGAGCTCGAGGTCTTGACAGAGTCAGCTCGTACTGGGACCCTCCACGCCATCCGAGACACAGAAATTGTCAAGTTTCCACGCACGCTGTTCAACAGTCTGGCACAGGAACACCCCAGCATTACGATCAAGATCTCCAAGATGATTGCTTCAAAGATGCGCGCATTTGTTGACGATCCTGTGGTATCAAAGGACGGCTGGAGCCGAACAACCGTCAACAAGAGCTCGTCTACGCTCAACCTGCGAACTGTTGCGGTCCTGCCGGTGACTGCGGGTGTGCCAGTGGTTGATTTCGGGAATCGGCTCATGTCTGCACTTCAGCAAGTTGGAACTCGCAACGGCGCTACGGTTCTGAACCAGTCCGCCATTCTCAACCACCTGGGGAAGCACGCCTTCAGCAGGATGGGAAAGCTGAGGCTATCTCAATACTTGGCGGACCTGGAAGAGAAGTTCGGACTTGTCGTCTACGTTGCTGGTAAGCTCTTTCACTGTTTCCTTAATGTCGATCGGTTTTCAATCTGCGTAATGATGAGAAATTCACAGTCCAAAGGCCAGCCAGCCGGTGATGGTTAACATTAACTCTAATTTTTTCCTGAACACAAAACACACACATACTCTTTGTCAACTTTATCCACATTGAGCCTCACATTTGCTAACACGCATGATGTGACCAGATACGAGCGTCAATTCAGCTTGGACACAGACCTGCATTACCCAGGCCGATTGTATCCTGCTAGTTGGTCTTGGGGAGGGGTCACCTGCAGTCGGAGAATATGAACGCTTCATGCTGGGCCAGAAGTCCACCGCACAGAAGATTCTGGTTTTGCTCCATGCCGAAAGATACTCTGGGTCTGGCATGACGAGAGCTTGGCTGAAGAACAGAGTATGGATTAATGGCGGACACTTCCATGTTCAAATGGACGTCGGACGCGAGAACCTCCCTCTTCACCCTCGGGCCAAGCGACTTGGTCTCAACATCAAGGAACGGGTCCAAACATTGCAGGCCGAGATCCAGAAATACACGTCGAGGAAGGTCCGATACAGCCCTGTGTATGCGCCAGACGCACCCTTCAAAGGCGATTTCCACCGCCTGGCAAGACGACTCTGCGGCAGATCCGTTGGCCTTGTGCTTGGTGGAGGAGGAGCACGAGGAATCGCGCACGTCGGCATCATTCGAGCGATGGAGGAAGCTGGCATTCCCATCGACGTCGTCGGTGGCACCTCTATCGGCTCTCTGGTTGGTGGTCTATATGCTAGACACGCGGACGTCGTCCCCATCCTTGGACTGGCAAAGAAATTTTCCGGTCGTATGGGCAGCAAGTGGAGGTTCGCGCTAGACCTCACCTATCCCTCGGCCTCCTACACCACGGGGCACGAGTTCAATCGGGGTATCTTCAAGATCTTCGAGAAGACGCAGATCGAGGACTTTTGGTTAGAGTTCTACTGCAATACGACCAACATCAGCAAGAGTCGGGCCGAAATCCACACGAGCGGGTACGCATGGCGGTACATCCGGGCCTCGATGTCTCTAGCTGGCCTCCTCCCACCTCTTTGCGACGAGGGCAGCATGCTTCTGGATGGTGGCTACATTGACAACCTGACGGTATCGCACATGAGGTCACTAGGGGTGGACACCATCTTCGCGGTGGATGTTGGGTCTCTTGACGACGATACTCCTCAGTCATACGGCGACACGCTCTCGGGGGCGTGGGCATTCTGGAACAGGTGGAACCCGTTCTCGTCGACGCCGAACCCGCCAACGCTGGCCGAGATCCAGGCGCGCCTCGCGTACGTGTCGAGCGTCGACGCCCTCGAGCGGGCGAAGAACCTGCCGGGCTGCATCTACATGCGGCCGCCGATCGACGACTACGGCACGCTTGACTTTGGCAAGTTTGACGAGATCTCGCAGCTGGGCTACAAGTACGGGAAGGAGTTCCTGCAGGACCTCAGGGAAAAGGGCATGCTCCCACTTAAGGAGGAGAGGGAGGCCAAGGAGGCGCTGAGGCGGACGATGGCGCCCCGCAGGGCGAGTATCTAGAACTAGAGCCAGAGCTAGACGTGCACCTTGGACCCGGTGGAACTGAGCATCGAAGCTTTTGGTATCACACCGCCACGTGTGCTTCATCGTGCCTCTTATTGTTATAGTGTATGTGACCATTAGGTTCTGACAAATTCCATATATTCGCCTCCCCATCCGTACCTGGATCTGATTGCCGCTGTTGAAATACCCTGCTAAAGGTCTTGGGCTTGGGTATCATCCAGTTTGTGTCCTCGACGTGCATTTCATGTACACCTTTCCTGAAGGACGACCTGCTCCCACACGGTCGAAGGTCGGAGGGGGGAGTTGATTGTCCGTCGGCCTCCCCTTGGCATCGCACAGGGAAATGTCGTATGTAGCCAGGAAGAGAACGGTCGGTACCACGATATTCAATTTCGCAAACTATGCAGTGCTTCGTCAGCGTGTGACCTCAAATCAGTCTCAAGGGATCGATCGCACATACCCTCATGGCCGCTGCAAGAGTCGATAGTGTCAGTACAGTCTCGGAATCGCCTGTTTCGTGTTATGGCATGTGTAGGGCAGGACACTCACGACATGGATGGTTCCCGGACCCCCACCCCAGAAAGGCGTGAGGCGTCGCGGCGCCTTCGGCCCTGGCCTTATCGTGTCGGGTCGGGTCCCATTCGTGAGGGTCTTTGTAAATCTGCGGATCCATGTGGACGTCCTGGGCGGCATAGACCTGATTGCCAGACTAATATCAGCAAAGGGCTCAAGCTGGGACCGGGCGCCCGTGGTTTGAGTGTCTACCACGTACTGCGAGGGCATCCGGTGGTATGAACGACCCGGTATCCCCGACTGGGACCTTCTTGCCGCCGATGTTTCTCCTCACCAGAGTCCCCGACATGGTGAACCGCATCGTCTCCCTCATGGCCAACTCCAGGAGGGGGAACTCGGCTTCCCAGTCCTGGAGCGTGAGGCGGTGCAGGATCTCCACGACACCCTCGCCTGGTTTTGGCCTGTGATTTCTTATGGCCGCGTCGACCTCTGCCGTCAGCTTCGCCTTCCAGACCGGGTGCTGGGCCAGGTAGCACAGGTTCCACGAGGCGTTGATGCTCGTGTTGAAGACGCCGGCGAGGATGCCGCCGATGATTGCCTGTAGACTGTTAGCTGTCACTGTCCCGTCTAGTCTGAGGAGGAAGGATTGAGACACGTGCCAAGGCGATTATAGGGTCGCTAATGCCCTGCTCCATCATCAACTGCATCGCATCCTTCTCTATCCTGCCGGTCTTGCGCCTCTCCGAGATGTACCCGTGCATCAACCAGTGCAGCCTGGAGTAGCCCCAGAGGCGCCTGAGCTTGGAGGGCGTGGGCAGCAGCGGGAACCAGATGTCGAAGAGGGAGCTCTCCTCCAGCGGCTTGTACACCTCCCTCGTCCTGGCGACCAGGGCCGGGCTGCTGGCGATGTCGTGTGTCCCTGACATGCGGTGCGTGAGCCGGTATATCAGGGTGCCCATCGTGTCGACCGGGTCGATGATGCCCGCGGGGCCTATCCCCTGGACACACTCGTCGCTGTCGTTGACGAGGTGGTGGAGGTTGAGGGTTATCTGGTCGTCGTGTGTGCACTTCTTGTAGACGAGCATGGCGGTGCGGGCAACGCTGTTTGTGAGCCCGTCCACGTTCAGGAAGCTTCCGAACAAGACAAGGAATCTTTTCCCAAAGGGTCAGTATCCATATCCGATTCACGACCGGCAATGGAGCCCGACTTACCCAGCAAGAGAATCAAGCCCCCTAGAAGTAAGGTACGCAGTCCGCGCCGCCTCGCCGGAAATCGCGACTACGTGGCTCGAACCGTACCAGAAGCTGAACTGCCGGCCAGGGCTCTCGTCCCTCCCGAGCTGGAGGTATTCCGCCCTGGACCTCCAGAACTTGGGGGCCTTCCAGCTCGTGAGGTGTCCCTTTGCGAACCCTGGCGCGTCACTTGGTGGGTTCAGGCGGTAGAGGAGGGGCCTGACGGCCATCAGGACCAGGACGGTCGCCATCGCGGCCAGCAGGTTGTCGGCATGGCTTGGAAGCGCTGCCAGGCTGCTTATGAGGATGGCCATGATAATTTCCCAGGGTCAGTTACTGCACAGATATTGCGTCGCTTGGGGTGAGCGATGTCTGCCTTCGTGGAAAAAAGCGTAGCACGAGCGGAACATCTGTGGAATTAAGAAGCTGATAGCTAGGCGATGGGCGGGAGTGTAAGCACAGGAGGGGGCAGAGAAGATCTAATCTGCACATGCATGATTTCTGGGAAGGATCAACTAGCACTGTTAAGTTTGCAGCAAATCTTGAAGCGGATACGTTTTCCGGAGCGTGAATCAATAGCCAAATGCACAATGGTATAGGACGTATGTGGAGCATGGAATCTTCAAAGTCAGCTTGACTATTCCTCTTGCATGTTATCCGGCTGACGGGCGTGTATCCGCTCATCAGGGCACTCCACTGGGCACGATGCCAAATGCGAGATCAAGTGCGAGACCATTTCCATGTTGTATTGTGTTCTTTAAAGCCTAGGAAATGTCAAGAAATGCTTGAAACCCCACCTGGGCATCTAGGCGCCTTTGATCCACGAGATACTGGCACGATATGCTTACTGACAGTTTCAACTTAAGCCGAGAGCATTGTGGATGTTTCAGGCTCAGTGCCTACACCACTTGACATTTGCATCAAACCGCCCATCTAATTCACAACTAGTAGTACTGGTTTAGGTAAAATAGACTATCATGTCGTTATATCTCACCAACCGAAACATGGGAGCGTTCGAGTCAGCAGCTCACACTAGGCTATTCCACGCGGGCACGTTTGATGCAGAACGTAGTCTGACGCAGGTGGGTTGTACGAGGCAGGTCAGGCGGACGCCCCATGCATTAGCTGAGTGGCCAGCTTTGTCGAAGCTCATGGGCACACCCGAGACCAAAGAATAGCCTGCATTTCGGGTGTCACAGGAATTTGGGTGGTGCCCTGAGTGCGTGCATCGTACCTGATCCTCCCCTCGCGCGTGTGTGTTGTAACTTGAGGCGTGTGTGAGGGTAAAATGTGCACACGTGTCGTACAGCTGGGCGCAGTCACCGTTTAATTCGCGTCAGGAAAACACAGTCGGCATAATGGGTCTTGGTGATACAATACTTCTAGGCCTTTGTCGCGGGGTCCTGGGGTACGTCATTCTCGTTCCCGGGACCCCTGGCGGTGGTCAGGAGGCTGGGCGTGGTTGGCTGGCTGGCTGGCTTGTGTTAGTTAGCCCGCCAGCCCGGGACAACGGACGCCTCCGTCGTGGGAGGAAACAGTGGGGCTCACCGCCCTCCCGGACAGCCACTTGGGGTTCGCTCACCACGCATATAGCACAGTATCTAAGGCGGCTAGGCCGTCTCCCCATCCTGCCCGGTGACATCACTTTGTTTGAGACCAACACAGCTGCTGTCCCTCCCCCCTGTCTCTCTCTCACCACTCTCACACCTAGAACCACAGTAGAACCGCTGAACCACATCCTTTAGCGAGCTAACGCAAAGGGCTAGAGAGGGGACGCCACCGATCGTTGGTCGACGCTTGTCTCCCTTTGAGACTAGCAAGCAGGCGGCGGGGGTCGGGAATCAGTTTGACAGGGCGGCCGATTTCTGATCTGTCCTACCCATCTTTGCCATGGCATGGGTAAGGGAAGGGCCCGGGAATATCCAGCACTGGCAGGGGGGTGGGTATGTTCTCCGTGACGATATATAAGCTGGCATGGCTCCTCGGCTGGGGGTCCGCTAGGGGGGCCGTTGGATGATGACCACACTCGAAGGTGGAATCTGACACAAATACATTCCTGAACACCAAAAGAAAACAAAACAAAAACCCCATATTTCTTTCTCCCAGCCTTTTATTGTGGCTGCACTGAGCGACTTTTGTTACATCTTCGCCACACCACGTCAACGGGTCCATACACCTCTCCTAGCCCAAGGTCCACAACCACAGCGACTCCACTCAACCTGCCCGCTCACCTTGTTTCCAAACAGCATCTATATTGATCCCATTCATACACACATCCGAAAGCTCGGCAGCAGAAGAGAGCCAAAAACACGGACCGGAGGAGGCACATACAGACAACAAGGAGCAAAAGGGGAGACAAAAAAACCAAAGTCCACAAGAGCCGGGGACACCATGGTCAGGGCGAAAAGCTTCTTCCCGCTCGACCCCCGGCCGTCCAAGGCCAACGCCGAGGAGCGACAGCGCCGCAAGCAGCTGGAGAAAGAGCACGGCTACGGGTGGGTGCCGCCCGTGGTCCTGGGCCTGATCGGGCTGACGCTCGCGTACGACGTCGCGCGGGACGTGGAGAAATGCGAGAAGAGGAAGGACGAGCAGGGAGACGGCGGCGACCGAGACCGCCGCGACGAGAGCGAGGAGACGGCGCGGCGGAGGAGGAGGGAGCGGAGGCGGGCGGAGCTGCGGTCGAGGTCGGACCGCCGGCATAGGGACGACGGGGGCTGGGACAGCTGGGATGGGGAGGAGGACGACAGGGGGTACTATGGGGGGAGTGATCGGGGTGCCAGCGGGAGGGATCGGGACAGGGACGGCGGTCTCACCAGGGCGGATCGGCTTGAGAAGGGCGAGGGCGGGCCGTGGGATCGAGACCGGGAGAGGGAGAGGGATAGGCGGAGGGGCAGTGTTTACGATACTGACGACTACTTTGACGAAGACCGGCCTCGACGCCGTGGCAAGGACGAGGATGACGATTATTACGATTATGACAGGGGCAGGAGGACGGTTGAGGATCGGAGGGGTCGGCCTAGGATGAGGAGGCACTCGAGCGACTGGTGAGGCACAGCTCCGAGGTATCAATATGGCAGCAACCGCTAGAATGACATATCATCAGCCACACTTACGCGGTGGGAAACCATTCCGTCCCCCCCCCCCCCGGCCAGCGCTGAGCGTTCCGGGTCGTGCGTACTGTCACTATTTGGTTGGCTCATGCCCCCCTCGCCAGATCTGCCCAGGATCCCATGCGCGCTTTGATCGGTTCGGTCAAAACACCCTCATCTTGGGCCACCGTGCACCCCAGTTGCACGGTGCAGCCGTTCGTTCGTTCTTGTCTGTGCAGCATGTGATGCGCCTGCCCCTGAAGACACACATCTATGTACACGAAGCGGCTATGATGACAGGCATATCTGTGATATTTGGTTGGCAACATGTTTTCCACCTGGATCTCTCTCCATGTTATCATGCCTGAGTAGGCTTTACACGCCGCCACCAATAGCATAAAAATAGCAGAGTGCATTCACATCGAGAGAGAGAGACTGGTCAAACACACATAGTTATCCATTCATTGATGGGCGAGTCCTAATTACACCTGCGAGGATAGTGTGCCACGCACATTTTGTTTGATTCCATAACCACAGCCTCCAGCATATTTGAACTCCATCTCTGTCGAGATGGCCCGTCCATGGACGCTTCCGTAGGAGCTTCGCTCTGTGTCCTCGCAGCTCTAACGCCGGTCTCTGAACAACCATACCTCGAACTGTGCCTCATCAAGACCCCTGGGAACCATGCTCTTCTTTGTCTTCCAATCCGTCGAGGCTTTTGCGTGGTTCTCGTGAAGAGACGGCTTCCTTGAAAATGACTTCATCCTCTGGGTCTCAGGGCTGTCCTCGCCCTCGACACAGACCCTGGCCTGGTACGCCTTCTCCGCAAAGACACCCGCGCGAGCCTGGTCCCCATGTGAGACACAGATCTGAAAGGCGTCGTAGTACAACCGGCAGCTATGGGCTCCAGTGTGGCCGGCGAACTCCTTGTCCAGGGTACGGAGCATTGTCTGACAGTCCCGAAGACTCTCGGCCGGCTTGGTTGCCATACGCATCGGGTCACCGATAGCTTCGTCGAGGTCCTGCATCGCGAGGCGGCGGGTGTCGCTTTCTCGGAGCTGGTCGGGCGGGAGCGTGCAGATGGCGCACTGGCAGTCGAAGCCGAACGCTTGCTTCAGGAACGCCTGTCGGGCGGCGGATGGGCCTCCGTGATCGTATGGGATAGTGATTTCCTCTCCAGCCCTGATCGGACGAATAGCATGGATCGTCTCATGCTCGGCCTGACTGTTCCAATTGTTGTGGGAATTCGGGAGGCAACTGTGGTTGATGAGGCAGATGGTAGGGTACACTCCACCCTCGTTTGAACCTGGCCCGCAGGGGAGGCCATTTGTCTTAACTATTGCGCGCAGAACATTCTTTCCTGGAAAGTTGTTGTGAAGCGAGAAGAATTGTCTTTGCTGGGCCTTGGTCATGGTTTTGAGCTTTGCAGCCAAGACCAGTTCCAGTTCCTCCGGCGGAATGGATCCATGAACGGCGAGGAGCGGCTTCTCACAGAGAATGCGAGTGCCTTCGGATATGTCAACACGAGCAACCAAGCCTTTCCCTTTCCCTGGGAGTTGCTTGATTTCAAACATGGGTGTTTCGATTTCTGTCTTTGGATCAGTGCCTGAGGAGTGAGAGGCGATGCTCTTGGGAATCTGGTCGAAGCCTGCATCGGAATCCATGTTTGTCTGTTCTGGAACAGGATTGAAGGGGGCAGTAATGGCTGGTGTGGAAAATATGCCTTATTCTTTGAGATCAATTGCGATTCAAGCAAGCTCGCAGTTGGGGGCGTCTTATGTATTCGTTGTGTCTCTCAGGTGTAACCACACCGATCTCAATCTGTTTGCGCTGGTCGGCCTCATGCATAATGTGAGGCATGCCACTTCATAATGCTTTTGCGCTAGCCTCAAAAAGACTGTATACAAATCACTTCCGTGAGTGAGATACTCAAAGTGATTTGTTGGGGCGCGATGGGCTGTGTTGCATCTCGGCTCAAATGTTTGGTACGAATTGATGATGAACGATGCATTATTCACCCGTACTTGCACAACGCCGACCTCTGTACCTGGGTAGGTATCCGACAGGAAAGAACACTCGAAACTTGATGAATTCGGCCTAGGACAGGGTCGTAGCCTTTCGACTGCTTCGGGGATCTGCCCCGGTTGGATTTGTGGCTATGGAGTTGATACCGCGCTTGGTCCGAGTTCTATCCAGGAGTTGACAGGATTATTGCTGTAATTCTCATGGATCCTGGAAGTGGATAGATACAATATCAAAGACTCCCAATAGTATACAAACAAAGAATTTTTACTCCATTGATCCTCCGATGATTTTAGTCTCGCCGTATGACTGCTTTGCCGGCTTTCTAGTGCGGCGCCGTCGGGAGCGATGCCTTCCAGCCTTGTCTGTGCGGTACGAGGCTCAGCCACGTGCCCACGTACTGTATTCTCTTTCCACTGTTATTGGCACTGTATTTCTTCAGACGCTGGGTCTTGAGCGTTTACCACTGTATGAAGGCGCCACGTACATTTTACATGTATGGGGATTAAAAACGAAACCACCTGATCCTCCGATGTGGCGAATAACAAACAAAACTCCTCGACCAGCAAGCATCAGCAGCATCATCCCAGCCGGATCCCGCTCACCACGCAGGCAGTCGCTCCTCATGCCAGGGTAAGGAGCCTTTCCCACATTTGTTGACTTTCCCAACGGTACCTCGGCACTAACCAGAGCCAGACAAAGCCGATAGCACATACCTGCAGTCAGATGCGTGACTTGGAAGATCAGAATGGAACGGTGAAGCCAGGCCTATCGAGATGTTCGAAAAGTATTACGATGCTCGCTTACTCTTGTAGGTCACTCTTGTGCCAAACTTCACCACAAGTGACTGCGGTTGGAGTCAAACATTGAACTGTTCAACCTCATAACGATAATATTGTGACGCGTAACTCAAGATGCTCTATCTTTTGCACAGACTTGCCAGAGAGGAATGTGACTTTATGCGCAGGATCTCAACATCTCGAGGGGGTGTCTCCTTGAGGAAAGAGACACCGCAACCTCCGAATTTTACCTAGGTGACATGGGAATGGTCAGATGTTGAAACCAACACCGCCAAGGACTCACGTGACAGCAGAACTACAGCACACCTTCTGGTAAGAGTAGTTGTATCAACTGGGCATGGAGTCTCGAAAAATGAAAACGAACGCTTGCATGATGATGCTGCACTAGCTACATCTAACTCTTTGTTTTGTATGCCACCATTGCGAGGGGCCCAGGAAACCCCAAACAGAGTCTAGGATCTTAGAGGTCTTTCTCTGTCACACAACTTCCTCCCACCTTTCAGAAACAGAAAAGAAGAGCCTAATATCTGAACCCATCTATTGACCCTTGACAACCCTCTCTGCGGTAGCCAGTATCAGCTCATGGGCAGCCTTTACATGCTCCTCCTCAGTCGTGATATTGCCCGTCATGACCCTGATGGCAAACTTGCCCTCGAGGACCGTGCTGGTCAACCAAAGCTTACCCGAGCGGTTGACATCCTCGTACAGCGCCCTGGTGAGCTCATTCCTCTTCTCCTCGCTCTCGACGCCCGCAGGCGCGAGCCTGAACACGACCAGCGCGAACGCGGGGCCCGTGACGATCTCAAACAGGTCGGGCCTCCCGCGCAGCCAGCCCGCGAACAGCTCGCCCTGGGCGACGCCCCTGCGGATGTAGCGGCGCAGGCCCTCGACGCCGTAGCTGCGCATGACGAACCAGATCTTGAGGGAGCGGAAGCGGCGGCCCAGCGGGATCTGCCAGTTGCGGTAGTCGGTGACGAGCCCGCCGTCGCTGTAGGTGTTGCGGTAGACGTGCAGCTCCGAGCCCAGCGCCGACTCGAGCCACGACCGGTCGGCGACGAAGACGCACGACGCGTCGAAGTTGGTCAGCAGCCACTTGTGCATGTTGAAGTTGTACGAGTGGAAGTGCGCCAGGTGGTGCACGCCCACCGACTCCTGCGCCTCGGGCGTCACCAGGGCGGACCCGGCGTAGGCTGCGTCGATGTGCACCCAGACCTCGCCCTTTCTTGGGGCCGGGGCGGGTGAGTTCCCGTTGGTGGTGCTGGTGCCGTTGGTGGTGACTGTGCCGTTGGTTTCGGCGGTCGGTGTCGCTCGGAACTTGGACAGGACGTCGGCGATGGCGCCAAAGTCGTCGACGGCGCAGGTGTCGGTGGTGCCGAGGGTGGCGGTCAGGAAGAAGGGCTCGAGACCCTTGGCCTTGCACTTGTCGAGGGTGTCCCTGAGGGCATCGCCGGTCATGGCAAAGTTGACGGCCGACGAGGTGGGCACGGCGACGTAGCGGACACCGAGGATCTTGGCGGCCTTCTTGGTGGAGGAGTGGGCGGCCTCGCTGCCCAGGGCGACCAGCCTGCTGCGCTTGCGCATGTCGAGGTCCTCGAGCTCGTCGTCGGGCAGGGAGCCCGGGGCGGGCAGGGTGTCGCGGAGGTACTTGTCGCGGGCGGCGACCATCATGGTGAGGACGGCCTCGCTGGCGGAGCCCTGGATGACGCCGCCGCCGCGGGTGGGGCCGGTGGAGTGGTAGACGTCCGGGAGGCCGGTGACCTGGGCGACCCAGTCGAGCATGATGGTCTCGAGCTCGGTGACGGCGGGCGAGCAGATCCAGTTGAAGGAGGCGGCCGAGAAGGCGGCCGAGTACAGCTCGCCCAGTATCGAGGGGTACGAGGCCGGGCAGGGGAAGAAGGCGAAGAAGTTGGGCGACTGCCAGTGGGTGAGGCCCGGCACGATCTTGGAGTCGATGTCCTTGCGGATCACGTCCCAGGACTCGCCGTCCTGCGGTGGCGACTCGGGCAGCAGCTTGCGCAGGTAGCCCGGCTCGACCTGCGAGACGACGCTGTGGTCTGTGATGTTCTCATAGTAGTTGACGACTGTGTGGGTGTGTGTCAACTGGTCTGGTCTGGTCTGGTCTGCTCACTCACTCGTCTTCTTCTGCGGGCTCACTTACTGTGGTCAATTGAGGCCTTGGCGGCGTCCTTGAACTCGCGGCTGTCCATTTTGATGTTGTTTGGTGATGTGAGTGTAGTTTGTAGTTTGACAGATCCAGGAACCTGGTCTATTGGAGACAGACGTGGTGTTTTGGCCACGAGAGGCTGCTTATTAAAACACTTTGAAGTGAATCCTACCGCGGGCGAGAACCGTCGGTGAAGGCCGATGTCCGGAAACAAAAGGAAGCACTTGAGCTCTGGTCGTGATGATGCAGGCTCGGACTGCTGGAATCCGTTTCTGTTTGGTGATACAATGTACGAGCAAACAATGGTAATGACTACCTTCTCGTGCGCATTAGAGCATCGCCAAAAGTCCAAGACAGGTCGCCACTCGAGACTGCTTCATCTCAAATGTTGCTTGCTTCTTTTGCTTTGCCCTGATGTGGAAACTAAAGTGAGGGCGCTAGCGCCCGGGCCGACCTTCACACCATCACACCGTGGCCCTGGCCCGGAGTGGATTTGACTCGTTTAGGGCCCACCTGCCGCCGCCCCGGCTTCCGGTGCCGGAACCATACTCCGTGTTTGGGGGGGGGGGATATATTCTTCAAAGGAATAAGGTGTTATAGAGAGGGGAAATCAATTTCTGTATTGTTGCCTGTTAAACAATACTAATCAATCTACACTAAGGTATAGAAATACGTAAAATCCCGTCATCTTTGGTTACTGTTTAACGGCAGCTGAGGCTTACTTTTTCGTTGAGGCGTACGGCCGTACGACCCGTGAACTCGAGGCTCTAGTTGCGCCACGCACTATCGTGAGCCAATCCGCAGGAGCCAGTGCATAAAGAACCCATAAGAACGGGGACTTATAGGATACTCTTCCACTCGGTGCGGTGTGACTGTACTACGTACGCACGGTCAACGTCGACTTCGTTCAATCTCCACACAACAGCTGTCTTGAAAGAACCCGATGATTCAAGAAGTCGTGAAGCGTCGAGCTAGTCTATCCCGGCTAGATAATTTAGATTGTAGATCTACCCACCTCATGCACGAGCTTTCCGTTGGCCTCAGCCCGTCCGTCGGCGCTTGAGCAAGAGTTGCTGGCTGAGGACCGGGTGAAAACGACATCCGATTCGTCTTCATCCCTCAAGTGCTCTGAGGCCAATCTCTCAGCCAAGTGACACAAACCGCCTATCACCTTTCCACAGCATTCCAGTGGACGCCTCCTAGGATCTACATCCGAGCAGTGTCTATACATGTGGTACCAGACGCCCACTCGTACGGCAGTCACTCAGTAGCAATTTGGAAAGCTTGTCGATAATACCGTCTGGGGCATCGCACCGTGCAACCGATTGCTGACCCTGAGAGGGATCTGTGAGCATCGACATGGTTGCATGTTGCCTGCTTAAGCTAGAGTGCAGATTGTGGCTTTGGTCATCCACATCTGTAAGTGTGCAATCAACCATGCTCGGTTCCAATGAGATCCCAATGGAACTTCCTATGCCAGTGGTAGAGCTAGGCATCATCATTGAGGCCCTGTTAGCTAGGCACCAGTGGAAGAGCCTAGATAGTCAGAACACTTGATGCTGGGAGCGAAGAAAGATTACACTGCTCTTTGGTGGCGAGCGCCGCGAGGAGCCCAGAAAGCAAAGTCCAGTTGTTTACCGGCTTCACGAAGAGCTTAAGTGATTTAAACCTAGTAAGATGGACGAGTTATTGTGGTCTGCGTTAGTAGATGCTACGCAAATCCGCGGCATCCCCCGGCACCCACCTCGATCTACATCATACCACCCGAGGAGCCGCTGATACCAAAACTCAGATAATAATGGTCCCAAATGGAAATGGCAGTTCCATGGTCCAAAAGGTTCGGAGGTCGGTGACGTCTACGTGGGTTAGAGCGGCGCAAGTAGCTTTCCGTCAGTCGGTTCGATGGGGGAGGAGGGATCAGTTGATCCCTCGTTATGCAAACGTTTAGGTCGATGGGTTTGTATAAGATATATGAAACCAGTATTGAGAAGTGATTGGACAAGATTCGTTCTTGTCCATGGTGTAATATAATAATAAATTTGGGTCGGGATGGGGAGTCCAAGAACATCACCAATCATCCCCCATGGTGAGATGACTGTGCGGGGTTACCATGGGCTGCTCGAAGTAATTGATTCGACTTGAACGGAGCGTTCTACACCATTGAAAGGGATCACATTCGCCTGCGAGATGGGAGTGTAATAGCGATGGAATAAGTTAAGAAGAGAACCAATTATCCGGCTCAATGGGGACGTACTGATGTTGAAACGATCGTTGTGGCTACATCCGGATGCGGAGCTCCTTTCAAGGCGTGGGAAATCTCAATTGGGCGCAAGTGTTTTCCAACGCCTTCAGATCAAGAAGAATCTTAGCAGGCGAAGCGATAGAGCACTTACAATATGCTACCTAGGTAGTATTAAATATCTTGCTGCAATGCTTGCTGAGACAAATTTGGCAGAAGCCGCCATAATTGCCTCTTGGTCAACGGTCTTACCCCAGAATATCGATCTTGTTCCCGGCAGCTTCTCAATTACACAGTAGAAACAGACTGTCTCAACGTGGGCAGACATTCTCTTTTTCTAAGTTTGAAGTGCGGCCAAGACAACGCTAAGACCCCTAGAACATGCAGCCGAGCCAACAAGTGCACGGCGGGACGTTGGTGGTGATCCTTTCTGACGGGAAGCATCGCGATTCCTGCGATGCCCGAGATTAGCGACCACCATCCTGGCCAAGGGCGTCCAGCTTGAGGGCAGGGCGGCTTTCCGCATTGGGCCCATTCGACTGAGCCGCAGGGTCGCAGAGACATTGCTGCGTTGGGTCGTCACCCAAGGCCACACGTACAGAAACGAGGTTGCATAATCATACCTTTATACCCATGAATCATTGAAAATCTCTACCTAAGGGAGTTACTGGCTAATGTGAACCCCACCCCCTTCCTAGGGCGTCAGTGGTTGCTTCGCACTTCGCCGCTGGGGTTTCGTAGGCAGCAGCCAAGATTACCAGCTGGCCAGGGTGGCGGTCAGCTTGACGATGTAACACTACGGGCTTGCTTACTTCTCATAACACCCATGGTGTCCCACGACTATTGTCCATCCTTTGAAGTTCTTCAACCTCACTTGTTACCCTCTAACTACATCGGGAGGCATGCCCCAGAAGCCCAGTCACTTGTCGACCACAGTGTGATTCATGGGATAGTAATGGCCTCGACTTGGGCTTCTTTATTTCCTGGGGTCGACCCTTGTACCATTCCCAGCGGTCCACCTCCTAGAGGCCAAACCAGCAACTTTGATGATCCGACAGAGCTGCTCAAGAACTTGGTGATATATCTTACAGTCATCCCCACTGTCTTGGCCATTATCTTTGCCTCTGGGAGGTTATGGGCAAACTTGAAAAAGCCAACTTGGACTGACGGTATGGCTCTAATTTCAAAGCATAACCAAAACACACCACATAATGATTAACGTTCATCCGCCATATAGGACTTGTTCTTGTTGCCACGATTATTGCAGTAACTCAAAATGTATTATTGGTGACATGTAGGTGCAGTACCCTCTGCCATTGTCCCACGTTGTGGCACCTAACGGAATGCATTCCAGTTGTGAAATATTACCGCCACATATGGGATGTGCCACTTTGCTGGCTTGGCACACAATTCTTCCAGGTACGCGATCGCGATCACACTTACACAGAATCCATGAAAACGTACTGATAAATGCCAGCTAACATTCACGTATGCGACGTTGACAAGTTTCGGGTGCCTCTTCGCCAAGACCGCAACTTTACTGGTACTGCGACAAATTTTCCAAATCTCAAAACAAATGCATATAGCCATCATGATCGGGATCGCCATTAATGTCCTGTTGTATGGCTTGAGCATTCCGGTCCTGTCATACTACTCCACTCCTCATGTCGGAAAGACTTGGGATGATGTGGTCGTTGATGCGGTCATGAATCCTCAAATTTTTGCTTTCAAATGGAGCACCGGCCAAGCAGCAGTAGGGTCGGCCCTGGACATTTACATATTCATTCTTCCTATTCCCATTATTTCCAGACTCAAATTATCTACAAGGAAACGGATGCAACTCATAGCCGTCTTCGGCACTGCCATTCTGTAAGGCTGCAAGATACTGATTACAAGACTCTGTCCCGATCTATATGGCTAATAAATTTCTTCAGGGGAATTGCGGCCAGTCTGATATCTCTTGTTTATAGAGTCAAGTCACTTTCAAACACAGATGCAACGTGGAATGCTGGTGTTCTCATGATCGGCGTGTTAGTTTCCATCCTATCTGGATCATCTTTTGCTTATTCGACTGACAGGCCATCCAGTCAGATTGAACTCACAGTAGCAATCATTGTCTGCTCAATGCCTGGATTCACTGGTTTGCTCCGGACGAAAATTCCAGATTCAAAGCTAGCTTCAGCTCTCCGCTCTTTGCTTGGAAACTTCACTCGCGGCAGTTCTCATAGCACAGCCCAGAAGTGCACAGAGTTCGATGCTATTCAACCAAGCTCTGGACAGGTCGGCCAGAATGAGCAAAAGGCCGGGTATTACGATCTTAGGGAGACACGGCCGATAGAGAGCGCAGTCAAGGCTGACACGGAACACCAAGTGTATCCCCTGCGGCCAATCTACGATTGGGGTAGTGCCAGAGTCCAAAATGGTCTGGACGTTGAACAATTCCAGGCCCCTCGTCAAGTTTTCCAGCATAATTATTCCCCGCGTCAAGCAAGGATCTGAAAATTACGCACTATGGGTACTATACTTATGTCGGTGTACCCTTTGTTTTTATTAGTGTAAATCTCTGATCTCTTCAATAGTGATGGTAGGTACACCATCGCTTGGGTCAATCCACGGTGTAACACCTCGAACTATTATGCCAACAATTTTGTGCCTCATGAACTGCCGAAAATGCGGAGTGTGAGACTATCTAGGTATTCGATTTCCCATCGACTCCCTACCGGGGGGAGGGGGGTAAATTAACTTTATAGTACCATCATTTCAAACTAATACTAACATTCTCTTAAAATATAAATACACTATTAATATAACTATAAGCTATTTAAATAATATAATACTTTTTAATATAATATAATTTATTTACTCCCTTTTTAAGTATAAAGTTAAAAGATTTATAATTATAAAATTCTAACTAATTTTTATTTAACTATTTTATTATATTATAACTTAATTTAATCTTTAATTTAATTTAAACCTTTTTTTAAGTTTTTAACTTTATTATATTTAAAAAAGTAAAGCTTTATATTTTTCAATTTCAATTTAAAATTCTTATAAATTTTAATATACTTTAAATAAAATTTATAATCCTTTAATTTTTTAAAAATATATTAATTATTTTAAATATTAATAACTTCTTTTAAAATAAAAGTCTATCTTTATATAATTATAAATTTAATTATTAATAATTATTTTTCTTCTATTTATAATAAAGTTATTAAAATTATAAATTTAAATAATAAAATATAATTACCTTATTTAATTATATCTTAATTTAAAATATAATAAGTTAAGTAACTACTTTTAAATAGTTTTACTTATAATATAGTAGAGTTAATAGATAAGTATTTATTTAAATAAAGTTAAAACTTTAATTAAAGGAATACTAGCTTTATCTTTATTTATTTTAACTAATTTACTTAAATTATATAATAAATTTAATACTTATATATAATATTTATTAATATTAAATTAAATAGTTTATAATTTATAATAATTTTAACTTTTAATAAATTAATAGTACTAACTTAAACTAATTAAATATAGTTTAATATATTAATATAAAAATATTTTTAATAATAAATAATATTATTAATAATTATAAAATTATTATAAAAGTTTTATATAATAAACTTAATTAAATTAATTTTTAAAAATATATTATATTTTATTTTTAAAATTATAATTATTTATTTTTAATTTAATAATAAAATTAAAAGAATATAAATATTTTATAATTTACTTATTAAAATACTATTAATATATTATTAAAAGTTTAATATATAAATAAAAAAATTTAATTTTTATTAAAATTAAGTTTTTTCTTATTTTATTTTAATTTAATTATTTATTAATTAAATCTTAATTTAATTATTAATATTAATTAGCTTAGCTTACACGTAAGAAGTAATTAAAGTAGTATATCTTAATATTAGTTATATCGGTTAGCTTAACTTATATATAAAAAGTAGTTAAAGTAATATATCTTAATATTAGTTAAAAGGTCTATCTAGCTAGATAATAAAACACCTAGTTAAGTTAGTTAAACCTACTAACTAAACTAATTAATCCATATATAGATATAAACCCACTAATCCTACTTATAGTAGCTAATCCACTGCAGCCCACTATTCCCATACTAGCACTTTTTTAATCTTCTAAAATCTTCCTTCTAGCTAATTAAAAAGCTCTATTTACTAACAAAATAGTTTCTAATTAAATCACTCTAATTACTTAAAATTACCACTAAACGTATAATTATAATTTACTTAATTTAAACACTATAAAAACACTCTAAATCAACGTTTTATAAATCACTTAAATTACTTAAATTTAAATTACTTTAATAAATAAAATTAAGTCTAAATTATTAATTAACTAATTATTTATTAAACTATTTATTAAGTAGTTACTAATTATAGCTATACCTAGCTAATTAGTCCTTTTAATAGTTTCTTCTTTTTCTTTCCTTTTAGTTTATATAATTAATTAGACTATTAAGCTATCTAATAGCTATTTAGTAACTATTAAAGAATAAAGCTTATTTTAATAATTACTTAAATAAGGGCTTAATTATAGTTAGTTATTTAAATAAAAGGTTGTTTAATTAGTTATTTAATTAAATTATACTAAATATAGTTTTTATATAGTAAATATATTACTATCTTATCTATATAGTTAGTTATTTAATCTATAAGATTATTATTTATATTTAAGGGTTTTTTAAATAGTATTTAAAAGGTTATTATAAAAAAAACTTTTATTTGCTTGCTTGTTTATTACTTTGGATTATTATATAGAGTTTTTTTTTTTAATAGGTTTTTTAGTAAAAGGAATGTCTTTTATAAGCTATAAAGGAGGTTGTTATAATAGTAGGTTGCTTATAAACTTAGCTAGTAAAGGTATCTTACTTAGTTATTAAAAGAGAAAAGTAGGTAAATCTTAAGTCTTTAAAAATATTTATAGTCCTCCTTAAAGTACTATTAAAATGTAAATAAGGGCTTAGTAATAAAAAAAGCTTTATAGGTAAATTTTAAGTTTTTAAAGATATTTATAGTTTCTTAAAGTGTAATAAAGTATATAAAGTAATAAAGGGATTTAAGGACTTTATTTATACTTAGTTAAGTCTTTATTAAATTAATAGCTTTATAAGGTTTTTTAATAAAAGGTGTAGTTATAAAAAAAAAAAAGAGAGAAAGGTCTTCTTTTTAGCAACTAATTAATACCTAGGCTTTAAAGGCTCTATAGTCTTAGTATAGTTACTTTAATAATAAGGACTTATAAGGAATTTAGCTACTTTAAAGTAATTAACTATCTTTTTAGCCTTACTATTAAAAGCTAATTAGTAATTAATTAATATTAATTAGCTTAGCTTATATATAAAAAGTGGTTAAAATAGTGTATTTTAATGTTAATTAAAAGGTCTACCTAACTAGGTAGTAAAGCGCCTAGTTAGGTTAGCTAAACCTATTAACTAAACTAACTAGTCCGTATATAGGTATGAACCCACTAATCCTACTTATAGTAGCTAATCCACTATAGCCTACTATTCCTATAATTAATTTATATTAAATCTATAAAATTAAAAAGTTAAAAAATTATAAAAAGTTTAATTTTTTATTAATTTATAAAATTTAATATTAATAAATTTAAAAATTTTAAAAAGATTTTTAATATATAAACTATTTATATTATTTTAATTCTACTATTAAGTTAGAAATAAAGAGTTAGAATTTTAAAAGATAAAATATAATATATTTTTAATATATATTAATATAATATTAAAACTTAATATAAACTATTTATATTTTTTTAATTCTATTATTAAATTAAAATAAATAGTTATAATCCCTAAAAATAAAATATAATATATCTTTTAAAGATTAATTTAATTAAATTTATTATATAAAACTTTTATAATAACTTTATAATTATTTATAATATTATTTATTATTAACAAATACCTTTTATATTAATATATTAAGTTATATTTAATTAATTTAAGTTAATATTATTAACTTATTAAAAGTTAAAGCTATTCTAAACTATAAGTTAATTTAATATTAATAAGTACTATATATAAGTATTAAATTTACTATATAACTTAAATAGGTTAATTAAAATAAATAAAAATAAAAACTATTATTCCCTAAGGGTTCTAGCTCTACTTAAGTAAATATCTATCTATTAGCTTTATAAATAAAAAGAAATAATTATTAATAACTAAATTTATAACTATATAAAAATAAACCTATACTTTAAAAAAGTTATTAATATTTAAAATAATTAATATATTTTTAAAAAAGTTAAAAGATTATAAACTTAATTTAAAATATATTAAAATCTATAAAAATTTTAAACTTAAAATTAAAAATATAAAGCTTTAACTTCCTTAAAAAAATAAAGTTAGAACAACTTAAAAAAAGGTTTAAACTAAATTAAATTAAATTATAATATAATAAAAATAGTTAAATAAAAATTAATTAAAATTTTATAATTATAAATCTTTTAACTTTATATTTAAAAAAAGAAAACTTAATATAATATTAACTTTTTAATAGATTTTATTTATAATAATATTTTATTAACCTTTTATTATTATTTAGTTATAATATTTAAATTATATTTAAATATTCATTTTTAATATAATTATATACCTATATTAAGGACCCCCCCCCTCCCCCTAGTAGGTCTTTTATGTGACCGCAGACCTGTATTATAGGGTGTAAATATGCTTATTTGTATTCCGAGTCTAGCATACCCTGCAAGAACCAGCAATCATCATGGCTGGCCTGGTATTGCTGAAGATAGATTCCCATCTCAGACCTCGTCCTCTCACGTCACTCCAGGTGAAGGGCATCCAGTTTCTAGAGGATCGACGCTTAGCATCAAACACTACTGATGATCAGCTTGAATCGTGGAAGTTTGTAAGTCATCTGAAGTATTATAATCGCAAGTAGTATTTTTGCAGCAGCACAATCGATGCAGCTGATTTGGGTGAACTGAGGAAGGGCTGCTGGGACTGAACCAGGGCTGGCTTGCTTGCCCAGGTGCCGTTGTTGCTACTGCAAATCGGGCCAGTTAGAAGACAAGGTGCGGAGAGCAACAAGATCAGTTGCTGCCTACTTAGGTAGGTAAGCTGGGTGCTTGGGGTGCTTGAGCTTCCAAACTGTTGAGTTGTAAGCCAAGTGTTACTGCCCATAAACTACCTACCTAGGTACTTAAGTAGATACACTGCAAATGGTCTTGTTCTGCTGGTCTGGTAGCTAGCTACGCTTTTTGTTCTGGCCGCAGTGGCGCAAAGGCTGAAAAGTGCCCAACTTTATGGCTAGATGCCTACCGTCAGACACTTGTCTCCAACTTGGAGAGCTAGGTCAGCCCCTCAGACTTGCTCAGAACAAACAAACGGTTCCCCTTCTACGGCTGCACTGCAAAGTCTCGCACAACCTTCACCCACCACCAGCACCTCGTCCTCCCCATCTCGATCATGAAACGTCAGGTAAGGTGTTTTAACGGGTCGCAAGCATACGGTGCATTGACTAACACCTTCAACCTGATTTCTTTCTAGCGGGACAACCACCCTCCTACGTTGGCCGCTCAAAGCCCGCCTCGCCTCTCGAAAAGAGCGCGACAACACCACGTAAGGTCTTCTACTCTGTCTTCAAGGAACTTTCAGCTTGGCCGTTGTCTAAGAATCCAGTCTGTCCAGAAGAAGGACGACTTTATCGCCCGTGAAGCTAGAAACCAGTCACGTCAGGTAGGTTGTTCTGACAAACTTCACGATTTGGTCACTGGCTAACGATGCTGCTTGCTTAGGACCACCCTCTTACCCAAAGAGGCCAGCGAGCCCCAACCCAAGCCTTGCCGCACATGGTGAGCCTTCTCAAAAGTCGCAGCCCTCGGCAGCTTGACAATTGATTAACAATGTCGCGCAGTATGAGAATCACAAGCACCCTCCTCGACCTGACAGTGCTCCCTCCCAAGGCCGGCAGCACCAAGTAAGATTTCCTTGTGAGCGACTCGCATGATGATACTTGACTCACCAGACTACCGACACAGGAACCCCGCTACTCCCTTCCTCCTGGAGGCCAAAGCAGCCCCACGGAAGACCAGCAGCACCACGTGAGCCCTTCTGTCTAGTCACAAGTATACTGATTGTTGACTAATAGTCGAGTTTCTGCCTTAGCTCCTTGACCGTGTCTCGTCTTTTCATGGAAGCCTCCGAGCTCCATCCTTTGGGCACAGGCGTGGTCTACTTGATTCTTCCACCAAAAAGTTCGCCAACTGCGCCCACGAGATCAGTGGTGACCTTCTTCGCGACTTTCTATCGAGCGGAGGGACCGAGTGCCCATGCTGCCAAGTCGAGTCCATTGAAGGGTAAGAGCAAGACCTACTCATGGTGGCGGTTGGCTCATTGATTCCGCCAAACAGGACGTTGCATTTCGAGCGGTGTGGTCACACTATAAGTGGTGACAACCTCCTCGCTTTTCATGCCGGCCGCGGGTTGCAGCCTCCGATACTCTGTCCAACCTGCAACAGGTCTTCTTCGCGGTAAAAGACAAAGCTCAACAGCTGCCACATGATATCCATCTCAAGGCTAACGTGTCCGCCGACAGGGATCTCGAGACTGAAGCCACGGCCCAACCCACAGGCGAGGCCACCACATACACCCAGCGGTCCCGAATCACTCTTCCAGATTACCAGGACCCTCGACAGATGGAGGGCGTCTCATCAGACATTGTGATCAGCGCGTCAGGAAAACCTCGCTTCCGCGTTGATTCATCGGTGTGGAGGCGGATGTCAACCAAAGACAAGAAAGAATTTAGCTGGCGGTGTAACATCTATTTTGGTTTGCGCTCCGGCGGCGAGGCTCGGCAACCAACAAGTCAAGACAGACACAGCCAAGGCAACGTCACTCTCACCACCTCATCTTCAACTGGCCCGATTCCCTCCAACCCCGGCGAGGTTGAGGCCAAGGCCAATGTGCCCAGGGCTCAGCTTTACCTGCCTGAGGAGGCCCACAACAAGCTCGCGAACGTAGATTCGGTCACTCGCAACAAGAAGCAGAACCCCGTCCAGTCCCCCGCTCCCAACAACAATCGGATGACCGCCTCCGCGCCGCGCCAGACCAGCCGAGTTGGCACCGAGCCTGCTTTCATCCGCAACCCAGCAAACGAGTCAATCGCCAACCCGACCGACCGCTCCTCAGCCGGTGAAATCGCCACAGGATCCGCAGTCTGGGACAACCGCTGTCTCTTGGAGTGGCTGTCCTCGCCTGATTGGAAGCCCGCGTCCCCCAGGGCCTGCATCTTTATGTTCTGCGGCGTCAAAAGCACCACTGAAGACGCATTGAATGCTCACATACTGCGCGATCACTACGGCGCGCCGCCCACTGGCACCATCGTGGACGCTCGGGGTGACTTTCTCAACGCTGCGGCGCTCGAGAGTTATTTTGGAGGGAGCATCCCACCTTCGGCTCAGGTTTACGTTGGCCGGTGGTTTCCTCACGACTGTCCCTAGTCCAATTGCGACAAGAGCTCTGCGCGAAACGAGTGAGAGTCTGCTTGCAGCGGGAGATGCCATCGGCATCTAGTTTGATGATCCAAGAGTCATTGGCGATGGGCAACTACCCTTGCCAGTCATCTCCAAGGATATCATAAAGGACTGTATTCCCAAATGTACAAAATTCGATCGCGTTTCCAACCTTCTCAGACTGGAATTTGATGATCCGGCCTGACTGCGACATTTCAACCACCCAATTCAACCTGACCAACATCAACCATGAAAGGTTTCCTGGTTTCAACCCCCCCCCCGGGACTCCATTTTAAAGTAAACAAATAACACCATAGCTTCAGAGATGAAGATAATAGAATTAAACTTTTCTCTGATCGTGAATGGTTTCATTACAATTTTAATTTCGTGCCCCTTGATATGACAAGGCAATGATTTGCACAGCAGGAAAAGATAATAGGACTCTTGAGGTCCGAAAGAATCATTGTCACCTCATATGGTGCAGAGACTACTATTGAAATTAAAACTTATTAGTATTTAACTTTTAAATCATTTCAAACTTATAATATAAGAATAACTAAAATACTATTAAAGTAATATTATTTCTTATAATAATAATATTAATTACTTAACTGTAAAATACATTTAGGTTAATCTTATTAAGATATTTATATAAAGACCTAGGTGATTGCTAGCATGTCATCATTGGTCTTCATAGAAAATCGGTCTTTCCATTACGCACTGTGTGAACTCGTTGGGATATAATCAGACAAGGGCGTCAACGCCGTCGTCAAGACGGTGCCCCTTAGCCTTGTCTATATGTCATAAGGCTAAGACCACAAGCACCTATCATATTATAACTATCATTATTGACATCATATTCTTTCCGAGCGCTGGGTCTTGAGTGCTTACTACTATAAAGGCGCTATATATATCCTCGGACGTATACAGAATAGAAGCGAAACCACTGTGACAGTACGGGCTTATAAGTGGTAGATTCCAAGTTTGGGCAACTTGGAATTGTGGTCTTTTGGCCGGGGCGTCTGTAGCGTACCAATTCTACGGATCCGTCTCAACCATATAATCAGACGAGGCGTCTGTAGCGGACCACTTCTACGGATCCGTCTCAACCATATAATCAGACGAAGCCGTATGAGATGACATCTTCTTCGCAATGACCTAGTAGAAGGTGGAATCCCCAATGTCGCCTTGGAGCTTTCAGGTAAGCATCGTCGGATTCGGAACCCCTGCCACCATCACCGTACGATTTAGGTGATCCTCCTGGCTTGCAACCGCAGCAACAGACCCACACGAATCTTTGTACCTGTTCGTATTAGGGCAAATGCCCGCCTAAATAACACCTTTTAGTATTGTGCAGGAAATGAAGCTTTACTGAATTTGTATGGAACAACGTGTCTCTGGAGCACTCGCTAGCTAGGAGTACTTTGACTTAGTATGCGCCTGTTGGTAGCCCACGAGAATCCTTCCGGGTGGTGCACCAACAGCCAGATAAGGGTGGATTACGGGACCTGACTAAATAGGTAGGTAGTTATGGACTCCGTGGACGGTCAGTCCGGGGAATCCGGCGCGGCTCTGACTTGTCGCATTCGTGATGTGCACGCGCGGATGCCAGACAGGCGTTCGTGGTCGCTATTTCAATTTCATGTTCCTTCTCGCGGTCGCTCAACCACGCAGACACGCCATACCTACCTCTTGGCCAAGATTGTCGGCCCCTTCTAAAATCTCATTTTGCTTGGAAATCCTTACTGAGCCCCGTGGGGAAAAGGCCCGCTGAATTCGTTCCCGTCCGCACGAAATGTCCCCATTTCTCTGTTCACCTCCTGGGTGGACAGATGGACATGTCTCAAAGTGCATCGAAGAGAGCTACCTCGAACTTGTTATACCAGTGGGAGCGATTCTGGCATCAACCCTGGTTCTCGGACTCTATACATTTCGACAGAGACATGATCCAGTTGCCGCGCGCGGATACCAACCCGTGGCAGCTGATGACGACGACGACGACGACAACCCTGAAGATGTTGTTCCTAGCAATCCCCAGGTTCGCCTTACCCGTCACATCGAACGGATGGAAGCCGGGATCCTGGCCGTTGACCTTGCTGGCGGCGCGGTGCTAGCCTTCTATGGAGGCGAACTCGCCCCCGGCGGCTCCCTATTCTTGTCTGCCTTCCTTTTCACCTTGGTGAATGCGCGAATGTGGGGTGCTTCCCGCCTGGGTTTGGCCCTGAGGTTTCATTCAGAAATACTGTACTGTGTGCAGTGGATCTGTCTGTTTCCAATCGCTCATAAAGCTCTGGTGACGGATGCTGGAGGGATCGAATTTTGGGCCCTCGTTGGGCGCCTTTGTCTTTTCAAAACTCTAATCTTATTCCATTGGACGGCCCCACATGCTTCTTATTCTGGCTACAGCGGCAATTGGGCCGGTGACGTCGATGGCGATGACCTCGGAAGAGATGAAAGAGCCAGCTTTCTCGCCCAGCTTTTCTTCTCGTGGCTGGAGCCATTGTTGTGGAAGGCATTCAAGGCGGGCTCGTTAGACTCTACCGTGGATCTTTATCCTCTCAACAGCCGTATCAGCGCGGCCGCCGTGGTGCCCGAATTTCGCATGAGGGCCGCCGCCGCCGCCAACTTTCTGTGGAAAGTATTCCATTTTCTCAAGTGGGATTTACTTCGACAGGGTGCGTGGGCAGCATTGACTGGTGTCTTGGTGTTTGTGCCGCCCGTCCTAATAAAGTTGATCCTCGAATACCTTGCGGCGGGTCGTGTCAACCCTTCCACGGCATGGCTTTACGTTCTTGGACTATTCTCTGCGAACATCACGGCTAGCATGTCCGATTGTCAATGTGGCTGGGTTGGCTTCAAGCTCGGCGCTAAGCTCCGAACTGTACTATTCGACCAGGTTTATGGCAAGGTTATGCGGCGTCGCATGGTGGGATCTTCGTCCTCTTCGGGTGGTGCGGATTCAGCCCCAGGAACCAAGTTCACATCTGACGGCGCCATCTTTAATTTCGTATCAGGGGTACGTAGCAGCAACGGTCTGGCCATCCATGCGTATTCCAAAGCTGACAAGGATTCAGGACATTGACTTCATATCCACAATGAGTGGTAGTGTCTACCTGGTCTGGGTGACGTTCCCGGTGCAGATCACCATTGGCACTTGCCTCCTGTACCAGATCATGGGCATCAGCGGCGTCCTGGGCGTCGTCCTGATGATAGCCTTATTACCACTAAATGTGATGGTGTCCAAACGCTTGGCTGCAGTTCAGAGTCAGCTGCTGGGGGCAAGCGATGCCCGCATCCAGGCAAGCAATGATCTCTTTGGGGCAATTCGTACGATCAAATTCTACTCCTGGGAATCACACTTCCGTCGACGTGTCCTGGAAAAGCGACAGGCTGAGCTCAAGATCTTGCGAAATCGTTTTATATGGTGGTCCATATCTATGACCGTCTTCTATTCACTTCCTTTTATCGTCACTATCCTCACTTGCTTCTTCTATACCATTGTTTGGGACGGAAGACTTGGCACATCGATTGCATTCCCAGCGCTGGCGACATTTGCGGTTCTACGCATACCACTTAATCGGCTGGCGGATTCAATTACCTTCCTCATTCAAGCTCACGTTTCGCTCGTGCGGGTGACCAAGTTTCTAGAAGAACCGGAAACAGAGAAGAAGTCCCAAATTTCGTGCAACGCAGATCAGTCATTTATTGGATTCAAGGATGCCAGCCTAAAATGGCCTGTAGAAAAGATCCAAGCCGGTTCATCTGCAGGGGACAGCATTCCCGTGGGTGAGTTGGCGCCGCCAGCAGGGTTTCGATTAGAAAATCTGAATGTTGCTTTCAGAAAAGACGGGCTAAACACTATTTGCGGTCCCAACGGTTCTGGGAAGACGGCCGTTCTGTTGGCACTGCTGGGTGAGCTTCATCTGGAGCAGGGGCAGGTCGGTTTTCATAACAACAACAATTCCCGGAAAGACAGCCTGCAAGGGGGCACCCACGATCTTGACGAATCAGCAGCGTATTGTCCTCATGAGCCTTGGATCACAAATCAAAGCGTGCGAGAAAATATCTTGCTCGAGACACAATTCCACCTCTCTCGATATGAGGAGGTCCTTCAGGCAGTTGCCCTCAACCAAGACCTGGCCGCATTCAGCGACGGGGACATGACCTCGGCAGGGGAGAATGGAAGCCGTCTTTCTGGCGGCCAAAAGCAACGAATTTCGCTAGCTAGGGCTCTTTACAGTACTTCCAAGTACGTCCTACTTGACGACTGCCTCAGTGCTTTGGACTCGCGAACCGCGAAACATATCTTCTTCAACGCGATCAAAGGACCTCTCATGAAAGGTCGGACTTGCATCCTCGCGACCCATCACACCCAACTCGCCGTGCCCCACAGCGACTATGTGGTCGTTCTAGACTCCGGGAAGGTCAAGACCCAGGGACCACCAACTGATATCTTTCTGAGGAGTAATTTCGACATTGGCAGAGAACAACAGAAAGCCGGGGCGGTCAACACGATCTCACTGGACGAGAGCGATATTGGCGAGGATGCTGACACTCCACCAAAAGAGACCACTGCCCCAAGCAGCAAAGACGTCAAGGGGGAATCAAAATCGGGTGAGGGCTCGGTAGCGTGGTCCGTGGTCAGAAGCTATCTTGCCGACATGGGACAAAGCTGGTTCTGGAGCTTGGTTTTTGCCGGCTTTGCTGCTCAACAATTCGTTTCACTCGGAACAAACTTATGGATGAAGGTTTGGGCAAAGCAATACGATGCTTTGGTTGAATCTGAAATGTCGAACGAAAAGCCAGCTGATGTCCCAACGGCGTACTATCTATTGATTTACATCTCGATTTGTGTTGCTTATGCAGTGGTCACGCTGCTGCGGGATCTCGTCACTTTCTCGGGGTCTCTGAAGGCGTCTACCGCCATATACGAGCGACTGCTGAACCGTGTGACTTCCGCGAAAATCTCTGTAGGTTCATCAAGGACCCTGGCCTCTATTTCGGAGTCGTATTTATAATAAATGGTAGTTTTTCGAGCGCCCACTAGGTCAAATAACGAATCGATTTTCGAAAGACATCAGCGTCGTCGATCAATCCCTGGCATCATTCTCCGTCAGCGTCCTCCAAATTGTTGCTACTGTGGCAATGGTCGTGATTCTCGTCTTTTGGGCGATTCCCAATGTCTTCCTTGTCCTGGTCTTGGGTGTCATTTGCATTGCATATTATTACACTACGGCTCTCTACCTTCAAGGTGCCCAGGATCTTAAGCGTATCGCGGCCAGCTCACGGTAAGTTGATTTCTAGCATTCATTGCTGAACTCAAGAAGCATTCGATTGACAGTTCTTCCAGTTCTCCACTGTATCAACAAGTCGGCGAGACGATTTCAGGGTATATCAGCATCCGAGCGTATGGTCGAGAGGCTTTGTTCACAGCCAAACACCACAGGCTGGTGAATGGCCTTAACCAGCCTTACATTCTCCTGGCCGGAAGCAAGCAATGGCTCACTATGCGCGTGGGAATCCTCAGCAGCGTCATCACACTGGTCACCAGCTCATTTGTCATCCTTCGCGCATCATCAATCGACGTGGGCGTTGCAGGTCTCGTCCTGACGTATGCCGCTACATTCACCGAAAATATGTTGTGGTTCATTCAGCTATACGCGATAATCCAACAGAGCCTGACTTCCGTGGAGCGAATCGTTGAGTATACCACAATTGAGCAAGAAGAAACTGAGCCCAGCCCCACCTCGACAACCAGACCAACAGATTTGCTGGACCCGCCCCAGAGTTGGCCTTCAGAAGGCCACGTCCAGTTTCACAATTTCACCGCTAGATATGCTCCAAATTTGGATCCAGCCCTCAGGTCGATCAGCTTCGAAGCAAGGCCTGGCGAGCGCATAGCAGTGGTCGGGCGCACAGGTGCAGGCAAGAGCTCTATTCCTCTCGCGCTTTTGCGAGTTCTTCAGGGAGACTTCGGCCCGGGAAGTGGTCGGATAGAAATTGATGGCGTCAATATCTCTGACGTCAAGCTAGATACCCTGAGAGGCAAAGCATTGTCTGTCATCCCCCAGGACCCGCAGCTTTTCTCTGGATCTGTGCGCGACAACATCGACCCGCTCGGACAACATGTGGATGCTGAGATACTCACTATTCTGAGATCGATGCAGGACCATGAAATGGCCCAAGACATGAATTTAGACGCTCCAGCCAGTGGGCTCTCCCGCGGACAGTCTCAGATGCTATGCGTCGCGCGTGGCTTGCTTCGACGCACTCGCGTGCTGGTGCTGGACGAAGCAACCGCGAATGTTGATCATGTGGCTGACAAGGCCATTCAAGCTGGTCTCAAATCATTTGTGGCAGAAGGAAACACCACTGTCATCACGATTGCACACCGGCTTCTGACAATTGCCGAGTATGACCGAGTCTTGGTTTTAGATGAAGGCCGCATCGTGGAGCAGGGCACCGTGCGCCAATTGCTGGAACAGAAGGGAACCGGGAATATTTTCAGGACTTTGTGTGAAGAATCTGGAGATATGGATGCTATCAAGGCGTTGGCTGGCCTGAGATAGATTGACCGAGCTTGGCAAGCCATATTATCTCAAGTGTGCTGCGCATCTGCGTTGAGTACCTCGGTAGTTGCTTAGTTGAGATACCCACTACAGATATTGTGACTGCTGGGAGAACGAACATGCTTGAAATAAGTATGTTGCTTTGTTATTAGTCAGAACACATTTATCGAGCTGTGGGGCCCACCCATTGTAATGCTCTATAAATACGGGCTTCCCCCGCTCATTACCTAGGTATTCATAGTTAGGAAACTAGTCAATTTGCTTCATTGGATATGCCCTGCTCGGAATTGTGACAACATTCCTAACATTCCACCAATCTCTCAGACCATCCTTTAGCCCCTCCATCGAGCAATGCATGGCGTTTCGACCTCTAGGTTTTACACGTTTATTCATGCTGCTCCAGCGCTTTGGAAGCCCGCCCTTTGGCGTGTCAACTCCTCTTTCAGACAGAACTGTTCATATTGCCAGACTACCACTACGTTCTTCGCCGAGGACATTCCCATGCTAGTGAGACTCTGGGAGCCTGACTCGCTCGGAAGTACACGTGCATATCAAACAAGTTTCTCCATAGACGTGAGCTCGAGGCAAGAGTTTTGGCTCTCGGCAGTGCGAGTGCTACTCAGGGATATGTTGTCCTTATCAATGGTGGTCTGGCCTGTCGTAGCCATAGTAGTAGTGCCCGTAAGCTCGTTACCATCTGGCCGTCGAGCATTAATAGGGGAGCCGATTGTTGCCAGGTGGTCTCTGCCAAAGGATGGCTTCGACTCCCCGCCCAAAGGATCACTTTTGGTCCGCCGAAGTCTGACCCGCAGCGCCTTTATGACTCCTAATTCAGACACATAGACTCGTATGAACATTGCAACGGCCGGCATGGATCCGACGATGATGGCGATGCTGTTTTCTACCATACTGTGCGAATGTCAGTCGGCTTCGCACAATGGTTTAGGTTAGGATGGCTGAATTGAATTTGGACGGAGTACTCACATGGCTGTGTAGCATGCTGCTTGCTGCCAGGTGGCATCGGATGTCGAGTACATCTTTGCTCTATAAACAAGAGCAACAGCACTGGCAACCACGCCCCTGGATCCGGGTGAGTACCTCAACACCAGGCCCAAGATGACAAGACTCACATTAAAGCGGTAGAAAATACGGCCAATAATTGCACACGCATTTTGAGAGGCATATGGAGTGCTACCAGAGTTGGCAGCGGGAGGATGAGAATGTAAATATCCAATACCACTGCCAGCGACCCCAGAGTGATGCCATAGTAAAGCAGCTTTGCAGTCGCATCACTCGTGAGGACGTCTTCCCATGTCATCCCCCCATGAGGGGTTAGGTAGTGGATTGACAGGGGTATAGTAACGAAATAGATCATGAAGGTTATGATGAGGCCAACTCTGACAGCTATTCTCGTCGATTTCTTCACTGAGAAGAATTGTTGGTAGAGTAGAAAAATAGAAGACTTTGCGAAGTATGACGCCGGCCCCACTAGCATGGTGATGATGAAGTGCATCTGACAAGGAAGCAGTTAATACCGAATGCACATACAACTGTTCGAGCTTCAGTACATATGTAACGCACCTTCAAGTATGTAGGCGTCATCCAGCATACTGGCACATCCCAAATATGGCGATTGTATTTGGAGACTAGAACCTGTCAGCTCCTCTGGCAGGCATCAATTGCTGAGAAAAGCCAATTTACCGGATATGAAAACTCCTGTGAACCCGATGTTGAGTCCCAAGCCGATGACCATGAAATCTGATCTCATTAGTCTCATATTCTAATCACATTGAAACTATGTTCTTCAGCTGTTCAACCTACAGTCAGACCAGGCAAGATTTCGCCTGTTAACCACAACTCGTGCAGCTACGAAAATCAATGCCCATGCCCCCATCAACACGCCAAGGACGATCGTGGTCGTCGTGAGGGATGCCGGGTTCTCAAAGTTTGGGAGCCGCCCATTGGGAGGATTGGCAACTGGAATAGCACAAAGGTCTGCACCTTGAGGTACTAGGGAAGACGCCATATTCATGAACCTTGGAAAATAAGTACAGTAGCCCCCTCAAGGATACTCTAAAAAGAAATTCAGAAGAAAACCCAGGAATCCATTGGCGTGTGTACCTTGCCAGTGTCGGGGGATACGGCTAGGAGTCAATGGTATGGCAGCGGAGGAAAACCCCTATCTTATGGGTTGTGCGAACGGTTTTACTTCTCCCGGTGCCTCTCGAGATTGCTGTATTTCAAGAGCAGCTACTGGCAGTGATCGACTAGGCCTTGCTGAAGAACAATCGGGGGGCGTAAGCATTCTCATGCCACATTGAGCTGCCCAGACTGCAGTGTGGCAAATACCAGTGAATCCTCTCCAAGAACATGCCATCAAGTGCATATCATATATGTGGTTTCGCTTCTATTCCATATACGTCCAAGAATATACATGGCGCCTTCATATAATAGTAAGCACTTAAAACCTAGCGCTTAGAAAGAATACGGTATTAATAATAGTAGTTATAATATAATAGGTATTTATAGCCTTAGCCTTATAACATATAGACAAGGCTAAGGGGCACTATTTTAATAATAATATTAACTAAAATACTGTAAGGAAGTTATATAATAAAACTAGGTCTAAAAATAGTTGCTATATAAATAAATTATACTAAGAAAATCCCAGCTAAAAATTATCCTTTAAATATATATATATACCTTATAATAAAACCCTTACTAGGTAAGTACTATAGCCCTTATTTAAGCATACAGCTAACTTTAAAAAAACTTAAAATAAAGAAATAATTTATAATGTACTACCTCTAAAACTTTCACAATAAAGTATTAAAACTCCTAAAGAAAGTCCTAAAAGTAATTTATAAGAAAATAAAGAGAGAGTATAATAAGCTTATTCTCCTCTAAGTTTATACTTTTATTACTAGCAACTACCACCTCCTTAATAGCATAAAAAAGCATAATAAATATAAAGAAAAGGGAGGATTTAAAGTTCCTTTATAAGAGGACTATAAGGACATATATAAAGCTGTTGAAGACTTTATGTATAAGCTCTGGGGGGGAGAAACGAGTGGTTATATAGTGTAAAGGAAAAATACAGTGTGGCCGAAGCCGCATATTATATATGCTTAGATATCGAAAAATCTGTATGGGTTTTAAATATGTGGTACTTCCGTGGTATTTCTGTGCTGCTGCTGGTAGCAATTTCCAGGGCTCGACCCTTGCTGGCCTGCTCGGCAACATTCACTGGCACGGCCTGTAGCCACTTCCCGAGGCCCTTGGACGAGGAACGCAACATGGTACCTAGGTACTTGTTCTCGCCCTCATACTAAAATATTCCCCCTTCTAAATCTTGATGGAAAAGTATTTTCAAGCAGACTGCACAGAACTCAAGTGCTTGAAGACGAGTACCTCCAGCTTGTGGGCAAAGAAATGCGCTTGCCTGCTCATAAGTACAGTGCGTGTATGAAGGATCGGTGGACCTGGAGTTTCAGACCTTGCGCTCCAGTCACTCGGTCATTTTCTTGGCCTTTGCCCAAATTAGTCTCTCTCATTCTACGGTGGCTCGGCACCTGCCAAACTTGGAAGCTCAACGGTTTGTCTCCTATCTGCAGTGACCATCTTCACAAAAGCCAAATGGGATTTAATTAAGATGTGGTAATGTACTGTGCGGCATACGTGCTAAGTGACAACGCAAAAGCAACTTCCTACACAAAAGCCATCTAGCGAGCTACACCAAGAGACGATGGAATGCCCAGGCGCACTGTCATCGAGCAGCAATCACATACGATTGACCGAGGAGAACCGAGCCGAGAATCGGTTGAAGAATGTGCAATTTTCGACGTCACTGATTTCAAGCCACCGGTCCCGAAGACTCAAGGTATGCCACTGCAGTCTCACGACGACGCTGAAGCATTTTGCTGAAACTATGGCACTTGGAACAGTTGGGAAGCTGGATAAGGAAGATGAGTTACCATCTACTAACTTTGATTTCATACTGCAAAATCGACACTATGATCTACCCTATATACATGTGGCTACACCTTCAAGTCCCTCGCGAACATAACCTTGGAAGCTTAGTTAGGGGTGAGCTTCAAGAGCCGGCCGCTGGTACCATCCTCAATGACCCAGATGGAGCCATCCTTGTGCTCCCGGATACCGCGCATGCGCTTGCCCATCGAGATGCGCTGAGCCTCCTTAGCGGTGTCGCCACTGATGGTCACACGCACGATCCCCTGAGCGCTGAGGCCGGTGATGAGCGCGTTGCCCGTCCAGCTGGAGAACAGGCTGCCCTTGTAGATGATCAGGCCGGCCGGGGAGATGACGGGGACCCAGAAGGCCTTGGGCGCCGCGATGTCGGGGCGCGTGCTGTGCTTGGGGATCTGACGGCCGTCGTAGTGCTGGCCCTCGGAGACGAGCGGCCAGCCGTAGTTGGCGCCCGACTGGATCAGGTTGAGCTCGTCGCCGCCCATGGGGCCCATCTCGACCTCCCAGAGGCGCCCCTGGGCGTCCCAGTCGATGCCGAGCGGGTTGCGGTGGCCCAGGGACCAGATCTGCGACTGCACGGCGCCCTGGCTGGCGAACGGGTTGCCCGCGAAGGAGGTGCCGTTGTCGTACAGCTTGATCATCTTGCCCAGGTTGGCCGTCATGTCCTGGGCCGGGGTCATCTGGTTGATCTCACCCGAGGCGATCCACAGCGCGCCGTCTGAGCCGAAGAGCAGGCGGCAGGCGAACTGCAGCCCGCCGATGGCCCTCTGCGAGTGACGCCAGATGACCTCGAGGCCCGACAGCGCGCCGCCGCCATTGGAGTCGAGCGTCAGCTTGGCCCGGGCGACTGCGCCGCCGGCACCGCCGGCAGCCCCTCCGCTGCCGGCCTCTGCGTAGCTAATGTACACGATACTGTTGTTAGCGTAGTTGGGGTGCAAGGCGATGTCGTGCAAGCCGCCCTGGCCGCCGTATGCGACGGAGGGTACGCCGGTGATGGTGCCGGTGGCCTTGGTATCCGGGTTGACGAGTTTCATGTTGCCTCGTCTCTCATTGACGATGACGCGGTTGTCGGGCAAGAAGGCGAACGCCCATGGCTCATTGTGGGTGGTGATGACTGTCGACTTGGGCGCTTGCTGGCGAGTGTCTAGTTGTTGCGATGGGACGGCCAAAGCACCGGTCACCAACGCCAGGGCGTAGGTGACTGAAAGTCCTAGATGCATCATTTTCCGTGTCTTTGGCTTCCCAGTGTATTATGCTCTATGCAGTCGAGGGTCGAATGGCTCTCATCGTATAAATCTCTTGGCTGTCTTTTCTTCCCAAGCCCGAGGTAGGTAGCTATATAAGAAATGAGAGTACCCGAGAAATCTCTTGTCCACTTTCAGGCTATTCTTGGCCTTTAATAACTGACATATACAAGCTCAATCAGAGTATCTGTGCTTGATAATCCCGGTACCGATAGAAACGACTTTGCTCTTGTCCCTATGGCCTGTCCCCTTGAAGTCTTTATAGATCGGCAAATTTGGCAAAATTCCGGCATGGCAATCCCACCCTAATCCAGCACAACCTTTTCTGTGTTACAAATAGCTGCCGTCGCCAAGAACAACTCATCTGCTCTAAATCTCTGGGCGTCAATATGGAAGTTATTAAAATCGTCTTCCTCCTTCCTCGTACGATACGGCGGTTCTCAATCCGTCTTCGCTGTCTCGGGATGTGTGATATCATTGTTGAGCACTGCTTGGTGAAGAAACCAATTTACTATGCTGTGCTGTCGTCTTTGCCTCCCGGAACATTCTCGATGCCACTTGATATCTCGGCATTTCTTACTGCAGATGCTCCTACATGTGCATCGCAATTGCCGGCGCTCCCACGTGGCATTGCGAGTCTCTGCATTTCTTGTCACGGCTGACTTGAACACTGCCCAGGTGGGAAGTCCCAGTTCTCAGCACCCATGTCCCCCTGATTCTTTTTTTGATTTTCTTTTTTGCAGACCAGGACTTACGCCGGATGTCTTCTAAATGCTGCCGAATAGTTATCGTAGTTGGCACCAAATGAGAAGATGGTTGATGGTACTTATTTATTACCACCTGGGCACCCAAGGTACCTAGGTATAGGACAAACAAGCATCACCGGGGCCTTTCACTGCATACCTAGGTATAATAGACGACTGAGTCGCGCCACGGAATTTATCAGTAACCCAGCGCAGCCCATCAGACAAGTGCAGGACACTCGCCGTGCAAGATTGATCAGAGGGGAAACCAAATGAAGCACTGATCGCACTAACCGCACTACTAACATTGAATCCATGAAACCACTTCTGGCCATTTTTTCGACAGAAGTGGCCCATTCGATAGCACACTTTCATACAAGTTGTCCCGCAAGACCCCGTCGAAGAAGTCCATTATGAAAGCATTCATCATCTACCGCACACGCAATAGCTCAACATTGAATGGTGCCTATCAAAGGCGCCCCGGGCCAGGTCCTTGATGCGCAATATTTCGAGCCACAACCTCACATCCGAGAAGTTATAGTGAAACGACTCGAACATGCAGATCCCTCGACCACTCGGTCTGGTTTCTCCGGCACCGGCCCCATGTTGGATCATCCCAGTCTCGCCTTTGGTCGCTTCCGAGCATAAGACATGGCTTTCTCACGTCAACCCTGGGACAGTCGGGACATGGGTCGTGGAAGATGCCGTCGAAGTTGACGCCCCGCGAGGACGGCGTCGTGCCTCGCCATGATATCGGAACCCAGGCTGCCGCCAATGGAGAAGCCGAAGTGCATGTAGCTGCTCGTATTGAACGGTCCGCCGAAGTTACCAATAGAGCGTTGAAGGCCTCATTCAATGGCAATGCGATCCCATCTCTGGCGTTCGATGGTGGCTACAAGGGTTATCTTGGTGGCTGGTGCTTTGTTGCGCGTTGCTTTGAACGATCCGTTTAGCCCTTGGCTGCTTCAGCCTCATGGCCTTTACACCGTTCGTCTCAACAAGGTCATGTTTCTTTAGGAGTAAAACTAGTCAGGATGGAATTTCACATCATTGTTGTGCTTCCCACTCTAAACTTCGAATTCCTCCCCCTGCCTGAGGCGCTCCGCACAAGAAGCTGCACAGAGAAGATGATCCGGGAGACCGACACGACGCACGCGAGTTTCTGAGTTCTGTAGTTTAGAGGGCTACATGTAATTTCATCCTTAATCTCATACATACAAAGTTTTATGCGGTGCCTCCACATAGTGTTAGAAGATAGTATATTCGCCGCCATGAGTCTACTCGAGAACTTCGTATACACAGGCGGCTGGCTTCGCTTTAGGGGTAGAATGGCTCGACCTTAAATGAATTACCAGCCAAGAGGCCACACATGCGTGGAGGACAGCGTTTGACCAAAGCTGCAGAACTTTAGGCCTTTCTTTGCCTGCGTCTATGATCCCCCTAACGTCACGAAAGGTCTTTCGGTCGGCTGAGGACATCTATGAGTGTAGGAGATACGCAGGGGATGGGGGGTGATGATTATCATGAAAGGAGTGTCTCCAAGTTGGGTACAGAGATCTGTGATGGAACCGCGTGGTAAGTACCCCACTCGCTACGGCACCTGCTACCACGATGGTATCTTGGAACTGAAAATAACCTGTGGGTCGAAGTGGTTCGGAAGAATCCTTCGCCATGTGTCAATTACTGGGGCTCGATGTGAAGCCTCTATCGTGTTATCGATACTCACGGCGTGTCTGAATAGAGCTGTATACATTTCGGCTCCCCAGCGTGGGAGCTGGGGCTGGGGTCAAGGCAGGGACACTGGTGCCGTTTTCTATAGTTCTGAGTATCACTTGGCTCATTGTCCTAGAAGACATGGTAGGAGTTCCTGGAGGCTGCGGTGCTTATGGCGGACCTCTAAACAGCACAGGAGTCGGTCCACCGGACTGGGACAGCTGTTGTTTGCAATGTTGGGTTGGCCATCAAGCTAAACCAACTCGGGTGCTTGTGATCAATCACATCCCGATTCTTCAGGGCCTCTTGGCAGACGACCGCACACATCAATCCTAACTTTCCCAGTCCCGGGGAAGGTGCCGGGTGGGGTCGCTGCTCGAGTACATAATGTAGAGAAAGTGCGTACAAATTTGTGTATCAAATACTTGGATTTCATGCATTCTTGCAGTGTGAGAATGAACCCATTCAACATGCTGTCTCTGGTCTTGACCCAAGTGAGACCAGTCGTAGTTACTATGGTAGCTTTTCCTGTCTCCAGATACGTAAGAGCTGGTGGAGGATCACCTCACCAGTCTTTAATGAGCACATTATAATGGACAACTGACGTATCAAGTACTTTCATTTCCGTGGACGGGCAAATATCAATTATTCAGCTCCCAATGCTTCAAATGGTCTTGGTGGTAGAGAATCACCAGATGGCAAAAGTCCATTGCAGTTCCGATATACTGATATAAAAACGGGTGGATGAGTTGGTTGAGCTGCTTCCAAAAATTGGGTTCGAGTTTATCGTTGAGTGGGCCTCGCTTGCTGAAGCTTGCTGAAGGATCATACTACATAATAGTGACAAGCCTTCTGGAACGGGGCATTGTGGAGTACAAGGCTATTTTTGAGGCTCTCCCTGGTCAAGGTTCAAGGGTCTTGCTGTGTTGGGAAGAAGGGCACAGCAGCTCTGGGTAGCTCTATGGAGAGTGGAGGGTGGGATTTGCTTACCGCGACCCGCCCCTCGCTTTGCCCCACAGGCCAATCACATACCGCCAATCCTACGGCCAGCTCGACCAGCTCGACCAACACCAGCTCGCCTCGGCAGCCAGTGCGTCTGCAGCAATTTTGCCTGGGGTGCCATCTGCTGACATCGTCTGGGATTGATGCAACTCGACACAAGTCCTCAATAATCAGCATGCCGCCTTTTTCAGCTGCGTGGGGTAAAATGGCCCCCTGCTCGCCCGCCAGTCAGCCCGGCTGTGCCACAAACGTGGAAACGGTAGGATTTGACGTCTTACCTGGACTGGCAGGACTGGGTCTCACTCACCTCAAAAACCCCTCCCCTCTACTTTATCCTCCTTCTCAGCTCCAGCTCCGACGACACACCCACAGGGCTGCTTGCAGTTTGCCAGGACACGTCACCCCAGTGCCCTGCCCCGTGCCTTTGATCCTCTGCCGTCCCTTTGTCACTCCACCCCAAGGCCGTCGAGCTTCCCCATCGGAATTGTCCAAGGCAAGGAAGGATACAATACAGGGAGATATTAGAGTTCTGACCCTTGGCTTCTGCCTTCTCCCTAGCACCCGCCGCTAGGAAACGCCATGCCTGCAGCTGAGCTGGCTGCCCTGCTCCAACATCTCCCATACCCTGGCCACCACCAACAGCCTTCATCTCGATTTCGACGCCCAAGGAGGCGGAGTGAGTGTGCGTGTGTGAGTGTGTGAGTGAGCGAGGGTGATCTTCGCGCCGGCACTCGAACTGCGACACGGCGTCCCCACCGGCGTCTATACCTGCACCCAACCCGCAGGCGCGTGGGGCGGTTGCACGGCGAATCGTGTCACACCAACGTTTATATATCTCCGACTGACGCCTGTTCCATCCTACCCTGTCCTGCCCTTATCCCCCAGTCGACTGCTTTCAAGACCTGCTGGCGAGTTCCCGCTGGTCGCACTGCTTTGTGTTCGCATGTTTGCATGTTGTCTGCCTGCCTGCCTTGCTTGATTCCGTCTTCTCAGAGTGTGTCTTTTCGTATGTCTGGTTAATACCCTTGATACCCACGTATATAAGACGCAGACATGGAGTCGAGCGAGAGGCCGGATATCATTGTGGCCGTGGACTTGGGGACCACCTTCACAGGCGAGTCTCTCCTCCCTAGGCACTCGGAGATGCACCCTTTGTGGCTGACACTCAACAAGGCGTGGCTTGGGCCCGGCCGCAGGCTACCAACCCGCTCCAGAGCTCAATACAGGTCATCTACAACTGGCCAGGCTGCTCAACAAGGAACGAGCAGAAGGTCCACACATGCCTGGTCTACGGCCGGAATGAGAGGCCGACGTCCTGGGGTTTCATCTGCGAGGATGACGACGACTTTGAGATCAGGCGGAGGGAGTTCTTCAAGATCTTCCTCGACAAGATGAACCTGCTCGAGGCACAGATCAAAGGGATCCAGGGGGCCCCCGAGTCCGTCGGACAAGCCCAGAAGTTCGTCACGGACTACCTCCGCGAGGTCTACATCCACGTCAAGTCGACGATAGAGCACCAGACGGGGATCGGGCCTTTTACGGGGTGGAAGAACCTCGCCGTCGAGTTCCTGTTCAGCGTGCCGACGACTTGGAGGAGCTTCGAGATCATCAACATCTTCAAGGACGCCATCGCGAACGCGGGGTTCGGCACCGAGGGCCCCAGGCACAAGTCCACCCTGGACCTGACAGAGTCCGAGGCCGCCGCGGTCGCGACCATCAAGTCGACGGCGGTCAACTTCGAGAAGGACGACATCTTCCTGTCGGTCGATGCGGGTGGCGGCACCACCGACTTCGCCCTGATGCAGGTGGTGGAGACCAGGGACCCGTTCCCCACGCTCAAGCAGCTGACGCAGGTCGACGGCGTCGGGATCGGGTCGACGCTTATAGACCGTGCCTTTCTCGACCTGGTCGAGGACAGGGTGTTCCCGTTCACCGAGCTGGTCGAGCAGCTGCCGCCGGACTGCATTGAGAAGCTGGTCCGGGGCGACAAGTTCAGGACGACCAAGCACAAGTTTGGGGAGCGCGTCTATAACTCGGAGGTTTATAAGCTGCCCATGGAGGGTGTTGGGTATAACTTCAACCATGAGGGGGCCGGCATAGAATCTGGTAGACTGCTGTTGACGAGGCAAGTGACACGCTCATGCTTGACAACCGTGCCAGCTGAGGTTGACATTTCGGACAGGGAAGACATGCAGTCGATATTCGACCCACACATCAACGGCATGCTCAAGAAAATCCGAGAACAGCTCGATTTTGTCCGGGTCAAGGCATTTGGAGACCCCCAAGTCGTACGCGTGATGTCCCCACTGACAACAAACCTGCCGTTACTGACACCTGGAACAGCGATACTTGATATTGTCAGGTGGGCTCGGTAGCAGCGCATACGTACGAGACCGGCTGCAGCAAGACCTCTTGCTCAATCCTCATCCCAGCGCAGTAAACGTCACCATTGTGCAGGCGCACGACCCGCAACTCGTCGTGGTCAAGGGCTTGATACTCGACCGGCTGCAGAAATTAGAAACCGGCAACAAGCCCGTGCTTGCCACGCGCAAGGCGAGGGCCAGCTATGGTGTCATGTGCAAGATGAAGTATAACCCAGATATACACTTCCAGGAGGAGCTGAAGACAGATCCACTTGACGGCCAGGTCTATGCCATGAGCCAAATAGACTGGCTCATCAGGAAAGTATGCAGTAATACACACTTAAAAAAACCCGCAGAAACCACGCTGACTCGGGGCATATGTCCAGGGCGATGATATTAACCCAGCCGTGCCGATAATATCGGCATTCTGCCAGAAGATCGCAAAGGGGAGCCCAGTACGGCACTGGGACTCGGTCGTTGTGATATCACACTCGGAGAGAGAATTTCTCCCAGTCAGCATGAACGATTGTAAGGGCGTTCAAACCCACCCCCCCTCCAATACCTATAATCGAACGAAAAGAAAACACAAGAACAAGCCAAGCTGACACCAGACAAACAAACCCAACAGCCGGGGCAAAACAGCTCTGCACGGTCCGGTCCGACCTCTCGGGCGTCAAGGACAGCGAGCTGGAGCCGAGGAAGCAGAAGCGGAGGCCGCGGGCCCTGTTCTCGCGCAGCCTGCGCTGGTACAGCTGCACGTACGAGGTCAGGGCGCTGGTGGGCGCGGCCGACCTGACCTTTGAGCTGTGGTTCAACGGGCAGCGCTTCTCCGCGAACCACGAGCCCATCCGGGTCACGTGGGACGAGGAAGGGGCCGGCCTGGGTGGCGGTGGGGGGCCAGGGGGCCCAGGGGAGAGTGGAGGAGGAGGAGGAGGAGGGGGTAGTAGGGGGGTGGTGGTGCCGGGCCCGATGGCTGCGTACAACGGCCACGGCCACGGCCCCGGCCGCGTCGGCGCCGTGCGCGACTCGGGCAGCGCGAGCGGGAGCAGCCCGGTCTCGGGCGTCAGTGGCCTGCGCAGCAGTGACCTCGTGAGCCAAGCCAGGTGAGTTTGTCGAATTGGAGCGTTGTTTTGCGCGGGGTTGGGCTTCTTTTATTGGGAGGCCGGGTGTATACTTCTTCTTATCCCCCCCTTTTCTCCTGTGGCATTCGAGGTTTTGACGGGTTTCCATCTCTCAACAGCAACTCATCGCTCGGGTCTGCGGAGCTGGCGAGGCCGGAGTTCCGAAAGATTGTGGAGCAGTATGCTTGACGGGCGGGAGGACACACCCAGGGAGGACTCCCTGGGGCGTGGAAGAAGACGGACGGACAGGGACGGCATTCTCGTCAGCGGGCGGTTTTCCATCACAGCTCTGGGTTGTCTGTCTACTTCGGAACTGGTTAGGCTTGATTTGTTGGAAACGGGATGGATAGATAGGGACAAAGGCAAGAGATACCATAGGCAGGTCATTGGTCAGCAGGGATCACCACGATAGAGGTCGGGACGAAAAGGTCCAACAAAGTGTACGTACGCGTCACCCAAACATGCCAAAGGGAAAAAACAAAATCAGAACCCAGCTCAAGAATACACCCAGAGGTCTCCCCGGCTCAGCATTTGAACCACCTGACATACAAACCCTGCCCCTGTCCCTTCTTCGCGGGCGGAAGCCAAAAGCTCCGATGAAGAAGAGACAGACGTGCCCTGCCCTGCCTGCCCTGCCTGCCCTCTCCCCCGCATTTTCGGGCGTTTCAGCTTCGGATGGCAGCTCTGTCGATGAATACGCCCATCAGACGCCAATGCGACGCCAAGCTTTTGGCTGGCGGCCTTGGCATGCCATGCCATGGCGCCGGGTAAGGTTTTTGCTCCTTGTCTTTTTTTTTTCTCAGCCCGGCCCAGGTCTCCTAGGGTTTGACAGACGTCAGGTGGCGGGCAGGGCTGGGGAGGAAAGCTTGGCTTCCCTCTCTGCTGTGTGTCCATCCACATTGGGTCTGGCTGGCTGGCCCTGGTGGGTCGCTGTCGAGGCCTCCCTCCTACCCTCCCTCCTCTGGGGATCGTGGTCGGTCGGGGTGGGTCAGGCCCTGTGGCCCGGGGGGGGGGGGATCTGGTTGCAGTCCCATCCCCACACTTTCTTTCCCCGGTTGTGTTGATCGCCGGTAACGAGTTTCCAAGTTTCCAAGATTGCTCTCCTGATTCATCGAGTTTGACACCCGCACAGTTCGGAAATTCCACCAGGCAAAAAAGAAGGCAACGATGGAGGAGGAAAACAAAAGAATCAGGTCGGAAAATGTCCAGTATATTTCCCGAGAGCAAGCATGGATGACTCTGAGCCTCGAAGCCAGCCAACCAGCCATCATGCTCGTCCGTCTGCATCTCCTATATAAGATAATTCCAGAAAATGTTCGGTCTAAACCACCTGCAAAGGTAAACCATGACAGCACACAAGACAAGTGGTAATGAATAGTAAAACCCATGTTGCCCACATCTCACAACTCAAAACACAAGACCTCGAGCCTAGACAGTGATCGTATTATTATTTACCATGAATGTATCGTTTCTTCATGTGGACGGAACAAAGATGATCTGCTCGGGTCCCACCCGGGTACCCGTCCCCTCTTCTTCTCCCCACCCTGCCAGCTGCCCGGTGTAATTATCCCATGAGATGGAGAAGTTACTCCTTGGCAACAACAACTGCGTGACTGTTAGTGAATGGCTCTCGGGTGTGCTGTCGAGATGATGGGAAGAACGTACTGGTCTGCTCAGAGATGGCAGTGATCTGGGGGATCAGGGAGGCGTCGATGAGGCTGCCGAGGTTGAAGCTGCCGACGTTGTTGATGAGGCCGAGCTGCAGGGCCTGGAGGTTGAGGTTGGAGAGGTCGAAGGCGTTGAAGACGCCGAGCTGGCCGAGCTGGAGGAGGGTCTGGAGCTGCTGGAGCTGCAGGAGGGAGGCGACGTCGAAGACCTGGTTCTGCTGGAACAGACCCTGGAAGGCGAGGGCGTTGAAGTTGTTCTGGACGGCCAGGGTGTTGAGGAGCTGCAGGTCCAGGGAGTTGATGACGTTCAGGTAGTTGATGTCGAGCTGGTTGAAGCGCTGCAGGTTGTTGAGCTGGCCAATGTCGAGCTGTCCGCGCTTCTCGGTGGGAGCGGCGTAGGCGACAGCGGCGAGGGCACCGGCGAAGATGGTAGAGAACTTCATTTTGAATTAAAAGGTTGAATTAGGAGCACAGCTGTGGATGATGATGTTAGTCATGAGAGGCCAGGCTGGATCCAAGGTAGGAGTGGCTCACCTCAAGTTCAGGTAAATGGGTATAGAAGGAATGTAAAATAGAACAGTGAGCACAGCTGATGATGAGTAAGTCAGTGACCAATGCCCAAACCGGAGAAGGAGGTGGAGGATGGTGGAGGAGATATGCTTACCTCAGAAGGAACGACTGTAGAGTGAATGGAAGAGGCTTGAAGACCGAAGATGCTTTGGTGTGGATGATGACAACAAGACAATGGCTATGGGAACACGAACACACGGGGAGTTATATACAGATGGACACAGATATGCAGGCGGGTATAATGGACGTGGGGTCTTGGGACGGATGCGCGATGAACCGTCTGCCAAGATTTATCAAACACACAAAGCATATCCGGATGTGTAGTGAAGGAGTCATCCGTTGCGTATCAGACTGCATGGGTAGCCAGATAAACGGCAGGGATCCGACTATATGGGTAGTCAAGGGTGCATGGTGGTAAACAGAGGCGTGATGCAGTGCTCTTCCGCCCTGGCACTACCACGGCAGGTGGGCTTGGAGACGGGATGACGGCAAGTTGGACGGCTTGGCGAGATGGAGGACGAGCCCCTAGCTCGGATGGCTCTCGCCGTCCAAGACATGGCTGCTGGAGCCGAGGGGATGCGCCGAGAGCTCCATCGCTGGTTGGAGGCTACCAAGTTGACACACGCGGAAGCCCTCGTGGCCGGGAGGTGACGGCCCAAGGACTAACAGAGCCCTCTGTTCCGTACCGGCTCTGTAGGGATGCTGCAGAAACGACGGCGCAGTAGCCAGGGTGGCAAAATAACCTTAATCGCTGATACCACCGCTGGCGGAGGACCTGAGGTGCAGCTTTGACGCCCGTTGATAGGGCATGGCATTGGCGGAGGACGGGTGGCAGAAACATCGGCCGAGCTTCCAGCTTGGCAGGATCATGGACCCCAGCGAAATTGTGCACTTGATCGGCGCCAGGGGCTGGTGGGGCAGGACGTTTGAGTGTTGAGAACTTCCGACCGCTTCGCCGGGTTTTGACTAAGCCAGGCTTGTGCGGCTTCGGCGAGCCATGTGGCTCTTCGGACGGCAGTGTCTTAGCATCAGCCTCGTCCAGCCTGCTTTTTGCGGGCAAGACAGGACGGAAGAGCCGGATGAACTGACCATGTGGGTCGCCAGAGAGTACGATTGTCGCATCAAGGAGGCCATCGCACAGAGCCAAGTGACTCGTAGCAGCAGGTGTATTGGTATTTGCTGGCTATCAAGGAACAAGACTGGCTGCACTGCAGAGTCAGACAGAGTTCTGTCATGCAGTCATTGGAGACGAGTGCTGTCGCCTGCCCCAGGTCCAACGTCGGGCAACTGCTGGTTAGTCAGTTGGTCAGTCAGTTAGTCAGTCGATTGCCCCGTAAGGCCAGGGCCATGGTGCTCGGACAAGAGTTGGCATTGCCCTGCCAATGGCGGCCAAGGGTGTGGCCAAGCAGACAAGCAGACAGCCATACACGGTCAGATGAAGGACGACACTTTTGGCTGGGCATGAGCTTGTCAGGTGGGGGCCAGCAACGGGAACGGTGCCATCCTCGAGAGGTGAGGTTGAAGTTGGGTTTGGACTGGGGTTCACTGGGCTCAGTCCAAGCAGTTCCGATAAGGTTCAGGAACGACTGCCAGGTGTCAGCGAACCCACAAGGGAAGGGGGCACGGACGCCCTTTGCCTATTTAGTGGCCCCCAGGGGCTCTCGGGCCGTTCTCACTGGCCCAGCTCCCATTAAGCTATGCCCTGCGCGCAGGGGTGCACCCCAGCCCGGATCCCACGTCGCCTGCGCCCACCGCGGTCGCACCATGCTCCTTTGGGCCGTGATCCCCATCTCAAACTGTCGCAGCCAGAAAACTTGATGCAGGTGACTAGGTCGACTTAACATGGCATAGTATGCCATGGTGTCATCGCCGTCCATCTCGACAGTCTTGCCATCCGGAATCCCCTCTCATCCGAGCTTTTTGAGACGATGAAGCCGTTCAGGCGGTTGCGCCCGCACCCGTCGCCAAGCTTGCCATGCGGTGTGACAACTTTGCGGTACCACCATCGGCAGAGATGGGCCCAGCAGAATGGTTGGGACGGCAGTCGACATCAGACGTTGGCTCGAGTCTTGCTCCTGGGCACAGTCTCTTGGGAGTGCGGTGTTAGTCAGTCGCTAGTAAGGCAAACTCAAAACAACACAACACAGATACACTTTCACAACAGCATTTTAGCTTCTGCCAGCAGAGTTATTCTCAAGTCCAGTAAAGCAATATCAATATCAATACAATAAATGACATATTGATGGGGATACAAGAATCCTGTAAATTGATCACCCGGCTGCTGTCGATGAAGCCAGAGACCGCTGCACAATCTGATCATGCGGGAAACAAACAGAGCCAGTCGACCCATCTTAGATTTCAGAGATGCCCTATAGACATGTCATCAACTTTTCTTCGGGCTAACACACCCCCCCCCCCCAAAAAAAAAAATCACAAGCAAGGCGTCAAAGTAGCCAAAAACAGTTTGCACACATGTAAACCAACTGATTTTGTTTGCAAGCACATGAAGTCTCCACTTTTATATCTTGCAAAGTTTCTTTAAGCTCAAGATCGATTGCTCACCCCTTGAATTCCCCAACTGCCATAAAGTAGCGCTCCAAAGCGACGAGACGAAATCTCTTGCTCGGGAAATCGATCTGATAGGGTCGCAGAGGATTCAGAAGAACGAATCGGCAACCCCGTGCGGCGTGTGCGCTCTGAAGGACTCGATCAGGAGCCACCCAGTTTTGAGGCACCCACCTGTTGTGTAGCAGGAGTCCGATCGAACGTTGGCGGTGCTGGTATATGCAGCGATTATGAGAGCATCACACCGACTGAGTTGGGGAGGAGGTTGCCACAACATAATGAAAGAAAATAGTACTGGTTCAGGCTCAGGTTGGGTGGTATCATATTAAAATGCTCATGACTAAATATACAATGTCCCCCTACCGCGAGTCCAGCGCGGCAGCCCACGCCTGACTGGTCCGGGTCGGCTGTCCTATGCGGCCTTCTCGCCCTTAGCAGCAGCTCCTGCTTTCTTGTCGTCCTTAGCTGCAGCCTCATCCCCGGCAGCGGCCTCCTCCCCGGCAGCGGCCTCCTCCCCAGCAGCAGCCTCGGCGTTGTCGCCAGCCTTCTGCTCGTCAGCGTTCTGCTTGTCCTCCTCGGCCTTGGCCTGGTCGTCAGCCTTTGCTTGCTCGTCAGCCTTGGCCTGGTCTTCGGCGTTCTGCTTGTCCTCCTCGGCCTTGGCCTGCTCGTCGGCGTTCTGCTTATCCGCCTCTGCCTTGGCTTCCTCGTCAGCCTTGGCCTGCTCGTCAGCCTTTGCTTGCTCGTCAGCCTTGGCCTGGTCTTCGGCGTTCTGCTTGTCCTCCTCGGCCTTGGCCTGCTCGTCGGCGTTCTGCTTATCCGCCTCTGCCTTGGCTTCCTCGTCAGCCTTTGCCTGCTCGTCAGCCTTTGCTTGCTCGTCAGCCTTGGCCTGGTCTTCGGCGTTCTGCTCGTCCTGGTTCTGCTGGTCATTGTTGTTGTCTTTGTTGTCATTGTTGTTGTCATTGTTGTTGTTGTTGTCCACCTGGCAAGGGGGCAGGTTCTGGATGTTACCCGCCTGGGCCTGGCCCGCAAGGGCGGCAATATTGCACTGCCTCTTGACCATGTCATCCCTGCGCTCCCTGAGGTTGGCCGGCCTGCTGCCGGGCTCGCGCTTGACGACGCCTTGAATAGAACTGTCAGCCTATAGTGCCCACATACACAGGTCTTATGAATGTGGAAGAAGAAACGTACCACCGCCAAAGATGTTGCCGGCGTTGAGGACGTTGCCGGCGTTGAGGACGTTGAACCCGTTGCCGAACAGGAGCTGCGACTGGATCAGGTTCTGCGCGCCGAAGACGTCCACGAGGCCGAGCTGCTGCAGCTGGGCGACCTGCGCGAGCTCGAGGAACAGCTGCTGCTGGTTCTGGACGCCCAGGCCGAGGAGGCTGTTGAGGTCGACGAGCTGGCCCAGGCAGAAGTTGTTCATCAGCTGGCTGATGCCGAAGGCCAGCGAGACGGGGTCGGCGAGGTTGACGCTGCCCAGGTTCAGGCCGCCGCCCAGCTGCATGCTGCCCAGGTTGAGCGAGCCGAGGTCGAAGCTGTGGGGGGAAAGAGGAACATGTTAGTCTGATGTTGTGGTTCACACACGCGTGAAGGGGAGGAAGGTGTCTACGTACTTGGGGTCGTTTATCGCCTCGAGGTTGATGCATTGCTGGCCATTCTGGACTTGAATAACACTGTTGGCGTTGTTCTCGTTGTTGTTGTTGTTGTTCTCGTTGTTGTTCTCGTCCTTGTTATCATTATTGTTGTTGTTGTCCTTGCCTGCTTCCGCATTGGCCTCGCCACCTTGAGCAGCCTCCGTCCCGTTGCCGGCTTGCTGGACCTCAGCTGCGTTGCCTGCTGCCGCCTCGGCACCGCCTTCTTGGGCAGCCACAGCGAGGCCTGCAAGGAGAAGAAGAGTGAATGACTTCATTTTGAGTTGGGTCTGATTTGGGAATAGTGTTGTATAAAGACAGGACTTTTGAGAGCACAGCTAGACACGATGGTCAGTCCATATTGTTGACAAGCAGTAGGCTGGCGTCGTCAACTACTCACCTCTTGAATGAGTGACTAAGAAAGTAAATGAATTACAAGAAACTTAAGAAGTGGTATATCGTGGATGATGATCAGAATCTCCAAGACGGACATGCGCCCAGTCGACACTTATAAGAGCCATAGCAGACGATGCATACTCCGCCAAGCCTTGAGGAGGTACCACGAATAGTGGCGATCACGTCGGATCACGGCGATTTCGTCGATGAAACTCGCCGGAAGCCGTGCAGTGCCAATTGCGACGGCTGTAGATGCTGTTGTCTGGTGTTGAGCCAAGAGTTGCTAGAGCCGCATATGCAAACGCCGGTAAGTATATTCCCGGCCCCCCTACCCTCGACTGGGGTCGAAACATGGTTGATCCAATAGTCAGTCCGCCCCGTCTATCACCCGACAGGTCTTGAGATGACATGTGCCCATTTTCAGACCAGACGGGATTGAATAGGCCGAGGCTTGTGTGAGATCAAAAATCACAATGTGTACCTGATTGTTTTAGCTGGTCCAGATTCGTTAGAAGTGTCAGCACTGCAGCGATGTTCGAGGTAATACGGCAGCGGGCCTGTTCAACCTCGACTTACCACGCAGGCAATTTGACTCTCACGTTAATAGAACATGAGCATAGTTTACACCTATGAGATGGATCTAAGCTTTGCGGGATGCCCACGTGAAGCTTGAAAATCTCGACTTTGTGGTGACGCCTGTGCGTGCCTGAGCGGGCGCGTCGGTGAAGGATCCGCACTCCGCGACACTCTTCAACCCCAAAGATCGACGCGGAGCCACAGCCAAGAACATCCTGTCTCATTTCGGCGGCGGCGTCCGCCATGCGACTCTTTGACGGCCGGCAGACAAGACATAGGATCAAATAGCTGCACAGTGATGTACTGATCGTCTGGGTCATTGTCGAGAGACATCTTGGCCCAAACTTGTATCAAACTCATGGTTGCGAGCTGTACAGGCCCCATGGCTTCGATTGGGCGACATTGGGTACCGCCAGATTAGTAAAAGATACAATATGGGCATGACCCCATCTCGAGCGCGCTGCCGGAAGGTCATCTTTGCTCCGCTCATTTCCCAGCACAGTTCCGAGGCTGCCGGCGGCCGGCGGCGGGTGGATTGGGCGAAACCAATCGCATACCGATAGAACGCTGCGACGATTCCCAGGTTACGGCACTTACTTTCATGCTTATCGAACCAAACATGGGAGCTGTAGTGGAATAGTTTCGTATTTAAGTTTCTATATCGTGGTATCCGCTTCCAGATGCTATTCGTGGATGTTGTTCCCACTCTTCGTTGGGCGTAGTTCTTTCCCAACCGCAAACGAACCACGTGTCTATTCTGCGATGCCAAATGCAGGATATGTGCAGTTGGTCCTTGGACCATTTGATTTCTTCGATATTTGCTGCGACCGACAACGCGTCGCGCTCGAGGATTGGAGATGTTATATAGACAGAACGCGTTCCTAAGGTTCTTCGATCGGATAACCAAGGACCATGTGGAATGGTTGATTTCGACCACGGCCCTATAAAAACGGTGCGTCCCAGTATCCAGGGTCGACCGGGTTCGGTGTTCTATAATGCGCGGTCCTGAGTGTTGCTGTCGGTGGTCTGTGGCTTGCTTGATGGTTTGAAGCCGAGAAGCTCGCCGACTTTCCCGCCGGGCTTGGGCACAGGGCATTCTCGCTTGCCTCTGTTACCCTCATGATCGACCAGATCTGCCTGGGTTATGTTGTTGAACTGCACAACTCCGCCTTTGGCCTCTTCACTCTGCTGCTGCACCCGCCGCCTCCGCCTCCTCCTGCCGTTTTCATCTTCCACTATCTCTCCATCGGCGTAGGTGATCCTAGGAGCAGGGCATGGCAGTAGGTGTGGGAGTCCGACCACGAGAAAGCTGGCAAGCATGGTTGTCGCGAAAAGGGACGAGGTCATTCGGGACCTCGGGTGGAGATGGGGTGGCATGATGAAGGCGAGGGTGGTGGAGAGCCGGGCAACTCTGCAGGTCGATCAGCGCGGTTCAAAATTGCTCGATTGCGCCAATTGTACTTACATAATGCCATCAGTATCGTGATCATGGCATATGAGCCCGAGTCGGAGGACCGTGGAGCAGGAGAAGCGTTTGGCGCAAGATCAATGTGATCATCGGAAATCGTGAAAGAAGCTCAATTGGATGCCATCTCATTGGGTCTCATTTGCTCTCGTTCCCGGCAGGCAGGGCATGTGGGTGGGCCCAGTGGGCAATGAGCGCTGGGCAGCTGGCAGCATTAGCGCCTGATTGAGGCTGATAATCCCTGCAGGGCAAATTGTTGATCGGCCCCAGAAGGAAAGTCTGGGGTAAAGAGACTCCGCCGAGACCGCGACAGCTTCAGAGTTGGCTCCAACGGGAAACCCATCGTCGATAAGGATCGCATGCCACTGTCAACCCCTGATAAACGCCCAACAGCCCGAATTCTCCCAAATCCCTGGCTGCTCTTCGACCCGTGCATGTGCTATGAGAGCAAACCATTGAGCTCTCCAAGGCTGCATCCCAGCCTGTTGCTGAGGCTTCGCAGCTGCAGCTACCGCTAACATGAGCGACCTAGACAAGTAAGCACATCCCAGGCGCGCCTCAACCTGGCGTGGACAATACTCACAACAGTTTCTAGAGCCATCGCACAGCTCCGTGCGTGTCGTCCCATACCAGAAGCCCAAGTGCGCGAGATATGTCACAAAGCACGAGAGCTGTTGATAGAGGAGGGCAATGTCGTCACAGTCTGCGCGCCTGTCACAGTATGGGGTCCCCAGCCCTGACGCCTGGCCTGGCGAGATGAGCTGACATCCGATAGATATGCGGTGACATACACGGCCAGTTCCACGATCTGATGGAACTCTTTCGAGTGGGTGGCGATGTGCCGGACACCAACTACCTGTTCATGGGTATGACTCTGTCACCCCGCCCTGTTCTCCCGCTTGCCCATCTATGCCATGGTCACTGCCCGGATCCGCAAGCTGACCAGTATCGCTGCCAGGTGACTTTGTCGACCGTGGCTTCTACTCCCTCGAATCCTTCTTACTCCTCCTCTGTCTCAAGGTCCGATACCCCGACCGCATGACCCTCATCAGGGGCAACCACGAGTCCCGACAGATCACCACGGTCTACGGCTTCTACGACGAATGCTTGCGAAAATACGGGAGTGCGAACGTGTGGAGATATTGCTGCGATGTGTTTGATTACCTCGCCCTGGGTGCGATCGTTCTCGGCGCCTCGAATACCCTGTACCCAGCCAGCGAAAGCCCGTCGGCGCAGGAGTACCTGGAGCAGAACACCGAGATCGAAGTCTGCAATGCCGACCGGGATGTTATTAGCAGGTTCCCGCGCCGGAACCTGGAGGGCGAGGAGCAAAACAAGAGCCCGAACGGCGCGGCTGCGGGCGCGGGCACGGGGGACAAGACAGGACCACCGGGATCAGGTGCGTCGGGCTCGAGCGGAGGTTCGATCGGCAACCCGGCAGGCGCAGTGCTGTGCGTCCACGGCGGCCTGAGCCCGCTGATCGACACGGTGGACAAGATCCGGCTGCTCGACCGGAAGCAGGAGGTGCCCCACGAGGGGGCGATGTGCGACCTGCTGTGGTCGGACCCGGACGATATCGACGGCTGGGGCCTGTCGCCGCGCGGCGCGGGATTTCTGTTCGGCGCGGATATTGTCCGGCAGTTCAACCAGAAGAACAACCTCTCGCTGATCGCGCGCGCGCACCAGCTCGTCATGGAAGGGTTCAAGGAGATGTTCGACACGAGCATCGTCACCGTGTGGTCGGCGCCCAACTACTGCTACCGCTGCGGCAACGTCGCCGCGCTGCTGGAGCTGTCCGAGGACGAGTCCGGGCTCGGCACCTTCTCGCGGAGCAACGGCGACGTGAACAGGAGCGACGGCGGGGCGGCGGCCAGGGCGCCGCTGACGGAGGGCCAGCTGCCGCCGCCGATTGTCGGGCCGGCGAGGCGGTACCGGGTGTTCCAGGCTGCGCCGCAGGATTCGAGAGGCATGCCGGCCAAGAAACCCGTGGCTGACTACTTCTTGTAAGGTGGAGGCGCCAGACCCAGATGGCTTGTGATGGATTGTGTGTGGTGTTTATGGACGGCGCGGGCTTGCGTTAGGCGTTCTTTGTCGAGATTGCGGGCCGAAATGCGTTCATGTGGCAATGTATTGCATGTCTGATAGACGTGGACTTTCATCCAGATACCGTCTGTTGCGTGGATTATGTCTGACCCATAGAGGGAAGAAAAGGTGATGAGATGATTATCGGAGACCCCTTGAACCGGATTGTCATTTGACACAAGAAAGCGTATAATCAACAGCCCAACGCGATTACTCTATAGGCCCGTGTATCCAACCATATCCCACTACAACATATTAACCATGCGCTCCGAACTCACGGGCTCAGCCGCTCCAGCGTCCACTTGTCCTCCTCGCCCTCGACCCTCTCATACACAAACCGATCATGCAGCCTGTTCTCCCTCCCCTGCCAGAACTCAACCCTCTCAGGCACGATCCTAAGCCCGCCCCAGAACTCAGGCACAGGGATGTCCTCGTCGCCCCTGAACCTCTCCTCCGCCTCGTCGACCCACCGCTGGAGCTGCGCGCGCCCGTCGTCGTCGCCATCCTCCCCCTCCCCGGGCACCAGCACGGCGCTCTGCCGGCTCGCCCACGCGCCCAGGCGGCTGCCCCTCACGCGCGTGGCGTAGTACGCCTGGCTCTCCTCGCGGGTGAGGCGCTCCGCCCTGCCCTCGACGCGCACCTGGCGCTCGAGGGCCTCCCACCAGAAGACGAGGCTGGCCCAGGGGTTGGACTCGAGGTCGCGCGCCTTGCGCGACGTGCCGAAGTTGGAGTAGACCACGAAGCCGCGCGCGTCCAGCTCCTTGAGGTAGACCATGCGGGCGGAGACGCGGCCCGAGGGGAGCTGGGCCGTCGAGAGGGTGCACGTCTCTGGGTGCGGGACTAGGGCGGGCTGCTGCTGGTGTTGGGTGTCTGTTGTTGTTGTTGTTGGGGGGCTGGCGGAGTGCGAGTGCGAGTGTGCCTGCGCGGCTGAGAACCAGGCGTGGAACTGCGTGATGGGGCTTGCTGGGTCCAGGTCGCGCCGGCGCAGGCCCTCGTGCTGGAGGAACTGGTCTGCGCGGGCGTTTTGGGCCCCGCCGGCGGGCGCGACTGTGTGTGTGTGTTAATTGATGTTGTGAGGCAGTGTGTGTTATGATGATGATGACTCATGGGCTGCTTGTCATGCGACGAGGTAGGCTGTTGCGCCGGGCAGAAAACTTACAGATCAGCTTGTCTGATTTCGCTTGGTGTAGCGCCATCCTGCTTGCTGTAGGTGCGAAACCACGTAGGAGCTGAGAAGTTGCAGCAGTGAAGCGCATGGGATATGGTTGGTGTCGAGTCCAAGGCGTGGAAGTGGAATCGTGGACAGGGCCCCTCGTGATATATACGGTATTCTGCAGTGATGGCTCCACTTCACCGTTTATCTCCTGATGGCTCGATTCTACGAGTATTTATGCGGTCTGACGCTGTTTTCTAAAATGTGAGTCCTCTCTGACTGGCCTGTTTTCCTTATACGCAGACAGTTTTGCTCGGTCAGGCGATAACGAGGCCAAAAGTCAAAGGCATCTCATGACGTCGACTAAAAGGGCAGGGGGTATGTACCCGTCTATCCCGCTCGACAGTCCGTCCCACGTAGCAGACCCGGCAGCTTGGGCACCACGGTCTGACACGTCCCTCGGCCATGATCTCCCAGCTTCCATTTTCGATGATTATGCAGGCAGCGATCAAAACCTTGTGGACGATTGCATGATGCTCGTGCCTTGCATGCAGTGCATTGAACTCAGTTGATCCATTTAAATATCTTCAAACCTGAATGGCTGGCCATTGGGGGGGGGGGTGGTCAGTGGAAGGGGGGAGGGTACTGCAGGCTGGTGCACAGCGGAAGACCCTGAAAACCCTAGATCGTCCGCTAAGCCAGGGTCCTTCTGTGGCTTCCCGGGATGCTACCCCATCGACCTGCCTTTGTCTTGCTCTGAGGGCAGGGGGTGTGGACTTGACTTCAGTTCACCAAGAGCTAGCTCCCCCCCGTACTCGCGTCCATCCTCGAGCCCGCGGGTGTGCTGGCTCCATGCGTATTCATCCAATCGGCAGCATGGCCCAGAGCGGAGAGCATGAGACCGCGCAACCACGGGCACGCTAGCGGGCTGGTGATTGGGGTCCGTTTTATCCGTCCGATCTTCAGCAGCAACGGCAGCAGCAGTGCGCAGGTCTGGGCCTAGCGAGGGAGAGAGCTGTGCTGAGCTCGTGTGCGGTCAGCATGGACTGGGCAGGGAGCTGGGAGCCGGACCACACAGCTCCCATGATGCATCAGTGTGCAGGATCCGGCTGCCGGTTATGCGGATCTTGGGAGAAGCGGCTGGGCTGGACGGAGGTTGGAGATGGCAGACAGACGGACTCCGATCAGTGATTCGAGACTGGCTGACTGGACTGACTGACTGGTATGCTTGCGACCAGCCACCACTTTGACCCAGTCTCGGTGGAGATATGTAGGTAAGTTACTGATTGACAGAATGCCTCCCTGAACAAGATTTCCCTGTTAGTGCTCGGCTACACGGTCCACGGCAGATGGGCCACACGGTCTAACATTAGGTCCTCCAAGGCAGCGATGCCCTGGTGTGTTGACGTTTACGGTCAAGGTCGCTGAAACGCTTTTAGCTCCCATTCTTGAAACCCGCAGACTCGCAGACTCGCAGACTCGAGAAATCTATTGCATCTTTTTCGTCGATTGATACTTCTCATCACCCTAGTTCGAGTCAACATCAACCACCGGCTGAGGCTGCGAGCCACAAACAACTTGCACACATCAACTCCACACACCACACACCACTCACACTCTCTCTCCCACCACCAAATATCGTCCGCCCTACGCCCAGCATCCTGCGTGACGCGGCATCTCCAAGTCGTGCAATGACAGACTGGCCCACCATCCGGCCAGGATTCTCACCAAAGCACAGCAGGCACATTGGCCTTGGCCATCCGTCAGGCCAGCCCCTCTGAGCCTCTCCTCTCCACATCCCTGGGGCCTGGACCCAGCCAGTCCTTATTAACACCGTCTCACAAGTGCCATTATACGGGCCTCCCCCTCGCTCAACCAACCAAGCACCCACCATCCACCCCCTTGATTGGTGCTCCCACACAGCCCCCTAGGCTGGTCCGAAAGTCAAACTCTCCAGCTAAGCTAAGCTGAGCCCACTCACTCACAACGTACACACACAGCCTGCCTGCCCACTCACACTCACTCGCACCAACTCACCTCCCGCAACCCTGACTCACCCGGTGATGCCACCCCAAGCCCAGCAAGGCCACCGCAGCTCATCCGGTGCCGTTGCTGGGATCGACATCATCACCCCGTCCACGAGACATGACGACGACGACACGGTGAAAAGGATGGTCCTGCGCAGGTTCCGACGCACCATGAGGCGGCTCTTCGGCGGCCGCTGGAAGCAGATGAGCGACGGCGAGGTCAGGGAGCTCGAGAAGAAGATCGCGGCCGACATGCGCACCGGCACCTTTGGGCCCGTCGCCCCCACCATCCGCCCGCCCCCGACCGGCGACGAGCTGTGGCACCGCCAAGACGACGCCGGCCCATCGGGCACCGGCCCCGGCAGGCTGCCCAGCATGGCCTCCACCATCAAGCGGTCCACCGTCGTCTCACGCGCCGCGCGGGGCCAGTTCTACGACGAGTACGGCGACGACTACGGCGGGTACCAGGACGCGCATTCCATGTGGGGAGGGGGAGGAGGCGCAGCGAGCAGCGACTCCGGCTACGGCCCCGGATACTACGACCGCGCGCCGCCGCGGAAGCCGCTCGCCAAGCCCGCGCTGCAGCCCGAGTACTACGTCCCGGGCGGGGGGCCGTTCGACATGCCCGAGGCCAGGCCCGAGTCCGTCTACGACGGCGGAGGAGGCGGCTCGCGCGCCAACAGCATGCGCAGCAACTACACGACACGGACCGCTCACAGCCGGCGGCCGCCGATGCCGCCGATGCCTCAGCATGGCTACTACCCGCCCAACTCGTCCTCGTACGGCGGCGGCGGCGGCGGGGAGGGCAGGGCCTACTCGATGCGCTCCGACCCGGGGAGGATATACGCGCGCAGCCCCATGCCGCGCGCGTCGCTGCGGCCGCAGCCTTCCTGGGACGGGCGCCACCAGGGCGGTGCGGAGGGGCCCAGGAGCTATTCGTACGGGCCCGGGGACAGGGGCAATTACTCTTATAATGGTCACGGCGACAGGGGCTACGCGTACGGCGGGGAGAATGGTGGCTACCGCGGCTGGGACGGGCAGGACATCGAGGAGCACGAGTACCCTCCCCAGGACCAGTACCCTCCCCAGGATCACTATCCGAACCAAGTGCCGGGGATCCACTACCAGGATTACCAATACCCAGAGCGATGAGCGGCACACCGCGCGTTCCGGGAATATACATCATAGGCTCGTCTCTGAACCTGCTATCAGCGGGCAGCGTTTCAGCAGGGCCAATACGAGTTAGTTCGCAGGCGACACAAGAGGGCAGAACCCCGTCCAGCCCACCCACGCTGTGTCGCGTCACGAGGTCTAGGCAGCACGTGGACGGCTGCGGCCGCCAGGGTCCCTCGCAACCTTGAGTGCGAAGCCGGGCCAACAGGGGCGCAGGTCCTCCCCAAAGACGAACGAAGCCTTATGCCCCATGAAATTCCGGCACGTATGTCGACCACTTTTGGACTCCCGGGAGGGGAGGAGCTATGGGAATCGACAGCCGCGCGGATCAGCCGGGCGCGGTGGTCCGAGAAGATGTTCCGGAACCCTCGGGGCCGACGGTACCCGATGCACGGCCTGTGGTGTTTCAGGCTGGCGAGAAAAGAAGGAAAAAGAAAACGGCCCCGGGCTGTTGGGTCGGATTGGAAGTGCTTGGGATCGTGGTCATCGTGCTGGGCATGAGCTGCTTCATTCATCGCGGGGCTGGGAGGAGACTTGGCCGCACACGCCGGGAGAGGACCGACCGTATGAGCCGGTGGTGGCGGGCGCTCAAAATGCATGGCTGGCCAGGGGGGCACGTCTGCCCACGAACCATTCATTTCCCAGCCACCTCAAGGCACTTTTGACAACAGCGTACGACCCCTTGCCGGGGGACCATCTGGGAGTGTTCTTTTGGTGGGAGGTGCCCGGCCGGGTCGGGGCGGGCGAGCCTCCCGGATCTGTGGGTGAGGAGTGGGGGACTTACTGGGAATTAATGGGTTTAATTTGGGGGGTTCGAATGAGAATTTCTGCACGCTGGTGCAATGGAGGGACGCGCGGATCAGTTGCCCCGTCGAAGTTGTTCAGCCATCATTCAATAGATTTGCAAGCGCGAAATCGGGCATCGTGTTGGCGAGTTGCTTCTTGTACGGCGGCAAGGGCGTTCATGTATATACATAACTTGGCAAGCCCGCATCGATACTTTCAACATCAATATTTGGTCGTCACACAGCTCATTGCGAGGGGGCAAACATCAATCCAAGCACCCGGGCTGTCTAACTCAGCCGCGGGCTGATGAAGGTTGGGAAGAGCTCAGCAGAAGTCAGCAATGCCGGAACCTTACCATATAGCCTCCGGTTGAGAGGCTCGTGAACACCACTTTACCTCCCGGGAGATCGAGCAAGACCATTCTCACTGCCTGCACGGGTGGATACGATGCAAACTACGATCCATGAAATTATATCGAGATACTTCGAAACGACCGTGAACAGTGTGGACGAGGACGCCCGGGAATCTTTCATACGCTGATGTGTCTATCATCCAGTGCAGTGCTTATCCTGGTGGTCCGGCCCCATCGGATACGTGCGGGCCTGCAGCTCAAGAGAGAATGTCCAATGTCTCCTGTCTGAATCCAGACGTAAAAATGCCACATAATAATGCCCCTACAACTCCTGCTCGACCCCGGCGCTCCCTCCCTTGAGCTTCGCAAAGTCGGTGAAGCCGAGTTCGTACTGGGGTCACCGAAAGTTAGCGTCAAGCCTTGTGACACGGTGGGCAGGGGCAAGCAGGTAAAGATACGCACAGCGAAGGCGAGGGTCATGCGGGCATGCTGGAGCATGTGGTCAAACGACAGGTACTTGATGGTGTCGTCGGTGGAGTGGATGTGCTGGTCGCTGTCCTCAAAGGCGGACTCGATGACAAAGGCCGAGGGGTACCCGGCCTTTGACGCGGAGGCGTGGTCGGAGCAGGCGTAGCCGCACTTTGTCTCGACGAAGGGTATGTCGCAGTACTCGACGACGATCTTCTTGATGAACTCGGTGAGCTTGGGGTCGACGTAGTCGACGATGACGCCGACGCTCTCGGGCTTGCCGGCCTTGATGGTCTTCTCGACGTAGCCCGTCATGTCCTGCTGCAGCATGGCCTTGACGTCGCGCCCGCCCCTCTCGTACGCCGAGAAGATGGCCTGGCTGCCCAGCAGGCCGCCCTCCTCGGCGCTGTACCAGTGGAACTCGACCGTGTTCTCGAGCCCGCCCCCGCGCACGGCGTCCGAGCCCAGGAGGACCCGGAACGCCTCGAGGATGGTGACGGTGCCGCTGCCGTCGTCGTCGGCGCCCGGGGCGGCGAGGATCGAGGGCAGCCACAGGTTGATGGAGTCCTGGTGGGCGCCGACCACGACGGTCGAGTTGGTCCGGCCCGGGATGGTGGCGATGATGGAGCTCTGCTGCCACGAGTGCGGGAAGGCCTCGGCGTGGACGCCGGCCTCGGCGCCCCCCGACTCCGCGATGATGTCCCTGACCTGCTTGAGGAGCCACTCGGACGACTGCTTGCCGTAGTCGGACTTGTAGTAGCGGGTGTGGAAGCTGGAGAACTTCTCGAGGTTCTCGTGCATCTCCGTCTTGGACAGGTTCTTGAGCAGGGGCTTGACCTCGTCCTGGAAGGAGGCCTTGGCGGGGAAGACGACGCTGGCGAGGGCGCGGGTTCGCGAGGCGCCCAGGTCTTGGGTCTCGGTTATGTCCATGAACTGCTGGCCATTCTGTGGATCGCATGTTGGTTTAGCATCTGATATACGCCCGCGGGAGAGACGTCTTTGATGGGACGGGGGGCACAGGGGCGTACGCGTCGGAGCTCCCACTTCTCCTCCTCTGTGATCCACCTGGTGTCGCCGGGCGCCAGTTCAACCAGGAACTTCTCGGCGGACTCCTCGTAGACGCCCTCGGGGTACAGCTGCACGTTGTTGCCCTCTGTCCGCTCGATGAAACGAGCGGAGATGGCCGGGGCCAGCAGGGCGACGAGGGACGATGTGCTAAGTCTCATGGTGGATGCTTGGGATGTTGTTGTGTTGATGGGAGGATTGCCCCTGGTGCTCACGAGGCAACGAGGATCACTCGGGTTAGTCCCCTATCTGACCGTCACCAGTCAGTCCCGTCGGTCACACGCAGCCGCCGCGGTCGGGCAGGGCTGGCAGGCAGCCAATGACGCAAACATCCTGAAACGAGATCCTTATCTGCCGATCCCGGCACCGAGACGCACGAGGCCAAGTGCCGAGGCACTATTGTGGTTGTACTGCGTATCTTTGTACACCCGTACCCAACGACGGTTACGATATCGATTGAAGATGTATCTCGTTGGACATGTTTAAAGCAGCAAGAATTGGTCATAGATTCCGTACTGATGACCTGCCAAGATCGTGGTTGGCTTGACCAGATGAGTCCTGATCTCGGCACAGTGCAGACGTACCAAGATGCGCCTACCCTTGCACTTACACGGCCGCCCTATCCGAGCTCGCTGCATGTGTGGTGTAAGTGCAGGTGTGAAGACGTCAAGTATCTCTAGATGTGCAGATGCAACTCAATTCCAGCAGGCAACATCCATTTCAAAGAGTGGGTTTATACTCAACGCAAAGTCCAAATATTGGGAACAGGGCCTGCGTCATGACGCAGGCTGAAACAAGGTTCGGAGCTTCCAACACGACGGATCCAGCCTAACACACAGTACTAAGCAGCCGTCGGTTCAACGTCGCCAGAATGAAGTCTGTGTTCAGTGCTCACAGCCCTTGGGTGTTTGGAAAACGTTTTTAGGCTTCGGGTCAAGATTCCTCCCCACCCCGCCCCGGAAGGTCATCAGCGCCAGAAATATCATGTGTGCCGGGCCTCAGGATCGCGGGCGGGGGCCGCATATTTCTTGGCCCCAGTAAAATGACATGTCGGGGGCGGGTGGTGCCACGATCACCCATCACGAAAGGAAGCCGGGTAGTCGAGCCCGTTTATCAGGTGTTTCGCTCATCTGCGTGTACCCCGGACTACCTCTTTTGGCCCTGGCTGAGAGGCTCGATCACGAACAGGGAATAGCCCAAAGCCTGTCTGCGACTCAGCCGCGCTCTCACATGTGTGGTCTGATTGTCGAGGCCCAGTCTGAGCTCAGACAAGTCCCGATGGCTCTAGCGTCCGTTTTCGTCGTCGATACAAAATGATGACTTGTCTCACTTGATGCATCATAGATGGCGAACCTTGTTTTATTGTCCTACTATTTCCCCCCCTCCTGTCGCAGTTTGCGCCGTTCCACTCACTCACCTGCTGCTTCTCCCCCGGGCCACATGAAGCCACGAGCAGCACACGATGCCCGGATCACCACCGCCATACCGGCCTAAGGCCGACCTCATCGCCAGGGGCGTCAAGGGCCCAAGCCCCCTCGGCACCTCGACCTTCATCGGGCTGCGCGCCCTCGACCCCCTGCTCCAGTACAGCATCCTCGCGCATGGGCTGGGCACGGGGTTCCTCGCGCGGCTCGGCATATCAACCATCCCCCTCAGCGCCGCCGTCGTCACGCGGACGGGCTTCAGGATAATCGACCGGCTCGGCCTGCCCCTCGAGCGCCTCATCCTGCTGGGCATGGCCGTCGGCTCCGCGGCGAAGCAGATCTTCTGGCTCACCTACATATCTCAGGAAGAATTCCAGCCGAAACCCGCCGCCATCATCTCGGCGTTCAACTCCCTGTTCAACACTGCAAACTCCCTCCTGCTCCTGACCACCGCCACCTCCGCCGCGCTCTCGACGAGGCCCCTGACGGTCCACGTGCCCGGCACGCGCGCCACGAGCGTGTCCCTGCCGGTCGCCGTGGGCACGGTGCTGTACGTGCTCGGCATCCTGCTGGAGACGGGCTCGGAGCTGCAGCGCAAGAGCTTCAAGGACGACCCCGAGCACCGGGGGAAGCTGTGCAGGTCGGGCCTCTGGGGCTGGGCCAGGCACGTCAACTACGCCGGCCACACGCTGTGGAGGGGCGGGTACGCCCTCGCGGCTGGCGGTTGGGTCGCCGGCACCGCGACGGTTGCGTTCCACGTGCACAACTTCATCGGCAACGGCATCGTCTCGCTCGACTATTACATGAGCCGGCGGTACAAGGACCAGTGGGGCCGGTACAAGGAGGACGTCAAGTGGAAGCTGGTGCCTGGGATCTACTGATTGTTTCCGAGTCTGGGTTGTGGCATTTTGGGGGGCAATAATAGCATCTGCATCATCACGGTGGTCGGTGGTGACAAGGCGTTAATTGGTAACATTGAACGGTGGCTGCTAAGCATAATAGAAACCCTTTAAATTATAAGGCAGTAATGGTTGGTACTACTGGGCGTGACTTTCAGGGTCTGCCACTTGATGCCGCTAAGATAAAGCAGGCGCATGTGATTAGCCGTAAGACAGACTACCAGGCTACGTCAGGCCCGGCTGCCCCTGTCGCACGGTCGTGACCAGCGGGCTGGGACTGGGATCCGTCATTTTTAATAGTAGCACCGAGAGCGGTGGGCCAGCCCTGTTTCCTCCTCAATTAAATGCCGAAACCGCGACCGTCTACTTAGCCAACCTATTTTTGTACTTTTGTACTCTGTTCTGTATTTCGATACCCCCGCGGCGCCGATCACTGCCTGCTTGCCTGCGATGCTTCTCGTGCTTGGGATAGACTTAGAGTCAACTTTATAGACCCCTCAGACCCCTCAGGACCCTCAGGACCCTCTTCGCGCCCTTCCAAAATGCGCGCATGCGCCGCCCGAGCGACCTCACGGAGATGTGCCGTTGCCTCGACCCCTCGGCCATATCTCGCCTTTAGAAGCCACAGACAACGCTCAATATCTTCGAGATCGCTACGGACCAGCAGCAGTCGCTCAAGAGAGACATCAACCCTACGGCCACTCCAACAAAATTCAGAACCCCAACCGACACGCGCAGTTCTCCCAGCACTCGGGACCACCGCGCAGACGAGGCAAGCCTCAGTGGCCACTGCGACCACAGAAAATGGTGCGCTCCGGAGGACACACGACAGGAACCCAACGTTCTGTTCACACCCGCTAACAACCTCCAGTCAACGACGACGACTTCGGCCCTATACAGGAATACGATCGCCGCGTGGCCCAGGGCCGCCTGAAGAACGACGAGCACCAGCGAGGCAATTCTCTCCCTCCCCCCAACGAAACAGTTGTCGACTTGGCGCGCATGCACTGACATGCGACGAAACAGGAATCATACAGAGCTTACAACACCTGCACGATGAGCTCCGCCGCTACAAGGCCCGGCCCGTCGTCCACCCCACCCTCGAGTCGCTGAAGCCCTCAAAGGGCCTCTTTTCCTTCTTCGGGGGCGGCAAGCCAAAAGCCGCCGCCCTGCAGGAGATACCGGCCGACCTGCCCCGAGGCCTGTACCTGTTCGGCGACGTGGGCAGCGGCAAGACCATGCTGATGGATCTGTTCTACGACACCCTGCCGAGCGCCGTCCGCTCCAAGACGAGGATACACTACCACAACTTCATGCAGGACGTGCATCGCCGGTTGCACCGCATGAAGATGGAGCACGGCAACGACATAGATGCCGTGCCCTTTGTTGCTGCAGACATCGCCGAGCACGGCAACGTCCTGTGCTTTGACGAGTTCCAGGTCACCGATGTGGCCGACGCCATGATCCTGCGAAGGTAGGCGCACCCACCTCCCTCGGCGCAACTCTTTGTTTGGATTTAATATAATAATCCGGGACCACAGGCTTCTGGAGGCCCTCATGTCACACGGTGTGGTACTCGTCACGACCTCCAACAGGCACCCCGACGAGCTGTACAAGAACGGCATCCAGCGCGAGTCCTTCGTGCCCGCGATCCACCTCCTCAAGAGCAGGCTGCACGTCATAAACCTCGACTCGCCAACAGACTACCGCAAGATCCCCCGCCCGCCGTCGGGGGTGTACCACACGCCCCTCGACGCCCACGCCGCGGACCACGCCGAGAAGTGGTTCCGCTTCCTGGGCGACCCGGAGGCCACGGAGCCGCACCCGGAGGTGCAGCACGTCTGGGGCCGCGAGATCTTCGTGCCGCGCGTGAGCGGCCGCTGCGCCTGGTTCACCTTTGACGAGCTCATCCGGGAGCCCAAGTCGGCCGCCGACTTCATCGAGCTGACGCGGTCCTACGACGCCTTCGTCGTCACCGACGTCCCCGGCATGACCATCCGCGAGCGCGACCTCGCCCGCCGCCTCATCACCTTCATCGACGCCGTCTACGAGTCCCACGCCAAGCTCGTCCTCACCACCGAGAAGCCCCTGACCGAGCTGTTCACGTCCCGCGACGAGATCGCCGAGTCGCTGCTCAGGGACTCGGGCGGTCACGACAGCGGGGGTAGCAGCGGCGCCGCCCCCGAGGTGAGCCAGGTCATCAAGGACATCATGGAGGACCCCGGGAAGCAGGCCGACCGGCTCAAGGGGTCCGCGCTGTTCGCCAACGACGAGGAGGCGTTCGCCTTCTTCCGCGCGCTGTCCCGCCTCACCGAGATGGGGAGCGTCGAGTGGGTCGAGAGGGGCATGGGCCTCGAGAGCCGCGGCGGCAAGTCCGAGCGCGACGGCTTCCTCAAGGCCCGCTCGAGGCAGATGGAGGATAGCATGTAGCGGACGTCTTCTTCTTCTGCGGCAGCATAGCGAGGCATTTGGGCGGGATAGTTATTATCACCTAAACTTGAAGCATGTTTGGAACCACCTTCTATTCTGGGCCTCTGAAGCTGTGTAGCATTTGATTTTGGTGCATCATCCATACTGCTGGTGCCCTAGTTCTGCCTCAAGTACAAGATAAAAATTTCTTGTGCCGACAATATCAGTGAAACACCTCGAAGCGTACCTTTCGTTGCCTCGCTTCCGCCTCCATCTGGTCGAGATCCAGAAGTGGCTCCCTAGCACTCTCGTCTCTTTGCAACGGCTCTGGTGGGCCATCCGAAACGTCCCCTGCAGTCTGGACAACAAATCGCTGGCTGTAGAACAGTAAGGGCAGGATCGAGGTCTTCCAGACCATCACGCGGCCTTGACGCCGAGAACCCTGGTACATGGTCCATGCAAGCAACCCATTCGTAGCAACCACGAGCACCGCTGGGAAAGCCAGCCAGCTGTACTGAATTCTCGAGCATAGCCTCGTCTGGAGGGCTTGGCCGAGCACGGCCTCGGGTTTGTTGAGGAAGCCCATGCGCATCTTGTTAGAAAGACGATCTGTGAATGCTTCCATCTGCTTGATAACAGCGGTCGCCGTCAACCCCTCGTCGCCGTAGAATCTCGCAAGCCAGTAGGCATGGTTGCAGTCGACCGTAGTAGTGCCCTTGACGTCACTAGCATTCGAATATACCAGGCAGCTTCCATTGAATGTGTTGGTCTTCATAATGTCTCGCAAGTACTGGTACACCGTAAAATCCATGCTATGGATGCATTCTGGTGGGGCTGTCGTGTTTTCGATGCTGAAACGGCGGGTTCCATTGGGTTCAAAGTCCGCGTGAAGAAGAACAATGCGCTCCGTGTCGAAAGTGGAAGACTTATTGTCCTTGGTCCAGATCGTGTTGTTGACAAGGCAGGGAGACTGAATAACCTGAATCAAGGTGTTTAGAATCCATGTGTGTCCTCCGACGTATGCGGAATAGTAGCGAAACCAGTTATGTAGAATCCCGTACGGATCCAGATCAGGACTACATTGTCCGAACTGTATCTCCTGCATTGCCTGCTGCATTTCTTGGCCTATCTCGTCTGGGGAGCCTTGAAACCCGGACATTACGTTTGGCACCGCAGGAACCGTCCCGAGGAGAACCTCATCTAGCTGCCCCGAGGTGATTGATGCCCGGTATGAACGGAGACAAGGGTAAAGCGTGCATGTTGTCGATATATAGTCTTTGTATCCCGAGTTCGTTGGAAACCAGTCCGGTGTGAAGATGGTCACGTTTGCGAAGGCCCAATAGGATAAGGCTTTCATTTCTGAGCTGATCAGATCTCCAGCCCACTCTAATCCCAATAGCTCCGATGATACTTTTAAGTATGTAAATTTCCAGTCGTTGCTCGGACCTTTACTGCTGTTTGTGAATGTTGTTGAAACTGACATTCCGTTTGGAAGACTATAGTTAGCCACGAAGAAATTCACCGCTGGTGAATCAGGCTCAGGGTCTGTGGGCGCGGTTTCAGTACCGACCCAATGCCACCCGGTTGATGCAATCAGCGACGATGTATCGGCACATGAGGTGCATACTCCCATGGTACTATGAACTCCTCCAATCGGATTTTCAAAAGTACAGTTGCCGGTGGAGCATTCGGCACCTATGGGCAAGGCCGTCTCGCCGTCCGGCGCGAATGCAGACACCAAAGCGGCGATGATGTTTGGGATGTCGGTAGGCCCAAAGCTACTGTTCCTATCATGTCTGTCGAAAGTGAAGTTTCTAGAGATTGGGAGAGACGCATGAATACTTGCCTCTGGGAACTGGCACTGCTGCGTCTGGATAGCCTGTTGCACAAAGGAGCCCGTTCCCAACGAGACAATCGTGACTATAACCGCCGTCAACGTAGCAGGGTCCCTTATTATTGTTGGTAGAAGTCTTAGAGCACCTAGCAGTCCCTGGCTCGCATCGTTGAAATGACTCGTCTCGATCAGTCGGCGCTCAGGGGCGGTTTGCTTTGACCGTCCATTGCTGGCAAAGTAACTCCACTTAGCCTGGCCGATGATCTCCGCCGCCACAAATACCAGCATCGTTCGGAGAAGAGTGGCCATTAATGCAATCAAAGTGCTCAAGTTGATAGCGGTTCCCCAATCTGGTGTCGGCTGGTCGTCGTAATGCCATATAATGGCGTAAATTGATCCAAGAATCCCACTGGCAAGAACGCAATTGCAAACCTCCCATCTCCAGAGTCTTAAGACTTTCCAACTCCTTGGTGACTCAACCAAGGACTCGGATCGGGGGTGAGAGTGATTTCGCAACTTTTTGAGAAGCTTGGGGGATTGAACGTTCTCTGACGGTTGTGACAATTTTGCTATGCGAGAATATCCTCCAACGCAGACAATTGGAGACTCCTCACTGCGAGCATCCGCAGGACCTCCCCTGGCGTCGGTAATGAGATCAGGTATGTTTCCATCACTACTGTCTTCATGAGATGGTGCTGGCTTCCTCCAACCGCTGGAGGTGACTGACTGGTGATCAGAGACATGTTGACAAACGGCTTGATCAGGGTCCAGCCTAGTTTCACAGTCAATGGTCCCCGGTATCCGCTGCTTGTCTTCTGAGCCAATGGCCTGTGTAGAAGATGAATGCTGATATGAGCGGGCCGAAAACCTCGCTGAGTCTGCCATTTCTCGAAATTTCGTACAGAATTCTTTATCAGAACAGTTGAGCGGGGCCACAGATTTATACTCCTTTTCAGGAGAGGATTCTGCACAGATATATTGACCGTTCTCCAGCTCTTACGTGACAGTTAAACTTGTAGTGCTTACATGAAGGGAGCACCACAACAGTCCAGCCGCAAGTCCGCAATGATTTGTCCTGTGAGGTATCACCTATGCAGGGATCGATGCCTTTTTTGAGTAGTAGCATGTCTTTGCTTTGTCCATTGTCTACCCCCCACAGACTCGTCAGGAATATGTGATCCGATTGGATGGTCTGTCTCATATGGACCCCAAAGGAACCCCAAATACTGAGACAGCTGCTGCCAAACAATACCTATGTAAGTCGAGTCTTGTCCTACCTTCAATCTGCCAAGACATGGGTCTAACACTTTTAGCATGGGGGGCCACAACACCTGAACACATGCTGCTGAGTCCATCTCATGCAACAAAACCGAAACACGATTCAGCGGCTGAGACAAGACGCCACCGGCTGATCAAGAGCAGAAACTTGATGTCATACCTTTACATGTCGTCATGTGAGATTTGGATGCGATATTTCTGTGCATCTGAGCATGATCCATCTGTTCGTGTGCGGATCTATTTCTGGAACTGCACAGTGCTCTCAAGCTCCGGACGGCTTCTCTACCTCTCAACTGCTGTACCGTCTGCCCTGAAAGCTCTCAGCCTTCAAGAAATAACCACTGCCGCACGGCCCACTCTTTTTCAGCTTACCCAGGAGGAATCAGGAGCGGAAATGACAGTGTCCCAACGCAGGAGTAGAGGCTGCTAACTTAGACCACCTTCAATGTTAGCAATTTACAACCCTCCCCACAACAATATTTCATCGATTGAGAAATTTCACTATCGTAGCGGGAGGGCGTTTCAATTGCAACCCTGAGTTGTTTTGCGTCTATCAAATAGGTCTATACATAGTCAGCCACCTTACGACTGACAAGACCTCCTAATTGCTTGGTAAGTACGTGCCACGGTGCAAGACGTGCCTGGTGGTAGCATAAGACCTTAGCCCAAGGTTGCTCTCAGGACCTATTACCTATTACGAATGGAGTGTTGCAATGTTAAGGATGGCAGCACACTATGCCAAGATTTACCAATACAAGCAACCATACAATTAATGCTGATAATTGTAGCACAGACAGACAATCTAGCTTCTATCATTTATTAGCTGCTGTCACGGCATCTTGAAACACATAAAAGAGTATAGCAGACATGTTTCTGCTGTAGAATCAACATGACAAGTCTGCCTAATCCGAGTGTTAGAAGAGGAAAGTATCTGTACTTGCTGAACAGAAAATATTTCGCTAAATCACAAGTCTTGCTAGGACATCACGATCTATAACAATTATTGACAGGCCTCCTATGTTTAAACCCCCATATTGGATAACCCGTCATAGGATATTCTCCGACTAGATACTCTCGTGTAGGAGAATGCTACAATCCTTGATCCTAGTAAGATAGCACTTTAGCGAAACACTCACGTAAGGTGGTTTCCAGGGATAATGGGAAAAGCAGCTGCAGGGTATATCAAACGGAATAACGTCTTTTGGAGCTTTAAAAATTGTAGCTTAGAGTTGGTGGATAGATCGAAGCCCGAACTCGAAAACTAACAGCATGAGAGCCTGCGAGTGGAGCAGGACACACAACATTTGCAGTCACTTCAACGGCAAATTCGCCCTATCCCCGCGTGGCGTACTCAGCGAAAATTTCCAGCTCTGGATTTAGGGTAGGTATCACTTCCGTGCAAAGTTCTCCACCGTCCCAATGCTTTCAGGTTCCAGGTTCGGGAAATACGCGATGCAGGGAGGGGAGACCAAAAATGAGGACGGAACGGCTCTCGGGCCTGGCCGAGGGGGGTGGGCATTCTCAGCAACTTGTCCAGAAGGGTGTGTATGGAGGGATCAGCACTCCCAGGCCTCGATCTGGAACAGATCGAGGATGATGGCCTCTGCGTATTGGTGCAGTGAGAAGTATTTATCAAGTCCAGCCTGGTTGAGATGGAAACTTTCACCATGTGATAGTCATCGTCGTTGACCGGCTGAGCGCCAGACGCAGAAAATTTAGAGCCCAGCCGGACGACCTCTCTCCGGCTATGCACGCCATCCAGGACGCCGTCAATCGCCATGTTGTCCATTAGGGCTACAAGTATGTACCATTTGCCCCCTACTGTGGTGCCAAATGTGTTCTTGCAGTCCTTGAAGGGACAGGCGAAGCGGGTGGGAGGAAGCTTTCAAAGACCAGTGGGCCAGCGGGTTGAAACACAGCTCACCGGATCTTCGACAAAAGGCAGAGTGAGCTGCACGTGATGTCCCGATGATGATGCGGGCTCACCGGTGGTGTTGTCTGGAAGCTGTGATCTTGCCTCAGAGCTGCACTTGGCTGTGTATGATGAGACTCCAGGGTTGAAAAGTTTCCTTCGGATTCCTGGTGTCTACTAGACGAAATATTGGACAAATACCAATCCTCTTTGCACACGTTGTGTGTTCCAAGGTGATCGCTACAAACCACCTAGGCAGGGTTTACCTAGGTAATTATGGGTTTGTTGAGGTCGAGCGAGGACTTTCACCATTTTAGGATTTCTAGTCCAACATTGCAACTTTTCAAAATCGTAGGGCAGAATTGAGGTACCTAGGTAACGGCAATCTCAAAAACTTAATTTCCTGTGGCTAATAACATTAAAAGTGGGCGTTTGCTTGGTTGGCTTTGAAACAGCATTGATCACGGCCAACAAGTACGGCCGAGTCTAAGCCTGTAATACGAGATGTCACCCTCGCAGACTCTAGCACGAGAAATGTTGAGGTCGCTAGAAAATGGGATGCGTTGCCCTTTCTTCAGAACAGCTACCTAAGTACCTCCTCTACCTGCACAGTTTTATAGCGTAAATAAGGGAGCTAAAAGATGAAGATGAGTCAATCAAACCCCACCTGAGTTGAATGCAAGCAAGGCATCTTTTCCTTCAACTCCTCCCATAGCATTCCTCCACCAAACTGATCATTTCCAAAGCTTTTCGCTTCCAAGGTCGAACCTACTAGAAGGTTCCAAACAGAACTCAACTGCCAAAAAGAAAAGTTGGCCAACCAGAACTGAATCACACCCAAGAGAGGTTATACCACGAGAGGACATCCCACAAGAAGCTATCCCACAAGAGGCCGAGAGGTCATCCAAAACGACCTTATCCTACAAGACGTCAAGCCATAGGAGGGTTTCTCCAGCCTCCTACCCCATCAGACATCAACCCATGAGAGATCAAGAGGCTATCACACACCTTTGTCGCGCGCAGCGTTAAACCACAATGGCTGTCAGCCAAACAGCCGCCGTTGAGCCTGACCAGGCGTATACTCTTCCCAGTTGGTTCCTGGAACAGAATATCACAACAGCTCAGGACTTTCAAGAGTCAAAAACACACCCTGCATGTGAGGCCCCAGATGGGATGCAACACAAGACGTTTGCGGAGCTTTGCGATGCCATCTGCGCGTCATTTATGCCTCAAAACGACGGAAGGCTTGGCAGGAACTCGACAATTGTCTTTCGTATGGAAAAGCAAGGGACTCCCAGCAGAACATACATGCTGGAGCCGGCCTGGATGAGCCGAGCAATTGTGCAATCAACCAAAGCATCACAGAAGATATCCCTGAGTAAGCATCGCTTTTCACTCATCACGGATCGCCGTACCGTCAAATCTCCAACTTCTCAACCTACTCCTTCTCATACTCCTACCTCCATCTTACTATCCGCCATCCTACCCTCCCACCTCCCTATTATCATCCTCCCACCCTCCTGCCCTCCTAACCTCCTAACCCCCTAACCTCCTAACCCCCTAACCCCCTAACCTCCTCCCCCCTTCTACCTAACAGGACTAACGCTACTAGTAGTCTACCTTGACCTCGAAACATTGGAGGAGCTTGGAAGCGATTCTACCAGCAAGACAAACAAAGAGCTGAGGTCTCCAACGAGACTGTAAAACCCTCTTCGAACACAGCCTGGGAGCCGAACATGGACTCTTTCACGACCTTTCTGGAGCATTTCTTCGCTCTCCCTGACAAGGAGTATACCGACACAGAATCGTGGACTCGCGGCCGTCAGTCACTATCAACAGTGCTCACTGCGGCTGCGACTGCAAGGGATGTCAAGATGCAGGAAGGAGATGGCATCGATGCCGTGTTGGTCCACATTGTGATGGACTGCTCTTTTGTGGACGCAGCCGTGGAGCTATACGTTCTGAAACGCTTGATTGAGATGGTTCGAGAGAGACGCCAGCAGGGTGAAGCCGTAACGGTCCTCCTGTCCACCAAGTGTCTTTTTTACATGCCCGGCAGGACGTACTTCAAAACTATTGGCTGCACAGAAGCCTTGACCGTGACCGCTGACTGTCGCGAGATTCCCGATTCAGACCTCCAGAACAGGATACGGACAGGCATCATCAACACCCGACGCATGCGTCGACTCATGAGATCTAGCCTCCCTGCAGATGTTTTCTGTGTCGAACTCCTAACATACTCGTCGGACTGGGCTACAGCGAAACGTGGAAGAACTTACGAGTCCTTTGGGAAGGAGATCTGGTCGACCGGTCAGGTAAACAAGGCTGTCACCCTTCTTACGGGAAGAGCCTGGAAACAGAAAGGGTCCAGCTCCCAGATGACCTTTGCTGACATCGTCATCGTACTTGAATACTTGGACCTCTTCCACCCCCAAGAAACAAAGACGGCGGCCAAGACGACGGCGGCCAAGACGACGGAGAAACCAAGCGACGCCGAGGATTCCCCTAAACCTACACAAGCTGGATGTTCCCAGGAGTCTGTGTCGCCTGCAGCCACGCCTCCAGATAGCCAACCAAAAGATGAAACAAGGGGCTGGCTATCCGTCGTGTCGCCTGCCGGTCAACTCTGAGAGCAACAAAAGTCCCAGCAGAATTGCCACAACGCGGCCCTAGATTCCCTGATGGGGCTTGTTGGCATGGAGAAGCCCAAGTCCCAATTCATGGCTATCAAGGACCTAGTCACCACTGCTCGACGTCAAAATGCCAGTTTGTCAGAAGAGAGACTCGGGGCAGTCTTCATCGGCGGCCCGGGCTCAGGAAAGTCCACTGTTGCGGAGCTGTATGCCGAGTTCCTATCGTCATCACAAATCGTTCCTCGTTCCTCATTTGAAAAAACCACCGGTTCGCATTTGGCTTCTGGAGGAGTTGCTGAGGTTCGCAAAATCATCGAACGCCTCAAATTGACCGACAGTGACGAGCAAGACCGTTGCCGCACACGAGGGATAATCCTCATTGATGAAGCCCATAAAATAGCAGACAAGAGCTTGAATTTTAATTATCTCATGGATGAGGTCCGGCGGCTCCAGGGAGATGTTGTGTTCCTATTTACGGGGCCAGGCGACGAGATGCAATCATTCATGGGCCTGTCACCATCATTTCGAAGCTATGTTCCATTCACTTTCAGCTTCGACGATTTCACCGATGTGGAACTCCACCTAATCCTGATCGGACAACTGCATCCGAAATTCCGCGGCCAGATGCTTGTCGAAGGCGGCATGAACGGCGTCTGCATGAGGGTCCTCAGCAGGCGAATTGGTCGTGGCCGAGGAAGCGGCTGCTTTGCCAACGCTCTAGAGGTTCAGAACACGCTCTGCCGCGTCCTCCTCCGCCAAGCTGAGCGTTTGAGCAGTAGCAAGAGGTCTCAGAAATCTGCTGACGACATGTTTCTGACGCAAACGGACCTTCTCGGGCCTCTACCGAGCTCGACTTTGAAGAGCGCCGCCTGGGAGAACTTGCAGGAAATGACAGGCCTTGCCTCAGTCAAACAATCGATCCAGGCTCTGGTCACCCGTCTCCAAACGAACCATGAGCGCGAGTTGGCGGGGAAGCCTCTGCTAGAGACTTCATTAAATAAGAGAACGGATATTCGCAGGGCAAAAAACGGATGGTACAGGGCAAATTTTTAGTTTTTTTAATTTTTATAAGTAAAATCTATAAATATTAATTTTTAAAAGTTCTTTACTATTTATTATTATTCAATTAATATTATATATTAAGGAAAAGGTTATTAGAAATTATTAGTATATTTTTAAATCTTATTTTAATAAAATAATATTTATTTTTATAATAGTATATAATTATATAAATATTAAAGCTAGAATTTTAAAAATAATACCTTTAAATAGCTTACTTTTTCTACTATATTATAAGGTACTTTTTGTTGCTTAGATTTAAATCTCTTTTAAAGTTATAATATAAAGTAAAAAGTAATAATTTATATAAAAAAAGTTGCCCTGTACCATCCGTTTTTTGCCCTGCGAATATCCGTTCTCATACTAAAATCAGTGCTGCAGCTTGCATATTGTACGACTGGCGCGATGAACCAAAATGGGCTGCACTTGAATATAAATAATACGTAGGGAAAATGGGGCAAAGCCAGTTCTGTTCCACGTCGAGGCGTCCAGCCTCCGGGGCCAGCACGCTGCAGCTGCGAGCAAGTGTTTCGAAATGGTGAGATGCAGCGTCTTTTGCTCTTCCGCACAAGGCAGCCCTAGACTCATAGGCAATATACTTATGGTCGGTTATTTTAGGTACCTAGGTATAATGGCCAAGATGTACAGCCAGTGATAAGAACAAATAAATGCATGTAACCGGTCCAAGGTCAGTGACTGTCACCGATCTGATTGCAGACTTGCCAATCAGTTCGACACATAGTATATACTGGGAGGAGACAAGCCGCAAACTTAGAAGTTCGAAAGTTAGGAGCTGTAAAATATTTTCCCAAGTGGCTGAAACTGTTGCATGAGCTGATTTTCAGAATGACTGTCTCGCATCGCAAGTCCGTCTTCCAGTGACATGGGTCGCATCTGGGTCGCATCTTGGTCACAGCTCAGGACATGGACACAATAGGTGTATTTTCCAGTATTAAGCTGGTATCAAGCCTTTCTTTACATGATTCATCAGTAACGGCCAATATCCCCAACAGAACAATACATGACAGTTCATCAACTAGGAGCAGTATAATGAATAATATTAATGTTTCTAAGATACCCTTCAAATGTTGACAACATTCGCCTTCCTCGCAAAATTCAAGTAGTTTGTAGCTCCATTTCCACAGTTTCTAGGCTCTGGCCCGATCTGAGCACGGCATTTGATTTACATACCGTGCCGCGATCTTCAGGCACTAGATCTATAGCGACGTGGGAGTCGGAGTCAGAGTGGAAGTCGAGGAATAGCACTTTGTGCTGTGCACACGGAGCCATCGGTACTAAAAGATCAATTAGCGGGTCTATCTTGGACCATGTGTGTCTCATGAGCAATTATTTTTGAGAACGGAAATTCACGCACCCTCAATCAGAAGGCGCGCACCCATCTGCTGACTAAGAAGTACTCTATACAGACTTCTTCCACGAAAGGGCCGGCTAGGGAGAAGGGGGCGAGCCCCGGAGCGCGAAGCATAGCGGAGGGCCGTGAGTAGGGCCGGTAGGCACGACCCAAGTTCCCAGAGGACCAACCCACCCTATTTATGGCCTTTAAAATCACGAAGAACACTTATTTATTAAAGTCGTAAGGACTTTGAGGTTCTGTACTCTGATTGGCTGAATAGTAGGGAGGGTGCGCGCCTTCCGATTCTGGGTGCGCGAATTTCCGTTCTCTTATTTTTGAGCATTTAACTCACATGTATCTGATAACAAGTCGGGCCAGTCGGACAGACAGTCGTTGTGACCGGCTGAACAAGCTCTGCTTCACAGTCGCACGGAAACTCAACCGTAACTAATTTGCTTTAGACTGGATGGATCCCCAGGAATTTCAACGCTGCTTTCTAGACCAGGGTGATACTGACTGTCTTTTTCAAGAGTAGACTTCGAAGTTTCGCAGGATGTTGTGCAGCCCTGTGTGCTAGTAACTGTCACAATCTCGGTGGGCCGAACGGTACATGACGCAGGCAGAGTGGTCGGGGCAGGTGTTTCGTCGCTATGTCCTTGAGGCAAGGCCGCTACAAAGCAGCTTTCAGGAGATATATCAGCCCATTTTCTTTTTTTCAGCGATGATGGCGTTGATCGCCCCGGATGCTTCACCATACCTTATTAGCAGGACGGCGATGGACTTGGAAGACTGCATGATGCCCACGAATTTAGGGAACAGTTGCGGGGGGGTAAGGAGAAGATCACATTATTCAGAGCGCTTCCTCCTCAGAATTTATACCTTCCTGAGACGCACTGCACGGCAAAGGTATTTCGACGGCCTTTGACGGCCTCAAACCAAGTTGCTCACCCCTCACTGTAGCTTCGAACTTGATGGGCCGGTTCATGTCAATGTTGATAACACTAACAAGGCGAGCATTGAAACGATGTATCACTAAATACTCTAGTGTGAGGGATGACCTAACTTTTAGAAAGGAAATGAAAAGGTCACTGTGTAACAACTGCTGTGGCGAATCTAACCGTTGAAATGGTGACCCACACGTCAATTACACATGCCAGGAATACAGCAAAGTCAACACGTTCAGTTAGCTCACGGTATCATATCCATATCTCGAAGAAATACACCAATCCTACATCTGCTATGATCACAAGTAGTGGAATTCTTGAGCCAGCGAAATGACCATCGGAGGACGATCCTCTAGACGGCAAAGCTACTTACCTAACTAGTGTAGCACTGTGAAGAAAAGATTTACTGGCAAAATAAACGGCGCGGCAAAATAAACGGCGCAGTTCTAATGGCGAGAAACTAACCTAGGATGCCTTACATCCATGGAACTGTTCATTTCGAAGTAAAATGGAAATACAACTAGCTTACTAGCACTCATACTCGTAAAAGGAAGTGCTCCCAGAAAGGCCTGGCTCTTAATCAGGCATAGAGTTTATGCTGCCGCCGTATTCTCCAGATGAAAACCACAACCTGTGGTGTTCCCTAGCTACTGAGAACGAACACCTCACCGCCACCGCTTAGACCTGGTTTACCTAGCGTAAGCACTGCCCGCCTTGGGTGGAACGACCCCCAGGGCTATATTTAAGGCCTCAGGTAGTGCTTATCGGCCTCTATGATACGGTAATTTAAGGCTTATATATTGATCTACTGGGTGACATAGACGCAAGGATACTTAGTAGTAGCTGATTGATACTAAAAAAAAGGCTTCTGTAAAATTTTCGTCACTCAAGTTGAGGGTGAGTCAAGGTACTTGAGTATCATGTGGCCTCGTATATCACCCTACTCTATGTGATGAGACTTTTCCGCCTATTCTCCATCGACTGCACGCTATATCGTCACGGACCTCGTAACAGTTGATCCAGGTATTCCTGTGCACATGCTCCATGCCACTCCTTCATTGCGTATGGTCAAGAATCCATCGGTAGAGCATTTTCTGGTTGACACAATCGTCCAAGGGCATGGTTTGAGTTCTCCTGAAAATCGGGTCATTGTGAGGCTCCTTGTCGGCTATGAAGAGCTCAACTTTAAAATCATTTTGAGCCTATCAATATCTGTTATTAAAAGCATAAGGAGGATCTCAATGGCGAATCACAAGTGTTCCTAGCCTTTGTTCCCTTGCCAGCCATGGTGATACAATTTGGATATGAGACTTTGGGGTCCGGATCCTCTTACCTTCATCTTGCCGGCCATTTCACAAATATCGTCGACGAACAGCTCGTCACCCCCCGCAAGAATCAGTATCCTGTCTACTGGGAGATCTCCCCACCAATCCTCTGGCGCGTCAAGTGGCGTATTGAAGAAGTCAATTCGACCATGCTCCAGATATGTGTCGGAGCACTTCTTCAACCCCTCAGAAATCATGTTATCCTTCAAACGGTTCGTCCTGAATGAGGCTGCGTTCTGGTCAAAGGTTACCCATGGTGAGACAAGGACGACCCCCCTGAGGTTCTCTCCACCTGACCGTAGATCAGGGACGCAAGGGTGATCGTGGGAAAGGAGGGATATCAGCCCTAAAGCAAGGTTGCCTCCCGCTGAGTCGCCACCAAGCAGGATCTACGCTTCATAATCAGCTCGACTCCCGGCTCCGCAGTTTATCTTCATACCTGCGAGTTAGACTTTCCAAGTTCAGAGTTAAGGTAGCAGACAGCGGCTGCAGCCTGCTCTAGCTGGCGTGGGTACTTCGCATCGGGGGCAAGATCTGGATAGAGAACCGTGTTAACCTGCATCATTGACGGTGGGATCTCGACAACTCTCACCGTATTCTGGAACGAGGACCGCCAGCTCCTTGGACTGACGCTTGGCCTGGGCCACCACCTGCTCCAACATGTCGAAAAGCTCTTGTCTTGCACCCAGTACAAAGCAGCCACCTGGGGGATGTTAGATATACACGCGCGCGTGTGAGAACATCAAGAGATGCGGACCGTGAAGCCAAATAAGAATAGTCGTCGCGTTTCTCCTATCGCCCAACCAACACCCGGATAGCCCATCGCAGATCGTAGTAATATCTGGCTCGAACCCTTTTGATTCCGCAAACAATTTATAGGAGTCCGATGTAGAGGGCATAAAAGTACTTCGTAAGTAAATGAGTAAGAAATATTTCAGACTGGTTAAGTGGCTGTTCAACCCACTGCAGTTGGCGTGCGGTGAAACTGTCCAGGACCGCTCCATTCACGGTATGTAGAAATTGTCTCTTATATACCTGCCACCCATTTGAACCGCGAAAAGCGGCGTTGATGACCGCTTTGGTCAAGATGTATGCTGAGTGGGTGTGAGCGCTTGTGGCATCTGGCGTAGGGACCCTGGAGTGGACTGCAGTGTTACGTACCCACGCGATAAAAGCCGCATAGAAATGTCACGTACTCCCAAACAGAGAGCTGAGGTCTTTCGTACATCTTCGATGTCATTTCAACCGCCGATTTCTAATCAACGTCTTTAGATGCAGCTATACAAGTCTCGAGTTCCATCCTGGACTACTAGTACTTGTTGCCGAGAGACGGAGTGTTGGGGTTTAATGAGCAATTAATGCAAACAATAG